CTAATTGATATATTCAACAACCATAATGCTCACTAATATATATATATATATATATATTTTAGTCAGTCGCTTTAGAAGTATAACATAATAGTGATAATACACTTTTTTTGTTTTGTTTTGTTAAAGCACACAATTTACTTAACTATGAGTATACTGCAAAATTATTCCAACTATTCTACAAATTACGTATCAGACTTCAGACCCCAAATATTTGTTGCGGTTATGATTGCCCAAGGTGAATATCCTAATATGGATGCTTGTGTAATCGAAAGAGGAAAAAAATCAAGGGATTGGTAAATGTAACACTAGGCAGAACTTTATTTTGCTTATAAAGAAATCCATATATAATCATCTAAATACAATCTTAATTGAAAATAAATCGAAAGTTTAGAACTAACTCTTGATTCTACTACAAACAACAAGATCCTCGTGAAGGTTGTAGCAACACAACTTGTTGATTAGTAGCTTTTGCTTCTTCGTAATTTTTGTTCTCGATTTGCTTTCTTTCTTTTGTTTTAATCTCATAAGATTTTATTTTCGTGTCATTTAAATTATAAACGGGCGCTCATTTCCTTCGATTAGATGATCTCTTTTATTTTTTGAACTAAAAGCTTCAACTTTCTCAAGCTGTTACAAAAAAAACATATAGGGAAAATTTGATCTTTAGTTTGTTGAATTTTTTTTGTATGTATTATTGGGTTGCTATGTTTAGGCCCAACCGGGTTGTCTATACTTTATGAAAATGTGTTTCCACAATAGCTTCGTGCGTGCTCTTACATCTTTGTATCGATCTGCATTAATACAGCCAAGTGGTGCGAGCATATTACTAGAAAAGCAAATTTTTTAAAACACAATTCTTGGTGGTATAACTATTTAAAGCCTTAGAAACTTTTTTGAGGTGTCAAATTTTCTAACTTAATCAAAAGTTAATAACCCGAAGTCCAGTGATCTCTTTCTACGTTTTTTGTTATTCCATTCTTTAAATTCTTATTTGGCTCATAATTATTGTGGTAGTTTAAGTTCTGGTGACTTTGCGCATATATATATAAAATTATATATATATATATATATATATATATATTTGGGTCAATGGATTTATGAATCTTGAATATAAAGAAAGTTTTGAATTTACATAGAAACTTTTTTACCAATACAACTTAAAATCTTACGAAAAATATCTCATTTTCTATAGCTACTCAAACTCCAAATATTCTTTGTTCGTTCTTATTTTCCTAAAAAAAAATTATAAGTGTTTTTCAACTTTTAAAAGTCACAGTGAAGAAATAATTAAGTTAATAATAATCAAAATTTTCACAGCCAGTTCTCCAACCAATATTACGCCCTAAATATGAATATACGAGCAACGATCATTTGCAATGTCGTACACATATAGTTTCATATTTTGATAAAATTACGATCAAAGAAACTTTATGCCATTGAATCGATGGTTTGTGGGATGGAATCTATATCTTTATCCGTAAAAGTTGATTAGAAAGAAAAAATTTCTAAATATTGCTGAATTACTTTAACCTCTTCTAATCAATTTAGGCTGTCGTGAAAGAGCCACTTGACTTCCTAAACACCGTCCGTATTATCACGTAACAAATAATTTGAATGACTTTATAAACACGACCATAGTATATCATGTAATTTTCGTTTTGTATTTTTTTAAAATTTTTAATTTAATTTAATTATTATATGTTAATTAGTTTATTTTAATAGAATTGAAAATAAAATGGGTATTTGGTCTTTTAACACAAAAATTGTGTTATTCTAGTAAACCATAATATTTGGGTGTTAATCTACTTATTTTTTCCAAAATTTGGGTCAAACTAGGTAAATTTCAGTTAAAAAAAAAAACTCATAGAAATCCCAATATATACAAAACAATCATATGCACTATGTTTTTTAAACAATATGTGATTGAAAACCCAGATTAATATAACTTTTTTATTTGATTTCATTGCGGTTATCATAATCAACACGATAATAATTTGCCTCATAAGTCCAATGCTAGAAAAGTATAAGTACCTAGCAAAGTATAAGTACAACATTTGAATAGCTTAGCCTTAGCATTTGGGACTAATGAGTTTTTTTTAGTTATTGCAACAACATTTAATAGGATCTTTGGGAGTTCGGTTTGCACAATCTCCATGCCAAAATCCTCTTTCAGTGCAGTCTACAAAGCATTCATGCGATCCGTACACTCCGGGCACACACAAATGATAGCAATGATCATATGAGAATTTTTTTATCTCTGCACCTATACAAACCCATAAAATATATTAAAATATAGACATATACATAAAATTATCTAGAACATGTCCAAACAATATTTTGGAGATTCTCTTTTTTTGTTTTTTTGAAGATTCTGAATACGAATCTGTATGTATACCAACATCCAAGATCGTTATCAATTCTATAAGTTTAGTTATTGCTTTCAAAATCGATCGATGTTAATTGGCTAACATTTCGTAAAAAACCATATACCTGAGGTCAACATGATTTGGTTGGACAACGAAACTGATAATATAACAATGTAAAAAATGATCACTAGATTTTTTGTGATATCCATGATAATATTTTTGTTTGTATAAAGTTAATTAGAAAACTATGTAATTCTTGGATCTTAAAGAAAGACTCCACTTATATATAACTCTCACAATCTTGGGAAATCTCAAATTGACCCAATTTATTTAATTTTATTATTACTTTTTTTTTTTTGTTTTTTTCCATTTTTGAGAAAAATATTGTTTTGGTCAAAAAAAGTATCAACATCATTTCTTATTTTGAATATATTTTTGACTCGATATATTGAATATTTAATGATGATAAACTTTAATATCTAGGGGAGATCTATGAAATTTATCACAAAGATGTATAATACTTTATAAAATATTTAGATATTAAAGGCTTTATTATTTTGTTTGTCAGTTGATATATAGAAGATTTAGTTTGCAAATCAAGTTAAACTAATATCTTTTAAACAAGTGCTCACCAAAAAAAAAAAATCTTTTAAACAAGTTTTGACACTTGTAACTATGGTCAAAGGTAAATAACTGCATATCTATTTCTACGAATCAATGCATCTATAAGATTTTAATGTAAGATTTTATGCGTAACCAGTATGGTAGTATAATATTTTAGTCTATAATCATAATACAATACTAGATAACAACCCGCACTATGTGCGGGATGAAGTGATTCAAGTAAAATTATTATCCGGGATCCAAGATCCGTTTGTGTAAAACGAAACATGTTACAAATTTTTTTTTGTTTTATTCAAATTTGGGACTATTTCATATAAGAATATGTTTTACCCGTGAAATATTTGAACCTTGAATAAAGTTTCAACGTGATAAAAAAAGTATTGACGAAATGTTACCATTTATGGCAATATGTCTTTCCGTATGTTTTAAAGATTTCGAGATTTTGTAGTATAAAAAGAATTTTTTTTTTTTTTTAATAAGTATAAGAAATCCAAAATTTAGCAAAGATGAGATTTGATAGTTTCCAAGCTAAGATTTTGTAGTGTTCCAAATCTAAGATTCTTAGATTATGAATGGATTATTTACGAAATAGTTATAATGTGGCCATATTTTGGTTTATATACAAATGTGGTTATAATGTTTTTCTTCGAAAAGTTAGAACTCCTCCAAAAAATAGGATTTTAAGTATTCGTAACATATATAGCTAGAAAGGAGATTATCTTATTTATTTAAGTAAAAAAATTATGAAAGATGTAAAGATTTTGTAGTTTTGAATTCGAGATTCTTGAACCAAATGTATATATTTTATCATTTAAATATAAACATAAATATAAATATAAATAAAAAGATTGTTTACCCATCCGCTAAAGAAAATTTATATAAATATATATAAAAAAAAATATAAATATAAAAATATAGTAATATAAGATAAACAAAAAGTGTATGTTTTTAATTATTAATGGGATATATGGATGTATAAGACTAATGGCAAATTCTGTAAATAGTCTAATAAATCTTGGGTAATTATCTAAATAGAAGTCAAATCATTGTGAGAGCGACACATCAGCGTGGCAATCTTGTTAATAACACATGAAGGTAAGGTTTTTTTAAAAAAATGTTTCTCTATTAATATATAGGGGATGACAACATTGATTGATTCACTTCTATTATTTCAATATTGAATTTTGCCAGATATCATTTGCAACTCGTTGTGCCACATCTAGTTAAAGTGATATTTTATAAAAAAAAATTGTTTCATTTTAAGTGACGTTTTCAAATTTTTATGCAAAAATTAAATGTATCTAATTTTTTCTGACCAATTATATTTTAGTGCATGTTTTCTAATTGGTTGTATTTATTTTATTTAATGGTATTTTGATGTAAAAGAGATATATTAAATGAAAATTATGAATTTTTTTTTAATTTATGCGTAGAAACCTTTAATATCAATTAAAATGATACATAGAGAGTATATAAGGTCTAAAAAAAAGCATGTGTATGTATGCCAGTTCTCCAACCAATATATTACGCCCTAAATATATTGACTCGAAAAATACGACTATACGAGCACCGAACATTTGCAATGGCCGTACATATCTAGTTTCAAAATTTTGATAAAATTACGATCAAAGAAACTTTAGGCCATTGAATCGATGGATTGTGGATGGAATCTATATCTTTATCCCTAAAAGTTGATTAGAAAGAAAAAATCTCTAAATATTGCTGAATTAGTTTAACCTCTTTTAATCAATTTAGGCTATCGTGAAAGAGCCACTTGACTTCCTAAACACCGTCCGTATTATCATTTAACAAATAACAAAGGGATATATAAAAAGAAAAAATTTACTTAGGATCGAAGGAGAGAGATAAAATAGAAACTAGGGCAAATAAATGAAGAAATGCACCAACCAACGTCAATATCTATCCTCCCTCTTTTAAAAGAAATTACCATTTCAGTGAACTACAAAAAACCAACTTGTTCACAACTTACCTTCAGATAAACTACTTTCACGATATTAAAAGGCTTCATTTACAATCCATCACAACGAACGATTAGAGATAAATCCATTTCACGAAGACTAGACCCATAAGAACGAGCTTAACATTTTTAGTAGTCATCCAAAATCTCTTCTTCCTCCTCTTCTTTACCTTCAGCTTCTTTGTTGTCATCATCTGTTTTCTCAACTTCTTTCTCCTCAGCTTCATCAGCATCATCAACATCATCAGATTGCTTCTCCTCATCTTCCTCTTCCTCATTGCTTTCCAGTGACTTGTTATATTCTGCCTTTAGTTCAGCAGCTTTATCTAGGTAAACTTTCTTCTCATCCTCAGTCAAAGACTTCCACTTTTCACCACCGATCTTTGCAGCATCCTTAGCTAATGAACCATTATGCTCTGTTTTAAAAGTTTTACGGAAATCATTCATGAATATAAAGAAAACAGTAAGTGGTCGTTTAGGCTTGTTTGAAGTAGAAGAGCTCTTCTTCTCATCATTGGTTTTCTTAAGTCTCTTTAATTTGGCTTAGGTCCATCAGCTGTTGCCTTCTTCTTCTCTGCAGGTTTCTTCTTAGCCTCTGCTTGTGTCTCCACAACTTGAGCTTCGAGATTGACTCTGATCTTAGCATCGAGACTGCAATTGTGCATGCTTATAAGCGCTACATCTTTAGCGCGACGTAAGGTAGTAGAAGTATTGGTGCTGCTAGTTTCTGCTTCGACTCTCTTCCTCTTCTTTGGTGCGTTTGAAGTCGTCGATGGTCCAGCCATTTCTCTTTCTTTGCTCGGTCTCGTAAGATTGAAATATCTCAGTGAAAAATTTTCGTTTTCGATGCTATTACCGCATTAATTAGCAAAACAATTAACAAAAAAATAATAATCAATTATTAGTTTAATTTATTTATTTTTTCTCCTGGATACTTAGTCAAGTATTAGTTTAATTTAGTTTAATCAAGTATAGGTGAAAATGGTTGTAAGAAAATATTTCATTGTTTTTCTAACCTCTGCCTAATGAGTTTTACCATTTTGATTTATTCTTTTTTATTTGTATTAAATCACAGGAAAATGGAGATTTTTAACTCACTCATGATGCTCCTTATCATGGGTCAGTTCTTCATTCAACTTGGAGGTTCAGTTATCCCAGTTTCTACTATTTACGTAAGTACTAATACACTCTCGGTTTTATTTACTTCTATCTCTCTTTTTTTTTTTTGTTACATTTACAAATGCAATTCTGTAAAATATAGTTTAATTTTTTTTGCCTTGCTTTTTGTCTCGAAAAAGAGTCCTGATGGAGATGTGATCGATTGTATCAATCGAGCGGATCAACCAGCCTTCGACCACCCACTCCTGCAAAACCATATAATCCAGGTTTTTATTAACAAAAAAAGTTTCTTTAATATGTATACTTTTGACAATATGTATATTTTTATAAAATTAAGAATTTATTGTTTTAAATAATTTACGCAGGAATATCCTACCGGCATGCCACAAATAGAAAGAGACGTGCAAGAAAATTGGCAAATCTGGCACGAGACAGGAGAAAAGTGTCCAACGGGGACGATTCCCATACGTCGGGATTTGGATCCGAAGGTGTCTCACAAAAAGAAGCCAAAGGTTCACGAGGTCCCCAACAGCGCTAATATGGGACACAAGGTAATTATTGTCATTATAGTATATACCTTTTTAATTTGTTTATTTAGACAATATTTGATGAAAAAAATTTAAGAAATAATATCGCACATACAAATACATAATTACAGAATATGGGTTTCAACATTTTTATAGTAAAAAAATATTAACATATTTATTGTATGGTAAACAGTATGCTATCGCATATATGATAGACCGACAACAAGTGTACGGTACAAGGGCAACATTCAATGTCTGGGCGCCAATTGTAGAAGAGTCCACCGATTTTAGCCTCGCACAGATTTGGTTGGCATCCGGGTCATACGAGACTGCGGATCTCAGTACCGTAGAAGCGGGTTGGCAGGTATTGTTTAGACTTTAAAGCTTTTGTATTATTAATTTTCTTCACTATATTTGTATAATTAGTATATATGCAAATATAATAAACCTAATTTAATTTTTGTAGGTTTTTCGGTCGAGGTATAAGGACAGCCAACCTAGATTGTTTACATATTGGACGGTAAATTCTCCACCCTATCCACTTGCTCTTTAGAAGTATTAATACGAAAACTTATTATTATCATGAAATTACAAAGTTGATTCATCTTAGATTAATACCATAATTTGGATTAATAACCAAAGACTAGTACTATATTTGATTATTTTCAATAAGATGAACGCAATACTAATCAGAAGATTGTGGACTAAATAAACATTATAAAATATGATATATATAGAACGAACATTATCAATTTTGCTTTCATTGTTTTCTTCTTTGAAAAAGGTTTTCTATTGAAAGTAAAAAATTACAAAAGCCCAGCCCAGGCCCTAGTAATTGGAGTTGCGGCCATAGCATATATTAAAGGCCCAGCCCAGTATAAACCAGCATATTAATTGGTTTAGCCATAGCCTATATTAAAGGGCCCAGACCAGTAATATTGAATTGCAGTTTGGGCCGTAGCAGGTCCCAGACCAGTATAAACCAGCATATAAAATTGAAGTTTTGGCCATAGCCTATATTTTGCTTTCATGGTTACGGTAATGGTTAATCATGGTGAATATAGTGTATTTGATAACAGACCTATTATTACATGTTTATTAGACTAAGTTATATGACTTGATTATTATTATATTGTGTATGTTAGTTATAAAAATTTGGAAATGATTTGACCAAGAAATATATCTTTGCAGGCGGATGGATATAACAACACCGGGTGTTATGGCCTCGACCGTCCTGGATTTGTGCAGACTAGCAGTAACATCGCCATAGGAGCTGCGATTGGTCGCACCTCAACATTTGGAGGCACCCCGTTTGACATGACGCTTCAGATCTGGAAGGTATAAAACACTTATTTAATTTGTTCTTATTTTCCGTATGTTTGCTAACACATAACTAAAAATTGCAGGATCCGTTTTCAGGACATTGGTGGCTGGCTGTGGGCCCCAATATAGTGCCGATCGGGTACTGGCCGGCCACAATTTTCACGACCTTATCCGATCATGCGACGAGGGTTGAATGGGGAGGAGAAGTATTATACCGAAACCTCTCTGGCGTGAACACGGTGGCCCAAATGGGTTCAGGGGAATATGCCGACAAAGGCTACGGAAAAGCGGCATATTTCTGCAATCTGAAGGTGGCAGAGAACAACCACACCCTTCTCCCGGTCCAAGATTTCGGCGTTCTAGCCGATCACCCAAAATATTATACCGTTAAGAAGTCGTCAAACCGCAATTGCGGTAACCACTTTTATTTCGGCGGACCAGGGCCTCAACGTTCGGGGGCGGTTCGGGGAACAGTAGTTTCTGCTTTTCGTGTAGTTTACTTAGGTCTGATTTGTTTAGTTTTTGTTTTTTGAGTTGTGTGTTTAGTTTTTCTGAAGATAAGAAGCTGTGTACTAAAAGATGTTGGTTATGCTTTTCACTTGAGTATTTATTTTTACCAATGTATCCACGTTGATGTTCGGGGAACATTATCTGTTATTTTTGGTCTGATCATGGTCTACTCTACATCAACATAAACGAGGGTCATATGATCACTCATATAAGTCTGTTGAGAATCTTTCATTGTTTCACTAGCATCTGCCACTGATTGAATAAATTCGAGAAAAAGCGACTAGATTCACACCACCAGTGGAGAGACGAGATATGCAATTTATATCATGTAAATTCACAAGACTCGAAGAACAAGTAATGGAAAAGCAAGAAACCATAGTACAGTATTTAAGCCATTCAACAAATTAAACGGCAACCCCTCTTTTCTAGGAAGATTTTCGTATAAGGATAAAATTCACAACAATACTAGGAAGGAAACCAAATGCTAGAAATGGAGAAGCTGTATCAAGTTTGACTAAGAATTCACACCAAAAAAAAAAGTTTGACTTAGAATATTTATGACGATCCAAAGCAATACCATGTTGGTTAAAATTTCAATTTTTTAAAAAATACACAAGTGAAAATAGACCAAAAACTAAATAGACCGTAAAACAATAGGAAAAGTTACTAGATTAACCCAAATTATGAGTTTAATTACTAGAATATCTTTTAAAAAAAAATTTCCCAAGATTTGGGTCAAATTAGGTAAATTTCTATTTTTTTCGTTTTTTATTTTTATTTCATTTTATATTTTTTTTAAAAAAATTTTCGTTATATATATTTATATAATTTTTTTTTAATTTTTTTCGGTTTGTATTTTTTTCGTTTTATATTTTTTCGTTTTTTTCCTATTTTTTTCAAACTTTTTTCGTTTTATATATATTTTTCGTTTTTTATTTTTTTAAATTTTTTTTATTTAATATAATTATTATATGTTAATTAGTTTATTTTAATAGAATTAAAAATAAAATGGGTATTTGGTCTTTTAACACAAAAATTGTGTTATTCTAGTAAACCATAATATTTGGATGTTAATCTACTTATTTTCCCAAAATTTGTGTCAAACTAGGTAAATTTCAGTTAAAAAAAAAACTCACAGAAATCCCAATATATACAAAACAATCATATGCACTATGTTTTTTTAAACAATATGTGATTGAAAACTCAGATTAATATAACTTTTTATTTGATTTCATTGCGGTTATCATAATCAACACGATAATAATTTGCCTCATAAGTCCAATGCTAGAAAAGTATAAGTACAACATTTGAATAGCTTAGCCTTAGCATTTGGGACTAATGAGTTTTTTTTAGTTATTGCAACAACATTTAATAGGATCTTTGGGAGTTCGGTTTGCACAATCTCCATGCCAAAATCCTCTTTCAGCGCAGTCTTCAAAGCATTCATGCGATCCGTACACTCCGGGCACACACAAATGATAGCAATGATCATATGAGAATTTTTTGATCTCTGCACCTATACAAACCCGTAAAATATATTAAAATAAAGACATATACATAAAATTATATATAACATGTCCAAACAATATTTTGAAGATTCTCTTTTTATTTTTTCTTGAAAATTCTGAATACGAATCTGTATATATACCAACATCCAAGATCGTTATCAATTCTATAAGTTTAGTTATTGCTTTCAAAATCGATCGATGTTAACCGGCTAACATTTCGTAAAAATATATACCTGAGGTCAACACGATTTGGTTGGACAACGAAACTGCTAATATAACAATGTAAAACATGATTGCTAGATTTTTTGTGATACCCATGATAATATTTTTGTTTGTATAAAGTTAATTAGAAAACTATGTAATTCTTGGATCTTAAAGAAAGACTCCACTTATATATAACTCCTCACAATCTTGGGAAATCTCAAATTGACTCAATTTATTTAATTTTATTATTACTTTTTGTTTTTTTTTTTCCATTTTTGTGAATAATATTGTTTTGGTCAAAAAAAGTATTGACATCATTTCTTATTTTGAATATATTGTTTGACTCGATATATTGAATATTTAATGATGATAAATTTTAATATCTAGGGGAGATCTATGAAATTTATCACAAATATGTATAATACTTTATAAAATATTTAGATATTAAAGGCTTTATTATTTTGTTTGTCAGTTGATATATAGAAGATTTAGTTTGCAAATCAAGTTAAACTAATATCTTTTAAACAAGTTTTGACACTTGTAACTATGGTCAAAGGTAAATAACTGCATATCTTTTTCTACGAATCAATGCATCTATAAGATTTTAATGTAAGATTTTATGCGTAACCCAGTATGGTAGTATAATATTTTAGTCTATAATCATAATACAATATGACAACATTGATTGATTCACTTCTATTATTTCAATATTGAATTTTGCCAGATATCATTTGCAACTCGTTGTGCCACATCTAGTTAAAGTGATATTTTATAAAAAAAATTTTGTTTCATTTTAAGTGACGTTTTCAAATTTTTATGCAAAAATTAAATATATTTAATTTTTTCTGACCAATTATATTTTAGTGCATGTTTTCTAATTGGTTGTATTTATTTTATTTAATGGTATTTTGATGTAAAAAAGATATTAAATGAAATTATGTATTTTTCTAATTTTATGAGTAGAAACCTTTAATATCAATTAAAATGATACATAGGGAGTATATAAGGTCTAAAAAAGCATGTTTATGTGAGGATTAACATAAAGTTCTCTTTTCTGCTTTCATTTAATGACGTAAAGGTAGTGAATGGAGGACGCGGAACCGGCGTTTTGTGGTGCGGTTCATAAAACTGTCACCATTCACACATTCTTACACATACTCATTTTCAATTTAAAATAAATAAATAAAAAGAAGTACGGTACAAAATTATGTCATAAAACTATGAACCGCATGTAAAGGTTTTGTAGAAGAGGAAAATGTGTGGTTTTGTACGGTAGCTAATAGATTTCATTTATTTCATTTATTTAATATATTTTTTTGTCTCTCTCAAATATAAATAAATTTGCTTATATAAAACACTCTAGTTTTTTTTTCTTCATATTTCTCACTTCATTCACATTCTTAAATATATATATATATATATAACTGTCTCTTTTAATAATTTTATTACAATCCACATCTGATTATTATTTTTATTATTACATCTGGATTTGATTAAATTAGATTACAATATATACATAGTTTTTTTTCTTAAGAAATTTAATGTTTTACTTACTACTAGCAGCATATACATTTTTATGAATTTTGTATTTATGGTTTGTAAATAATATATAAAAAACATTTGGTCTTTAACTGAACATTATATTAATATAAAATTTTAATTTGTAAATATAACCGCATTATTTAGCAAAACAATTAACAAAAAAAAAATCAATTATTAGTTTAATTTATTTATTTCTTCTCCTGGATAATTAGTCAAGTATTAGTTTAATCAATTATATGTGAAAATGGTTGTAAGAAAATATATCATTGTCTTTCTAACCTCTGCCTAATGAGTTATACCATTTTGATTTATTCTTTTTTTTTTTTTTTATATTAAATCACAGGAAAATGGTTGTAAGAAAATATATCATTGTCTTGTCTTGTATTATGCTTTGAATCTAGTCTTTTTTTCTTGTATTGATTCAATTAGTGGCAGAATCTAGTGAAACAGTGGTAGATCCTCAATAGATTATATACGAGTGATCATATGACCCTCGTTTCTGTTAATGTGGAGTACCTGCAAAGTTTAGAGTAGACCATGATCTGGCCAAAAATTATAGTTTCTACCATTGCAACATCAACGCTGACCAAAAATTATAGTTACGATGGCGACGAGTTACTTTAAAAAAAAAAAAAATTAGCGATGAGTTACTTGATTTAATGATTTTCCAAAAATATAGATTTCCATTCACGCTTATGGCCCATTTTACCGCAATCTATTACTATAATGTATTCTCGTCATTTTTCAATATATGTTTTGCTGATTAATAACCTCCAAAATGGTAAATCTCATTAGGCGCAAAGGTAAGAAAAACAATGATATATTTTCTTACAACCATTTTCATCCATATATGAGGATAATTAATGGTTTTCAGACACTATTTTTGTAAGCAGAAGAAAAAATAAATTAAACTACTAATAGGTAATTAAGTTTTTAGAAATTTGCATGTTTTGCTTTTTGTTTTGCTAAATAATGCGGTCATAGTGGCCAATGAAGAGCAATAATGAGGTTATGCAGATGGCTAGATATAACGATCAACTCGAACCCTACATATATCGTAGATTAAAAAAATATAACCATGCATACCCTTCATAATTGGTTACTGTACCACCACTAATTTGTTATCAGTGTATTTGAGATATGTGATTTATATTACTAAGCTAGCCTTTTACTTAAAACCAATTTTCTTATATATAATATATATATAAGTCATAATAGACCGAAAAATAAGTAGACTGTAAAACAGTATAAAAAACATCATCATAATATAATCAAACGTCTATATAAATACATCAAAGTTAAATGTTATTTTATAAGTAAAAAAAAACTCATAAGAATCCAAATATATATACAAAACAATCAAATGCACTATGTTTTCTTAAAAAAATATTTTATTAAAACATATATTTATATAATTTTTTATTTATTTTATTACGGTTATCATAATCAACACGATAACAATTTGCCTCATAAGTCCAATGCTAGAAAAGTATAAGTACAATGTTTGAATGGCTTAGCCTTCGAATTAGGGACTAATGATTTTTTTTTTTTTAGTTATTGCAACAACACCTTCTAGGATCTTTGGCAGTTGGGTTTACACAATCTCCTCTAGCAAATCCTCTGTCATAACAATCTTCAAAACATTTTTGCGGTCCGTACACTCCTTCCACACACAACTGGAAGCAATGATCATATGAGGATTCTTCGACCTCTTCACCTATACAAATTCACAAACAATATTTTGAAGGTTCTGAATACATGTGTGTGTATATATATAGGAACACACAAGATCATTTTCAATTCTAGATGTTTAGTTATTGCTATCAAAATGGATCAATGTTAATTGGCATATAACAAACACAAACTTTTAAATATACCTGAGGCCAAAATGATTTCGTTGGACAACAAAACTGCTAATATGACAATGTGAAAAAAGATCACCAGATTTTTTGTAGTACACATGATAAAAGAAATTTTGTACAAAGTTAATGAGAAAAAATGTTATTAATTTTTTGGCTCTTAAAGAAAAGAATATATATATATATATAGTAATCTTGAGAAATCTAAAATTGACCCAATTTATTTAATTTTAAATCATTTTTAGATTTATGCTAAAAAATATTATTTTGGTCAAAAAGTATTGACATTACTTATGTATTTTGAAGATATTGTTTGACTCTGTTAATTAACTATTTAATGAAAATAGATATTTGGGGATATAAAAATTATCACAAATATGTATAATACTTTATAATAATATTAGAATCTATAAAACTTGTTTTACTGCTATTATAAGTTATTTCTCTATATATAAAACATATCCAAGTAATAAACGAATGGTAGGATATAAATTATTGCAAATTAAAGGTTAATTTTAATAATATTGTTTGTCAATTTAGTTTCCAAATCAAATTAAACTAATACATCTATCTTTTTAGGAAGATTTGACACTTGTAAGTATTTATTTCTATGAATCAATGTATATTGACTTAATGTAAGATTTTATTGCATAACCCAGTATGGTAGGTATAATGGACAAGTACGAAAACATTGTATAACTCTTTAACAAACAAAACGACAGCCCCTCTTTTCCTCAGAGAGTATTTCCCGTAGCAAAGCTTCTTACCATACTAGAGTCTTCTTAAATCTTAATGAGTCTTTACCCAACTCAACCTATCTTGCCATCCCCTGTTTGCCTTTAGACGAGCTAAACCAATTCCAATTTGTTGAATTGAATCATGTTTAAAATTTTCACAGATGACTTATTAATTAATTAATTACCAATGGATTTATCTAAACACAGATTACTTATTTATTACCCAAATTGTGATTTCCACTGTCTATGAGTTTTACTACTATGAGTTTACAATATCTAGGTTAAAAAAAAAAATTAACATTACACTTTCAAATATTACATAAATATGGACTAGACAAAAATTAATATTTGGGCCGGAAAGGTGATATATATATATATATATATATACATCATTGTTATATAATATAACATCTATAAATTTATTTTCGAAAGGTTAGAAAGTAAAGTTACTATACAAATTTCATAATACTAATATCAATTGTATGGTAAACCGTATGTAATTACATATATCATAAACCGGTAAAAGGTTTAACGGTACAAGAGTAACAATAAGTGTTTAGGCCCCAATGGTAGAACCGTCTCACGGTTTTAGCCTCTCACAAATTTGGTTGGCATCCGGATCATATGAGACTGAGGATCTCAACACTGTAGAAGCAGGTTGGCAGGTTTGGTATAGACATTAAGACCATCTTCAATGGGGATGTCTCACCCAGTGTCTTGCAATTAAAATAATAAAAAAAAATAGAAAAAGAGGAGAGAGAAGGAGACACGATTCTTCTGCGAGAAATCCTGAGACACTCTTAAAAAACTATTTTGCCAAGTTTTTAATTTGATTGGTATAATTTAATTAATTGTTTCAAATTTAATTAAAAAATAAAATCATAATAACAATAATATTTTTTATTCCTCAGACATTCTTTTTTGAGATACTCACTGATGGAGATGCTCTAATATTGTAGACTGCGGATTTCAATTTTTTTTGGACTCTTTATTTCTAATGATTCTTGTATTCTTATATCTTAAGAGAAAATTCTGGCCAAACATATATATATATATATATATTCCATTATTTTTTAATATCAGCTATTGTCGTCGATATAGCTTTGATCTTTTGAGCTCAGTAATATAATGTCTTCTCAATTTAATCGACTTATCTATTATTTTTGTGTTATGAAAGTTTAGTTAATTTTTTTTATATTAAATCATAGGAAAATAGAGAGTTTTAACTCACTAATGATGTCCTTATCATGACCCAGTTCTTCATGCAACTTGAAGTTTCAATTATCCCAGTTTTTACTATTTACTTAAGTAATAAACTCTCCGTTTTATTTATTTCTCTTCTTTTTTGGTTACATACACAAATGCAATTATGCAAATATATTTTAACTGTTTTGACTTTCTTTTTGTTTGGAAAGAGTCCCAATGGAGATGTGAATTTATTTTGTTAGTTTTCATTTTTCAAAGATATTTTACTTATGTTTTGCTCATTTTTTGTTTTTGTTTTTGCTTAATTTTTGCTTACTTTTGATCAATTTGTTTTCTCTTGATTATTTAAATTATTTCAATAATCATAATATATTTATAGATGTGTAGTCACTATAAAAACTTTGCATCGAAAAAAGGTAAATTGGTGATTTAGAATAAAGTGAATATATTACTTACCCTATAGTTTTTTGCTTTGTCAATTAGAAGGTGAATATATGACTTTGAATTAGTAAGATATAGATGATTTAGTGAATTAGTACTACTATTCGTTAGAACAAATTTGACACTTGTGAGTTTTGTAAAAGATAATTTATTGCATATCTATGTTTACGTTTCCTAGTACTATGGATAATTAGAATATAAACATATTGAAGAAAAAGACATGTACTAGTAGTACTATATTCTATATAGATGATTCGAAGAAATAGACGTGTACTAGTAGTCTAGTACTATATAGGTGAAGAAATATATCTGTTTTTCAAAATTTAATTGACCAATATATGTAAAATTAGCATACGTAATTTTTCGGGGTTTTTGTTAGTTTTCTTTTTAGTTAAGGAAAATAAAGTTAAAAAAGTTTTAGATATAGACATATTATTGAGTATATGTAAATATATATTTTTAATTTGTTTTCCTTTTTTTAAAGACTAAAACCGTTAAATCTTTTCTACATGTATCAACCTCTGATCGATAGACTTGACACGAGTAACGATCATTTTAATTACTAAATTTGAAACCAAACTTTACATAATAAGAAATATATTATTAATTTTTTTCTGATTAAATATAAATTGTATAAACTCCTGATTAGTGGAAGTATATTTTTCTTAACTATAGAAGTATATATTTATTTTTTGGGACAAAAATGCCCATTTTCTATGGCCTTTTATAAAAATACCATTTCTTGTTATCTATTTTCAAAAATACTTCATTTATATATAAAATGACTAAATTACCTTTTTGAATGAAACTGCAATACCAACAAACTCTTCATATATTATAAAAAAATTAAACTAAAACCGCAAATCTATACATCTAAACTTATGAATGACGTTAATGCAGTTTTATTTATATAATATAAATTATTAAAATAGTTAACGTTTGATTTTTAACTTTATTAATAAATTAAAAATTCTGTTCTTGCATGGTATTTAAAAAACATTATTTTTAATTTAAAATATTTTAGTGCATCTACAAAATTTGGTTTTGACATCTCGGGATTCAATGATTAAAATTTTGAGGTTTATTTATAAATTCTTCTATCATAAAATTAAATAGCATAAGATTTACATGTGCATGGTGGATTACCTTGTTAATTAATTAATTAAAAAAAAAAGAATATGACAAATTTTGGACCATACATAAGACAATATAATGGAAAATTTGCTAAAATAATATTAAAAAGGTATTTAGTAGTCAAAATAATCCACAAAAATTTATTAAAATCTAAGAAGATAGATTTGCTTAAAAAATATTTAAAAAAACCTTTAAAAAAATGTCCAAATTAAACCAAGGGATATTAAATCAAGATCTAAATAAAAGGTGTTTTTTCCTAATATAATATAGTTATGGGCCAAGCCCATTATTGACCCAATAACTATAAGGGTCGGCTCCAAAGAGAGGCCAATACAAATTTCGGAGCTCTGTGGCAGTGTGTCGGCTTTAAGTCTTTGAGCTCTCTCCTCCGTGATCAATCTCCGTGAATCGCCACTCTCTCCGTTTCAATGGCTGATCTCGATGTTCCTCCTCAAGTTCCTCAAAGTAAGACTAGAGACCTTGACAAGCTTCTTCTCCGTAATGGGAATCTCGTTGACCCCGGCTTCTTTCCCGGACCCGACGTAAACGCCTTTTTTTACTCAATCGCTTCTTTGGGTTTTTCTCTGTATCGTTTTTGTGGGTTTTCTGAGCTAAGTGTTTGTTTGTGTACAGCTGAGAGATGACATAAGGGATTATGTGAGAATTCTGGTGGTTGGTGCTGGTGGATTGGGTTGTGAGCTTCTCAAGGATTTGGCTCTTTCGGGTTTTCGTAATCTCGATGTGATTGATATGGACCGTATTGAGGTTACTAATCTCAATCGCCAGTTCCTATTCAGGTAATCTTCTCCTTCTTTTGTCTCTTTGGTTTACCACTAGAAACCCTTAGAATTGATCCATTATGTTCCCTGTGTGTGTCTCTTGTGTGGTATGTTTGTGAAATTGTTAGTGGGAATTGAAATTTGGTTGATTCTGATGGGTCTTGTTGTTTTAGGCTTGAAGATGTAGGAAAGCCTAAGGCAGAGGTAGCAGCAAAGCGTGTCATGGAGAGAGTGAGTGGAGTGGAGATTGTGCCGCATTTTTCACGTATAGAAGACAAAGAGATTGAGTTTTATAGCGATTTTAATATCATTGCCCTTGGTCTTGATTCTATCGAAGCTCGCAAATACATCAATGGGGTTGCTTGTGGGTTTCTTGGTATGGAAATTCTTTTACCTTTAAGCAGTCTACCCAAATTTCTTTTTTTATGCCTCGGCTTCTGCTCATGTGCTTGTGAAATGTAGAGTATAATGAAGATGATACTCCGAAAAGAGAAACAATCAAGCCGATGGTAGATGGGGGAACTGAAGGTTTCAAGGGTCATGCTAGAGTTATCTTGCCTGGAGTTACACCCTGTTTTGAGTGCACTATTTATCTTTTCCCACCTCAAGTGAAGTTTCCGTTGTGCACTCTTGCAGAAACCCCTAGGAATGCAGCTCATTGCATTGAATATGCTCATCTAATTCAGTGGGAAGCGGTATGTGAATGGATTCTTTGTATAGTCTCTCTGAAAGAGACTCTTCTTTCCAAGCGAATATGTATTTGGTTTATTTTTGGTAAACTCGATTCTTCCTGCAGGTTCATCGTGGAAAAACCTTTGATCCTGATGAGCCAGAACATATGAAGTGGGTCTATGATGAGGTTAGTCATTTTTTACTTGTTTATGCTATGGTTTTTTAATTTGGGTTTATTTCATATTGGCCATTACTTCACAGGCTATCAGGAGAGCTGAGCTTTTTGGAATTCCAGGTGTCACATACTCTCTCACACAAGTATGTAACCATTCTCGCTTTTTCTTTGTGTTCACTTTCTAAAATTTCCAGTTCTCGGCTGAAGTACCGGTGACCATTTAAGCATGGACAATGAAATCCATATGCTATTTGTATTCATGAAGAAATTATGAGGGGACGATTGTTTTGTTGTATAGGGTGTGGTTAAAAACATAATACCGGCGATTGCTTCCACCAATGCAATTATATCTGCAGCTTGTGCGCTTGAAACCTTGAAGATTGTGTCTGCATGCAGCAAAACACTTGTAAATTATTTGACGTATGGTTTATTTCTTTCTTTCTACCTTACTTGCTAGTGTTCGGAGTACAGCTTTTCTACTAAAACTTAAATATATGAATTTACAAATAATTCAATGTTGCATTTTGGTTGGTTTTCATTTTCGCTAGGTATAACGGTGGAGAGGGTCTTTACACTGAAGTGACGAAGTTCGAGAGGGACACCGACTGTCTTGTATGTGGTCCGGGCATTCTGATTGAGCTGGACACCTCAGTCACTTTATCAAAGGTCCTTCCTCTCGCATTATCATCTCATTGTCTTTTTAATACCACGATTATCTTGATTTTCATACTCATGTATTGCTTCATTCATGCTAAATTATCTTCTCTACTACTATCTCCATTGATGCATATACTGAATTACTGATAGATACTTGGCTGTTATTTTCTATAGTCATCTCGCCTTCTCCAGGATTTTTGCCCTTTTAGCTATATCTTAATTTACTCGTGCCAAAGTATGCGCTTTGTTTGTCCATATAAATTCTGCGTCTCAATTCTTTACCATTTGTTCATGTTTTGTTTTTCTTTCTCCTAGTTCATTGAGATGCTTGAAGATCATCCGAAGCTTCTATTGTCAAAAGCAAGTGTTAAACACGGGGAAAACACTCTCTACATGCAGGCACCTCCGGTTCTAGAAGAGTTTCACAGACCAAAGCTAAGCAAGCCGCTCTATGACCTCATGGGAAGAGTCCAGAAGGACACTATCCATGTGTTTGGGACAGCCCTCAAGAACAACGAGAAAGAGTCGTGCTCAACGAAGGTAAGAGTTGTTTTCAAAGGAGCCGATGGTGTTGCAGACATGGATACAGCCATTGGAGCATGAATACACAGAGAAACCCTCTGATGGCAGCTTTTAGATCGATTGAGATAATTGGGCAGCTTGACTTGTCCAGTTCTTATTTTTGGTCCTTGTTTTGTTTGTTTTGTCGTTTATAGCTGTGATTGCAGAATTTTACTGCGTGATGAACAAAAAATGACTCCAAACAGACGAGTTTATATGATTTGTTCTTAATCTCGAAGATGTGACCTCTGTGACAAGAAAAAGTTTAGAGCCTGGAAAAAGATCAATCTGTGTCTGAGATTGTTTTCTTAATAGTTCATATGATCAGGATTCTACCTGCGATTTCAGATACAAGGAGCTCTGATTTCTGTAACGTAACATATATAGTTAACATGAAATACTAATGAGAAATTACATAAAACCTAATGTGTTTTCGAATTTAGCATTAACCAAAATGTGTTCATTAAAACCAGCCGGTACAAACGTCAATTGCAACTTTTGCAACTACAGATTGTTCATCCGTTGGAGTAGTAGACGCCAACAACACCAAAATGAAACAAAGACTATTCTAATTTTTCTTTGAAGGCTTTTATGCATCACTTGTGGTTGTATTTGTTGGTTTAAACTTATCTTTTTATACTTTTTGTTTATCTTCTTCTGTTTGTGGCTATACTTGCTTGTGCTTTTCTTTTCACTTGATCTTATAGACTTTAAAACTAGTCTTTTGAAACGTAGTATGGGCAAAGAGATAAGGTAGTTCTACGACTTCTTTCTTCATTATCAAAATTGAAAGGTCAAGAGTTGGGAACATGCTATCAGAAATCAAAGACCAACAAAATGAGTAAAAATCAAATTTTCATAAAGAAGTAGTGATATGTCAAAGAAAATAGATATAATTGTTTATGTATAATAATATATAGACCATCAAGCTTTCACTTGGAAAATCGATTTTATGAAGTAGGATTGGTGTGTGACCCTACTTCACTCAAACACTATCCTCAAAACCATATCATATCAATGAGTTATATAGATTTTCTCTCTCTTTCTCTCTCCCAAATCCAAATTGATCATTGTCCATTTCCTCAATTGCCAACCACAAACTGTCTTCGGATGTGGCTGTTCGAGGATCTTATAGCCATAACAAAGATTTCCTTAGGCCCTATCAAAGATAGTTTTTTGTCTTGCCATGATAGTTTTTGCATCTAAATAAGTGTTGGTTCTCTTCAATTCTGTTGGTAGTAATTTGGTAAAAGCTATATCAAAGTTTTTTGGTTATTATGTGCTACATGTTATTGTAAATGTAATAAGAACAGAGTGGATATGGGTTGTGTGTGAACTTTGATTCTATCTTTTTAAAAAATGTAACAACTGGATAACATCAATGCACAACCTCCTTCTGTCCTTCATGTTGTGTTGAGTGGGGACTTAGCCAGATTAGATTTACAATTGTTAAAAAAAGTCTCTTTCTTTTCTCTGGCCCTACTCTCCCACCCACATGCCCTTCCCTCTCTCTCTCTCTCTCTCTTAGTCTCTATATCTCTCTAAATGCCAATCTCTTGCCTATTTATTTGACTCTTTCAACATTCCCTCGAACTCCACTTGAAGCAAACCCCAAAAAAAACACACACACAAGACTTGTCTTACAAAACAACCAAGTCTTCAAGAAACTTGGAAAGCTAAGAGCTATGGCTATGGAGTTAGAGCTTGATGATGATATCTTCTTTGCAGACATAAGCAAACAGATCTCTCTTCTTATCATGGATGAAGATGAACACTTAAACCCTGTTTCTCTCTCTTCCTCCTCCTCCTCTCTCTCATTCCAGGTTTGTTCCTCTGTCCACACTCTTTCTCTCTCTCTTTCTCGCTCTCCATCTCTAACTGTGTTTCTTGAATCTTTCTGGAAACAGGGTTTGTTCAGAGGAGGTTACCAAACGGCTCCGTATATGTATCAACAAGAACAGAGCAAAGGGACTGGTGTGTTCATCCCTAAATCATCTCAGCCTAGAAGAAGACCTCATCATCATCAGAAGCAAGGTAGGTTTAGTTCCTTCAACGCCAAGCAACAACACTCTCTTCATCAAAACAGACAAGAGTATCAGCAGAGCCATGAGCACTCAAGAAGTACTGTCACCACTCACAACAACAACAAGAGCAACATGAACACTAATGTTCATGCTTCTATCCCAAGAAGAACCTACAGAGATGCATCATCTATCTACACTTGATTAAGTTAACAAATATTCTTCTGTGTGATCATTCATATAATTTCAATTAGATGCATAAGATTGATTTGTTTGTAAATTCAGCGAACAATAAAAGGATTGTTGTGTAAGGAAAGGTCTTGGAGATATGTTCCAAGTTTGTTCTTGCTTTTATGTAACTCTTTCTTGTCATTTTAGAGATGCACTAACTTTTCCTCCATTTGTAATCTTTTAAGGATTGAATTAAAATCAAATTTGTGCCTTTGTTTTTGGTTGATTACAACTAGATTGATAGAGGAATGTGTAAAGACAAGCCCCATGTGAGATTAGCAAATGTTCCATGTCTCTCTCTCTCTCTCTCTCCAATCAATCAGTATCTTTGGGACATCACAAGAGTTTGCCACACTGTCTGAATATAAAAAAAGTCAGATCTAAAGAGGTCCAAAAGACTGTCACAAGCTCACACACCTTCTGTCCTGCCACTGACATGCCAATCTCTCTCTCTTTTTATATGCCATTATTATAAAATCTCCTCATTCTTTTAGTATTTCTAATAATAGCAAAACTATATGATGACACTTTCCATTAAAATCAATTTTTTCATAATATTCATCACATATTCACATATTTTCTTTCTTTCTTCAGAAAAACTCAATGAAGAAAAAAAAAGAATGCAACGAAAAAACTATTCTACTTCTCAAACTTGAAAGTACCAAAGTTAAAATATATATAGACTATAAAACATGTAGTATTGATTAAGATTCCATTACAACATTTTGTTGTTTATTGCTCTAAATATTCATTTTGATTCATATGTCATATACTTTATATTATAAATGGCGGTGGATTCCTTAATATTTCGGTGATTTAATTATTATTTTCTTCTAATTTGTTTGTTATGGTCTTAATTTTCTTCGATGAGCCAATGACCACTGAGCTTGTGTGAAGTGACGAAGCGTTTCGTTTCAATGGCGGCAATTTCTTCTGTCTTCCTTTTCTTCATTCTCTTCCTCGTTTCTCTTCTCATCATCTTAGCTTTCATCGTACGGCCAAGATCCGTCAAAATTCCCATCAAGTCCCGTCACGGCGTCACGTCTTCATCACTGGTGGATCAAGCGGAATCGGTCTCGCTCTCGCTCACCGTGCCGTCTCCGAAGGCGCTAAAGTCTCCATCCTCGCTCGTTCATCTGAAAAGCTCGCCGAAGCCAAACGATCCATCCAGCTAGCTACCGGTGTCGAGGTCGCTACGTTCTCTGCCGACGTTCGCGATTACGACGCCGTTTCGAAGGCGGTTGACGAATCGGGACCGATCGATGTGTTGATTGTTAATCAAGGCGTGTTTATTGGGAAAGAGCTTGAGAAACAGAGTCCTGAGGAGGTTAAGTTCATGATTGATGTGAATCTCGTTGGGAGCTTTAATGTGATTAAGGCTGCTTTGCCTGCTATGAAAGCTAGGGAAGGTCGTGGTCCTGCTTCCATTTCTCTTGTATCCTCTCAAGCGGGTCAGGTTCGTCTCTCAATCACTCTAGTTTGGTAACTGTTGAATTAAGTTTGTGAAATTGGAAGCACTTGTGTAAGTAGAGAGATGCATTTTCTCGGATAGACTTTGTGATGTTTTTTATGTTTTCAGGCAGGTATCTATGGTTACACTGCATATTCAGCGAGCAAGTTTGGGCTTCAAGGTTTAGCGCAAGCATTGCAGCAAGAAGTTATTTCTGATGACATTCATGTGACTCTTTTGTTTCCTCCTGACACTGATACACCCGGGTTTGAAGAAGGTAAACAATGAATCTTTTACTTTTTTAGATAAATTTATTCATCATTGGTATGTAGGATATGACAAACTATACCACATGAAAACATAATCTAGGATCGTGGATTGACACTTAGACGCCTCATTATACTGAGTGGATGATTCAATTAACCTCCAGATTAGTTGCCAGTTCTGGTTCAGTAAGAGTTGTAGACTGACTACATAAAAGAGTATATGGTCCTGAGTTACAAAACACATTATAATCTACTATGTGACTGAAAGCTTGTATCATGAGGTGAAAGCTAGCAACAATATGTGTCTCTAGTAAGAATTAGTGTCTATGAGGAACTGCCAAAATGTTGCATCAATTACCACCAGTTAGTAAGCTAAACTAAAGTGATAATTTTATGGTGAGAGATTAATTGATTTTTTCTTGTATGGGATCTAAGAACTGAAGAAGAGGCCAGAGCTAACATCAATCATAGCCGCATCATCTGGCTCAATGAAAACCAATGAAGTAGCCAAGATATGTTTTGACGGAATCAAAGCTGGAAAATTCACAGTGACATGCCATTTTATAGGCTTCTTACTATCAATTGCTAGCACCGGCATGTCCCCTCAGGGATCGTTTTGGCTTGCTCTCATTGAAGTTATGTTCGGTGGTCTAATAAGACTAGCTAGCTTGGTTTTCCAGTGGCAATGGTACAAAACCATAGAGAAGTGGAGCCAAAAAAAACATGTAAATAGTAAGTTAGCTTAGGTTATCAAACTAATTGTTTTTTGGTATGAACCATTATTTCTTTGAAACAGGTTTATGATTTGTAGAGGGTTCATAAGAAAATATTCATGACATATACTATGGTCAGTCTGTTGTACAGTGAACAGGTTCATGTTTTTGTAGTCTACGACCATCAGAAATTTGCAAATCAGTCGCCAATAAAGTTGTGAAATTACTAAAAGCACTAAATTTGACAAGTAAAAGAGTTTTTATTTGTAAGTAAAAAAAAAAAAAAAATCGTTATCTTTCGTTTCCGATTTCACCTTTGCTCCGGAGGTGCTCAAACTCAAAAATGGCGTCCCAGCTTCTCAATGTTCCTCATCTCGCTTTCTTCCCTAAAATCTCACCCTTTCTTCATCATTCCCTCTTCTCAACACTAAAGCCCAGTTTCTTCCACTCTACTTCCACTAGCAGAGCTCTCAAATCCTCCTCCAACTCTCGGATTATCAACCTCCAAGCCGTCGCCGAAACTAGCTCTGAAATTGAAAGCAATAGTGCTACTGACACAGCTGCTTTGACTCTACGTCAAATCTGCCAAGGTTTTGTCCCCGAGCATATCTTGCACAGGCAAGCTTCGTTTCCCTACTTTTTTTCTTCCGGTGAAATTCGAAATTTGTGAAATGATTTTGAATTAACGGTGCAGAATGGAGGAGATTGGGTTTATCTCTCCCACGGATATTCAAAGAGAAGCTCTTCCTTCTTTGTTCACAGGCCGTGATTGCATACTCCATGCTCAAGTCCTTTTTCTAATCCATATCCTCAATTTATGTATCTCTCTTTATTGATTATCTGTTTTGGTTAAACATTGGTATGTTTTTGGGTAATCTTAGACAGGTTCAGGAAAGACATTGACTTACCTGTTACTCATATTCTCTCTTATTAATCCTCAACGATCTTCTGTGCAAGCTGTTATTGTTGTTCCCACTCGAGAGCTCGGTATGCAAGTAAGTGTACTAGTAGGCATTGATTTTGAATCTTCATTTGACTTGATCTTTTTTATGATATGATTGTAATTGATGCCTCTTTTTTGGGTTAAGGTTACAAAAGTTGCTCGAATGTTGGCTGCAAAATCGGAGATTGATGTGAAAGGATGTACAGTAATGGCTCTCTTAGATGGAGGGACGCTAAGAAGGCACAAAAGCTGGCTAAAGGTTGGATTTGGATAGATTAGGTTACTCAAAAGCGTTTTTGAACGATTTTAGTCATTTTTTCTTGTGATTTAGTCAGCAAGTTTAACTCTCTTTTTTCAGGCTGAGCCACCAGCAATTTTGGTCGCTACGGTAGCAAGTTTGTGTCACATGCTAGAAAAACACATATTTAGACTTGACTCAGTGAAAGTTCTTGTTGTAGATGAGGTAAAAACTTTCTCAACTTTCAGCTTATTCTACATAAAAAATGAGTGAGGCTGTTCTGCATATTGAACATCATGCTCGGAACATTTTCTCACCCAGGAGTACATTTGAATGGTCACTTGATAGGTTGATTTCTTATTCTACTCATCAAAACAAGTTGGTTCGGTGCGGAAGCTTTTGACATCATTTTCTTCATGCGATAAACGTCAGACAGTTTTTGCTAGTGCTTCCATACCCCAGCATAAACATTTTGTGCATGACTGTATACAGCAAAAGTGGACAAAGGTTAGCTTATGAATGATTCTGTTGCTGTCAACTATGTTCAGGATTTGGTTTATGAACCAAATGATTTGTGCTGCTGTAGATACACTACCCAACTCTACACCCGGCAATATAACAAAATTACATTTCTGAACCAAATGACTTCAATTGTCTTTTTCTATATATATCTCTGCAGAGGGATGTTGTCCATGTTCATGTTAGCGCAATCATGCCCATGCCTTTGTGCCTTCTTCACAGATTTGTTGTAAGACATAACTTGTTCCACTTCTTTTTCATGATATGCATCAGTTAGTACATCTAATCTCTACTTTGGCAGATGTGTGAGAAGACAAAAAAGCATCAAGTACTGCTTGCCTTGTTAGAGTCTGATACACCTGAATCAGCTATCATTTTTGTCGGGGAGCAGGTATTGGAAACCTCTATTTCCCTTTTTACTTCAACTTAATCTAACCATTTAACACTATTTTCTTATTCTTCTTTTCAGTCTGAGAAGTCAAAAAAGGCTGGAAATGATCCATCTACAACTCTACTAATGGAATTCCTTAAAACTTCATATAAAGGCTCGCTGGAGATCCTCTTACTAGAGGGGGACATGAATTTCAATTCACGAGCAGCTTCACTAACAGTACGTGCTTCTATTGTCTGCAGATAATTATCCTAGATGCTTACTTTTTTATTACTAACCTCCATGATTTCCAATAGGAAATCAGGCAAGGAGGAGGGTTTCTTCTTGTTTCTACTGATATTGCAGCTAGAGGGATTGATCTACCAGAAACAACTCATATCTTCAACTTTGATCTCCCACAAACGGTTACAGATTATCTGCACCGAGCTGGAAGAGCTGGTCGAAAACCCTTTTCTGACAGGAAGTGCATTGTTGCCAATCTGATCACGTCGGAGGAGAGATTTGTCTTGCAAAGATACGAAAATGAACTTATGTTCAGCTGCGAGGAACTGATGTTGTAGGTACAGTCTTACTTATCCAGTACATAAAATTTTCATATTCGCCTTTGTTTCCTCAATTTTTTTTACACCATCAGCGCTCCTAATGTAACTAACTAATTACATGGGAAGAGTATATGAGCAGTGTCATCAATCATTATCGAATAAAGTTCTTTAATAATTTAGTTTTTGACTTTTACGCTCTGCATTCTTAGTTCTCACAATCAAAACTTAAAAGTATCATATCACAATTCCATCTTTAATTACTGAATTCTTCAAGATTACTGTAATGCCAGATCTGATGTAAAATCCATCGGATGACCTATCTGCTTCTTGTATTCCCTGCTAATCATCACATTAGTGGAAAGAGATATGCAAAAGAAGAATTGTATGTCTGATGGGTTCATTGTTTTTTCTTAAACAAAAGAAAAATTTACCTCCGAGTTTGCGATTATTACATTCTTCCCGACTCTAGCATTCTTGTCTATTATGCATTCTCTGTAGGGAAAAGGAGAAGGCAGGAAGAAAGGAATGAGGAAACTTCACAAATGAGAACTGTTTCTAAGGTAAATTATGTGAAGTTGATAGTTAGTCTTACTTGATTTTTGTGTTCTCTCCGATTCCAATGGGAACTTTTCCCTCAGCAAGTAGTGATGCAACTTCTGCTTCAGTTTCGTAGTAATCTGCCCCAAGCATCACAGTGTCCTAGAAGTTCCATAGATTTAGATCATCATACAATCTTAGAGTCTAGTCTTTTCTTTATGATATAGAAAGTGCCTACCTTCAAATGAACATTACTGCCTACTCTTGATCTAATTCCCACAATACTGTGCTCAATCAAGCAGTTGGTTAAGAAGCTTCCATGAGAAATGATCGAATCAACAAGCTTCAAATGTAATGAACTTAAGAGTTAATCCTGAAGAAAGTGGACCAAAACCGAAATACATAAAAGTAGAAGGAAATATCATGGCTGGTTTTACTTACCTTAGAGTTGTCTATTTTTGATGGTGGCAGGTTTCTCCTTGATGTATAAATTGGTTTCGCCGCGTCGTAGAAACTAAATGCCCCGGGCTAAAAGGTGTAGACGTAAGTGATATTAATAAAACAAGTATATAGATTGTGAACAATATCTTGGAAAATAGAGTTGTCTTGGAGAATATTTGTCTTTACATGCTCAGTGAGGGCGAGGTTGGCCTCAAAGAAAGATCTTATCGTTCCTATATCTTCCCAGTAGTCATTAAAGAGATAAGCCTGCTCAAAAGATCTTGTTATCATCCCTTGATATAACATTGGACGTAAATGTGTGCTTAATCTGAATGTTACTTACATTCACATAGAATTCTTTAGCTGAGAAGGGTATAATCTCTGAACCAAAGTCGTTTGCTGTGGGGAAACGCCATCTGGTTTAAAAAACAGTTGCAAGATATGATATTTGTTTTGCAGTGTTCTAAGAAAGCAGGGACAGAATATAGAACTAAAGGTGTTACCTCAAGAGATTCAACAGTATTTCTTTCTTGAAAACATAAACTCCCATGGACGCTATGTATGGTTTCTTTTCAGCTTCCTCCTTGGAAAGTCCTAAAATAGTTGTGTCTACTGCCTAAGGATACCCTGAGGTTAGAATAATCTTCAGGTTTTGTTCCGAAATGATATTCGAAGTTTTCAACATACCATTGCTTTCAGTTCGTCTCCTTTAGGTTTTTCACTGAAAGAGATAACTCTTCCTTTGTCATCTATCTTCATAAGCCCAAAATCTGAGGCACGTCTACCATGTAACACAGAAAGAGACTATAAGAAATCATGATCTTCGATTCAGCAGAACAAGTTGGGGAAAAAAATTGTAAGGATCTATTTACTCTTTTGCATTCACCTGTCATCTATTGGTATGCAGGAAATGCTTATATCCGCGCCACTCTGCCTATGATCCTGCAGATTGAAGTTCATGGCATGAGTCTCCGAGAGTAACTGACTCTTGATGAAGGACATGGGCTCAAGTAACTTTTTCTCACCTGTACAAAATCCATATAATCCATCCTGTAGAGGTGATCTCCAGAAAGGATCAATACATCCTCTATGTCCTTGCTTCTTGCATCCTATGAAAAGAATTGTTGGACCGCTTGTTTTTGATGTGATGATAAGCTATTTAAAGTCTGATTTCTACCTCGAAAAGCCAATGGAATTGCCGAACCGCATCTGCTGTACCTTGGAACCACCTGTTACCAGATTCTCCTGGCGTTTGAGTGGCCGCAAGAACCTGAAAATTTTCAAACAATTGCCTCAGATGCATCAAACCAGTTTGGCTCGTAACGGATGATGAAGACAGAATATCAAACCTCAACATAGCCATCTCCAAATCCAACTCCATTGGAGTTGTAAGCACGGGCTAAATGCCTGTTCAATGATGCTGAGTTATATTGTGTGAGTATGTAGACTTTGTTGATTCCGCTGTTAATACAATTGCTCATTGGTACATCTATCAACCTATAGGCTCCCCCGATAGGAACCTGCAATACACGTATATTCCTGATTAATTATACTTTGTGATGCAGGAAATTCAGCAATATTGGAAACTTTGCAACAGATAAGCAACTAACAGCAGGCTTGGCGCGGCGTTTCGTGAGAGGAAAGAGACGAGTTCCTGCTCCACCACCAAGAATAATGGAAGCAACTGTCCTTGAATCCCTTTTCTCAGTCTCAAGTTCTTGTACCTGGAGGTGGTTGACATAAACAAATGCAGTGGCAGGGCACTTTTGATTAGCTTGAAGATCGAAGAAGAAGATTAAGAATAAGAAGCAGAACCAAAAAAAGGTTGAAACTTCTAACCTTACTCTCTCCAGCTACACTATTTAGAGACATTGAGATTTTCTTTTGAGAGAAGTTAGTAGAAGATCGAAGACGAATGTTTGGAAGCTGAGCCAAGTTGAGCTTCTTCCCCATGAGCTCACCATTGCAGAAGCTGCCAAGCTTAATGTGCCTAGTCAAACCCGTGGAGCTACTACGTATGCAGCTCGGGGCAGAAAAGGAGATTCTGCAGTCAGCAGAGACCACCATTTTTGCAGGAAAGATTGTCTCTTGAAGGGTTTGAAGAGAGGGGAAGATAAAAGAGAAGAGAAGAGAGTTGCATGGAGTTGCATTTTAGTTGATTTTTGGAAGGATTTGGTCCACCCTATCTTCATCAAGTCACATACACCACCAGTTTCTTTTTATTTTGTATTCAGATTTTAAGACATTGCTCTTTTGTCTTGACCTGTTTTGCAATGGCATATTCTACTAAAGACTTATATGTCAAGAAAATTCAAAATTGAAAGATATTTTTTTCTTAGAATATACTTTCGCAATTTAGTTTCTTATATCATGCCAACAAGATGCCAACAACATGCCATGCAAATATAATTAATGGAGATGGTGTAAGAAAGAAAAAAATTTCAAGTTTTTTTGCTGAATTTAATTTGTATTTCTGAAAAATAAATAACTATGAATAAATGTTTGTTAAATTCAACTAATTGTGTATGGCTGTGAGAGAAAAAAAATGGTAGAACTTCTATCCCTATCAAATGGTCATAATTTCCCTTTTAAATTTGAGTGAAGAAAAAAATATCCCATTAAAACGACATAATGATTGAGTTATTTTTGTCTGCGAGGCAATGGATAAGAAAAACTAAACCGAAGCAACGACTTTGAAGAGTCAGTCAATGGGAAGGAACTAAGAAATCTCTCATAAATAATAGAGAGAAGAAGAGAAAAGATTCATCACCACCAAAAAATCATCAAAGAAGTAAAGAAGAAGAACCTCTGCATCGATGGCGATTTCCAAGCTCCATCTTCTCTTTCTTCTCTCAGTCTTTCTCTCCCTTCATCGTCCTGTTCTTTCCAACACCGGTAACTCTCCCATTTCTTTCAAGATCTTCTTGATTTTTCAATTTATGGTTTCTTGATCTACATCTTTATCTGAAAAGTTGGGTTTTTTTTCTTTTTTTTCGGTGTTCTGTTTTTGAAATCCACAGATGGAGAAAAACTTCTTTTTACAGTATTCAACCAATACAGAACATCAGTAAACCTCAGAACCTTAACAGAGAACAAAAACGCAGAATGTCTAGCAGAAGAAATCGCAGACCAATTAAAGAACCAACCCTGCACAAACACCACTGGCTCAGCTTCAGTCCCTGGAACAGATCCTGGAATCCCAAATTTCCCTAACCTCCTCGCTAAGTGCCGCCTCAACACAAACGTAACCAGAGACGGTTCGATAATGCAAGTTTGTGCTCCTAAGCATGATACGACCCCTGACTTGAGCAGTTTCGGCGTTGTCTTACTTAAGAACTTGAATGAGTCTAAGTTCACTGGAGTTGGTATTGGTTCTGATGATATTTGGCTTGTTGTCGTCCTCACTACAAACACACCAGCGGGTAGCTATTCTCTGGCCACTAACTCAGGAGCTTTGTCATTCGGAGTTAATGGCCTTGTTTCTTCAAGTTTCATGTTTCTTCTCTTTTGTTTCTTCATGTTTTGAGTCCCATTTTTGGTGTTTTTTTCATGTTGTTAAGTCACCACGTTGTCTTTGTTTCTTAATATGTTGTTATTATGGTGAAAAATTTAATAAATTCGTATGGCAATAAATTAAAGAGAAGAACAAAATTGGAGCAAGTAGCCTTTCTTAAAGTTTCCTCTTACTAATTGTGATTTTATCAAAGAGAAGAGAGTTGCGCATGGACCATGGAGTTACATTTTAGTTGATTCTTGCAAGGATTTGGTCCACGCTATCAGATTTTTATTTTATATTCAGATTTTAAGAGATTGCTCTATTGTCTTGATCTGTCTTGCAATGGCATATTCTACTCTACTGGAGGAGAGACTTATGTCAAGAAAAAACCAAAATTGCCGGAGAAGGTAGTGTAAACATCTTTTTCCTTGGAATATAATATCGCAATGTTGACCAAAAAAAAAATACATAATTCGCAATTTAGTTTCTTATCTCATGCCATGCAAATAATGGAGATGACGTAAGAAAAGAAAAGAAAAAACAAGTTTTTGCTGAATTTATTAGTATTTCTGAAATAATAAAATAAACGAAGAATAAACGTTTGTTGAATTCAACTAATTGTATATTTATTGTGAAAAAAAATAAATAACTGGTAGAACTTCTATCCATATCAAATCAAGTATAATTAAATGGTCATAATTTCCCTCTTAAATTTGAGAGAAGAAAAAAAAACATCACATTAAAACGACATTTTGGTAAGTTAGTTAATTATCTACGTGGCATCAAATCGAGTGGACAAGAACTACTAATAATAAGAAGAAAAAAAACAAAGCAAAGGACTTTGAAGAGTCAAAGCGAAACAACAAAAAAATCTCATAAATAATCGAGAGAAAACAGAGAAAAGATTCATCATCACCAAAAAATCATCAAAGAAGTAACTCTGCATCAATGGCGATTTCCAAGCTCCATCTACTCTTCATTCTCTCAGTCTTTCTCTCCTTTCATCGTCTTGTTCTTTCCGACACCGCCGGTAACTCTCTCATTTCCCGTCATGATCTTCTTGATTTTAAAATTTAGGTTTCTTGAAACTCTGTCGATCTTGATTTTGACTTAGATCTGGTCTTAAAATCGTCAAATCTGTTTGATTCAAGCTTAGATCTCTATCAATGGCGATTACATTGTTTACTAAATTATACTTTGGATCAAGATTTATCAACTTTGTGGGACATTGCTTCACCTGAAAAATTGTGTGTTCTGTTTTTTTGGATATCCACAGATGAAGAAGATGTTCTTCGTACAGGCATCAACAATTACAGAGCAGGACTAAACCTAACAACCTTAATACATAACGAAAACGCAGAATGTCTTGCAGACGAAATCGCAGACCAATTCAAAAACCAACCTTGCACAAACACCACTGGCTCATTCTCAGTTCCTGGAACCCAACCTGGATTCCCAAACTTACCTAAGCTCCTCTCTAAATGCCGCCTCAACCCTACCGTAACTAGAGACGGTGCGATTTTGCCAGCTTGTGTTCCCAACCTTGATCCAAGTCTTGTCTTGACCAATTTCACACTGTCTCAGTACTCCAAAGACCTGAATGATTCTAAGTTCACTGGAATTGGTATTGGTTCTGATGATAACTGGATTGTTGTCGTTCTCACTACTAGCACACCGGAGGGTAGCTATTCTCCGGCCTCTAACTCGGGAGCTTTCTCGTTCGGAGTTAATGGCCTTGTTTCTTCGAGTTTGATGTTTCTTCTCTTTTGTTTCTTCATGTTTTGAGTCCCATTTTTGGGTTTTTTTTTTCCATATTTAAACGAGCTCATTGTCTTTGTTTCTTATTATGTTGTTATTATGTGGTGATTTGTATGAATTCATAAGGCATTAAAGAGAAGATTAATATTATCATTAAGTTTCTTCTTCTTTTAAACTTAGTTTGTTCGCAAATGTATCATCTAAAAGATTCTAAACAAACAAGGATTTAGTCGAGCTTTCTCTTCTTGAACCCCAATTTTTAAAGGAAATGACATTTTTGGTAGATTATTAACGTCGTTTGTAAGGAGCTCATTATCAAAACTAGTATATTTCATGTATAAGTGTGCATAGATAAACATAAATATTTTTGGTTCTAAACTACAAAGATTTTCTATACTGTACTTGATTTAGCCGATTGAGATCATTTTTATTTTATTTTTAATAAAAAAACATTAAAAGCATAGAATAGTTTTAAATCTACATATTGAAAGATTGATTTCTTGTCTAAGCCCCAGCTGAAGCCAAACAAACCGAGACGTGAAACGGTAAAAGGAGCATGCGGGTTTGTTTCAGTAGACTGACGGCACAAATAATCTAATGTGAACATAGGCCCCGTATATTATAAAAACGAAGAAATAAGCCCACTAATTTGGCCCATTAATGAAGATTAAAAGTGTAAGACATTTATTTTTTTTTGTAAGATAAAAGTGCAAGACATTTTGTCGGTAAAGTGTTCAATCTTTCAACTTTCAAGTTTTGAAATCCACATCATACTTCACACTTCACAGAATCACAGACAAGGTGATTGATTGGTTGAGTAGCTTTTAACATTTTTGAATCATTTACAGTGTGCTTAGAGATTCCTTTTTTCTAATCATATTCCAACTTTTTTAATACGCGGTTTTCATTTTATTTTACAGAATTCATATCTAAGTCAATTGTTTTTTTTTTTTAATGTAACATTCATATATATGAAAAAAATAATGTTGAGATATATTTATTTATTTGCTTTTATGAACTAGTATAATATTTTTGTAATTTTATCAAGTGTAGGTTGGTCAATTATCGTTTTTACTGTTTACCGGCCCACATTCAGTAGAGTCTTTAGTCAACATTATGATACATTTCTTACCAAAAAAAAAAAAAAAAAAGGAAAATAAACATAACAAGAAAGCACATGTAAGAGTAAAACCATATTGACACTTATCATAGTGCAGTTTGGTTGGTTGGTGAATGGACGTGAAAGAAAGAAAAAAAACAAAGCTGTAAAATAGAAACAAGAATATCTTTCTCACTTTTGAAATCTTGATTTTGTCTCGATTTCTATAATCTATCTTTTAGATTTTGTGCCCTCCCTTTATAATTGTGTGTTCTAAGTGTGAGGGAGCGTTTTGATTGAGGGACTTGACTATTTTTCGGACACGACGCTTAAAGAAAAAAAGAAGAAGACAAGTGAATTTTGCGTTTAGGATACGTCTTCGAAACGTCACTTTCTTTTCACTATCAAACAATGAAGTTAATGATCTCTCATATAAATGACTGAAATATCATAGAGATTGGGGAGAGAATCGTATCTACTTTTTCTTTCTCTTCCTTTATTAGATTTTTTTTTAACTGTTTTCTCTATCTTTAGCAAGAAACTAAATTGAAAAGAAAAAATCTTAGAGTATATATAGTAAATTTCCCATGATTCCCTCGTTTAGTCAATTAAGTGTATATAGTAAATTTCCCATTATATTGTATACTTGTATATAATAGTCTCATTTGATATATAATTTAAGTGATACTCCCTCCGTTTCGTTTTAGTTGTCGTTTAAGGTTTTCGCACACAAATTAAAAAAATCATTAAATTTTTTGTTTTACCCTTTATTAATATATTTTATAATTTTTTTATTGGTCAAAACATTAAAACATTAATGACAAAACATGAATTTTCACCAAACATTTGCATTGAAAACCTAAAACGACAACTATTATGAAACAAAATTTTAATCCTAAAACGACAACTAAATTGAAACGGAGGGAGTATCAACTTTAGTTGAGTCAATGAGTTAGTATATATTTATGTGGAGAAACTATATTTATTAGAGATAACAGACGCAACTTCAACAGGACACATTCATTTTATTTAATAATGTTGCAACAATTTTCACATCGATCGAGTTACACAGGACAAGTTATTTAAACCTGAAACGTGAAGTGTGGTATCCAAGAATAGCTAGTATTCAAAGAACATGCATGAAAGGGTTCTAACTCTAAGAACTAATGAATACAGCTGATAACTAAAACTATTATGGACCACTCGTTACTCAATCTTAATCCACTATAGAAAAGAAAACGCTCGATCTTTTGTTCTGGTTGGCTCCTACATACACGGATTTTACAGTGCATTATCCAAATATTTCTGAAACTCAAAGAATAAACTTTACAAAAAAAAAGGAAGAAGAAAAGGCTGTGCGTTGTGAATGTGATGAATGACTTTGTTATATTCGTGTCCAAGAATTATAATTTTTTTGACATTTTGAACCTCTTCAATTATTATTTATATTCTTCTCTCTCGAATTATTATCAAGAAATAATATGTGTGTCAGTGCATGTGTGTATTCAAACGAAGTCGATCGTTTTTGTGATACACTTATTTTTATAGGGCTAAGTGTGGCAACTACTAGGGTTTGATCGTGTCAATAAAGCAAAAAAGAAAAAGAAAAATTATAAAATTAAATACTTAAAAACATTATTAATATCCACGTTACAATTGAAACGCATAAATCTCCTCAGAGTGCGTCTCCCACCGACGCATTTATTCCTAATCAGTTAGATACTGAGCTAGTGGTATTCGAAGGGTTTCAAGTTTTCCTATCATGATTATCGATCAGTTTCAGACTTTCAGTCTTACTTTCTTTCTTTTAAGAGTGTTTGTGTGTATTTTACCAAAAAAAGAAGAGTGTTTGTGTGTTTAATCCTTGACGATTTGTTGTTTAACCCTTTACGGGTTGTGTTACCTTAATGAATTTATATTTACTTATGATTGGGTTAATCAGCTTGAATGGTACTTGTAAGTTGGCAGAGAAAAAGAATCTAGAATATATATTTTAGGGCAGGAGCAAATCCACCAATAGAGTACCAGCTAGGATTTGGGTTTGTCGCCATGTTGACCACTACTCACGATTCACGGATCCATCCACACCCGCCAAATTATCATGTCCAATTGTACAATTTTTTTTATGTTTTTCGATTGGAATTTTTTTTTTCCTAACATAAGTTGCAAATTTCTAGAAAGAATTGTATGTATTTACTATTTAGTACTAGTTAATAAAAAGGTTATTTTATGTTTTAAAAATTGAATGTTTTAGAGTTTTTGTTTTGTTTCAAAATATATGATGCTTTACAATTTGTTTGTATTATGCAGTATTTTTTTTAATTGGTTGATTAGTTTAAATAAATTTTCTTAATATATGTGTTTTTAACCAAAACATCATATAATTTGAAACATAAAAATTATGTATTTAGTTACCAAGAAGCCATAATATATTTATTTTTTATTAACCACACATCAATTAAAATATTGATGCATGATTGGTAACCCAATATGGAATGAAAGAGTTTAAAAATTCAGTTTAAAAATAATAATTTAGAAGCGATAATATTTAATTTAAGTATACATGTTATTCATAATGCTTTTCATATTTTCTTTATTACTCAACATAATTTGGTGATGCAATCAAATTCACAAGTTAATTGGTTAATTATTCGGTCAAAGAGAGCGACAGCATAAAGAATCTAAAGGAAGCCCACATTCAAAGAACAAAAAAGTTTTAATTAAAATAAAATACTTTCAATTTTTTTGCTTAATAACTAAAATTTATGAAAATATGTATATGTCTAGCCAAAAAAAATAAGGGCAAAAGGGTGACGTCATGTGACGTTTGACCGTTTGTGGATAGAATTGAAAGACGACGCCCATGGTCGTAGTAGTATATATCAGACGTCCACATACTTGAAATCACTCACCAATCTTTTTGCTCTGCTTAGCCACAAATAAACTAATTGCCACTTTTGAACCTAAATGCTCTCACAACATTTTCAGATTAAATATAAAAATTTTAACTTATTTGAAGCACATCACAAAGACATTGCGTCATAAATCATGTAGAGGTCAAGTTGGTGGGGGCTATACTGAATTACATAGATTGAAAAAAAAAACAAATCGGTCATTTTTGTTCAAAAATATATGAACATCAACACGTACTCTAGATTTATTGAATCATCGGATCTTTAGACCGGCTTCTATCAAAGATGACATAAAGAAAATACGAAGGCGTTCAACAATACAACATTATTGGTGTCCCCTATATTACATGTCAAGTCCCTATATTATCAGAAATGGAAGACACACACTTCAGAACAGTCGAGGGCAAAATGAATGGTACTTAATTTCAAGGTCTCAAAGATCTAAAACTCCATCGATTTGACATGCTTTGCCTAGGATCAGCTTGTCTTCATCAGTCTCGATTAAGTTTGGGACACTAAGTTATATGTTTGCTATTCATTCAGACATTCGGAATCTAAAACCCACAAAGGATCGGCTTCCAAGTTGGGGGATTAATACCCATTGATCCCAAATGCTTTAATTTTGTTGCAGCTCTGAAAATAAACACATGAATCATTAAAAAAAAGAGAGATTGTATATATTAGTGTTAACGAATATGGTTGTAGTCTGGTGAACACTAGTGGTTCAATTGTTCATGAGTTTTGGAAGGTTGTTCATATTAATTCATTGAACAAAAAAAGTTCATATTAACTTAAGTTCTCATTTTAACCAAAAAATATATATATATTAAAAAAAAACAAATAACATATGTTGGTGCAATTATTTGTTTCGATCGGGTCTTGATCGTTACTTCATTAAATTATACTACATAAACTAGCAATAAATCAAGAGTATTGACATGATACCATTTTAAAAATTGCTATGTCAAAAATTAATAAATTTCAACATGCAATAATACTCTTTGACAAAATAAAAACATGCAATAATACCGAAATGGATAGACGCGGATCCCATGCAGACTACTTTGGAAGAAAAGGAACGTGGAAAAGGAGCTTTTATACACCAACAGGCACTCACAGACTCACAGTAATTATAAATTAGTTGTTAACAATAACCAAAAAAGACAAAACCTTACCATAAAGAGTTTCAAAGCGCAGGCCAATGGAGTTTCACGTGTCGCTCACTACATTTCTTATTATTATTATATTCCATATAAAGAGAAACCGAGTGGACACTTGCACTATATTATTGCAATTTAGTAATAATTTAATTTGGAGAACTACCTTCTAATTTATTCTATCTCACTATCTACAAATTATGAAATAAATAATAATTTCATATATACGTTTTTGGATACATATATAGTTGCATGCCATTAATATTAAATACTCTATATATCTCAACTCTCAAGTAGTCATTATATAAAAAGGTGAATCTTTTAATCACGATGTAGGAGTATTAATTTGTTTAAACCACATGCAATTAAAGAAAAAGTATAATTAATTAAAAATGTTTCTAACCAAACGCCGAACACATCCGCCGTCCGTACACGGAAAGCCTTTTGATTTGGCGGAGAGATGCGGGGTTGTGATGACGTCGTTATTGTACGGATCAACCTAGTTTCTTCCCTTTTTTTTTGATAAAAAAAAATGTTCATACTTATTACATTATAATATAATTGATCATGTTTGAGAGAATATTGACGTTAAAAATGCTTGCTAAACTTTATTATGTTTTTTTAATAATATAAATGCGTCTATTTTAATGCAAACAAATTATATGCTTTTTGATTTATCTTTTTCAGTTTTTTTTTTTCAATTGTCTTTTGCCTCTCTGCTTTCCGAATTTTTCAAATCTTTAAGCAATGACCAAACAATTAACTTTGATTTTATAACTAAAAAGTGACTTTTGTATAATTTGATCCGTGTTTCATTATATTATTTTCTAACAACAAATTATTATATATAGGGATACCGGCCTACGATCCTATGTATTTAGCCGATTAATTCTTTATTACACAAACTTTTGATCTTTAACACTAAAACCAAGAAAATAACATTAAAGCCAAAAATTTATTACACAAACTTTTGATCTTTAACACTAAAACCAAGAAAATAACATTAAAGCCAAAAAAGAAGAAGTTTTGGGTCATACTATTTGATTGAGCTCATTAATTCTCTGTTGGGGAAGATGGATTTATAATTATATGCTTGAGAGCTTAATTATGTTTTTAATTTGTTGTTGTTGTTGTTGCTATCAAAGAGAAATCTAAATGCATATCTATACTCTTTTTATCATAGAACTTTAAATGTGAAGAATACTAATCATAATAAAGCATTGAAATTTTTAGAAGATTCTTCTTCAATTGTGGAGCTTCCTATATCACAAGTTGTTGAAATCGATCCTACTTGTTCATCATATAATATACATGCAATTAATTCGATTTGATTTGCTGGAAGATGAATTGGCATGATAATAAAAGGAAGCTTCTCGTCCTAACGAAGTTGAGGTTGCCACTAATTTCGAACCACTGATCAGGGAATCTTTCTTACCAAACTAGATTAACTGCCGACCAGACCACAAGCATATTCCCTCTGCCCCATTTCTTTCAATTATTTTATCATTTTTATTTGAAGTTAATTGAATCTACTTTTGAGTTTTTTTCCCCGAGTTAGGAAACGCGATATTTCTATTAAAAAAAAAATAAACACATCGGGAAAAAAAATTGTGAAATTGTAAATACAGAGCAGACTAAGAAGTTTCGCTCTTTTAGGAAGTAGCAACGCAGAAAGATTCCCAATTTAGCAATCCTCTGTTTTCCCGGTCGCCTTGAACACATCTTCTTGACATCTGAACATTCTCAATGCCTATAACTTCATCATCATCCTCTTCTTCGTCTTCCTCCTCCTCCTCGTATTCTTCGGTTTCTTCAGGCTCAATCGTCTCTTCTTCGTTCTCTACAAACTCATCTGAGTCTTTCAAGATAGAAAGACGGAGACGACCATTGCTACGGTCAGCTTGAAAGCACCCGTTACGAGGCGGTGCCTTTGTGGCGGTCATGACCAATCTTCCGTCTTCACGGTGTGGTCTCATTTGAATGCATTGAAACCCTCTCATCGTGGTCAAAGGAGGTGGGAGATCACTAGGGCTCAAATTCCTTTTCCTACTTTTTACCGTTCTTGTCTCCGTTGTTGTTTCCCCGAGATTCTTGGTCTGCACGTCAAGCGAGAACAAATCATCAATGTCTGTAACATCAGAACCAGATTCGCTTCCGAGATTCTCAGTGCACAATGCTAAGCTCTGGTCGCTTAGAGCTCTACAAGAGGACGGGCGTTGAACATAAGTCTTCTCTTTCTCAGAGCTTGTCGTCTTTGTGGAAGAGGAGGAGGAGCCAGAGGATAAGGACTGGAGAGAGCTCCAGCCACTCAAGTCAGGGCCCGAGGAAGCAGCAGCTTTGTCATCGTTACAGTTTCGGGTGTCCTCTTCATTAGAGGAGTCAAGGAAATGAGACTTGAGAGCTAAACCAAAGGGTTGAGAAAAGTGAGGATTTGGTGAAGATAGCCTAAGCCTTAAAGCCCTAGGCTCATTAAGCTGAGACTGAAACCCTTGTTGATACACAACAGTTCCCATAGTTTAAAGAGGATAAAGAAATTCTGTTAAGAGAGAGAGAGAGCAAAGACTTGTGAGATATGAAACTAAAGAAGCAGAGAGATGTTTTTGGAAATAAGCATGAAGGATAATGAGAGGGAGGTGATGCCAATTTGTAGTGTCACAAAAAGTGAATAAAAATAAATAAAGAAAATAAAGAGAAAGAGAAGTGACTGTGCAATGTGCAGAGACTAGAGAGGTGGGTAAGAGAGCTTTTCCACACCACCACTTGAATAATGCAAAACTTTTATATTTATTTATTTGATTATGCCACACAAATGCAGATAAGAATAATAACAAAGAGAGAGTCACTGTAGTATAGTGCACATGAATAAAATTGAAAAACTCTTCCTATAATCTTTTTTACTGTTACAAAAGAAAAAAAATCTGATTTGTTTGTTAGTTAATAGGAAAAGATTTTGGAAAGCATAGACTATACAGAAAACTTGGTTAATCATCGTTTTTGACTCATTTGGCAAAAAAATATAAAGACTGAATTATTCAGCAGCCAAGGAACTTTCGACCCTCATGTGATCTGGGACTGAAAGAGACTACCCACAAAAAGAAAAAACAGAGAGAAAAATAAAGTTCCTAACGAAAAACTAAAATTTTCAAATGAGGTTTTACTAAGAAGAGTAAAATTTTGTATCTTATAAGGTAATAACAATAACAACAATTTAACATCTGAATGAAAAAAGCAAAATCAAACGCATACGGAAAAAAAAAACATACGGCCATTTACAGAGAGACACGTAATGGAAGTACCATGTCAAAAAGTTACAGACAAGTTTTGTTCGTTCTTTATATTTTAATTTTACCTTCCAAAAAAGACAAACAATCCAACAAAAGTTATGAAAGCTCTCAAATTTGGTTTCCCTAATAGTGCTATGATTATGAAAACGATTGTTTGTTTTTCTCTCTAATAGTAGTCTCCGTTTCACATAATTTAAAGCAAAGAGTCGTGTGTCACACATAGGCATGGATGGTCAAAACCTATGTCGGGTAATTCTTAGACCCGATTTAAACAACATGATAACAACAGCCCACTAATTTTGAAATCTATATCCCATCTAGCTACCAGAAAGAAAATAAAAATGATTATTGGCACTAATCAAGGAATCAACATAAAATGAGTCTCCATGCAAATGTTTAGAAAAGAATGGTCACAAGTTGAAGAAATTGTCATGTATCAAGAAACCACGACATGAAGAAAAAAAGAAAAGAAAGTGTGCCGAAAATACACTGACCTCAATTACGCTGTATTTGAATGCAAGGAAGCCAAACACAAATTTCCGCCCACTTATTACACTGACCTAAAAATGAAAGAAAAAATTAGTTTTTAATTAATGTGAACAGAAATAATTAAAAGAAACACATCAAATCAAAGTGACCAAGGTTTTGATTAAATGAAATAGAATTAAGGTTTAGTGACAAATAAGAAGAAACTTCCTATGTTTCAACATCAAAAACTTTTCTCTAACTCTGGAAAATATTGGCTTAAGTTAACATCAAACCTTGTCCTTTGAATCTAACCAACAGTAAGCTGCTTTTTTCAGAAATTTGAATTTGAGATTAAACTTTCAAGATTTGCCCATGTGTTACCCTAAAGAAACCGTACGGAACAGCTTAAGAAGACAGAGTTTAAGATTCATTTAAGTCGTCAGCAAGAACCAAGTGATTCCCCACTAAAACACTTTTCTTTCTTCTGTCTCTCTGTTAAATCAGATGCTTACGTACTTAACCCCATTCTAAACAACAAAAGACACTTTTATTTCCACAGTAAACAAATGCCCTAGGGTCACTGACTTTTGCTTAACTCTAAGGCTTGTGGATTTATTATTATATAAACTAATGTAACCTAGTACTCTTCTCTCTAAACAAAGGAAAGCTAGAATGCGTGAGCTGTTCCTATTCCAAAGAGGGTGGGGGAGAGATTTGTGAGATCTTCCTGGGTTTCCTGTAACAGAAAAAAGCCATCTCAGTTTTGTACTTGTGTCATAATAAAAGAATGTGTAGCTACTACCATTGATGAACTGTGAGCATGCATAATGCTAGCTTGTGTGCTGTATAACTCTATGATCTACTTTAATCACCTATTCCGTGTCTTTTCGAGGTTTATTGCGACATGAACAAAGCAAGTGGATTTTAGTTTATGTTTTCAAAAGATTCTGTGGTCATTAAGTCTTAAAGGATTTGGTACAAAGATACCTTTGATTATATATTATAACAACAAAGGAAAACCACTCTTACTGTTGTCAGATTAATTGTTTCCAATATGCAATATCAGTACTCAGCTTCTATAACAAGGAGCATCCTACTATATATTCCCGGTTGTTGATCAAGCATTACTTAGTCCACTAGAAGAGGCAAATCAAGATTTGTTTTTTTTTTCATTTGAATTTACCAAGAACATGCACAAATGCAATAGAGAACAGAAATGTGATCAATACCTGTTATCAAGAACCTGTGTTTTATGGAAATAGATCTAGCCAAGATACTTTTCAATTTTCGCTATATAACTCAGTAATCCGTAATTTCGCAATCAATGCTGTGCTATTAATTATGTTACTATCCATAAAACTATGTTGGTTTTTCTGGTCCCTCTCCCTCTGCTGAAGGAATCAAGAATGATATAATTAAGCAACTAGTTGACATGCTTAGAATGAATAAAGAATGAAACAATAATTAGGATTCTCTAACGTAAGCAAGAGTAAGAAAGTTATGACATAGTTTAACTAATAAAAGTGGAAAAAAAGGAGCTGACCTGCAGACGTAATCTCCAGACAAATATCCACAAATTGAATCTTGATCAGCAGAGGTGGTCCCAAGATCCGAACCACCCCCATAGAAGAGAAGAAAGTAGCACAGCAACCTTTGGCCTCTCGAAGGGAGAATGCTTTTGAGTGTGTCCTCATACAAAAGCTGCTTTTTTATACATGATTAAGATTACAATAATTAAGTGAGTAATGACAGAGGCCAAAAGCATCAAATTTAAATCAGAATATATTTTGACTTCGTATCACTCGCTTGGTTCATGCCCATGACGCAAGAAAGTTAAAAGAAGAAAGAAAAAAAAACAGAGTGAAACTTCGAATCATAATCCATCAATGTTTATTATTGGTTTCAAGTTTTCAACTAATGGAGGATCTAAAAGCAAAGGAAATACGTCATACCACTTGAAGTTAAGTGGAGACATAAACTTAAGACTTACGTTTCCATCTATGTTCTATGATCACAGCGTAAAACACGAGTATTGCATCTCTTGTGGCTCACTATAAGTTGCATAACAAAAAAAAAAGAAGCCTTCCACCATCTTTTTGACCATATTAGTGGAACCTTTATGTACCAATTCTCCAACTTTTAAAATTCTGACCCAGAAAGAAAATTCATATCATTAGAATGAGACAGGGAGCTTATCTAAGCCATGCATACAAATGTTATTGGCTAGCACAATTTACAACCTTTTGTAGAGAAAGAATAGAAATTAAAGATTATTAAGCAATAGAACTTTCTCCTTTGCTTTTACGGAAGCATGACATCCACACGAAATATCAATCTCATCCATAACTAATGTCTTACTCAAAAATTTCAACAGATTAGCTGTCAACATTTTTAAAAAGCTTTAGCGTGGTCTAGTTATAACGACTCAAGTACGGATTAATAAGAACAAAATAACACACAGGTAAAACTTACATTTAGTTGATGCACTATAGGAACAATGACTCTTCATCAGCTCAGTCTTATCCAAATGAAAAGACATGTTGATCCAGCAAAGATGATTTCGTATCTCACACCAGAAAGCTCGTCATGGTTGCGCCATGCCTGGAATATCTTGAAGCTGTAAACAATGGGAAAATTTTCTCAAGTTAGAGGGAAATTCTGAACTTTCACTTAGAGCCAAGATTGAGGCAGAAACAAATCAAAGCCATTTTTAGCACTCAAAGTTAGTGAATGATTCAGTTTCTAGAAATGGGAAAACACTCAATACATATGATTATGTTAGAGTGGCGCTAGATACTAAAATTAATCAAGTTAATAAGAGATATATAGAAAGAGAGTGCTAAACTATTGTTATGTAAAACAAACAGAGTAAAAAAAAACAACATGGACAATCCTCACGGAAAACATCTACCGTTTTTTTAGCTTACGATGCACCGGTAACGCATATCCATTTACTAACAGAGGTAAAAGGTAAGATACAATAGTTGAGAAGTTGAACAAAATGGCATACCAAACATGATTGTAAGATGATAAATGCATGTAGCGTTACCATTACCCCATCTCTCAATAACTAATATAGAATAGAGAAATCTCTCTTCATCATACAATGTCATTAACATATGACATATCCCACACATAAACAAAGACGTTCTTACTAAATCTCTAAATCAAGTCTATATAATGCATTCTTGCTCATCAAAATGAAACCGTCAAGAATTCAACATCTTCACGGTACAATAGAGAAGACAATGACTAATGACTCTTCACATTTCATTGAACATAAGCAGAGACAAAAAAAATGCAACATTCAGGCTCAAAAATATGCAATAGCAACGTCGAAATAAAGAAATTCATCTATCTACATGATAACGTAGTAAAGTGCTCCACTTGCTCTCCCTTTCTCGGATTAATTTATACACATTATCTATGTGTCAAGATAGAAAGGCACGCACCAATTGGAACATCGTCGTAGTAATCAAATTTCGATTTCCGAGAGCCGTCTCCCACAAAATCGACTCAACATTGAAACTTGAGTAGGCGCGATTAACGAAGCATTTAGGGTTTATAAAATTGAAGGCGGAAAAAGGTTGAAGACGAAGAAGGGATACGAACAGTATCGTGGTATTAATCTGGGAATCGGAATCGGACTCGGAATCGGAGCCGTGTGACGACGTGACCTCCTCTTCTCTTCCTGGAATCGCCATGGAAACAAAAATAAATTTCTTGGGTCGAATTTGCACGTGTCACGTGTCACACTAGGCTCCTTACAAATTTTCCAAAAAATAATTAAACTGGAAAATGGAGAAAGAAATAACTTCATAAAAACTGTAAATTTAAAAATGTATCTCTTCTTGATGATACAAAAACATACCCTCCTTAATCTGTCTTATTAGTTTTTTTTTTTTTTTTTTTTTGTTACCTGAGATAAATCACAAAAACACAGTACAAGAGAAACAAATTATCAATACGAAAAAACTAAACACCACCTTCCACCTCACTACAGCCACGCCGGTCCAGCTTGAGCCTCACTACGGAACCGATTATAAAGCCAGGCCGGTCCACCTTGCGGCTCATTACGTAACCGATTATGAAACTGGGCCGGTCCACCTTGCGGCTCACTACGTAACAGATTATTTAGCCACGCCGGTCCACATTGAGCCTCACTACGTAACTGATACTGAAGCCACGCCGGTCCACGTTGCGCCTCACTACGTAACTGATACTGAAGCCACACCGGTCCACGTGCAGCAAGGTACGAGTTAAAACGACCATCCCTAATAACACTCTCCGCAATGTCTCGTGCAATGAAATTAGCAGGACAAGACACCAGCTCAAAGTTGATAAAACGGAATGATTTAGCAGCTCTGGAAATAGCATCGAGCCACATTCGATATCTAGGCCAATCCCGAGGATTATACAAGGCAGCAATTGCAGCTTGACAATCAGAAGAGATTATCACGTTTTGCAAACGAAGATCTCGTAAGCTTTGAAGAGCCCACAAGATACACCGCAACTCAGCCATGATCCTATTTGAAGACCCTGTAAAAGCCTCTCTTGCATGGTATAGAACCGAACCATAACAATCACGAGCAACCCAAGCTACTCCACTCATCACAGCAGCATTTCTCCAATCAGCATTCACATTACACTTAACCACTCCTATGTCTGGAGGAGACCACTCGGGATCCAAGCTCGTCCCCCGAAAGCATGTGCCATATGTATCTACCTGTTGCGCATTAAGCCATGGTCTCTGTTCTTCAACCGCTTGCACACTCAAATTCACTCGTGTACCTGGAAGCAATATATAATTTTTGTTAAGCAAGAAAAAAAAAAAAGAGAGAATTTCTGAATTATTAATTAAATACAAGTTACAAATTAAGTAAAAAAATTGCAAAATTCTATCTTGTTAAAAATATACGTTAGACATTAGTCTAAGGGTATAGTTTTTGATAAAACAAAACTCATCAGCCATATAGTGTGTAGCAAAAGTTAAAACTATTTATAAAATAACTAAGGATAAACAAATATGCTCACAAGAGAGTTAAACACAAAATTGACAAGAACCATATAGAGTTAAATTTGATCTAGCAAAGAGAGAAGGTTCAATTACGATTCTCGCAACCACGATTTATGTGTCCTCTGTAATGACCAATCACGACTTGAGAAGTAGACCATCTCATCATCTTTTGAACCTTTTTTAAAGGCTTGACCGGCCGTTTTCGTAACCAGCTGAAGATTTTAACAACTCCAAAGTTTCTTATATGCTATACCGATTGTTGTCTTTGTGCACAACCATAGCAAAAATAAACAAATTGACAGTCTTTAAATACACAAAATTGAGAAGGAAGTGAATGAAGAAAATTGTATTATGGTGGGATTCATGTTACCAAATTATATTTCGTATATGTTTACCACATTTAAAGCATAGTCAAGAAAAATAAAAACATTACCAAATGGAAAATATATTGAAAATTGATTAATTAGTATCATTATGTAATTTCCAATCTCGTGTATGAATGTTGGTATAGTATAAATACATATGGGACTCTAAACATGGGGTAGCCACACTTTCTGATAAAACGAATTAAAGAAAATGGAAGATCTCTCTGATTCAAGAATAAAGGTAATTGAATAACATGTTTTAACTTGCATAACATTTTCGATTACTATGTTTTATAAAATCTTAGGAATATGATTATTTTTTTTGTTTTGTTTTGTGTGTGTGTGCTTGTCTGTTGCATAAAAGAGATGAGTACAAGACTGATTGATTGTTATATTAGAATGTATTATACATTAAGGTTTAGAATTTAACTGCATTAGGGTTTATTTTGCTATTTTGTGCGAGTTAAAAACTTTTGAATAGTAATCATAGATGATGTCTCTGTATTTTAGTAAAATCCTACTATCAATAGATCGCAACGGTAAGAAGTATTCCGTTATTTCTGTTACCCAATACAAAAGCAGTAAGCTTTTGATTAGTAATCAAATATTGTAACGGTAAAAATTATTCCGTTATTTCTGTTATTCAATACAAAAACTGTAAGCTTTTGATTAGTAATCATTTATCGCAACGGTAAGAAGTATTCCGTTATTTTGGTTACCAAATACAAAAGCACGGTAAGACTAACGATACCAAAAACGTTACCATCATTATTTGTGTATCTCTATATTTTACCGATTTTATAGATGTTACTCGAAATATATCTAAACATTAAGTCATCTAGATATACCGAACTTTAATACTTTTTGAATCAATAAACACCGGATTAATGAGATTTCTAGAATCATATCTACATATCACATATCATAAAACATAATTTTTTTTTTTACAAGAAAATTTGTTCTAAATACTTTATAGTTTTTTGGAGCTGTATAATGTGGGTACCCACCTAGTATATATATATAAATATATTTTTAAAAATAAACCATAAATCCAGTGTAAAAACCAAAAAATCTCATAATCTCTAGCTTAATCCACATATTAACCAATAGTAACTCAAGGAGGTGATAATTAGCTATCATAATCCAATTCTAACCAATCGTGTAACGAGTTAGGGATATTGTACTCTCAAGTTTATCTCTACCAGTGAAAATAAAAAGACAGTGAAAATTCGATAGGAGAGACAACAAAAAAAAAAAAAAAAACAAGGTAAGAAAAATTCAAAGCGAGGTTCTCGGGAACCAATCTGGAAGGAGGAGGGGTGCAGAGAGAAGCGAAGACGATGGCGATGGTTGAGATGGTGAACATTATTGGGCTATTCATGGTGCTTATGTTGCTTCTCATCACCCTCATCATCCTTTTCGCCTGCAAGCCATGGCGATACTTTTCTCGTTTCCGATCCTCTCGTTTTTCTTCTACCTTCAAGGTTTCTTCCTCTTCTCTCATTCATTCTCTATTCAATCTCCTGCGTCTTCGTTCCACGGCTTCGTTTTGATTTGATTCGATTTTGTGTCGAATGGTTTTCGCGAAATGATCCAATTGATAAGGATTTTGATCATTCATCAGTGACAAGTGTAACGTCGCTGGATCATTATGCCTATCTCGTGGATTTCGTGAGTATTTGGGGCTATTGACGATTTCGTTGATTGATTGTGTCGACGTGGGGGCGGTGAGATATATTGTGTGTTTGGTTTTCTGAATAATTTGATTGACTTTTTGGAAATGAGAATGTGTTGTTGAGTTTTTTCACGGTTGAAATGAGGATTCTCTTGTTGTTGTTAGGTTCTTTTGTAGCTCAAGAATTGATAGATTCGTTTCCTTTGTAATGAGTGTGTCTAGATTTTCTCTGCCTGCTCGATTTGCACAAAATATGTATTGTTTGAATATGTTGTGTGCTATGTTCTTGTCCTCCAGCCATGTTTGATTCAGTAGTCGATTGAGATTTTGCACGGAAGTTTGTGCTCAAACTGTTGATATGCACTTTGACATACATAGGAGATGGGGAACTCGTGTTAATTTGCTTGCGAAAACTGTCAGTTTGTTTCTGATTTTGGAGGTTGGTGCATATATATTAGGCATTGTGAATGTTGCAAGAATTCAGTTCAGTCTGGAGAAATTTTTGTGGGAGAAATTCTTCCTCATTAGTTACCTTTTTTGTTGGAATTCTGTGAGTTTTTTGTATTTTATTTATCTAACCAGAGAATTGAAATTTCATGAAAATGGTAACAAAAGAATGAAAAAGGTGAAATCACTTATTCATCCATGTTCTAGTTCTGCTAAACTCATACTCCTTACTAATCTAGCAGGCGGTTTTATTCTCATTGGAAATAGGATACAACTCATCCATCTAATCTTTTCGCACGTAAATTTCATTTGTTTGCAATTTCTCCATAAGTTGAATAACATACTAAAATTGCATAAGAACTAAATCCAGCATATTATTACTACATTCTTCATATAGGGAAATATTTTCTTTTCTCAATTGAGTTTCTCATTTTTCAGCTATGGAGCATCCAGTTTACGTAACTTTTTTTGCTTCCGTCCTAGCCCTAATTCTTTCAGCGCCATTCTTTGCAGGTGGGGGATTTGCAGAGACCACTTATATCTGATGATGGAAATTTGATCCAAGGCCAAACCAGTGAGGTAACAAGGGAATATGATTTAGAGGGAGCTTGCTACCAAAATGATGGACTTTTGCATTCATCTCTGACTGAGGGACGGTTTTACAAACAAAGGCTTCCTTCATCATCTCCCCATTTCACCCAAGGTACTCGTTGCCTCTTTCCTCCCCTGCTAGCTATCCAGCTCTGGTGTAGACAAGCTGGATTGAGTCTACATCATTAGCTTGATGGAAATGATACAATTGTTACAGAAACATCCTCTTTTCATTATGATCTCTATGCATCACTCATGCTTGACCTTGTCAATCTGCCCTAAATTATGTAGGTGAAAGCTTCATTCTAGAAGTAATTTCTGAACCTTCTGACAATGCTTTGGTGGGCCAAACGCTTAAACTTCCAGCTGAGAAAGGTTCCTTGACAGAAGTGCAAACATATGACTGGCAGAATAACAGAAATGAAAACTTCCAATATGACCTGGAAAAGGATAGACTTATTAATCTTTCTCCGGGACTCGTGGAAAATCAAAGTAATTTTTTATTCTTTTGCTTGCCTAGGGTGTGTAATACAACCTCAATCCATTTTTTCAATTAGTCTTGCAAGACATATTTCATATTTTGTGTTAGAAGTGCAGGAAGTTGGCTGTCCCTGGAAGTCATTGCGGGTCCTGCCATTGGGCTTCAACATGTTGTGAACTCCACAAGTTCCTCCAAGCTGCCAGTGAAACTTGGAAGGGTTTCTCCTTCTGATTTGGCATTGAAGGACTCAGAAGTCTCAGGAAAACATGCACAGATAACATGGAACTCTACTGTAAGGAGCTACATAGATTTATTTATTTATACGACTTCTGCATGTCACTTATTACACTGTGTGTCAAACCTGCCTTTCAGAAATTGAAATGGGAGCTGGTAGATATGGGTAGCCTAAATGGAACTCTCGTAAACTCTCAGTCAGTAAGTCATCCTGATTTAGGCAGCCGGAAGTGGGGTAACCCTGTCGAGCTTGCAAGTGATGATATAATAACTTTGGGAACAACTACAAAGGTCTATGTAAGTCGATCTGAGTGGTTAAAGGTGCTTGCTGATAATTTTTTTTGTTTTCCTTATTGATTTAATGCAATTTCTTTTCATCTTTGGAAGGTCCGTATCTCATCTCAGAATGAGTTTCAGATACCCTTCAAAATTGGTGTGGCCTCAGATCCCATGGCTGTACGTCGAGGAGGCAAGCAACTTCCGATGGAAGATATTTGTCATTACAAGTGGCCGCTTCCTGGGGCTAATAAGGTTACCTTGATTTGTGATTTGAGTTGTCTGTATGATGATGGGCTTCACTGCTTCTGCTAACATAATTCCAAATGTATATGGTTTCAGTTTGGACTGTTTTGTGTTTGTGATGGACATGGGGGATCAGGGGCTGCTGAATCCGCAATCAAGTGAGTCATTCTAAAAAAAGTGACTCATATGTCTTATTTTGGTTTTCTTTTTATGCTTAACCTACAGAAAATGTCCTAACCTGAAAAAGGCTGCGGTTTTGGCTGTGTTTAAACTTCTAACAGCATCTGCCTTTCTGAGTTTTTGTTTAATGATTTGCTTCATTTATTAATCAACTTTTTATGTACTTTAAAATTTAGCTGCATGTGGTTAGCCATGCAAATGCGTTACAGTTATGGCAGGCGTGGTTACAGCCGGGAACAAATATATGAAACTTTGTTCTATCATTTTTGTAAATGGGCTTAGTCATTATATGTTAGGAGCCTTCACTAACAACTGGAGCATCTTTGATTTACTTTTTTCCAAACAAATGAACAATTATATACTTGAATATGCAAGCTTATTAAACTTCTTCTCCAGAATTATTCCGGAGGTTCTAGGGAATATTTTATCAGACTCGCTGAGGAAGGAGAAAGTGTTATCAAAAAGGGATGCTTCGGACGTCCTTAGGGACATGTTTGCTAAAACTGAAGCTCGCCTCGATGAACACCAATATGAGGTATTTCAGTTTGTCCTTTTCTTTCCTTTGATTGCATGTATGTCTTCTTGACTACTTGGCTGGAACTTTTTCATTGCTTCCTACTTAATGAACTAGTCGATCGATGCAGGGTTGTACAGCTACTGTTCTCTTGGTTTGGAAAGACAATGAAGAAAACTTCTTTGCACAATGTGCCAATCTTGGGGATTCAGCATGTGTTATCCAGTAAGTAAAAAATATTAAATTGCTATTCTTGAGATTCTTAGTTGCTGAGCTTGCATTAACCAGACTTGTAGCAGCATTTCTTGGTGTAGAAAGAGGGAGGGGACTTGATTACTCAGATTAGAAACAAAGATCTTGCGTGTTTAAAGCGTGAGTGAGTGTGGTCTTCTTAATGAAAACCTCTTGTTTTGGAAACATTAGATTATTACTAATATAGGCTTTATAGTAGAGTAAATAGACATCAATAGATGAGATTGTGGTCTTCTTAATGGAAACCTCTTGTTTTGGAAACAGTAGATCATTACTAATATAGGCTTTATAGTAGAGTAAATAGACATCAATAGATGAGATTGTTTCACATCGGAGTAGAATTTTTGGATAAGAAAAAGAATATTTGAATATCGTTGCTTTGCTTTGCGGAAATAGAAAGAGAGTTTATCCCTACATTTTCCTTGATACCGATCTTAATTAATTGTCACAAAATTGGATAGTTGTTTTACTTGTACGAACTAATGGTCTCGGCATAATAATAGTAACTTCGAGTTTTTTTGACTGATTATGATTTGGTTTGCATTTGTCAGTCTTGATGGGAGATGTATACAAATGACTGAAGATCATCGAGTGGTGAGCTTGAGCGAGAGAAAACGATTCCAAGAAGCAGGAGTACCCTTGAGAGATGGAGAGACTCGGATCTTCGGTATTAGCTCATGAATTAAACACGCTCAGGTGATTCCAACTTCATTATAACAAAATGACCAGATCTGATTTGATAATTTTCTTCAGGTATAAACCTTGCGAGGATGCTTGGAGACAAATTTCCAAAGCAGCAAGACAGCCGTTTCAGTGCAGAGCCATATATAAGTGAGCCTTTGCGTATCGATCAACCTAGTAAAGATTTCTTTGCTGTATTGGCCAGGTAAGAAAAACATAAACATAATAAACTTTTCTCCTTTTCTCGTTCTTGTTCGCTAATTTTGAAAATCAAATACTGCAGTGACGGGTTATGGGACGTGGTAAGTCCGAAGAAAGCTGTGCAGCTGGTACTTCAGGTAAAAACTTTTTCTAAATCGTCGAGACATTCTCTATGTCTGAAAACGTCGATCTCATGTGATGTTTATGTTTTAAAACAATGGCAGATGAGAGACAAAGAGAGAGGGACAGAGAATAGTGCAGAGAAGATAGCAAACGGTCTGCTGAATGAAGCTAGAGCGATGCGTACAAAGGACAACACCTCCATTATTTACTTAGGGTTCGATACTTCCCTGTAATGTTAGGAAACATCTTTTTAAGATATTTGGGCAGTGTCTTTCTTTTGTGTACTATCTTTTCATGTATTAGTATTATTGTTAGGGTATAAGAGAGACAAAAAAAAACCTCAGGTGCAGAGCTTTAGGATGGTTCGTCTGGTGAGCGACATTGGTTTCATCTCTTACTTATATAATTAATAATATTATCAGTTAAAAGAAAGTTTCTGTTTCGTATTTATATTATTTGGTAAGAATGAATTTCATCAGACGAGTTAATAAAATTTTGATTTATGTACTATACAACCCATCAGTTTAGTATGGAGGATATCTTTTCACGATGTGCAGTAATCCGGGGTATTCGGTTCGGTATTTTTGGGTTTTGATTTTAGTATCCATTCGGCTATTTTAGAATTTCGGTTCAGTTCTATCCCAACTATCTTGGTTCTTTGATTGAAGAATCGACTAGGAACCAAATTTTTTTTTGAAAATTTTTCGGTTATTATTCGTATCCGAATAACTGAAAAAAAATCAAGTATTTTGGAGTATTTGGTTATTTTCACAATGTGAAGGCAACAAAATAATACTATTTTGACTGCTGTTCGGTTAGAAGTGGAAAGCAAATCACATATTTTGTAATAAAAATCTGTCTATTTTCGGAATGAACACGTATACTATTTTTGACTGATATAAGATGGAAAGAACCAAATAGTCAACAGTCAAGAATCTCAAGGGATTTTGGGATTCTTTCCTCTAATATCTTACTTACCTAAATCTAAATTTTGACCCAATAAATTTTAGTTTAATTTCCATTTTAAAAAACTCGAGTTGTTGTTGTTCAACCTTAAGCATCGTACTAAAACAAATTAAGAAAATAAGAACCCAAAAAGATTTGAAATTGGAAAAACAAAGCGGGCCCAAAAATCAGGAGTAGTTCGCGTGTCCACACTAAAAGCATGTGTCCCTACACCACCAGATCGTAGCCATATTTATGAAACGTCATTAAATCCTCTCAACGGTTAACCAAACCCCACACCACACATCCTTTTCTTTCCCCTTCTCTCAACATTTTGGGGGAAAAACAAAAAAAAATGGTTTTGCATCCAATTTCCGACGCCAACGAACACAATCCTTTCGGATCTCTCACCGCCGACGAATTCTACGCCAAACATTCCGTTAGCCACTCCTCCGCCTTCATCACCAACCCTCGTGGTCTCAAACTCTTCACTCAATGGTGGTCACCACTCCCTCCAACTAAACCAATCGGTATCATCGCCGTCGTTCACGGCTTCACCGGCGAAACCAGTTGGTTCCTCCAGCTCACATCAATCCTTTTCGCTAAATCCGGTTTCATCACCTGCGCAATTGATCACCAAGGCCATGGATTCTCCGATGGACTCATCGCTCATATCCCTGACATCAATCCCGTCGTCGATGACTGTATCTCCTTCTTCGATGACTTTCGTAGCCGTCAATCGCCGTCAGATCTGCCGTGTTTTCTCTACTCTGAATCCCTAGGCGGTGCGATTGCTCTCTACATCTCGCTTCGCCAGAGAGGTGTTTGGGATGGGCTTATCCTCAACGGAGCTATGTGTGGAATCAGCGATAAATTCAAACCGCCGTGGCCGTTGGAGCATTTGCTCTTCGTCGTCGCGAATCTTATCCCTACCTGGCGCGTTATCCCCACGCGCGGATCTATACCCGATGTTTCTTTCAAGGAGCCGTGGAAGAGGAAGCTTGCGATGGCTAGCCCTAGAAGGACGGTGGCGAGACCACGCGCCGCCACTGCTTATGAGCTGATTCGTGTCTGTAAGGATCTGCAGGAGAGGTTTGAGGAAGTGGAGGTTCCGCTTCTGATTGTGCACGGCGGAGGCGATGTAATCTGCGACGTGGCGTGTGTTGAGGAGCTTCATCGGAGAGCGATTAGTGAGGATAAGACGATCAAGATCTACCCTGAGTTGTGGCATCAGATGATTGGGGAATCGGAGGAGAAAGTCGATCTGGTTTACGGTGACATGCTGAGCTGGCTCAAGACTCGAGCGGAAAGGAAGGCACGCGCCGGCCGAGCTTAGAGTCCTTTTGAGTCCTTGTATTTGTCGTCCAATAGGACAGTGCCATCTGGCAAGCAACTATTTAAGGTTTACTGTTTCGTAGCACATGGTTTACAGTTGAACCAATACCTTTGGGCTTTGGGTATCAATAAATTAGAAATATAAAAAATGTTGAAAAAAATAATTTTAAAATTAATATTTAAGATTCTCTACCAATTCAGAAAATTTTCAAATAAATCGTCAACCATCTAATATTATTACGTCGTTGTTTCTAGGCCTGGGCAAATAAACCGAACCGAATGTACCGAACCGAAACCGAAGCAAAAAAAACCGAATCGAAAATTTGAAAATAACCGAATGGATACTAAATTCTATAACCGAAATAACCGTAACCGAATCGATACCGAACCGAAATATTTCGGGTAACCGAAATACCCGAAATACAATTATATTTCCAAAATAATTAGTTATTTATAGACCAAATAATCAAAAATACTTGAAAAATATATAAAAATAGTAAAAAATACCTGAAAATATCCGAAATATATCCAAAAATATCCGAAAATACTCAAAAATAACCGAAATATCCGAAAATATCCTAAACAAAATAACCGAATGGATACTAAATTTTAAAACCGAAAGAACCGGAACCGAACCGAAACCGAACCGAAATTTCAAAATATCCGAATGGATACTAAATTTTGAAACCGAAAGAACCGAAACCGAATGGACCCAACCGATAACCGAACGGTTAACCGAAATCCTAGTTGTTTCCGTCAAGTTAAACAAAAGATGGTTGACGTTTGGTTCAAGTTAAACAAAAACGTAAACTGTAAGTTAATAGGCCCAATAAATTAAGATGATTGAGGCCCATTAATCCAGTAAGAACCCAAAACCACATAAACACTGCGAAATTGGCACGCGGCTGCTGCACTCGCCGGCGGCAGAAATGGGGAAGAAGAACAAGAGAAGTCAAGAAGAGCCAGAGCTAACGAAAATAATCGACGGAGACTCTAAAAGGAAGAAGAATAAGAAGAAGAGAATCCATGAAGATACGGAGATAGAACCGGAGCAAAAGATGAGTCTCGACGGAGACGCGAAGAAGGAGAAAAAGAAGAAGAAGAAGAAGAAAAACCAAGAGGAGGAGGAGCCGGAGCAAACGAAAATCCAAGAGGAGGAAAAGAAAAATGTAGAAGACGGTAGAGCCACTGTTAGCATAGCCATAGCTGGTTCAATCATCCACAACACTCAATCACTGGAGCTGGCTACACGCGTAATATCTCTCTCCCTATCTCTCCTTCGTTTTCTCTGTTTATCCATTCCCAGACAATTTCAAGTCCTCCATTTCAAACATTTCTCAGCTCGCCGGCCAAATTGCTCGAGCAGCTACAATTTTCCGAATCGACGAGGTATCTTATTCATCTTTCTTTCAATCCACAGAGCTCTCAAAACTTGTTGGTGTTGCATCAAAAGTCAAAACCACTCAATTGGACAACAAATTGTGCTAAATTCTAAAGCTCTTTTTTTTTTGGTTTAAATCAGATTGTAGTGTTCGACAATAAGAGCAGCTCAGAAATCGAATCAGCTGCTATGAATTCTTCTGATAGCAATGAAAGTGGCGCCTCCTTTCTCGTTCGTATCTTGAAGTATTTAGAGACACCACAATATTTGAGGAAATCTCTCTTCCCCAAGCAAAATGATCTTAGATATGTGGTGTGTACTTTAAGTCCTTTCTCTTCAAGTCTTTCACTTTTTGTATTCAATCTTTCTTTAAAACTGTGCTGTGACCAGATTTTGTTTGCTTTGTCTGATCAGGGTATGTTGCCACCTCTTGATGCTCCTCACCATCTGCGTAAGCACGAGTGGGAGCAATACCGTGAAGGTAATATTAAAGTTCATAGGCATCCAATGAGACCTTAGCAAATATCTTATTACAATCTTCGAGATGCCATATGAAATACCAAATATCTTACAAGAATCTTGTGTGGAGAAATATGAATAAAGCTTCTACATTTCCTTGTTGTAGATAAGCTGCAATATTGTGGGTTTAGTTTTGTTTCATCTTTGTTTTGGAAATGGTAACCTTATAGGTGTCACGCTGAGTGAAAAGGCTCCAAACTCTAAGGGTACAATGGTTGATGTGGGTTTAAGCAAGGTATTCTTACTTCCTCTCAAATATCGATATCTCAGTTGGCGGCCTCCTTTTCAACCCTTTGTTTTACAATTTTTTGCTTGTGATGCAGAGTGTTGTTGTTGATCAAGTGTTGAGTCCAGGAGTTAGAGTCACGGTAGCCATGGGAGCTGACCACGATTTAGGTACTGATAATCTCTATTTTCTTTCAAGTTATCATATTCATCTGTCTTCTATCTCTAGTTTCGGTTTAGATTATTTATTTTACCTTGCTACTCAAATCTTCATTGCACTCAAAAAAATCGTCACCTAGAGAAATTTAGACGCAGAAAAAATGCTACCTATGTCTACTTGTTGTGCTAATATATTTTGAATTCGGTTCATCTAGATTTGGTACGCCAGATTGTTCCGCCCTCTAAGCCACGAGAAGAAGCAGGAATGTATTGGGGATACAAAGTACGATATGCATCACAATTAAGTTCAGTATTCAAGGAATGCCCTTTCCAGGTAAGAATAATGACACTCTGCTCCTCATCCTTCTATAATTTAAATAATATTTCCTGCATAACCTTATTTCCTAATACCAAAAGCAGGGTGGTTACGATTATTTGATCGGTACCTCGGAGCACGGCTTGGTAATTAGTTCATCAGAGCTGAAAATACCAACATTTAGGTGATTATCATTTCCCCCTAACATGGTATAATTTTGTGTCTTCTCACATTATTAGCAGTTTAAATTTGGGAGACTGACTCAAATGGTTGTGGCATGAAATCATAGGCACCTATTGATTGCATTTGGTGGACTTGCTGGGCTTGAAGAAAGTATTGAAGATGATAATCAGTATAAGGTAACTTCATATTCAACTCATTGTCTCTCACAGTGACTAAAAAGTTCTCAAAGATTGAAAGCTGTTTGTGTCTGTACTACGCGTTTGATATGGACACTAAGCAAAAGACTTCATTTTCACAGGGGAAAAACGTCCGAGATGTGTTTAATATATACTTGAATACTTGTCCGCATCAAGGAAGCAGAACCATTCGAGCAGAGGTATTCACAGATTCTTCCTATGAGTTGTGTTTTTTCCTTTTCATATGTTCCGAGATGATTGAGCTGACATTGTGCGATAAATATGCAGGAAGCGATGTTTATATCACTTCAGTACTTCCAGGAACCCATCAGCAGGGCAGTGAGAAGACTTTAAAGCTTGATATTTGTTCGCATAGATTGAAGTTTTTTTTAAAAAGAGTGATGTAATGTAATTGTTTTAAAATATGGACCAAGTTTTTGTATTCTTGTACTCATCTTTACACTGAAAAACAAATTTACATATGAAATTATTTTTTATCTGTTTGCAAACTAGTTAAAATTAAAGTTGGGGGTTAGACTAGTTAGCAATTTTATACAGTATAAGAACAATTAAAATAATTACTTAGTGGGCCATTATAATGAACAACAAATTTGTAATTAAGCATCAAGGGCCGGCCCAAAATGAAGAAGGGTAAAATAGTAAAAGCGACAAGAAAGGGGGTTAGACCCTATCCCTAATAGACCGGTGCGCGTGAGCGACTAAGTATCGTTCGTGATTTCAATTTTCTCTCCGTCTCGTTCTATCTTTTGAGGCTAAAACTCTCAAAGACACATCGAGAGAGAAATTGGAGAAAAAAAAAAACGGAACGGGCAACAGAAAATTAAATAATCTAATTTGACAGTTGAAATCGAAACACAGAAAGTTCCCGCCATGGAGAAGCAGCTACAACAGCAAGAGGACGATCCTTTAGAGAAGACCAAGTCTCTGATCTCTGCTCTTAACTACGTTTCTCGCGACCTTCTCTTGCCTTCTCACCTTTACGCTTCCGTTTCTTCTATCTACCATGGCTCCGTCTCCGATCTCTCTCCTCCTCCGCCTCTTCGTGTAAGCTGTTTCTTCGATTTGCATGTTCCGATTCGTTGATTTTTGTTGTTGTGAATCGAATTTTCTGGTTCTGTGCTTCTTTCGCCTCCTTCTCTAACCAATTCCTTGGAGTGAATTCGTGAATTCTTTCATGTTCGGATTCATTGATTTTTGTGAATCAAATTCACTGGTTCTATGCTAGTTTGTGCTTTGTCCTATGTTCAGAGTTTTTACCTCTAATTGGCGTTTGCAGGAAAATTGTTTTACTCCCAATAGAGGTGATTTGATGAGCGAGTTCGAAGATGCACTTTTGAAGCAGCGACTAAACTGTGAATCAGGCTCTCGACTTGCCGAATTAAAGGAAACTCGCTATAAGAGTCATTTCCAGAATCGATTAGCTGAACTTGAAGGTGATTGCTGCTGATTTTTACCGTTTCTTATTTGTTGCAAACTATTATCTACATTTTTCCTGCTTGTAATTTTTTGTCCATTAGGTTTCTGAAACCAATTATCCTGTGAGAGGAATGCTTACTCTTGTGTTTTTTTTTTTTTGAATCAGGATTACCTTCCAATAGAGGTGAAGATTTGCAGGAAAAATGCTTACTTGAGCTTTATGGGCTTAAGGTATGTGTGACACTAGTCTGATCTCTTCTATTGTGTGACATTGTTTAAAATATGATTTCCATGACACTGACACTGTGTCTCGTTTGCTTATGGCAGCTAAAAGAACTACAATGCAAGGTTAGGGCTGAGGTGAGCGCGGAATACTGGCTGCGTTTGAATTGTGCACATCCTGAAAGCCAACTATATGACTGGGGCATGATGCGGTTGCCTCGCCGAATGTATGGGGTTGGAGATCCTTTTCATATGGAAGCTGATGATCAGTTCAGAAACAAGCGTGATGCCGAGGTCATTTGGTTTCTAATCCAAAGCAAAATTGTTTGCTCCCAGATTTTATTTTTACCTATAATGATCAAGTCTTTCTTCGAATGGAAACTGATGACGTTTTGAGATGATAGGAACAAGTCCCTTTTAGAAGAACTACTAGTTGTTATTTAGGTTCTTCTTTTTGTTTAGAGAGACGAATTTGTACAAGTGTCTAAAACCTATACAAAAATTCTAGTTGCGATATATATGCTGATACTATTTTATGATGTTCTTAAACTCCTTGCTGATGCTTTCAAACTCTTTGTTCAGAGGTTATTACGGTTAGAAGAGGAGGAGAAGAATCTCATTGAAACCACACAGAGGAAATTCTTTGCAGAAATACTCAATGCTGTTCGTGAATTCCAGTTACAAATTCAGGCGACTCATAGACGGTGTAAGCAAAGAAATGATGGTGTCCAGGTATGATATCCCTGGCATTATGTTTGTCATTGCTTATTTTCTTTCCATTGAACCCATGATATAATTGAGTTATATATCCTTAAATGTCAAAAATATACAAAATTTTACAAACAGGAATTTTGCCATCTATCTAACAGGCCTGGCATGGAAAGCAAAGGCAACGTGCCACCCGAGCTGAAAAACTAAGGATCATGGCCCTTAAATCTGATGATCAAGAGGAATACATGAAACTAGCAAAGGAGAGTAAGAACGAAAAACTAACCCTTTTCCTAGAGGAGACAAACAAAATCTTTGTTAGTTTGGGTGCTGCAGTCCAGCGTCAGAAAGATGCCAAACTTTCAGAAAACATCAAACTACTGAAAGGCTCAGAATCTGACTTATCTGATGTTGATGCTCCCGAGGATGTGCTTCCTGACCAAGATATTGAGATCATTGACTCTGACAATAATGATGATTCTAATGACTTACTAGAAGGCGAGAGGCAGTATAACTTGGCTATTCATTCAATTCAAGAGAAGGTAACTATGATTGTTTATTAGTGATTTTTAGGAGTTTGGTTAAGTGTGTTAACTCAGCTATCGATGCTTTATTTTAACAGGTGACAAAGCAGCCATCCCTTCTACAAGGTGGGGAACTAAGATCCTACCAATTAGAAGGGCTTCAATGGATGGTCTCTCTATACAACAACGACTATAATGGCATTTTAGCTGATGAAATGGGTTTGGGAAAGACTATCCAAACAATTGCACTGATTGCGTATCTTCTTGAGAGTAAAAATGTGCATGGGCCTCATCTAATAGTGGCTCCAAAAGCTGTGCTACCAAATTGGGAAAATGAGTTTGCAACATGGGCACCCAGGTATGTTCCAAACAACCTTTTATTCTCCATTAATTGCATTGGTATGGATGTTGTGTATGAAAGTTGCTTCATTTTTGTCCATTTGACAGCATTTCCGCGTTTCTTTACGACGGATCAAAGGAGAAAAGAACTGAAATAAGAGCAAGAATAGCAGGAGGAAAATTTAGCGTATTGATAACCCACTACGATCTTATCATGAGAGATAAAGCATTTTTGAAGAAAATTGACTGGAACTACATGATTGTTGATGAAGGACATCGGCTGAAGAACCATGAATGTGCTCTTGCAAAAACTCTAGGAACTGGGTATGAATCTCTGGTCTTTGATTAGACTACCTAGTTTCTTAAAGAAATTTTTTAGACATGCCTTTTTACGCATTAGCTTGATGAAGTCTGAAGCGAATGGTGTTAATTAGTTGTTACACTAATTTGTCCTGGATGCAGCTACCGTATTAAGCGCAGACTTCTATTAACTGGGACTCCCATACAGAACAGTCTGCAAGAACTATGGTCGCTGCTTAATTTTCTCCTTCCTCACATCTTTAACTCGATTCAGAATTTCGAAGAATGGTTTAATACTCCTTTCGCAGAACGTGGCAGTGCCAGTCTTACAGATGAAGAGGAGCTGTTGATTATTAATCGTCTGCATCATGTGGGTTTTTATGCACCTTTCTCAGCTTATTTTTTTATTAAAGCAAATTCGCTAGCTATGCAAAATACTAAATATTAATGTCACTTGCAGGTCATAAGGCCCTTTCTACTAAGAAGGAAAAAAAGTGAAGTTGAGAAATTCCTTCCTGGAAAGACACAAGTCATACTGAAGTGTGATATGTCGGCTTGGCAAAAATTGTATTACAAACAAGTTACAGACGTAGGCAGGGTTGGTCTTCATTCTGGTTTGTAGCTAAACTTTTAACTTCTACTCTCTCCAAAATGTTTTTATCTTTCGGTAAAGAACATAAATCAGGAAGTTAAATTTGCTAATGGAGTCCTTATGTACAGGCAATGGGAAATCAAAGAGTCTGCAGAATCTGACAATGCAATTAAGAAAGTGTTGTAACCATCCGTACCTATTTGTTGGAGGAGATTATAACATGTGGAAGAAGCCTGAGATTGTGAGAGCTTCAGGAAAATTCGAGCTACTTGATCGCCTCCTTCCAAAACTGAAGAAAGCTGGACATAGAATTCTTCTCTTCTCTCAAATGACTCGTCTCATCGACCTTCTCGAAATTTACTTGACACTCAATGACTACATGTACCTCAGACTCGACGGTACCACAAAGACAGACCAAAGAGGGGTTTTACTGAAGCAATTCAATGAACCGGAGTCTCCCTACTTCATGTTTCTTTTGAGCACACGTGCTGGTGGTCTTGGTTTGAACTTACAAACTGCAGACACTATTATTATATTTGACAGTGATTGGAATCCACAAATGGACCAGCAGGCGGAGGATCGTGCGCATCGGATAGGGCAGAAAAAGGAAGTGAGAGTGTTTGTTTTGGTTAGCATTGGCTCTATTGAAGAAGTAATATTGGAGCGTGCAAAGCAAAAGATGGGCATTGATGCCAAAGTCATACAAGCAGGACTCTTCAACACAACTTCTACTGGTAAAAAGTCCTCACGTATATATTCTTATCGATTAAAACATGATTTGGAGACTAAATGCTATTCTCTTTGAATCATCAACAGCTCAAGACAGGAGGGAGATGCTAGAAGAGATCATGAGCAAAGGAACAAGCTCACTAGGGGAAGATGTGCCAAGTGAGAGAGAGATTAACCGGCTCGCGGCTCGAACAGAGGATGAGTTTTGGATGTTTGAACAAATGGACGAGGAAAGACGTAAAAAGGAAAACTACAAGACACGTCTCATGGAAGAGAAGGAAGTTCCTGAGTGGGCTTACACTTCAGAGACTCAAGAAGACAAGAACGATTCGAAAAACCATTTTGGTAGCCTCACGGGTAAACGGAAACGAAAAGAAGCAGTGTACAGCGACTCTTTAAGCGATTTGCAGTGGATGAAAGCGATGGAGAGTGAAGACGAAGATGCTTCCAAAGTCTCTAAGAAACGAAAGAGAAGGGACACAAAGACACCAATGAGTAATGGGTCAAAGGCAGAGGCAGAGGCAGAGTCGAGTGGAAGCGAAGAGGAAAGAAAGGAGGAGAGTGGGAAAGAGAGTGAAGAAGAAAACGAGAAGAAGCCATTAAATAGTTGGAAAACTCATAAGAAGAAACGGTCAAGATACTCTCTTATGACTTCTTCACCTAACTCTAGAGGTAAAAGTAGCTCCAACGGAAGCAAACGAAACTGAGAATAAGGTTTCTCTACAAGTATTAGGCATTTGTGTTTGTCTTCAAGTATTAAGCATGAAGCCCATTTTCTCATAAATTAGTGTCTCTTGTTTTTTTTTTTTAATTCAAACCTTCGCAAAAATATTCAGAGCTTAATGGTAAAAATATAGATTGTATTGACTATAGTATATGCTCACACATTTGATTTAAGTTTTGTTTTTTTGGTCATTTGGCCTGATTTCTCAAGAATCTATTCATTTCTTTTTCTTTTAAGTTACAACTGGACATCATTTCTTTTCTATCATCATCACATGTACCTTTGCAATATTACACACTTAGCTCAAATACTATTATACTATTACTTGTGTTTTGCAAATCTAATTAGTGTTTTAGATTACCCTAAACAAAGAGAACAAAGATTGTTTTGATCAACATGAACCTGAAACTGGAAATCGATAACTAAATCTATAATTAGCGGTGAAAAGAAAAGGAAATTTGATCCATTAAATTAGGATATAGCATTAGGTATATTTCTAAAACCAAATTTATAAAAGGTTGGCAAATTAGTATATAGATGGAAGGAACACTTACAGTAATTCCTTAAGCTCATAGAGAGGATAAAAAGATCAAGAAGATGACCACCACCGTGAAAATTATGTCCTTTGCTATGCTACTTGTTCTTCTGTTCTCTATTGGTTAGTCACTCACCATAAATTTTGATCTTTTTGGATATACAAATATGAATTATACACAAATATTTTTGTTTGATCTTTACGTGAATCATAAAAGTGAAAAATCTTTGTTTACATGTTATTAGATGTCGTTGAAGGATCTGGAAATTCGTTGTGCTGTAACACACATTCAAAATTTGGAGCTTGCAAAACGTACCAAGACAGAAAGAGATGCAACAAATGGTGTAGTGATGGATGTGATAATAAGAAAGGCGGTTTTTGCAAACGTGTTGCTGATGGAGCAAAATGCCATTGTTACTGTTGAAAAATATATGTTTATGCTTTGCGTTTGCAATCATCAATTGCTTACTCAAAATCTTGTCTTGATTGTGTCTTTCCTGAAACTTCTTTCAACGTTGGTTTTAACTTTTCAAGTTAACAAAATTTGTTTAAAAATTGTATCTAAACCAAAACGGTACCAAAGCAAATCGAATTTAACAAAAAGACTAATAGAAGCTATCGGCAAAAAATTACCAAAGTCTCAATATGTTTTGATCTTTTTAGCAGCAGCTAAAGTAATACTGGTACAAAACAAACAAAAACATTGAAAAGTACCAACATCAAAAGGACTTAATCTTCCTGATTAACTTCAAGGTTCTTCAGCTTCGATTCCAGCTCACCATTCCCGTTACCTTCGTTCTCTTCCTCTTCTTCGTCTTCCTCATCATCATCTTCTTCTCCATCAGGATCATTCTCGTCCAAAGCTCCAAGTAACTCTGGAGATTTCTTGAATATCTCTTTCAATTCTTCAATGCCTTCTTCCGATATGATGTTCCCGTCGATGTTCAACAGCTTGAAAGCTTCCTTCTTCACAACAACATGAGCCAAGGCCCGTGCTCCGGCTCTTCTTACGTAATTCGTGCTCATATCGATGTATTGCAATTTCGAATGATCCTCCTCCATACTCTTTGCAATCTGGACACATCCCTCATCTTTCAGCTCATTCTCAGACAAATTCAACTTGTTCAGATCTTGTTTTGCTGCTACACAGGCTGCGATAGCTGAAGCAGCTTCAACTGTTATGTCATTTCCTGCCATCTCTAGAACTTCAATGGGTGAAGCAGACTCCTTTAGAGCGTTTACTATGGCTATGGCACCTTCATCCTCTAGATTTAGATAACTCAAGTAAAGCTCAGTCAAGTGTTTGAAGCTTGAAAAAGTTTTGCTCAGAGAAACTCCGGCTTCTGTGCCAAACATATTATCCCGCAGATCAAGTTTCTCCATATGAGTACAATGCTCAAGTGCTTCTGACAAGGCGATTCCCCCTTCTGAGCCGACTCTTGTGGAAGAACACCGGAAATTCTCCAGCAGTGGCGAACGCTTGACAACCTCTGCAATTGCGAGTGCCCCTTCATCTCCCGTCATGTTATTATGAAAATGAAGGACCCTCAAATTCTCTGTTGAAGGAATCAACTCGGAGACCGCTTGTGCAGCTTCCTTAGAGATACCATCATTCATCAAATACAGCTCTTCCAAAGAGCTCAGAGATTTTAAGAGTGCCCCAAATGCTCTAACACCCTTCTCACCCAATGCATTCTCAGATAAGTTGAGAGATGAGAGAATACTACCTTGCAGTGCGTCAGAAAATATATTCATAACCTCAAGAGCTTCAACCTCGGGACGTCCAGCAACAAAGTCGGACAAGTCAACTTCCTTAAGCTGATCTTTCAGAGACACCAAGATAGGCTCGGCGACACGAGCAGCTCCTAAGCCAAAACTCCTATTGCTAAAGCATATCTTAGTGTAAGCATTGCCAGGTGCCTTCAAAGGTTTGAGAAGCTCCTCAGCCTCCTCAGCCTCAATGAAAGCCCGTTGGCCTTTAGAAATATCGAAAAAAGTTTCAAGGGGAGACGCAGAATCCTCAGAAATCAATTCTCTAGTGGCAACCTTAGCAACAGGACCTTTCTTGAGAACTTCCAAGATAAGCTTACTGCATTCTTTAGCATAAAGCTGTACAGCAGAACCGCCATCACCATCAGGTTCCCTCTCAAACTGTTGGTTAGCAATGGAAAAGGCAATGTCCTCGATCCTCTTGGCATTCTCCATAGCCTGCTCTTTGGTTAAGCTCCCGTACTTGTCAGTAAAAATGGTCTTAGAAGAAAGGTTGTTGGTAATGCGCTCAATGAGAGCTTTTCTTGTAGGTAAACTCGGTGGCCACAGTTTAATCGAAAATGTATGAGGTCGGGAATCAAGCGTATCAGCCATAATCACAAATCCGGAGTTTTATATCACTGCAAAACACACAAGCTATAGCTAATCAGAGGAAGTTCTATGCTTTAGTAATTGTTAATGACCAAAGATGATTAACATTGAGCCTAAAGGAATAAACTAATCGCACTATCAGTAAAGAATCACACTTTCGATAGATTGATGAATTGGGAGAAAAAAATCAATGAGATTGAATCTTATAATAATAAATCACAAAATACTTTGCATAAGAATCTATAACAGAGATTAAGGAGAGTAATCTCGTAAAGATCGGAGAGCATATTCCCTAAAAGTTTGCAGAAGAAACATTTAATATAATCGCGAGTTACATCGGATCCGACAATTTCTCCGTTTGCCGATGAGAATACAAGGGAAAGAAAAGCGTACCGAAACCGATGAGGAGCTCTAGAGTCTCTGCCTGCGAAATCAAAGTGTGTTTTAGGGTTTCTCGAAATCCAGATATAAAAAAAAAAAGAATTTCACCGCCGGAGCTCTTTAAATCTCCCTCCTACTACGTTGAACTAAAGTCTATAGACTTTCACCATTAAATTATTCAGGGAAAAAAAAAGTTTAATAATTCAACGTGACTGTGGAAGAAAACGTAATAAATTAGAAATCAATGAATCTTTGAGGTTAAGAAAACTCATTTAACCCGACCATGACATGTGAATGGTGATTCAGTGGTTTCTGCTATAAAATAAAATACTTTAATCTTCAACGAAAATACTTTCGATTGATTTATTCTTAAAACATGTGATGTACTGTATATCATCATCATCTTCAAATGTTTTGAAGATTCGAAGATTGGAGTCTCAACAATACAATTTTGAATGATCTCTTAAATCATTCAGACATGAACTCATTAGTCACCACTACCAATATCCAATCAGTCAAATCATCACAAGTCACAATTAGGTTAGTCAAAATCCTACCCAAAGTATCTTTTTTCTTCAACAGAGAGGATACTTGGAGAGTGGGTTTTTGAATTGAATAATGGGAGTTTACCACAATGGGTATTTTTTGGATACAAAGGACGCGATTTCCTTCAAGACCGATTGTGATCATAAGAGATTAATACAATACAAATGACCAAAACGAACCAAAAACCACAGCAAATAACTATAACAACTCAAGACAGGACGATAAAGACCTCTAATGGCGGCTCTTGATCTCTCTCTCTCTCTATATATATTTTCCTTGTCTACTTACCTCTAGTTAAGTGCAGTCTTCTTCTTCTTCTTCTTCCACATTCTACAGCCTCAAGCTTTGCAGGTTTGTAGTTGACTTTGTTAAAGCTCTACAAAAGTACTCTCTTATCTCTGGTATTGTTCTCTGCACCAGCTCGTTCTGCCTGCATTTTCCATTCACAATGTTTCACACTATTAGCTGAGTGATACACAAATCTTAGGGGAGAGAGAAAATGAGATCTTGTTTATATTACCAAGGCATTGAACTCAGTTTATCGAAATGCTCCAGGATGAACAAGATACAAGCTTGCCTCAGCGACATCGCATGGAATGCTTCTGAGAGTTCGTACATGTCTCCTATGCTTTCCAACGTTATATCCTTTCATACATACGCAAAGTTACCACGTCAGATTTCCATAAGTATTATGCAAACCACATAACATTACATAGCGATATAATTTTGGCTCACTTGAGCAATTGTGTATTCACAGAGTCGTTTCAGGCCCTCCAAGAGATACTGATCCGCTGCTCTTAGAAGATCTTTTGATATCTCATTTGTTATGTCGACAGATCCAGTGTATATAAACCTGAAAATCATAATCAAAGTGAGATAATTACGTGTGTATGAAAAGTTCTCACAGACTTTTCGAAATCTCAATATCTCGAGTGAGTCAATTAAAAGCCTGTAGAGGTTCATCATACCTCATCATTAACTCAAACACCTCCCATTTGATATTCGGAATCTCAATATCTCTAGCGTCTTTTTCCTGGTGTAAACGAAACACAAGCCGTGACACATTTCAGCTCTAATTTCCCCACAAGATAAATATATTCTTTCGATAGAGAGCAGCGCAGCATACACCCATAGGTCATTGTCATCATAATACCATATACTCCACAAGAACATTATCGAAAAGCCAAAATATTTAGTTCACTTACTCTGTAACCACCATCAAACATTGCACGAAATGCATCTGAGGATGCCAGCAGACAAATTCTGTGTGCATAGAATGTCCTTCCTGCAGGATGATTTTTCTGTTTTACATATGGACTTTGGAGCTAACTAGACTTCCTAAAGTTCTGGATTAATATGTGATTACCTTCGACTAGAAAGGTTACATCAGACAGCGTAGCATTATTTACATATTGCTCTCCGAGATAAACCTGTCAGAAAAAGACATACAGAATACTGCATTGAGACTTCCACCCCTTACCCTTACGTATTGGAGAACTGAAGCAAAAAGGAAACTCACCCTTTGTGTTGGAGAAGGAGGAGCAGCATCAACTGGAGAAAGTGCCATAGATTTATTTGCTAATTTGTACAACGCTGCCGCACCATCAAGTTGCTGCTTAGTGTTTAAAGAACCAAGAAGACCGAGTAGCAACTCCAACCCTGTCAAAAGACAACTCAATATTAAACTTTTTGGACAAAGAACATCTAAACTGGACGGTTATTAAACAGCGAGTATGCATCTCATTAGCTCATATAAATTTTTAAGAAAACTGTCACATGCCATTGTCATCTATGAATATGGTTCTCTGATCCTCGGGTGAACAGAGATGAGCAAGAGCAAGAGCAACTCGTCTTTGGATAGACTTCTCTGAAATGCGCATTAGGTACAACAGATGTCTCAGAACCTACAAAGGAAAATCAAAGCACAGAAATCTCAAAGGTTGAATAGAGAAATGCTAAACTTTAACAGAGCTTCAGAAACTCGACCAGGATAAAGCAGTTTCACTACAAATCGTCAATTGTGTATTTTTTTAGTCATCAAACATGGAAATAACAAATTTAGTTTCACTTACTCTTCCATGAATCTTCTCCTCCAATCTCTTTAGCGTTTTGGAGACACAATCTTTAGTTGCCTAAAAAATCATGGTACATTATAAACACCTTAAGAGGAAGAGTAAAACAAATACAATTAAAGCTGCTATGAATTTTCAGTATTTAGCCAACAAAGGAGTATGACAATGAGGTTCTGCAAAGTAGAGGAAGGGTAACAACGCCATACATACTTGAACAATAAACTCTCCATCCTGTAGCTTTTGGATACCTCCCACCCTGATAAAATCCGACACATTATCCTAGGGGAAGAAAAATGGATCAATAACCCATTTATTGACGTTTACCATCAAATTTTGCATACTGATTAGAACATATACCGAAAGTAGCACACAACACACCTCATTATCGGCAAGGCCATAAAGAGCAAATGCAGCATTGTGTTGCAATGATCCATTTCTTGAATCGAGAAGCTTCAGTAAAGGTCCTAAACCACCACTATGGGCAATACCAGCTTGATTGTGGGCATCCTGTAAGAAAGAGTATGCTATAAATCAAAAGACACATCGGTTTGTTATTTAATATAACTCACTACTTATAAGTCCATTCTACTTGAAACAGTTTTAGAAACACAATAAGAAAACCCATCTTCCACAACCGTGGAAGCCAGCTTTTTTAGCATCTGTGAATCAAACAAATCTAGGAGTAACCAATAAGAAACAGTTGACAACCAGGGCAACGGCAAATTATCCAGGATCACTAGGTATTATTTGAAAACACTAAGAAAAAAAAGCTACAAAATGATAACAGTTGTAGTATCAAATGTTTGATCTGGAAGTAAGAAGAGGCAACATCTAAAGAGCGAAATTCCTATTTTACAACGCTCAAATGGGAATGCATCAACTTTCAAAACCGAGCTACCAAAAGTTTAAAAACAAGAACCTGCGCCAATCTACCCAGTGCAAAGGCCGACATTTCCTTCAACTGAACATCCGGTGACTGTAGCATCTCAATCAAAGGACGGACAGCACCCCTTTGCACAATGTGCACCTGCAAAGTTATAATTTTGAGCATGAAGTGAAATATAAACAAAAGACAATATAAATCAGGGAAAACGGTAGAATTAGTGGGAAATGGAAAGGTATATTCTACAGATCAACAGTAACAAACAACTTATCACTTCGTAGAACCAAACAGAGAAAGAGATTAGGCTCTGAAGGAATGGGAAAAGAGTTGAGGATAGAAAACCTGGGATGAAATTGTACCTTACAATCAGAATCAGTTGAGGCAAACTGCCCAAGTAATAAAGCCGCCTCTCTTTGGCTCTCAGGGCAACAGGAGCTGTAATATACAAATTCAAGAAATCACAAGAATGAAATTGGGGTTAACAGCAAAGCATCTTAACAAAAGAAAAACCTCAGCAACAGAGAAGCTGGTAAGATTTACAGAAATTTCAGATCTATTCAAAGTCATAACAAGCCTATGCTGAATAATGTACATCAAAATGGTGACTGTCCACATACCTGAGAAGACCAATGACAGGTTGCAAAGCCCCAGCAGCAAGAACCTCTTTTTTGATGTGTGGAGACGAGTGTACTAGATTGCCTATAACTCCAACCTAAAAAAGCATGACTCAACTGATTATTTCAATGTCAATCCCGGATAGATAAATAAGTAGCAAAACAGTGGATAATAAATACTCTCGACCAGTAAAGATTCCTAACCGCTTCATAATGTATAGCAGCATCCTCTGATCCTAGCATTAGAATGAGTGTGGGAAGAGCATTGCACTCAACTATCTGCAAAGAAAATAATTATCATGATCCGGCCAAATCTAAGTAGAAGCTGTAAGATAGCAATATTTACCTGGTTCTTGTTATCATCATTTTTAAATGCAAGGGTTCTCAGTGCCCCAGCTGCTGCTCTCTGAACCTTTGAATCAGAAAATTCAAGCAACTCCACGAGAGGTGGAATACCGCCTTCTACCCTGTTTGTCAAACTGGTAGTCATGAGGATAGAGTTGTACTGAAAACAAATCTCGAAAGGAGGAAATCACTAAAATAAATGCTGACCTAACACGGGTCTTGATACTGCTGTTTTCATGAGCAAGATTGGTGATGGCATCAGCCGCTCTTCTGATAACACTATTCACAGCTCGAGAGCTAGAACCATCTTTGTTTCTCTTCAACAGATTCACTAGATGAGGTAAGGCACCTTTGTCTACTATTAGTTTCTGATACTCTGGCTGTTAAGAAATCAATTCCACAACACGATCACACAAACTATACACAATCCCCTCCGTGTATAAGAGTTCAATTACCAAAATTTTGCCTTACAAAACTAGATATGGATCAACATAACATAAAAGGAAACTGCTTTCTAACAAGTTAACAAGCTATAGAAGAAACTGACTGAGGGAAAATGAAGATAAAAACCTTAATTGCTAGAAGACCAAGCGCAAAAGCGCTTCCCTTCTCAACCTCGTGTTCGTACGGCTTCTCAGCCAAGTCCCCGTCGTTGTACGGCGGCGCCTGTAGATGCGTCATAAGAGCTGGAACAGCACCTCCGTCGACAATTACGTTCACTAAATCCTCTGCTGAACATCACAGGTCACTAGTCATGCAACAAAATATGAAGAAACCGCAGAAAAAGGAGTAAGATCGGAAACTGATCTTCACCGTTTTTAGCGAGCTCAGCCAGGACTTGAGTTGCGCGCTTAGCAGCAGCGCGATCCGATTCTTGCCAAGAGAAGGCAGAGTTTAGAACCGAAACTTGAGCAGCAACCTCGCTGAGAAGCGCTTGGCCTCCGTCGGTGGTGACGGCAGAGATCTGTCGATCTTCTACGGCGGCTGCTCCTTCCTCTAGCTTTCTCTTCTGTCCTTTGCGCTCCGGGAAACTCCGGCCTTCTCGCCTCTCCGGTTGTTGCTCCATCGTTCACAAAGTGAAAGACGATCCGAAGAAGAGGAGAGATCAGAGAAGAAGAAGAAGAAGAAGAAGAAGCAGCGTTTTGAAATGCAATCCAAGCACAAAAGAGATCAGGGGTATTTTCGTTATTTCAATTATCCCTTTATTTTTAATTTTTTTCTTATATCTAGTTTTTCTAATTTAAATTGTTAAAAAAATATTCAAATTCTTGGGATTAGACACAAATATTCAAATTTCAATTACCCCTTTATTTTAAAATTTTTTTCTTATATTGTTTTTTTTTTTAATTTCCAAAAACGTATAATTGAAACGATTTTAAATTTTCATTACATATATGTTTGTTATACATTTAAAATGATTTTCTAGCGACATAATGGCTTTGATTGGTAACAGCTTTACAAAGCGGTACAAAACTTTACAAGACATACAGCTTTGACAGTTACCAATCATAAAAGTTTTATCAAAAGCGTTACAAACAGTTTTACTCTTACCTTTTTGTACATCTTTTCTGTACAGCTCTTTCCTGCAATTTTGCACTATTCCGATAAAGCTTACAGCTCCAGCTAACAGCTAAAAAGTTTGTACAGGTTACCAATCAGATCTAATGCTAATTTGCGCTCCTCGCCGGTGGTGAGTGTATGGTAACTTGAAAAGCTTGTCCCACGACTAAAGGGTTATGAGGTTGTGCATTTTTTTTTTTTTTTTTTTGTATAAGAGGTTGTGCAGTTTTATTGCAACAACTAAAACTTATTTTGATGGTTTAGTCATTATTATTTGGTATTTATAAAAAATAAGTGTAGAAGGCTTTTGGACTTTTGGGTGGTCTGCCACAAAGGAGACGTGTATGAAAGTGTGAATAAAAATATTAAAGAGGGAAGAAAGAACTGTTTCTTTAATTTGAGAAGATAAAAGGAACTATTTCTTTATAAATGGTGACCACACGAAATGAAAACTTCGGAGGCACGAGCATGCTTTGTAGAAACAAAGGAAAAAAAAAAGCGACAACAAACGATAAAGTGAAGGAAAATTAAAGGTTTATTAGTAGTATTCATAGCTCATTATGATATATGGAATTCAGTAGAATTGGGTGTTCAAAAAAAAAAAAAGGAATTCAGTAGCGTATAGTATCTTTTTGTATCTCTCACAATAGCATATTTCTTGATACATTATTTGTGTTTGTAAAAATGTGATTTATTCACTATGAGATCATAAGAAATAATTATAGTGAGGTCTCGGCAAATGCCTAGATAGTTCAGTCAAAGTAGTGAGTGATGTGTGTGATGCTATGTAGTAATGTGTGAAGCTACCTGGTATCCATATGTATACATTTTTTTTAAAAAAAATGTATATATATATACATGTTACTTGCAATTTAGTTTATTATACATTTCATATAAATAATATATTTGTTTTCCACCGCAACTTCAAACTATTTAATATGCTAATAAAATGCACAAATTAAACTCATGTAAGTTGTTTAACTGGTTATGTGTGTGTATTTTACTCGACATAACTCAATCAACAACATAATATAATGTGGAGTGTCCAATAACTAGATTTCCAAAAATAACCAGCTAAAATTTCTTATGATTTCTCATTTTTTTCCAAGAATTTTTAGTGTGGAAAGATACTTGGGTTCACTTAGGAGTAAATCTTTTTATTCACCTCTTTTTTTTTGACCAATCAAAATTTACCACCTAATTAAAAAAATTAAATTCATTTAATTGTAAAATTTAGGCATTGAATGTTTACTAGTTTTTAATTGGTTCACCGTAGGATGAAAACCAAGAATTGTTAGAAAAATATTGATTTCACCAAACAAAAATAAATACTTCTACAAGTTACAAAATTATATCTATAAATAATTTCCATAAACGTTACGTAGGACATGCCTAAGTAAAAGAAGCAACAACATCTATAACACATTTACCAAAACGCCACTACAATAATGGGCCTGAGCCAGCTCTCGTTACTGGGCCATATAGGCATGAATTTCCCACGTCAGCCGCAACGGAAATAACGGAGAGATAAAAGGACCTCTCTTTGACTCGCACTCGCTCTTCCTATTTGGTCTCCGGCTGGACCGGAGGGTCAACACCTTCTTCTATCTGACCTTATGATACAGAAAAACTGTAATTTCTCAATTAGAATGAATCGATAACTCAAATTGGATTAACGTTCATAAAACGCAAAACCAAATCTCAAATGCTTGAGTATAGATTGAAGAAACAACCCCAGCAAGTTGAGTACAACACCATAACAATCTCAGAGAGTTAACAAAAGAAAAGAAGGAGAAAGAGATAACAATCTCAAAACAACAATTTCACATGAATGTCTGTAATCTGTTTTTGCTTCCTTTTAACGCTTCTTCTTCACAATCTTGAGCTCCAATTAATCTCAGCCATTGATCCACTTCTAATCATGACCATCCACGTGTCATTAACTTCACCAATCTCATTTTCCTATATCACCTTACCTAAACCCTGAACCTTCTCCGTCTCTCACAGTCACATGCAGCCAGACCATTGACATTGTTTTATCTGTTTGTTTCCTGCCTTTGAGATTGTTGCAAAACAATAGTCTAATGGGCCAAGTTCCAAGCAATCTTCTTCATAAACCAAGACTTTATCTTAGGTAAGTCCAAAAATTCCCTAGTAGTTTTCACCCATCTGATCAGAGTTGTGTTATATCTCACCTTGAACGGTCTAATATGCACACTTAGCTTCTTGACGAGTTCTAGACTTCTATTAACCCTTTTTGTTTCAGTCTCCACGTTGATGAACTACCAACAAAGACAATAGGTGCTCCAATTTGCTTAAACAAGAACAATATAATCCTTTTTTCACATGACACAACATGATTTAAGTTTTTGCTTCTTTTTTTTGGTAGCATGTGTGTGAAGTTAGATGTCTAATAGTATATTAGTGCAAACATATTTATTGTTACATTCTTCAAAAACTGGTTAGGGTGAGTGGTTTCGCTTCGTTAAGAATTTTGTCATGTTGGTTAGGCCAAAGAATCCTTTCAAGTGAGAAATTATCTCCACCGTTCCGCTTGACTCTACATGTAGACATTTTAAGTGGCAAGAAAACTCGGATTTCCAAAGACCCGAAACTATTTTAAGGTCCAAGGCTGAGACACTCTGTACACACTAGTTTTGTGTCCATCCATTATTTGCTGTATTTTTGTGTAATGAAAGAAGACAGCGTGGCATTATCATGATTGAAGTCATATATGATCTAACGAATACGTCAAAGATTGATTCCACTTTTACAGAGTTAGACATTATATGAATTTTATGTCAGGGTTTAGTTTAAATGTTGGGTTTATAACGTTAGGCCAGCTGAGAGAGTTACAGAAGTGGACCCTGTCCTATAAACGTTGAGCCAAAGTCACTTGGTGGATTTATACTGAGAGAAAAGGATCTAAACAAAACATCTGAAACTTGCATGTGCACATCATTCATTATCAAACACTATTTGCTCTTTCGTTATCTTTGGCATTTACTCTCTTGTCTCTCTCTCTCTCTCACCTTTTTCAAATCTTAAACTTACAAATCATCTAAAGTGTAAACCAAAGATTTGATCTTTCTAATAAACCCAAACCTTTGAAAACTTTAGGCTTAGATACAGACAGAGATAAACAAAAAAGAACAAGACTTTCGAATCCAAAAACATAATGAAATGAAAAAGCATAAAAATGGGTGTATTCATCTTATTGTTTTCGGGTATGAAAATGCCCTTCACATTTACACTGTCACACCTCAGATCTCAGTCACAAAGATCCATCTAATCACAAAAAACCCAACCAAAGGAAGGATAGATATAAGTCACAAATAGATAAAAACAGATATGTTGCATCAAGTTCGTCTCTCTACTCTGTTTTTCTGAAGCCTTATAGGAAACAGAGGAGGTAATCGAGCAGAGGACTTAGACGGAGTACAAACAGGAACATGAATCATTGGTCTTATCCTCATAGTCACAGATCTCGTTCTCTCTAACCCTTTCTTACCTCTCTTCCCTTCCTTCTCTCTCTCCTCCTTCTTCACCGCATCCCCAATCGAACTCGAAGAAGACGAAGTCGAGCTTGAAGAAGAAGACGGTGAGAGAGACGATACCCTCGTTGACGAAACCGTCGTCGTCGTAGTCCTCTGTTTCTTCAACCGCAAAAGCTCTTTCCACAGTACCGTGCACTTTGGTGGACGTGGAGATGGATCGTCGTCAAGAAACCAGCTTCCTCTGTTGTTGTTGTTGTTATTCTCTTGTTCCTTGTTGTTATGAACAAGACCCTCCTCTTTCACTACTTTCTGATCTTCTTCTTCTTCGACTTCGACTTTTGTTTTCAAGGTAACGTTTTTAAGCTTCTCTGAATGCTTAACCTGCCAGAAAGGAAGTAACTTTCCTTCAGAGAACAACTCGTCAGCGCTAAGCATTGTTGCGTTTTCAGACAGAAACTCAAAGTCTCCGGCTTTCACTGAGGTCTTGTCTTTTTCTTCTTTACCCACAATGAGATTCATCACAGGGTTGATGTAGATGAAATCTCCGTCGCTATCTGATGATGACAAATCCGCTGAGAAGGAAATGCGAGGCCCTGTCAACGACTGTTCAGCCTCCGCCATTGTCGCCGTTTCTGCTGATACCATGATCGTACTATGTAACAATGGAGCTAGTTATGAAGTTACAAACAAAGCAACGTGGAAGATAGAGCAAGTGGACTCTGAGAGAGAGAGAAGTGAAGATGAGGATAGCATTTATATAAAGGACAGAGAGAGAGGTAATGAGGTAAGACCACATGGACACGTTGAGAAGGAGACAAATTACAGAGTTGTAAGAAGGAAGAGAAGAAGGAAGAACCTATGGAAGATGAACATGCATTATGCAAATAAAATATTACTCATGACTTCACATCGATCGGGAGATGCGTTGGATAAATAGTAAGAATATCAAATATTTATTTTGTTATTTCAATGATTAAGTCTGGTTAATTATTAAGAAATCATTTGAATAATGTAGATGTGGATTTGTAAGATGGATCAAGGGAGGTTTGACTGAAGATTAAGGAGGAAGAATTGAACAGTGAACACATGTACTCACATGACCTTCGTTTCTTTGCCATGTGAAAACAAGTACAACTCCTAATAACACATCTATTTGTGTTCTTCTCACAATAATTTACCATTGGGGTATATCAAAAAGTAATTACCGTTTACACAGTAAAAAACGAATTTTATATGATATATCATCGGAAATATTAAAAAAAAGAGAAAATTAGATTGGGTACCACTTTTGAAAGAAAGTTTAGGCCCAGTACCATATTTGGGAAAAACTTTTGAAATGTACCACATTTCAGTGCCACATGCATAAAGTCGGACGAAATTGCCCTTGATGGAGAGAGAAGTGTGTGTCAGAGAAAGGGACACCTTCCGAAATTTCTGCCGTCTTTTTTCTCTCTCTTGGCGCATTGGTAACCGTTTCGCCCCTCTGGCTGGTAAAACAAAGTTGTCCCCGTGTAAATCCAGATCTTCGTCTTCGGCTCTCTGGCAGAATAAAATAAAGATCAAGTTGTCCCCGAGTTAATCCAGATATCTGGCTGGTAAAACCACATCATCTGGCGATGGATAATCAAGAGATGTTGTCCCCGAGTAAATCCAGATCTCTGCAGGCTGGTAAAACCATATCATCTGGGATTCATGATAATAGAGCAAGCTGATGAAATCGGGGACAAGATCTAGACGCAACAGAGAATTTTCAATCAGGGACAAGATCTGGAGACAAAACGAAAGCGTTTATTATGAGACAAGATCTGAAGAAGAAAGAGAAAGGGAAAGTGAGAGAGAGACGAAAGAGTTTTGTTTTCTCTGAGGGGGATAATGATGTGGGGTTAAAGTGCACGGATCTCGAGGGATGAGAGATTGGGAAGCCAAAAAGTGGATGTTGTCAAGTAGTGAGGGCAAAATGGTAACTTTGCATGTAAATGTGGTATGATTTGAAAGAAAGATAGGAATGTGGTAGATTTTGAAAGAAATTGGGAAAAAGTGGTACATTTGGCAAAAATCCCTAAAAAAATTTGTCTTTAAAATCATTTTCAGATTATAGCCAACTGTCGGATAAGACGAGATATCACCTATTATTGATTTATTTCAACTTCTGCATATGAATAGTTGGATACAAATGTAATGTTTTATATTGGTAACCAATAATGGGTATTGGGTATTCTAACAGCTTAACAAAAATGATGATTACTCGATATATAAACTTGGAGACACTTTTGATCAGCGGGTTTCTTGGTGTTGGACCACTCCTTTCTTTGTTTTGGTGCAGAATTATCATTGCCAAAATAAATACTACAATTATTATTACGATTACATAAATACATCCCCTTTTTAAGTGCCAATATGCTTCTTCTATTGTTTAGTTTTTATTTTTCTGCAACAGTGCAAATATTAAATGCTGTCGTTGAGAGCAGTGAGAGAGAGAGAGAGACAGCGATGTTACCAAAGATCTTAATGTTACTAAACACATGTCACTGTTTATCATTAACTGTCCATTACCAATGCAATGCAAAATTCAAAATTCCAGTCTATCCTCTACATTTCAATACTACTTGTTTCCACTAATCAATCATTAACCACACTAGTTATATATTAACTCATCACTACATCAATCTTTTAAGTTGTATAATATACCTCTATAAGAAACAAGAATCAATGTGCTCAAGATACTAGAGGTCCCCAAAACAATCATATATATAGTGCATTTCGCTGTGCTTGTGTTTAGATAAACATCAAGATGGTCAAGGGAAATATGAAGAGACCCCCATAATTAAATGAAGACTTCATTATTGGCTAGCTATGATAAAAAAACATAGAAGTGAATATCTTAGTTTGTACTAATGTATAAGAGAAATAAAGTGTAGAGGAGCTTTGACTTTGACCACATTATTAGAATCTTTATTCACGTATAAACGATTCTCAATGCAAAGAAGCACATGTATCTATCCCACTTAGAGCCAAACATATGCATATGTGGTTAATGTTGTTGAACTTCTACTCCACGTATATGATTAATTGTACGACCATCATCATCATAATATCTTTTCGTAAACCCCTAACAAAATCTATCCCTGAGCATATGTAATGTCATGTATAACTCAATTTGGGGATATCTGAGTTTATGTTTAACTACAAGATGTCACTGTATTTTGGTTTGATTAAGTGACCTAAAGGTTTTGACAATAACACAGATGCAAAAAAAAACAAAAAAACCACCAAAAGCATTGTCGATCAGGGGATCAATTCTAGATTTCGACTATTTGGGGTGTAAGGATGACCGATCAACGATCTTTGATAACTTTCAATCTTCAAAATGAGATCTCCGATCATCGATAAACTTCCCAAACTCAATGGGATAGGCCTACCTAACTTCAAAGAGTCATTTCACCCTGAATAATCTACACTCCTTCATTGTGACATAAACTCTGTCCGTTCAAATAATTTTTTTTTTTTTTTTTTTTTTGTCCGTTCAAATAATTTCGTTGAAACAACGCAAAATTCACATACCATCCTAAAATATGGTGTGTGACAAATCGCTCAAAGCAATATGTTTTGTCATGTAACATGTATTTTGGAATTTTATCTAGTGGCGGATAGCCATATACAAATTTTACTTCATTGTGAAGTTGATTACGAAAATAAAAAAATAACGAAAAAATTAATCTACTAGCACATAATTTTTCTTCATTTTATTTATATAATGTTTGTTTTTTTTTTTTTTTTGTAAACTCAAATTTTAAATAATAAATTAAAGAAAAAAATCCTAAAGACTAAATTTGGCGTATAGAAAAAGAGAAATTGAATTATAAAAATTTTAGTTCCTTTTTCTAATTTTCTAGTTGCTTCTACATCTATTTACCAAATCCGAAAATATTCAGAAATCAAGATACTAGATAGATCGGTCGGGATATTTGGCAGACCCATCGCGTCGTGGGTTTAGGTTTTACGTATTGGCGACAGTGAAGAAAAGAGACGATGGCGATGATGCAACCGCCGCAGCCGCAAGGCTCCTATCACCATCCTCAGACCCTCGAAGAAGTTCGAACTCTTTGGATTGGTGATTTGCAGTACTGGGTCGACGAAAATTACCTCACTTCCTGCTTCTCCCAAACCGGCGAGGTAACTCTTCATTCACCTTTTTGGTTCCTCAGCTTCTCTAAAAGTTTGTGACTTTTTATTCACAGCTCTCGATTTTCCTGGGTTTTGCTTCTAGGGTTTCTTTGCCATTTATGAACAAGATAATTTACTTTCGGGATTTGAATTTCTTGTGCTTTATTGAAACTCTGATTCTTAATATGGTTTTGTTCTCTCTCGAAAGGCTCTCACGATGTTCGATGTTCACCGTCTATAGTTATGCTCCTAATTCAATAGGTAGCACTAGGTGGATACATGTACTTCTGTATCTCCTTTTGGATTCCACAATAGGCTTTGGTTTCTGTTTCCTACAAGTAAGAATTGTTATCAGAAATTTTCTTGTAAATTCTTTTCTTTAGTCTCTAGTTTATATGTTTCTATGTGCTTAATTTCTTAAGTTCTCATGTGCTATATGATCCTTAAGTGTGTAAAGATATTCGTATCAAGATGGTAATGGCTTACATACATACATGTGCAGCTTGTTTCTGTCAAGGTAATACGTAACAAGATCACGGGACAGCCAGAGGGGTATGGTTTTATAGAGTTTATATCTCATGCAGCAGCCGAGAGAACTCTGCAGACGTATAATGGGACACAGATGCCTGGAACCGAATTAACTTTCCGCTTAAATTGGGCTTCTTTTGGTTCAGGACAGAAAGTAGATGCTGGACCTGATCATTCTATCTTTGTTGGAGATTTAGCACCTGATGTTACAGATTATCTTCTTCAAGAGACATTCCGTGTTCATTATTCTTCTGTTAGAGGTGCCAAGGTTGTTACTGATCCAAGTACTGGACGATCAAAGGGTTATGGATTTGTTAAATTTGCAGAGGAAAGTGAAAGGAATCGGGCTATGGCTGAAATGAATGGTTTGTATTGCTCAACAAGGCCTATGCGTATTAGCGCAGCGACGCCAAAAAAAAACGTCGGTGTACAGCAACAATATGTCACCAAAGGTATGATAACAAAACACACTACTTAATTTATGTTTATCGAATTTTGTTTAGTCCAGCTTATATACTGTTCAGAAATCATTTGCTTAACCGGAATTTTTCTCTAGCTGTTTACCCAGTTCCAGTACCATCTGCTGTTGCTGCACCAGTCCAAGCATATGTTGCTCAACCTGGACAGGGGCTTCCACCTGAAAGTGATGTCACCTGTACAACGGTAAGTTTTATCTTGAAAAGCTCGAGCTCTTTTTCTTGGAATGCTCCTGATTGTTCTCATGCATTGGTTTTGGTGTACAGATTTCAATTGCCAATTTGGACCCAAATGTTACAGAGGAAGAGCTGAAGAAAGCATTCTCCCAATTAGGAGAGATTATTTATGTCAAAATACCTGCAACAAAGGGATATGGTTATGTTCAGTTCAAAACCAGGTAGGCCATCCAGTAAAACTCAGAATTCATTTGTGATTGCTTCCATGTATTAGTTTGTCATGTATGCTCATTTCTAGCTCTGTTCACTAAATTTTGACTTCTTCCCCATGCTGACCCAGGCCTTCTGCCGAAGAAGCCGTTCAGAAAATGCAGGGACAAGTGATTGGTCAACAAGCAGTTCGCATCTCTTGGAGTAAAAATCCAGGACAGGTAAAAATTTATGTTATGATCTAGACTGATGTGATGTCTGGCCTTATTATACTCGCTGGTTCACTGAATGTCGTTGATGATCTTTGGTATTTGTTAAAGGATGGCTGGGTTGCACAAGCAGATCCGAATCAGTGGAATGGGTATTATGGTTATGGGCAAGGCTATGATGCATATGGTTATGGGACAACTCAAGACCCATCCTTATACGCATATGGCGGATATGGCTATCCCCAGTATCCGCAGCAGGTAAAGAAATGAACTTATTTAAGCTTTTGCGCTTTTTGGATACTTGTTGTTCTTCATGGTCGACAGTTTTTCAGGGAGAGGGTACACAAGACATTTCAAACGCTGCGGCGGGTGGAGTTGCAGGTGCAGAGCAAGATTTGTATGATCCTCTGGCCACTCCTGATGTAGACAAGTAAGATCCTTATTACTTTCTTACACATTCCTACCTGGGTTGGTGTCTCGTTGAATGCCCAATTCATTGTTTTGTTCCTTTGGCACTTGTAGGTTAAATGCTGCTTATCTTTCGGTTCATGCAAGCGTTATATTAGGACGGCAAATGTGGCAGCGTACCTCAGCACTCACATCACAATTGGGAAAATGATCTTGAAGAGAGGAATAGAATGGTGGGTGCTTTGAGATGTTTAGTGTGTCCATTTCACTGCTCCTTGTCTGATTGTTTTGCATGTTTCAGATTTTCCTGTAATCTTACAATTGGGTTCTAGTTACAATGCTAAATCATGAATCTTCCAACTTTCCGCCATGGTCGATGATAATGCCTTTTTACCGTTTATACTCAACCGTTAATTAACAAACATCTCTAATGCACAGATTTGAATTGAAAAAGAATTTGATACATTGAGAAACCTCTGAAACTTAAAATCAGTAGTAGACAAGCATAAAATATTTACGAACATGAAACACCTCTCTAGTCCCATTTTAAAGCCTTTATCCTCTCTCTTGGTGAATCATGAGCAACCCAAGCCTTCTTCTTGATGTTCTTATGTGCTTACTTGTCTGTTCCAGTAGTGTCATTTGAATGACAGTTCCCGCCGCTTCTTCGGGTTAGGATCTGGGTTACCTTTTCTCATCATCGCCACAAATTCCTCGTAGTTTATCCGCCCATCCTACAAAAAAATGTTTGTATAATTAGATTGTTGTTATATGTTCTTATCAACTGAATTTGTGATAGTAATGGGGCTTACATTGTCTCCATCAACCTCAGAAATGATTTCCTTAATGTCTCTGCCATCGTTCATACCAAACTCCCGAAGGGCTTGCTCTAGCTCTTCCATTGTGATATATCTGCAAAGAACCGAGCATCATGTGTTTTTTTGGTTTCAAATTGTATCAGAACTCTTATACATGTGCTCAATTACTTACCCACTGTTGTCTTTGTCAAAATGTTGGAAGGCTGAGTAGAGATGCTCTTCTCTGTCGAGCCTGTTGATGTGCATTGTAGCTGCAATGAACTCCCCATAGTCTATTGTTCCATTACCGTCAGCATCAGCCTATAGAAAAACAGAAAAATCAGCTCTCTACATCTTTCTTAATCGATAGATAGCACACACAAGAAAGAAAAGACTTACAGCTTCCATTAATTGCTGGACTTCGTATTCGGATAACCTTGTACCTTGCTTGGCAAGTCCTTGTCTTAGCTCCTCAAGAGTTATTGTTCCACTGTTGTCGGTGTCCATTCCTTTGAACATCTCCTTTAACCCCATGATTTCTTCCTCTGATAAGCAACCGGCTATCACCTGTTTGTTGATGAGGCAAGTGAGATATATAGAACAAAGACTCACATTGTTTGCTACATTATATGTATATCCTTTTGAGAAGATTGTTAATTACCCTTAAAGCAACTTTCTTAAAGTTGTTCATTGCTTTGAATTGTTTGAGCCTAGACATCACTGCATTGTCAAGAGGAACATCTGGTGCTTCTCCATCTTCCTTGATCCATGGATGGTCTTTTAAAACAACAAAAATGTTATAAAAAAATGAGTTCAGTGTAATATATATAGGAGCTCTTTGAATAAGAGCTGCTTACTGAGAACTTGAGCAGCGGTCAATCTTTGTTTGGGATCAGAGTTGAGCATCTTCCTAACGAGGTCCTTTGCCTGTGGTGAAATGACTGGCCATGGATCGCTTGAAAAATCAACCTGTCCACTTAGGATGGCGTTGAAAATCCCATTCTCCGACTCTGTAATTGACAAAAAACATGAATGAATCAGATGATCCATGTCCTCTGTTTTGACAAGATAGGAGGGAGTCAGAAATCTTTACCAGCCCAGAAAGGTGGAACACCACACAAGAGGATATACAACATGACACCGATGCTCCAAATATCAGCCTCTGGTCCATACTTCCTCCTCAACACCTCTGGTGCAATGTAATAAGCACTTCCCACAATGTCTTTGAACACCTCTCCTGGCTTGTAGAACACGGATAACCCGAAGTCGGTGGCTTTCAGAGGAGAATTCTCATCCTTGTTGAGCAATAAAAAGTTCTCAGGCTTCAAGTCCCTGTGGATAACCCCCATGGAATGGCAAGTATGGATAATCTGAACAATCGTCCGTAGCAACGAAGCCGCAGCTCTCTCAGAGTAATGCCCCTTTGCAATGATCCTATCAAACAACTCTCCACCTGCGCAAAGCTCCATAACCAAATGCACAGAATGCTTATCCTCATACGCTCCTTTAAGCTCCACAATGTTTGGCTGACCCGTCAAGTGATGCATTATCTGCACCTCCCTTCTCACATCCTCAATGTCTTCTTTGTTCACAAGCTTCCTTTTCGCAATGGTCTTGCAAGCGAATTGCAGCCCCGTGGCCTTTTGGGTGCAGAGATGGGTCACCCCAAACTGTCCACGACCCAGCTCCTTACCCAATGTATATGAGCTCTTCACATCTTCCATTGGTCGCCCTAAGACAGGTCCTATTGGCCCTTGTTTGGTTGCAGGAGGAGGAGATGCTGGCGGGTGTCTCGAAGCTCTCACAGAGGCTTCCGCTGTGGCGCCGCCTCCTCCTCCTCCATTTTCCGGCCTCGGTTCTTCTTTGTTATTCCCTGAATCTCGTCCATGAGAGCAACAATTTCCCATTGTTGCAATTAAGGGGAGAGGAAGTAAAGTTCTCAACCAGGAAGAGAAGTAAAATAAATTAAAGATCTTTTTCTTCCTCTGTCTATTCTTTTAGGTTTTTGGTTTCTTCTTTAGCAAGAAAATTTAGGAGTTTTTGCTTATGAATGGCTATGAATAGCATTTTTCTGTTTTTGCAAGTCTTTTAGTTTTGCTGGCCTTCACTTCAAACGATAATGATCGGGAGGGACTTTAGGAACCAAAAGCCTGTCTCTGTTTTTTGTTATTTAAAGCAACATTATTTAAAAAAAAACAAAATTATTTTAGGATTTAGTACAAAAGGTTGAGAGCATTTCATGGAGAATTACGGACTTGCCTGTAATATTCTAAATGTTATCCATAGTGTCTGAAATGAACCTTATATTATATAGTTTATTGAAAATCTGATTTGCAATGTTATTTCGAATTAGGATACAAGAAAAAGAGCTAAATAATACTAAGATGCTCAATTTCAGTAAGTAGGAATTGATGGGTCAACCTTGAGAGAATAGGCTTGTATTCCACCAGCGATGTTGTACACACTCTTGAAGCCCTAAGGAACAAGACACCAATCCATGAAGATATAATAATTGCATAATATATAAAAGGAGCTGAAAAGCTTTTTTTTTTTACCTGAGACTGTAACCAGTTGGCAACCTGCATCGACCTGCCACCAACCTTGCACTGTACCAAAGGCCGCGACTTAGAGAACTTAAAAAAGTCATTTCAACATCAGAGGTTTCTTTGTTTCAAATGATCTTAGATTTATGAGAGGCTCTCAACTCTTAACCAAATGCAACGAAAACCTCGAAAATCCATACCCAAAACAATCTGCTGGGACACCCATATAAACCAAACCCTCACTAACTGCTCTCTAACCAACCCCAACACCTCTACATTGCTACATTTAGTGTCAGGCTAGATACAATAGACCTACATCTAACAGTTGAGACGAGACTGAACATACCAAGACAAATGTATCCTTCTCAGGGTTCAGCTTTGAAGTGATGTCTGGTGCCCAGGTTCCGAATTGACGGAGCGGGAACACTTGGAATCCTGGCAAGGATGCAATGGCTCTGGTACAAGAAGTAGTGACACAGAATAGAAGAAAACAATGTGAGTTGACTATGGATACTTTGTCCTCCTTCTAAGATAAAAATGTGCAAGGTACACATGTATCTAAATGGCAGAACAATCAAACTCTGCAAGATACACATGAATCATAATGTTGAGAAAGTATGAAGCTAATCTATTGGGCTTCAGTGAAGAAGGAAAAGTATGTCAAGATGAGAAATTAAAGGAACTTACATCTCGTCAGGTTCTCTGACATCAATTAACTGAGCCTCATCCATGAAAACTGGATCTTGCATTTTGGAATGTAGCTCCTCTACCTGGATATCTTTCACCGGTTCCCTGTCAATATAAACTTCTTGTCAAGAAATTTTACAACAGTCGATAGAAAATGTCGCTAACGGAGGAGGATAGTTTTCAGAAGAATTACCTCTCAGATAGAACTTGCAATAAGTGCAAGCCAAATTGGGTTCTACACCTCACCACCTGATTCGGCTCTGCTTTAAACGCAGCTTCCTCAAACTCTGGTACCTGAAACAATTTTAAGTGGTCTGTCATGTTCATATTGCAGCAGGAACTTGCATGGGGAAGTCCAAACATTGTGAAATTACTTGTATCATTGGTTACATTCTACTACTCCTATTTGCACATGGATGTCAATACTAATAGTTAATTCACCAGGAATAGTTACATGACCCAATTGCTTGTGAAATAACGAGGCTAAGACAGCAAGGGTCCTATAGATCTGAAGGTGTCTATGCAACAATATAACCAAAATAAATGGATAATATTATCAAAAAGAAAGCATACCATTTGACCCAGTTTTACCCATCCAAGTATACCACCGTCCTTTTTGGATGGACAAATCGAGTACTCAGCCGCAAGATCACTCATCTCCTCTCCTACACAAGAAATAATTACTTGAAAAAACAGTAGACACCCTTAATCATCTAACACAAACAAAACAAAGTAACAGTCAAGTAATGAAAATTTTATATATGTCAGTACGATATATTCCACATTTATTCTTTATCCCAGTTACCAAACCCCGAAAGCAATTAAAATTGAGTAAGCAGAGCCGCCACTGACTAGAGTGATAGACTCACAAAAATTAAGGATAAAGATAACATTGTGACACATTATATGAGTAGAGAAGCTACACGGCTATGAAACTATGTTGAAATAAAAGGGATAAAAGAATCAGACCTTCCAAGATTCTCTTTTGGAGTTCAGCAAAGAGCTCAACATCATCATTCTTAACAAGCAAATGCTGCACCAGAATCTCTCTACTTGCACTACTCCCACTGCTAAACGAAGCTGAAAAAGCAAAAGAGAATCAGAAATCGACCCAACTAGAAACTAAATAATTAAGAATTCAGGTAAACCAGTTCAAAAAGCAATGGTAATTCTGTAGAAAAATCAGATCAGAGTAGAGATAATTTGTTCCTGTTAGAAATCGGAGAAGAAGCACGAAATCAAGTCTTTCTTTGATACAGCAAAAAAAAAAGGGGAGAAACAGTTCATAGTTTGTGTACCTCTCATTTTGAGAGCCGAAAAACCAGAGAGTCGAATCGGGCACGGAGAAGGAATGCGTGGTCGGAGTGAAGAGATGCGTCCGCCGAGAAATTGACGAGAAAACGTCGTGAACCAGCGGAGATGAGGAGGAGAGGCGATAGCGAGAGTGGGAGTGATGGAGAGTCTTAGAGCGGCGGAGATAGACACCGCCGCCACCGCTGGAGATGATGCCGCCGAGAGAGTTCCGGTCACTCTAAACATTATGGGTTCTCTTGGGTAAGTTCAAGTGAGAGAGAGGTTACAAGTTACCCACTCAAGAGTGTAAATATGGGCCCTCTGATCCAAAGATACTGATTTGCAACTTTTTTTTCTGGAGGAATTACTGATATTTTAGTGGTTTGTGTTAGTCTCATCGACTTAATTTCAAATCCGCATATTGCATGTTAATTTCAAATCCGCATATTGTATGTTGTTGACACAAAAAAAAATGTTGATATACAGAAATTGAAAACTAACCATTCTTTTGTAAAGAATGCATATAATTTCTTATTTGACAAAAAAAGGGCATATGCTACGATGAGAAGATGAAGAAAACCAAATACTGTTACAAAACCAATTTTCCTGCCGCTAGGTGGATGGGGGCGAGGGGATTATTGAATCGGAAGTGTTAGTAGATGGTGTCCAAGCATATAGAAGCATGCCGAGTACTAGGATGACTGTGCCTGCAACAAACCCCCTTGGAAGTGTAGATGCCACCCCAAGGTACGGTAGGGGAAGCGTGAAACAGTACACCGCTATGGGCACTGCAACCGACAAAGCCAAACAAGGTTCTGTATATTAGATATGTTTCTCTTCTGCATATAAATGATGTTCACTCCTATGCCATTCCGCAATTTCGCGGATTACTAATCATTTAATGTCCTAATGGGTATAAGTCCAGCAAAATTTATGACCAAAATAGTTTGGTTGTTTATAGGATTGGTACAGCACTGTTGACTTATAAGATATCACAGAGATGATCATATGCTATATCATTGGTAATTACTAATTAGCTAATGAAGTAGGTTGCCATGAAAGCAGGGCAAGGCTATAAAGAGACAAAGTTTGTACCTGAAACGGTGGATGCCAGAGACGACACAACTGCCGATGAGATCTTGATGAGGCGTAGAAGGGAGATGTTGTAAGCCATGTTCATCATGACAAACATTACTGGAAGAAGGGGAGCCCCTTCGCATCCTGTGTCATACCCAAATCCGAGCGTGTTACACAGAGAAAAAAAACAAAGAGATACTGGAGCAGAAAGTGTTAGCATCAACTAACCTGTTATTCTAGAACCAATATTCAGAAAACAAGCACCCCCGTCTCTGATATAACTCGGTAATTGGTTAAACGGTATGCCCCAAAGTTTTGAAAGAAAAGGAAGAAGCAACGCAATGCATATGACCTGGGTTGACCACAAAAAGATACACATTATTAGCTAGCAATGATATTCACATCTTGTGTTAATAAGCAATGCCAACAACGTAAAATGATCTGATATAAAAAAAAAGGAACTACAGTAAGAATACTTACTTGGAAAATTGAACCATATGAGTTTACAACAAACAGATCAAGTGAAGCACCCTGTAATAATAAGAATAGATTTCTTTCAGAATCCAAAAAACGAGAATGTTGTTAAAGGTTCTCGACCGCATAATTACCTTCAACCGCTTTTTGCTATCTAGAAAGATGACTTCCTGCAAGGATATGGAATTTACCGTTAAAGAGAAGAGCCCAACATCTTGTAGTTGGAGACATAACTAGAAAATGATTAACAAACCTTCATTACTGTATCTGCTCCTTGAAGCAGAAAAGACAACACCATAAGAAGACTCCAAAGTATTCCTGTATCTTTAAATGAATGAGTGGCACTCGATCCACTGAACATGGATGAGAAATTAGTATGTAAACTCAACATGGATGAAATTTGTTAAAACTGGTTATATAGTAGTACTGACAAGTCTAACAAAAGGAAAGGAGACAAAGAAACCAGTCACTTAAAATAATATCAAGCAAGTTAATCGAGCTGGCTAACCTTGCCACACTGACGATTACACCAACTGCTACAAGAGTACATCCTAATATTTGATTTATCCTATATCTTCTCCCGAGAAATATAATGGAGAAAAGAATTTGCCAGATAAGAAATGTCTGCAAAGAAATAAATGACAAGATTAACTCATTTTTCAGACAAGAAACCATACTTTTAGCAAGCTATCTACCAAATAGAGAAAACCCAAGTTTGCAGCTTTTGACACACCAGAACAAGATTCAGGAATATTTATGTTGTACTTTGATTTTATGGAAGATAAGAGATAGTAATGTTTTAAGCTTCTAACCTGAGATAAAACTGTAGTAGATGGTCCAGAAAGATTTGCTGAGTCAAGAAAAACGACAGTAGTAAGTAAGATGAAAAGGGTTGATTTTCATGCATTGGTATAGTGTTTCGATGTAATTACATCGACAAATAAAATTATACATCTACTGAAATTACAGTAGAAAATGGGAAGGGAAAGGAGCTTTAAGAGTAGCATAAGCATAAACATACATGCGGCCGCCATCCCAGCAGCTAGAGCAAGAGACTCTAAGACGCCAACAATTAAAAATGGAAGTTTTGGAACTGATAGCATCTCTTTTGTAACAATTCCAGCTCGGTATCTGAAATACAAGATCGAAAAGTATACAGCTACATACCTGCAAAAAAGACATAGCAAAAGAAAATTGTTATTTTTTTTGTGTAAATAAAAACAAGATACATCCAGGAAATCGAGTAAGCTGAATATCACCGCGAAAGTATGGGTTTATCCACATTGAAGAACAATTAGAACAAACTCTAGGCTTACTTTCTCTTTCTATAAGTCCGAGATCATGAGTGGATGAGTTCAACAGTACATCTCTAAAAGGGTCAAAGACTGACAAATTACACGGCTGAAGAAGTCACATTATTACTATGGACTAAAATTTCGGATGCATCAAGCAGAAAACAACCATATACATTCTCTAAAATATATACATTACATTCCAGTCCGGCAGTCCCAGGGTAAAATATAATGTGTCTATCTCATACACTGCTAATGTATAAACAGGTGAACAGATTTTCTGATCTCATTACTATAGTCTACATTTGAAAAATCTGATGCAAGAAGGCAACAATCAACATACTGTAACTTGCACACAGCAAAAGAGCCCATACGCAAAAGAGAGTGAGACACGTGCCTGACACGTGGTTAAATGAATTAAGAAAGGGTCAAATATTCTGCCACGATATAAATTTCGTTAAATAAATTCATTATTAAACTCACCGCAGATCCAACAAACAAAAGTCATTAACTCACTTAATTAAAACGAATAGCCACCATGTAGGTGACGCAAAGCAACTCGCACGTGAGATAAAAGTTTAAATGCGCATAAAAATATTTTATAGGTGAAGATTGAAAACAAGTCGCCAACTATGACCCATCATTTGTTAAAGAGAATCTTCTGATAATTACATTTTTACATACCAATATCTATCTGGGATTCCAAACGTACGGTAACAACAATTGAACACAATGAATGCTAGATCATCAATAGAGAGCTCAAATCGAAATCTCAAAACCAAAAAATCTGAAATCTAATTTTAGGCATTTTAAAAGAGAGTTTGTTACCCGAAGGTGGAGAGCTGTGCGAGGAAGAAGGGATATTGCTTGAGAGGAATAAGAGCCAGCTTATATAGTACGCGATTCCCAACACCCAGCGCCGCCGTTGTCGCCGCTGCTATAACTATCTCCATCGTCCTGTCATGTTTTCCGGCGACCGCGCGACCACCGATTCCACCGATCGCGTAATTACGCGCGTCTGACTTCTTGATTTCTTGTTCGCCATCGTTAGATCCGTCCCAGGACTTCGCCGGAGGAATCGCCTCGATTAACCACAGCTTAGATCTTCGAGAGGACCGAAGGACGATGGGAGGTGCACCATTGGTTTGATTTCGACAGATTAGAGAAACGGATTGAGCTGGATTCGCGTAACGCGATTCGATTGAGCCGATCGATGCCGTTAAACCGGCGATTAACCGGCCGGAGCTCGTTGTCGCCATGGTTTGTACTGGTTCGATCGGAAGATGGAATTGCGTCGACTGGCCTTTATACTGACATCACAACGAAACTACCTTTTTTGTGCTCTATGCTTTTTTTTTTCAGTTGAAAGTAATTTTTTCTTTCTTTCGCATGTCACAATTTCTTTTGAGCACTCCATAGCTGCTTATAGAACTGTGTGACTAAAATAGCAGAGGCTTTTGGGGTGTCAAAAGGGTATTTTCGTCAAATGAAGAATAGTTTTTGTGTATTTTCAGATAAAGTAGTATTTATATATGGAAATTCAACATAACACTGTACCATTGACCCAATTTGTTTGGTCATGTTGTTTATGGGCTATTTGACCCAAAACTTAATTGGGCCTAACTTTACTTTTTTTATATTCATAGAACCATGAAACCTGCGTGTCTCTTATGGTGTGAGTTATATATCTCGGAAAAAACTTTCAGAAACTCTTTATGTTATCTAATTTTTGATAGCAAAAACACTTGGGGTTGCCATTGTTTGCTTTCACCTTGCAAAATTTCAAACCAAAACCCAAAAATTGTGGGAACTATGGTTGCGAATTTGCGATGGCGATAATTTTGGAGCTTAGGATCGAGTTCATGATAGAGAAGTAGATGTTGTGACAAGCTGCAATTTACCTTTGAAGAGGAGTCATATATGTTAAGCCCTAGCGAAGAGAGCCATAGTTTCCTTACCGGCTGGAGGTAAGAAGATGTGTTGACAGTGACAAAATTTCCATATGTGCATTGCGGATGCTAATGCTTCAAAATCAATCTCTACAAGGATTCTCAAAGCACGTACATTTGGTGTAACAAATTGCAATGGGGTGCCACAAATTTGGATCCAAAATGAAATAAAATTGAGCATTAAATCATACTATATGGTTGTCGTCTTGTTTCTTTTATACACAAGTAGATTAGTAGTCAATAAGTTATTTATTAAATACAAAAAGTATAGTAGTTCGTTTACACTTTACAGAGAGTCGTAGGTCTGATCTAACTAATCGCAGTAGCACCTATTGACCTAATCACGAATTATTAAATTGGTCCAGTGGAGCAAGATCATACCAGCTGTTGCTGACGTGGAATATCGTTATTGGTTAGATTGATTTTAAAAATACAAGACTTAAGTTGAACCAGACCCGACCCGTGACTTCTCCGACACTCATGACCCATCCACTCTCTCTCTCATAACACAGCAGAAGTAGGTGGAAAGCAATGTCCCCTTCTTTTCTCTCTATCTCTTTGCTAAAATCTCTCTGCTATACAAATCTAGTGTACGACGGAAGAACCAGAGAGAGCTTTCTGCGACGGCTTTAATGGTGGCGCTTTGAGTTGTCTGTTCTTCCAATTTTGAGGAGATTTGGTTTTGGGTGGTGAATTGTTTGTTGCTGTTTTCGTTTTCTATTGTTTGTATCGAAAGAGGGTGAAATTGAAACCCTAGTGTTTCGAATTTGTCGAATTTAGTTGGGTTTCGTTTCGAGGCTGGATCTGAGATTATGCTGTTGAGGCAATGGAGGCTTCTTTAACGGCTTTGGAGCGGCCACGAGGTGCAGCTTCAAATACGGTAATGCAGGTTTCTTGGGGTTTTTTTGTTGAGTGAATTGAGAAATTGACTTGTAGTGCTGTTTCCTGGTTTTTAATTGTCTGAAATTGGTCATCAGGGACACTGGAATTGCTAAAAATAGGAAAATGATTGCTAAAGTTGATCTATTATAATTAAATTGGAGTTTGTAGATTTCACTGTCCGTATTATCAAGCAGGGGTTTGTTCTAGGAATTGATACACAGGACCTTTGATTAGTTGTGAGACAAGCTTTGATTAGCTGTTCATGGAAAGCCTATTGGTTTGATCGCTCATATTGCTTTTAACAACACACTCCAATATCTGTGTTGAGTACATTTCCATATTAAGAGAATTTTATTGAATTTACTTGTCTCTAGAACTATCTATGTTCTCTAGGTTTCAAAATGTAAGTTTGATACTAAATTGATGATTGTTACTAATATTATGTAACTCGCGGTTATTTGACAGGTTTTCAAGAGTGGTCCACTTTTCATATCATCTAAAGGTATCCTTGTGATATTTTGCCCCTTCCTATATTGTCACATTTCAGTATGCTTGTTCAGTTTTTCAATTCCCTGTGGCTATTGTGATATCATAGTCCATTAAACATTTTATTTTGGTGTTCTGCTCAATAGGATTGGGTTGGACGTCTTGGAAGAAACGCTGGTTCATCCTCACACGTACTTCTTTGGTCTTCTTCAAAAATGACCCTGTTAGTATTCACAATCATACTGCCTTTTTCCACAGTTGATTTTGATTTGTATATTTGATTTAAGATTCTTGATAATCGTATATTGAGCTATTTAACTAAATTTTCACAGGGTACACTACCACAAAAAGGTGGTGAAGTTAACTTAACTCTGGGTGGCATCGACTTGAATAACTCTGGAAGGTATGCAGGATACTGCTAGTTGATTAAAAAATTCCACGGAATTCAACTTACAGTGATTTTTTTTTTGTTTTCAGTGTTGTGGTGAGAGAGGATAAAAAATTGTTGACGGTATTATTTCCAGATGGGCGTGATGGGAGAGCTTTCACTCTTAAGGTGATTCATCATCATCAGCAAATTTTGAAATACCTACTCTCTAGATGTCTACTCTAAGAATATGTTGCAGCATTGTGATAGTCCTTTAAGATGGTCTTTGTACTACTGTTAACGTTTCTTTATGTGACCAATTTGGATGATGCAGGCTGAGACATTTGAAGATTTGTACGAGTGGAAAACTGCTCTTGAGCAGGCTCTTGCACAAGCCCCTAATGCAGCACTTATCATGGGTCAAAATGGAATATTCCGTGCTGAAACTAACGAGGCTATCGAAGGTTCGTTTCATCAATGTTTGTTCTAGTCCATGTTACAGCTTTGGCCTAAGCGTCGTACATCTATACAATATTTAAGCCTTTAATTTTCTTATGTATATTTCTGCCTTAATAATAGTTTACTTTCCATCATCTATGCGTCATTCTTCCTTTATTGTCCATAATTATTAGGGCGGGATAAGCGTCCATTAAAATCCTTGGTTGTTGGAAGACCAATTTTACTTGCTCTCGAAGATATTGATGGAAGCCCATCATTCCTTGAGAAAGCTCTTCAGTTTATTGAGAAGTATGGTACGTTCTTAAGAAAATATCGATAGCTATCACCAAGCTTTATTGATTACCTGATCTTCCCCAAATTATTTTGCTGGGGATATGCGCTATTAGATCAAAATGTTTCCATAGTTTTGTCAGGGTACTTCATACGTGGAAAGTATTAATTTCAGTAAAAGTTTTAACTTTTTTCCATGATTCTGTTTTCTCATTAAATCTGTTGTACAATTTCTTGCAACGGTTGAAACCTGATGTATTTCTTTTCTCTGAATGCATTTTTCTTTTAACTGGTTTTTTGTTTGGTTTCGTGGTCTTCTTTTGTCTCCTCAGGAACTAAAATTGAAGGAATATTAAGACAGTCTGCTGATGTGGAGGAGGTGGAACGTAGAGTTCAAGAATATGAACAGGGTACCTATAATCAGCTAACTTATTTCTCTCTGGATTAAGTTTAGGAACATCTTGTTAAGTTAATATATTATATGTTCTTAGACTTCCCTGGTATGTGCTCTCTCCAATTCACCATTTATATTTTTTCCCCTCTCCCACTTCAAATAAAACCTAGGCAAAACGGAGTTCACTTTTGATGAAGATCCGCATGTTGTTGGAGACTGCATTAAGGTAGTTTCTTCTGAACTGCTTATTCTGATAGTCTGTGCATTGTTGCAATACTAAGGCAGTTTCATTTTACATGCAGCATGTATTGAGGGAGTTGCCTTCTTCTCCGGTTTCAGCGTCTTGTTGTACTGCCCTGCTGGAAGCTTACAGTGAGTTCCCTTACCCTCTTTTCCTTCCTTCTGATAAAGTCATACTTGTAAACATGCATATTTGTGTTTGTGTTTGTGTGTGTCTATATATATATATGCGTGGGTCTTTTGTTAAAGAATTTCTGGAGATTTGACTGAACTTCGGTGAACTTAACGTCCTCTTAATTGGTTTTGCTGGATTAGGAATTGAGTCTAAGGAGGCTCGCATTAGTTCATTGCGCTCTGCTATAGCGGAAACATTTCCGGAACCTAATAGACGTCTACTACAACGGTATGTTTCCAGCTCTTCCTCGGGGTGGCTTTGAGATAATAGCCAATTTCACACTGCTAACAGTTTAGATTATAGTAGTTATTAGATGTTAAAGTTGAGATTACTTGTTTCTGCCAAGTCTGAGTCTATTGACCAGATAAATTCCTTGTGGCTTTTATGAGTAAGAGTGCTTGAGAATCACTTATAAGCTGTTTTCTTAAACCCTTACATATTTTGTTTGTACTCTCAGGATTCTGAAAATGATGCATACTATCTCGTCTCATTCCCACGAAAATCGAATGAACCCAAATGCTGTAGCTGCTTGCATGGCTCCTTTGCTCCTACGTCCTCTACTGGCTGGTGAATGTGATTTAGAGGACGATTTTGATAGCGGTGAAGACAATTCTGCTCAGCTTCTTGCTGCTGCTAATGCTGCCAATAATGCCCAAGCCATCATTACAGTTCTCTTGGAGGATTATGGAAGTATTTTCGATGTAAGACGCACCCAGAAAGTTTCATTCAACCTTCATCAATGTTTTATGTCTAATATGCTTATTTGCAATTTCAGGAAGAAAATATTCAAAGATGTTCTATTTCGACTGAATCACATATTGGAAATAGTGGGCCTGATGATTCAAGTGATGATGACAACAACGTGAAAAATGAATATCACAATGCAGATAATGAAGTTGAACCAGTGACAGATGACGATAATGAGCGTGCATTGAGTGGAAAAATGAGTGAGAGCAGTGGTTGCACAGGCAGCGATCTCTATGAATACAAGGTTATTTCTCCTTTGGCCAGTATATCTCCCTTCAATATACTCATGCATCCTTCCGAGTTTACATGAAACATTTATTTGTATAGTTGATGATATACCGAAATGCCTTCAAAGTTTGGGAAGTATGGTTAGAATATGCTTTTTAGATGTAGCTATTATATATGTATCCTATTCCGGTGCTATTTTCTAATGAATAGAGTCGGCATTTTTTGGCAGCTAAGAAGATAGGTTAGACAAAATATTTATTTCATGATTACTGAATACATTCTTTGTAGGGATTTGTTGCTGATGACTCTGATATTGAATCACCAAGAGACATAAATGGTCCAAGATGTAATTCAAACATACGACCAGATCATCTTATGAGAAATCCTTTTGTCAATTCCACGGATCAACAAGCTGGAGAGCAGATAGGCGATGATCCAACAAAATACGGAGAAAACTCGTGTCTCGCACATGTTAGCGAGTCTTATCAATCATCAGGGGCGGTTCTAAATGTACCCACTCAGGGGAATACTTTGGCTGCTCCTGGTCTTGAATCACCAAGCGCGAAATCCGTGAATAAGGGCACACCCTCCTCTGTTCATGCAAAGCGCGCAACATTCTGGGGTCGAGGCAGTGTATGTGTTTGCTTATCTTGATCAAATATTTCTGATTCTGTACACGCGGCAGATTTGGCACATTAGTTCATATATAATTGGATGTGATACAAAACCCTTTTTCTCCAATTTGTTATAAGTGTCACACCTTAGCTAAATCATATGGAGATAATGAACCAACCTCGGGTGGAATATTATCAATAATATTTTCTTCTCTTTGTTTGTCTCAGGCCAGAAAGATATCAACAGATGGGTCGTTTGATTCTTCAGGAGAAGACGAGTAAGGCTTCAACTCTTGGATGTATTCTCCATCTCCATATATATGATTATATAACTTATATTTTGGTGAATATATAACTTACAGAAGACTACATTGGTTGAATGAAGTAGGATATATAAAGAGATTTACCTAGCCAAAAATCTACATAATGTATATATGTTCTTTCTACGCTGTTGATATATGCATTGTTAACTACAATTTCATCTCTATGGTATATGCTTGAATCGATTGATATTCAAGATTACGCTAGCTTGGTGTTTTTATATTGCTAATTGGTTCATTAATTGTTTGTAGGCTTGCTATACAGAGGCTCGAGACCACAAAAAATGAACTGCGACAACGAATTGCAAAGGAGGTAATCATCTACTACTGTAATATTATTCTTTGCCTTCATAAAGTCATTAACACTGGTCACCGTTATTGTTATAGGCCAGAGGTAATGCAATATTACAGGCTAGCTTGGAGAGAAGGAAGCAAGCACTGCATGAACGTCGTTTGTCGCTTGAACAAGATGTAGAAAATTTCTCTTTAAAACTATCAGTGTTTATGAATCTCGTCTCTCCACTATTAATCCTAATGTCAAAGGAATATTCTTCTGGTTTGATGGAAAATACTTATATAGGTGTCAAGATTACAAGAGCAGCTGCAAGCTGAAAGAGATCTCCGAGCAGCACTGGAGGTTGGTTTGAGCATGTCTTCTGGACAATTTAGTTCACATGGTGTGGATTCAAAAGTAAGTATACATTTTAGAGAAATGGTATCTTTCTTTATAACAATTAGCTCTTGTAAAATACTTACAATCCGAGTATTTGAAGACAAGGGCTGAGCTTGAGGAAATTGCTCTTGCTGAGGCTGATGTGGCCAGGCTGAAGCAGAAAGTTGCAGAACTTCACCATCAGCTTAACCAGCAACGTCAGACTCATTTTGGTTCCTTCTCAGATGCACGTGATACTCATCAGTATCTCCAGAATCACAATCCTCAAAAGTGAGTTGTATCACTATCCCTGTACTTTTCTCACACAGAGGAGCTCGTAGTCCAAGTTATTTTTCGTGATAACTTACCCTTATTTCTGTAAAGCTTTTATGCTTGAATTGCTGGCTTGTTTCTTTAGCTTAGTGAAGATGTTTAACAAATATCTCGGATTAACTTATGTTTGACTCAGTACAGCTGTGAGAATTATGTTTGAAGTATCTTTTGAATAACATATCTTGTAATATGATTGGTTCACATCTGTGTTTCTTGTCTGATACCATGTTATGTATTTCTCTGCAGAAGGTTTCTTCAGCAAGATTTTGATTCCACTCTTGCCTATGTAAATCATGAAAGGAAACAAAGACACGAGGTACTTCTTACTGATGTTCTGTCATCAATCATCATCTTTCATAGTTTAGATCAAACCTATAGAATTTACTGTTTGGCCTACAGGAGAATTTACTGGGAGCGGAGTGGAGAAATAGTAAAGGGGCAGGATCTTTTGGTGTTGGCAATAGCAGGCAACCATCTCGTAAGCAAATACCAGAATCAACAAACATAACTGACTCTAAAATCAGTGAAGAGTCTGGAAAGGTGTCTGTGGACAAGTTCTCAGCCATAGATTCTCTATCTGTTCCGTCGACTTCAAGAGCATTAGATGTAAGACCTTTTGCTCCTTGTTATTATCATTCCCTTCACGAAGGATATACACTTCAAAACGAAGGTGGTTGGTAGGATTAAAACGCAGGAAGATAGTTTTTCTTTTGGGTTGCTTAGTATTGTGTGAAATTCTGCGATTGGCCTTATCTGGTTTGTTAATTAGTTTCACAGAATAGTTAGTCGCAAACAATAGTTACTACAGAGACATGCACGATCGCTTTCTGCATAGCAAATCAAAGCTGGCTGCTCTTAAAATTTTTAAGGAGACATCTTAAGCAATGACAACACACACTAACATGCTTGAAATGACGGTTTTGCAGATAACAGAGTACCCAAGGCTTAATCATCCGTCAGCTGCTGCATCAGCAGCTCTGGTAGAGTTAACAACACGTCTTGATTTCTTCAAGGAAAGACGTTCGCAGCTCATGGAGCAGCTCCAAAACCTCGACCTTAACTACGGCGGCTCGTCTTCCCAAGATTTTATACACCGGCCATCTTCTCCACCTTGGAACTAACAACATGAGAAAAAAAAGAGAGAAGAAAAGGCTATGTTTGTTCTGTATATCCTTTTGGTGATTGATTAATGATGTTAGCATTTGCTCTACTCATTTTCTCCCCCAGAAGACAATAATGACCTTATTCTTTTGGGCAACAGTCTTGTGTGTATATAAAGAGTTATTTTGTAATGCAATTTTTTTTTATGCGAGGTTTGTTCATATGTGTTAACTCTAAAGCTGTCTTGATATGTTAGTTTTTTTATGCTCTTGAGTTTCTGACCAAGCCAATTACAACTGAAAGTCTCTTCATTTTCATTTGTAGTGAATAATGTATTTACATGATTCCTTTACATTAAACCTGGATAGACAACAATATCTAAGGCTTTGAATGGTTGTCTAGTATGCTGCAGACCGGACTAAAACCGGACTAGTACGCACTTAATTTACCACTCACTATTGCATACTAGTATGCACTATTGCATACTAAAAATCTCCATACTGATATGCACTTGAGCATACAACTCCATACCATCATAAATTCACTGTTAGTCCGCATTTTTTTCAGTCCACTCCCCAAAAGCTCCATACCATCATAAACTCCATACCAACATACAATTGTCTACTCCAGACTACAATATGATGTTTTGCATACTAAAATATTGATATGCAGTGTCCAGTCTGCATCATATGGACTAACCATTCAAAGCCTAAATAAAAGAGTAACATATAGGCTTTGAATGGTTAGTCATATGGACTAACAGTGAATTTATGATGGTATGGAGTTGTATGCTCAAGTGCATATCAGTATGGAGATTTTTAGTATGCAATAGTGAATGGTAAATTAAGTGCGTACTAGTCCGGTTTTAGTCCGGTCTGCAGCATACTAGACAACCATTCAAAGCCATAGTATATTTCAATCTAGATAGACAACACTATATTCTATGAAAGTTGAATAACCTTTGTTTGAGAGCTCATCAGAGAATGAGAAGTTGACATATGTCCAATTACTAAGTGTAAACATTAATAAAATCTCAATGATCATTGATTTATATCAATTCAAATAAAATGAAATCACCAAAACATAATGATCCTAAAACAAGATGTTTTAAAAAGGAATAAAATCTTTGTCTAAAAAAAGAATAAAATCTTATAATAAATATATTAAAAAGATCATAAAAGCATAAACATAGAAATTAAATTTACATTAATGTGGAATTTTAACTTATTTTACATTTTCATCTTCTTCTTTTGTGGGAGGGCTTAATTTTTAAATCGCCATCTCCACCATCACATTTTACATGAATAGAGAGCTACAATGCAAATTGGTTTCTAAGGTCTATAAATCTATGGCTCACTTAATAGTATATATAGAAATTACCAGATTAAAATGGTTGTCTTGATCTATTTTAAAATAAAAATGATAAATAGATTTATTTTCCAGTAATTCCTTTATTGTTAATTACATCATTTGACATGTCTATTTACGATTTACCAAAAAATATCTATTTACGATTAAAATAAACAAACAATCTATTATTTTTAAATTATATTAAAAATATAATATGAAAAAGTATTAAATAGCGTTGGTAAAAGTTAAACAGCATAATTTGAATTTAAAAAAAAACCGCGAAATTCAAATAACACATCACTCATATATCTTAACTTACTATAAATGATAATTTTATCATTCACGACGAGAAACAAGTATAACTCTTCTAACAAGTTGTACAAACACTAAACAACTGACAATTCTACCATTCTTCTACTAATTCTACCCGCGTTTTTATGTTTGTTAAACAGATTTTCTTGATTGGTAAACTTTTTGCATAATCGTATTAGAAACCATCATTCCACTATATGCGTGTTATTGATCGGAACCAATGTGTTTGAGAACAAGTACAAGAAGTCCAAAAAAATATTAGATGTCAAAAAGTATTCATCTTTGAAAAGGAAAGACTAAGAAACGACGACGTTCAAAGCCCGTAAGCCAACATTCTTCCGTTTGACAAAACCAAAAGCGAGAACGCCGAGAAAGAAAATACTTGGACAATCCCTTTTTTTTTTTTTTTCTTTAATTGTTTCAGTATTTCTCTGTCTCTCTCTTTTTTTATATTTAAGCAAAAGTCGACCTTATACAACCCTTCCGTCTCTATTTTTTTTTTCTCTTCTCTCTCTCTCGCGGAAAAAAAAACCCTAGTTTCTCTCTCCTCTCACCGATTTTTCCATTCCGATGCTTGTGGTCGCATAGCCATCCCCGCAGATCTGGTAATTCCGGGTAGATTTCTTCCCTTTAATCCTAATTTCAAGAATTTGCTTTTGGGAATTAGTTTTCTTCTTATCATCGCGTCGTTTGTTTTTTTCTTCAAAATAAATTCTTGGGAATAGGGTTTTTTTTTTGTTGCCCTTTTGAATTTGATGCCTGATTCTGCTTTGATTTCGCTTCTCGTTTTGTGGGCAAAAGGATTGATTCTGAGATGACGACCTTAAGGGTCTTTGTGATTCTTCTTGTGTTATGTTTCGGGAGATTTTTACTCTTTTTATTAATCGGAATTTATCTTTGTTAATATCTCCGGTTGATCACTGGTGCAATCGTTTGATTATATGTCAAGGGTTTGACTTGAATCGGCATGTATATTTGACTTGTCTCTTTTCTTTAGTATAAAGCTCCAAACACTTTAGATGATTGAATTGTTTAAGCTCTTTAGTCTTGTTCGGCTTTTGTTTTTTAGATAAGTAGACAAGCATAGGTTTTGGCTTCTATCTTGTGCTGAGATTCTGCCTTTTCTTATTGCAGGTTTCATATGAAATAACCTTTGAAACATTTTCATGGATGATGACTTTGCAGATGGATAAAACTACTGCTCGCTCTCCAAGGGAGCGAGCCAAGTCCATACTTGATAAGGTTCTCTCTCTCTACTACACTTACATTTCTGAATTTTGGTCATCCTTGTGTTTGGGGTAATAATATGTCTTAGGACACGTAATCTTAGTTTATTTGTTAGGTATATCTAAGGCCGTTTTGTCTCTTCTTCACTTGAGCCTATATCTCTGTAAGATTTGTGTCTACGTTTTATTGACAATAGATGCATACTTTGCAGACTTTTGAGTTAGAAAACAAGCGTCGGAAGGCTGCTCAGACTCGAAGTCAACCTGACCTAAATTTGTGGCAGCAAATTCGTGAGAATTATGAAGCAATAATTCTTGAAGATCATACCTTTTCTGAGCAGCACAACATTGAATTGACTCTGTGGCAGTTGCATTACAAACGGATTGAAGAGTTTAGATCACACATCAATGCTGTATTGGCTTCTAGTAGCTCGAGTTCAGCTCAGAATGCCAAGGGTCCTTCTAAACCAGACGTAATTGCAAAACTCAAGCTGCAGTTCAGAACATTCCTTTCAGAAGCAACTGGGTTTTACCATGATATGATCTTAAAATTAGATCAAAGTATGGTCTTCCCCTGGGTTATTTTTCTGAGAATCAAGAGAGTCAAAATTTGGCTGATAAGGATGGAAAGAAGTTACCAGAAGTTAAATTAGCCTTGGTATCGTGTCATCGTTGCTTAATATACCTTGGTGATCTGGCTCGGTATAAAGGTTTGTGTGGCGAGGGGGATTCCAAGAACAGAGAGTATGCTGCTGCTTCAAGTTACTATTTGCAAGCAGCTTCTCTATTGCCAGCCTATGGAAACCCACATCATCAGGTTATTCCCTTGTTTTCCCCCTTTCTCGTGTTATTTTTAGTTAGGTACAACTATTGAGTACATTTTTTCTGATTAGATTATTAACTTAATGTCTCAGCTTGCTATAGTTGCTTCTTATTTGGGGGATGAGTTTACAACAACATATCGTTATTTCCGAAGTTTGGCTGTGGAGATTCCTTTCCCAACTGCCGTGACAACTTGATTGTTGCTTTTGAAAAGGTTTACTACGAAGTTCCTGTTTCGTTATTATTTTAGTGGCTTGGCGTAGGAGTGATTATTCTTCCACTTTCTTATTATCCAAATATAATATATCTTTCTCTTGTTGTATGGGTGAGCAGAATCGTCAGAGTTATGCCCAATTGTTTGTGGCTTCCAAAGACTCAGCCAGGAGGCCGACTGGTAAAGGAAGAGGTAAAGGTGAAGGTACATCATCAAAAGATGCGAACTTGGTAGCTGGTCCTGTGAAGGATAAAGTAACTATTTCAAATGAGATGCTCAAAGCATTCTGTACTAGATTTCTTCGTCTCAACGGGATTCTTTTTACCCGAACAAGGTAATTTTTCTGAACTTATTTCGTTCTAGATTCTGATAGTGGCTCTCTGGTATAATACTTATCACTTGTCTTCTCAGCCTGGAGACATTTTTAGATGTTCTTGCCTCCACTAGCAGCAGTTTACGAGAGGTGATTTCTTTGGGCTCAGTTGACGAGCTGAGTTTGGGCATAGACACCAGTGACAGCGCACTTTTCATTGTTAGACTCGTGACAATTCTTATATTTAGCGTCCATAACTCAAAGAAAGAGACAGAAGGTCAGTCATATGCAGAGATTGTACAGCGTGTTGAGCCTGCCAGAAACTCCTTAACAGCTAGTTTTGAGTTACTTGGACACGTAATAGAGAAGTGTGTGCAACTGGGAGATCCTTCTTCGAGTTACTTCTTGCCTGGTGTCTTAGTTTTTGTTGAATGGTTGGCCTGTTGTCCTGATGTTGCACTGGGAAGTGATTCGGATGATAGACAGACTGCTGTAAGAAATAGCTTTTGGAACCAGTGTGTTACCTTGTTCAATCAAATCTTGTCGCTTGGACCTATGTTTATTGATGATGTCGAAGACGAGACTTGCTTCTCAAACATGAGCTTGTATGATGAAAGAGAAACTGAAAACCGACTTGCACTATGGGAGGACTATGAACTAAGAGGATTCTTGCCACTGCTTCCAGCTCAGACCATTCTCGACTTCTCAAGGAAACATTCCTTTGGAACTGAAGGTCCCAAGGAAAAGAAAGCTCGTATAAAGAGGATTTTAGCAGCAGGGAAAGCTTTGACCAGTGTGATCAAAGTTGATCAGAATCATGTATATTTTGATTCAAAGAAGAAGAAGTTTCATGTTGGTGTAAAACCGTCAGATGACTTGCTGGATTCTCATTCAAGCCCACCTAAAGCTTGTAATGCTTTGCAAGATAACCAAGTAATGATGAATCATAATTTGCCAGTGATGCAGCTTGGTCAGCAGATTTATATGGGTGAGGAGGATGATGATGATGAAGTAATTGTTTTCAAGCCTCTAGTTACTGAAAAGAAGAAAGAGGCTTCTGACCAAATATATGTTCCTAGTGGAGGCTTCAGGAAACCTGATCAAGTTGCTACTATGGGGGACTTTAAGGCTTTAAGTGGTTCTGATGCAGCTTTTCATGAAAATCAACTTCTGCAAGCTAGAGGCAATGCGAGTATTCAAGTACCTGCACCTGTTGGTTCTAACCTTCTGGGACTTCTTCAGCCATCAACCCAGGCTCAAGCTATGCATATGCAACAAGTTCAGACGCAGGTTCAAGTGCCTGGATCTGTTGGTTCTAACCTTCTGGGACTTCTTCAGCCATCAACCCAGTCTAAAGCTATGCATATGCAACAAGTTCAGACGCAGGCAGTGAATCCTCAGCCAGCCCAATCACTAGCTGCTACACGTCTTCAGCCAATGCAATCACAGGTTGCACAACTTCAACCATTACCATCACGGGTTGAGCACTTTCAACAAACTCAGGCACAGGTTTCACATGTTTCAGCGGCCCAGACACAATCTGCTTCCTTTGTTGGTGGTAGCAAGTGGTCACCAGAGGAAGCTGCTTCTCTTGCTAGTAGCCTATCTGGTTTTGCTCAGATGGGTAATGGTCATCTAATGAGGAATGAGATGCAAGGAAATCATGGAGTTTCCTATTACCCTGCACACTCATTACCGGTCCACCAGTCTTACAATGTCAATGGTATGGGTGGTATGCCATATTCACAGTCACGAACACCTGAAGCTGTATTGACACCCAGAATTGATACTGTTTTGTCATCCGGAGTTGTTGCTGATGGCCTGGGCGTCCAATCTTCGTTAGCAAAGAAAAATCCAATCAGTAGAGCCTTTAGGCATCTTGGCCCTCCGCCTGGGTTTAACTCTGTCCCCTCTAAGCTGCAAAAGGAGCCAGCACCTGGTTCGGATTTTTCTGGCAACAACAATCTACCGGTTGATGATTACAGCTGGTTGGATGGATACCAAGCTCAATCTTCTCGAGGCGTTGGGCCGAACAGTTCTTTGAATTACGCCGCCTCTGGGAAACCAGGACACATCGGTGGTACCAGCAGTGGACTGAACGGGGCTGCCAACTTTCCGTTTCCTGGAAAACAAGTTCCAACATCACAGGTCCAAGCAGATTTTCCATATTTCCAGAACCCTCAGAAAGATAACTTTGTGGACAAAAATCATCAATCAGCTCAACTCCCTGAGCAATATCAAGGACATTCGACTTGGTCGAGTCGTCACTTTGTGTGAGATCAGAATGGAAGAGTAACACGGTAAGAGCAAATGTGAAGCTCCTTTGCATTGTCAAATACTTTGTAAACTCTCTTATTGTTATAGTGTTGATCTAGGTTTGGGAATGATTCAGGTGAGTGTTACGCAACGTTTATTGCTACCTAACTCCAACTGATCCTTGTTCTGCTGAAGTCTCTAGTTGGAGTCTTTGTGGCCTTGGCTTCTTGTGGGGCACTTCCTACCTGACGGGTTAGTCCTTTTTCATCACTGTCTTTAAGCTAGTCTTGCAGTTCCTTGTTTACACATGCTTAGGCACTAATACAAATTACCAATGCTTATTGATGATAGATTCAGGACACAGCTCATGTTGGTGAAAGAGATATGTGGTAACAAGAATGAATGGTTCTGTGGAATTGATAGGAGTAAAGTGCCTTTCTCGTGCTACTTGAGGTGGAGATGTTAGACCTTATGAATAAGAAAGGAAACGTACCTTGTGGCTCACTCTCGATATCTGAAGCAGTTGTTTGCTGTTTTGCCCTCTTTATCCTTTTTTCTTTTCTTATTGCGTATAAATGTGTAGCTGTCCGTCCTCTTGCAGCTATCTTTCTCTCTTGGATTGCTTTGCTTTTTGCTTTCCTCTCCTTTATTCTATGCTCATCTCAAACTTCTCTCTGTTTTGCTGTGTCGTTTTAAGTTGAACCATCATAAGGTGTGTGACACTTTTCAAGTGCTAATGAATAAAAAGGGACTCATGTGATAAAACATGATTTGGTGTTGAAATGCTTCCTCTTGTTGTGTATGTGTTACCTTGAGGGAAATTTTTTCTTTAAAACCTAATTTGATCGAAGGTCGAATTTTATACATAACCTTAATAGCCTTTCTCTCCTACCGCAGATTAATCCGTTTTAGTCTGACAAAAGTATCTTTTTGTCGCCGGTGTTTGGTATACTGATGAGACCGGTATCCAGCCAAAGTAACAGTGGTTTAATGGAGAATGAACAACAATATAAAATTACTCCTTAGGTTATATTGATGTATGAACATAAGACTGAAACCTCAAACCTGTATATGGTGACAGGATATACAGTAAGTAAATGCATTTTGTTTCTCTCTATACAAAGAAATCTTTAATGGGTTGACTTGGAAGCCTTTCTGAGTAGAATCCCCCAGCAGAGGATTCGATAAAAAACGAAGAAGGCAAGCATGATCCCGACATTGATCCATCTCGTATCCTTGTCAAGCCCTCTCTCCTTCAACACATCCTCTCCGGTCATCAAGCAGCCCATGTTCCCGCTGGAGAAGCATTCCTCTCGCATGCTCCAGTACTCATTCACCACCATAGACTCCAGCGGGTAACGGTACAGTGACACATAGTACATGAACATCCATGGTTTTGGGATCTTCTCTTTGGGGATAAAGTAGCCGGAGAAGAGGAAGAAGGCTCCAAGAACGGTGCAGATGAGGGAGTTACCGGAGATGAAGTCAGGAGAAACTGCGCTGAGAAAGAGCACCAGAGAACTGGCCATGAGAATGATGAGCCAGACGCAGAGGACAAAGAAGGAGAAGGCTTGAATCGATGGGTTTAGGCCTACGATCCAGTAGACTGGGATGGAGAAGAGGAGAGATACAACGAAGAGGAACGGTACAAATGCGATGGTGTTGGCGATCATGTAGGATGAGATTCGGTAGGATCCACGAGATGATTCTTTCATCAGAACGCGACGTTCTCGGAGGTATATGGGAAGTGCTTCCACTGTGGAAGAGAGGAGGAAGCTTAAGCTGAAGGCAAAGAGCCCTAGCCGCTCTGCTACACCTTCTTCGTCACGCTTGAGTCTTGTGTAGACGCTGCCTAGACCTAATCCGGCTACAACCGCTTGCATTGTTCGCGCCAGGAATAACTGCTTTGTTCTGTAGATGATCTTGCAGAACCTCGAACAGAGATATGAGATCTCGGTGACGTCTAGGACACGAAACTCTTCTTCTTTGTGATAATCCCATCGTTTTCGTTGTTTTCAGGCCACATTGATGATGATTCTACGACAGCTACCGAGTCTGGCTTAAAAGTTCTCAAGGACTCACTATTTCCATGCGAATTCTATCGGATTCAGCTGTTCTGGAATCTGAAACCCTAGTTTCGCTATCGAGTCCTCGAGATGTTCAAGACTTCCCAAGTGGATAACCGATCCGCGAGAAAGAATCAGGTAATCGGAGATGTAATCGAGGATTCGATAACTTGGTTGATGGATGGAGAAGAGGACGGTTCTCTGTTTGGATTTGCCATAGTAGCCAAAAGCTCAACGACCTGAGCGAGTTTCGACTATCCAAACCAGAGGTGGGTTCGTCAAGAAGTAGAATTGGTGGATCACGGATCATCTCAACAGCTATTGAAACTCTCTTCCTTCTCCGCCCGAAACACCACGATCTTCATCGTCTCCTTCTCCAACGAAGCTGTCTTGGACTAGAACAAGACCGAGATCACTCAATAAGCTCTCCACTCTCTCTTCTCTTTCCTTAGCCGTTGAATCTCTCAAACTGAATTTGGCGCTATACATTAACGTCTCTTTCACGGTAAGTAGAGGCAGTAGGTCATCGTCCTGCGGACAAACCCGCATAGCCTGCGTAGCTGATTATAGTCGGTAATTTACGATTGTTTATCAAAATCCGGAAGACGGATCCAGTGCCTTGTGGTTCACGCTTCCTGAAATGATTTTCAAAAGAGTGGATTTGCCTGTTCCGCTAGGGCCAACCACGGCTAGGATTTTAGAGGATTCAGCAGCTAATGAAACAGATTTGAGTATTGGGGTGTGATGGATGGTGTAGGAGAGGTTAGTGACGGTTAAAGAGTAGCGGTTAGGGGTTGGGAGTGGTGAAGAAGAGAAGGAAGAAGAAGCAGAGGAGAATTCATCAGGAGAGTTGGATGCTGAGAAAAGAATGATGGAGTCTTCTTCGCTCGGGTAGCAGGTGGAAGCAGGAAGCAGGAAGCCATGTAGTATTGTTCTTCTTTATATCAAAATGTCTAACAATGCTTTTTATGTATGATTGAAGTTTTTTTTCAGAATTGGTCGACCAACAAGAGAAACAAGTGTTTAATGTGGTAGGCAGAGGTTGGTGTAACTCTTCAAAACCTGTTTATCTAATTTTATTTGGTTGGTCATTAATTTTTTATTTGGTGAGTTTATCGTATAAGATAATTTTATCTTACATATGTAAACGGTATTAGTGGTTGACCAGGAAAAAAGGGTATTGGTGTATCAAACAAAAAAAGGTAACGTGTTAAATTCATTACTCAAATGTACTTTCCAATGGTATCACCATGATATAAAGCAAACTTGTATATATTTTAACTGTCTTGCTCAAAAAAAAAAAAAAGTATATATTTTAACTGTAAATAAGTTGAAATTTTTCTAAAATGTTAAATAAACAGATTACAAATAACATATTACTACATGACTACATGTCCAAAATAATAAAAATAATTACAGTAACATGTTAACTCTATACATTAAGATGGCTAGTCGTTGATATATTATGCTGAAAGAGTAAATGTCCCGTCATGAGCAATACTATCATTGATGATGGCAAAATAATGAAATCTAAAATTAGATTTTGATACAAAATTGGTTGCTTTTAAGATTACATTCGTGAAGAAATAGGTCGCTTTCTCTGATAACACACCCTTGTTGCTTCACAATCTTCTCCAAACAGTTAGTGCGGTTTGAATTTCAACATCAAATAATAGCATTTATAGAGACAGAGAAAGAAACAATGTATGCTTATGGAATTTACAAAAGAATTTACACATGAAACACCCAAACTATAATGAAATCTATTTTTCTCTCTTGGTTATAATCCCCAATAAACCTATGAAACCCGTGTTGACCAAAAAAAGAATAGATGAGTGGGAAACTCCGGTTTTCTGTGTTATTTTGGGGGTAAAGCAAAGAATATCAATGGCCCAAGTCTTCACTTCCTACACCCACACTGGATTTATCAACGACTATGCGTACATTGTATTGTTCGTACACTCTTCCTCTGTTCTCTGCCCACCATTCTTCTGCTTGTTTCTCGCTAAACCGCTTCCGACTGCGATCAAAATCATCCTCCGATTATGTTCATTTCATCATTAACAAAAAAAAGAGAGAAATAAAGAAGAACTGTAGTACCTGAAACGGACACGTTTGAGATCCCTTGCACCTCCCGCTAAGGCTGTGAGAGTGATGTACACACCAGGTTCATCTTGTTCAACCCATTCATTTTCATTACGGGGTTCACTTTCTTTTGATCGTGTGCTGATTCTATTTATCGCATCAGCAGCATGATTAGCTTGCTGTCGGTAACTTCCACTATCGAAAACAGGTGTGCTGGTCCCGTTAGAAAATATTGGGACGGTGGTTAAGCTATCAGAAACAGTTTCTCGACTGTTTGGACGGTTTAAGGTGTTAGACGAAGGGGCAGCGTAATCAGGACTGGAACCAAATGAATTAAGAGAAGGTGACTTAATAGTCCGAGCTGATCCAACAGGTAGTCTTTCAGCCATGTCTTTCAACTGCATAGTTTCATTGAGAAAATCAGTAAGTAGCATAGAACTTTATCATTCATTTTAACAGCAGAGAAGGAAACTTTGAAATTTACTTGAGCGGTAAGTGATTTAATCACATCTTTAGCTGCCTTGCATCTCGCTGATTCTTCGCTTGCAATTGCTAGTGCCTCCTTTAGCTGTTTGGTTGTTCTTTCCAGTTCAACTTCTTGAAGCTGTGCCTTCCGTGTAAGATTTTCAACCTGTGAAATAGTTTACTAGTGAGTTAGCAAAGGAGTCAAATTGCAAAGAATGAGACGATATCTTTTTTTCACCAACTAAACGAATACAATTCGAGGAGCATGATCTCACTCCATCTAGGCACACAAAGAAAATAAAAGACACTTGCTTGGTTCATCTAGAAAAAGACCTATTCTTTAATGAGCGTAATCCAGAAAGTGATTGATTATGAACCAGAAACACAACAGGATAATCGAACACAAAATAGCATAATCTCACCAGCTATGTTTTTTTCCTATATTGTAAGTTGTAACACAGGAAAGTGTGAAGAATTTATGGAATAAGGAACAAGAATAAGAGCGTGGAAAGCAGCTTACTTGAGATCTTAGCATAACCACCTCCTGGCTTAGGTTATCATTGGTTCTCTTGGTATCATCCACTACAATTTTTGGTGTAGTTAGTCCTAAAAGAGTGGGAGTTGGCGTTGTTGAGCGAGGTGGGCTAGGACGTCTTGATATTGGTGAAGTTGCCCGAGACGCAATTCGGGAACCAGGAACTGACGCTGAGAAGAACTTCTTCGATGATCCGAAAGTTGGATTAAAAGACTTGGTTATGTTTAGTGAACCCCGATGAGAGCCTCCACTTGGTATTGGTGAGACACGACTACTATTGAATTCATATTTCTTATTTTTCTTGGATCGAATGTCCACTTGCCTCATGGGCTCCAACAATGAGAATCTAGCTAGCTGTCCGTCGGATCTAGTATCCAACTTCTCATCTCTGTCAATTGCATCTGATCCTTGGTTGACACTTTCTCTTCGACTCAAAGAAGAATGAGATGATGGATCCGTTTCCATGGCCTTTTTCAATTTATTGAAACACCTATCACACACTCTATATGGTTTGTTCGGGTTCGGTGCCATACAAGCCTTCAGGGACTTTTTATTAGTGCAAGAATGGCAAAACACAAGTCCACAGTTATAACAATTGTGCCGCTTTCTCTTGAAATTGAAAGGCTGACGGCAACCTGAACACATGGACTGGTCCATCCCTGATGCCCACTTGTGAAGGCAGACAGCTGCGGTGAAGTTAGAACCACAGGCAATACTTTTCACCTGTTTATCCTTCAGAGACTCAACCAATGTCGGGGAATTTCGATCATCTGCATCCCCATGGCCTAGTCTACCATTTGAACCTTTCCCCCAAGTGTAAACCTCAGTCCTTGAAGTTAAAACTGCAACATGATAAGCACCGCAAGCAATCTCTTCGACAAAACTCTTGTGAAGTTTACCTTCAACACGGGTTGGAACCTTTCCATCTGCATGTGGGTTTCCAAGCTGACCATAAACAGGACTACCCATAGTATAGACATGGCCCGATGTTGTAAGTGCAACAGTTAGGCTATGTCCGCACGCAACTTGACAAAAATTGGGTTCTACAAGAGCTGCAACACAGGTAGGCACAAGTTTTGGTTCTTTGTCACCGTGACCAAGACGACTCTTGTCACCATCACCCCATGTAAAGAGCTTTCCTGAAGAGCAGTTACTAGAGCTCGAGCTCCCAACCATGACTTCTACAACTGCGGCTGTGTGCCATACACCACAGGCTGCCCGAACAGTGCGAAGACCTTTCAAGGAGTCTACCTCTCTAGGTATGAAAACACTTTTCCTGTCTCCATGACCCAAAACACCAAAGGTCCCATCACCAAATGTAAACAACTGCCCAGCGGAAGTCACAACAGCTGTGTGGTAAGGTCCACAAGCGATGGATGATACATGTATCCCTTCCATCAGAAAATTTACTCTTTTGGGGACCCAGTGACTGACTTCATTTCCATGTCCCAGAATACCAAAATCTCCTTTACCCCAGGTATACAAATCCCCTGATAGAGTAACTGCACAACTATGGTATTCACCACATGCTACAAGCTCAATATTTGTGGTACTGAGGGCATCAATGAGCTTTGGATGTTGAACATTGGAATCTACACCATGGCCAAGCCTACCTTCAGATTCCTCTCCCCAAGAAAAACTTTCTCCTTGTTTTGTCACAAGGACAGCATGTTGTCCACCACAAGCAATATTCTGGACATCAAGTACTATAGTAGACTCTAAAGCTTTTGGCAATAAGGAATCCATTTTGATCTCCAACGAACTTCCAACTCTATGATTTCCACCACCCAAAACACCTTCGCCTATTCCTTCTCCCCACATGAAAACGTCTCCCAATGTGTCTCCATCATCATGACCAGAACCATGGCTCGACGAACTAATCGCACTTGACAGACTAACTCTAAAAGCATCCATACCCATTCCTTTCATGTGACTATGTAGTGTATCTGAACCTCCAGATGACAAAGAGTGAACGGACATAGTTGCCGAATCTGGGGGAAAAAAACCTTTTGGAGGAACTGCATACAACGACATGTCTGAAAATGCCTTGTCAATGCCATTCTTAGGCGGGCTCTCATATGGACTGTGAAGACGAAGGTGATTTGAGCCCTCCTGAAAGGTAAGAGAATATTACCTTAGTTAAGAAATGCACAAAATGAATTGGAATATTTCATTCTAGTACCTTCTGGAAACTTTCATTGCTACTAAATGGAGAATGTAAAGGGGAGCTTCTCCGGGTATATGTTCTCGGACTATTAGCTTCGGATGGCGTTCCATCACTTCTCGATTCGGTCCTCCATTTCCGTTGATGACAACGAGATATCAAGGCTTTTAAACCACTAAACCACACTTCAGCTTCATCTTTATCTTTGCATATCTATGAAATGAAATTCTGACACCTAATTAATGAACTTTTAATAATAACAGATATTTAAATGATGGAATAATGATTTCATAGAGGAAATAGGAAAAGAATATACTATAAGAAAAAGCTCACCACATCCAGTGACCTCTCATCATATATTAGCGAGAACGATTGATATTCCTTCTCGGGACGTGGATATCTCTGAAAAATAGGCTGCAAGAGAAACACCATTGCAAGAATTATCAGAATATCACACTAGATATGCAAGATCCAAATATGCAACCTACGACTACAGAAATTGGTTCATGCAAATGATGCATGAAACATGCAAAGTCAAATCAAGATCGACCTGCCTCACTGAATTGAAATGAAAAAAAAATGATGAATCCAATCAAACATAGCATAAGCACGTAATCTTCATTTGAGTTTATGTTGATAAAACGACTCTAAGAAAAGAGCTTTCTGCATAACATACACCACTTGTGAAAATCATAAACAACAATTCAGATCACATTAGGAGGACAATCCCACTCACAATCATGACAGTAGAGCTCAGAAACAACCAGAAGAAGATACTCATACTAGAGATCCAACCATATAAACGCATTCAAAAATGGATAATACTAGTCTAACGAACTTATTCTGAACATTTAATAGCCAGCTCAAGGGAGGATTAAATGACATTTCCACGGATGTCAAAACTTACAGTGCGCTGCCCAGATATGATCCTGGAAACATGACTTAGCTTCAAATGTTTCTCCTCCTTCCCCGAAAACCATATCAAAACAGATTCATCCTGAAAGGTACACGAAAGACTATTTACTTAGACACAGAACAGCGAGAAGCTGCACACATCAAAAAGCAGAGAGAAAATATAATGAAACAAAAGGACTCTAAAGGCTCTTACATAATTAAAAGATGAAATCAACACAACTTACATTGGAAAGGCGAAATGGACAGAACTTAGGCTTTCCCCTTCTGCCATACTTAAGCAAATAAGCTCCCTTTTTAAGGGCAGTGATAGCCTGAGCCAATTGATCAAAAGAAGTTGCGTAAATAAAGTAGGTGAAGTATACTGGCAAGGGGTGATTCTTGTTCTCCATTATATAGCTAGAATCAAGCTTGGAGACTCCAAAAGTGGAATAAGAGTTGAGTATTTAGCTAAACCATGTCACTAACCTAGAATCCGAAATCTATTTTTCAAAGTTTTAGCCCTAAGAAAATAACATTCTATTACCTAAAGAGTAATCCTAACTAAAGGATTTGTCAGACAGAGAGAGATATTCCAATTCCACAGAAAACCTAACAATTCAGTAGAAGTGGAATCATAAACAAGACCTAGATTGACTTTGCAAAAGAAGATAACAAAAACCTGCTCAATATCCCTCGTCACTGGACCGGCTCTGCTAAGATCCGACGACGCCATTCGTCCGTTCCTCGACATAAACAAAAATTCCTCAGTGAGCAGAGAAGAAATTCACACTAGTAGTCGTCAAGCTCAAATCAAAAGACCTCGTCCACATCACTATGATCGTCGATCTAGAATTCAATTCGAAGCTAGAGCAGCTTCTTCAGCTCCAATTAGATTCAAATCGATCCCAACAATCAAACAAATACGAATTCAAATGTGCGTCTTTGGATTGAAGTCTACCGGCAAACGCGAGAGGAATTTAGGAAATTGAAAATCTAGCTAGAGACATGTCATGATCTCTACTACTAGTACGCAGTTTAAAGCGAGCGAGCCAGAGAGAAGAAAGAGACCAAAAGGCAGATTCTGACTAGAGAAATAAAACCTTTTTTTCTACCTTGAAGAAATGTAGAATTTTCAGTAATCTGTCCTTAATTACGGGATATAACACTGTGTACACTCCCAAATAATTTCTGCTTTCCTTAAGAATTGTGTATTTGTGTATTTGTGTGAATAGTAATGTGGAAGGCTTTTTGCGAATATCTATTTTTTCGGCAAGCTTTTTCGAATATTACTTTCGTGTATATATTGGCCTTTTTTTTTGTTTGGTTTAACCAATTGGTTAGGTATTAGATTCGCGGCGTTGCTTCATATGTTTGGGATAATCGTTTTTAGTTGGGATATGTCTTCGCGGTTTCCTCTGTCCTTGGTCCTTCTCCGTTTGCGGTGGTAGGTCCTCTAGCTTGCGACCTTTGAGCTCTTATTTCCGCGGTTTCTGTTCTCCTCCGACTTTTTCGATGATTTCGAGAGCTTCACTTCTTGACTTTAGTATATTTTTTTATGTTTCCCGTGTATCGGGCTTTAGCTTCCGGGGATTTCTTTGTTTTCCGCCGGCATTGTATTTCGAAAACGCATCCCAAAAACGTATTCCACCCATGTATTCCACTCTTGTATTATATAATGAAAATCTTTCAGTGAAAAAAAAAAAAAAAAAAAAAAAACCAATTGGTTAAAAATCTCTATTGAATGGAATGGACTTTTGAGAGTTTAAATTCCTACCAGCTAATTATACAAGAGTGAAGAAAAAAGCAATACAAGATATCATAGTTCAATAGAAGATGTCAAGCAAGTTAATACTAATGGCACTGTGGCAGCCTCTTCCAACAAGGTTATTTCTAAATCCTCCAATGGAATTTTCGGCCACTTCTTGGACAGTTGGACTCCCTCTCATAGTTCAAGAAATGACTTGATTTGGATGGAAATGAACTAGTGAATCTTTTCTCCTCCATCTATTGTGCACCAATGAACATATTGTTTTTTTTTCGGCATATGATCTTTACTCTTATTATTTTGTTGAATAATATTTTAGTTATATCTCTTAGCTTTTGTATAGATTAATTATTTGTCTATTAAAGTAAAAGTTTTTTAGGGTTTCATTTTCTTGTAATGGGACATGATGTATTTTCTTCAAAAGTTATAAATCTCAACATTTTTAAAAATGTCTATATGATCTGTCTGTAACATGTCTTATACTACGTCGTTTTGAGTTTTCTGATTTGTCGCAATTCTATAGGACCAGGTGTCAAAAAAACTTCTGGCGGAGAAAGAAGGTTTGGGTTCTGTTTTGTCTGTCTCTTGTGTGCTTTGTTTTTTACGTTCTTGAGGTATCGGAATCATTCTCTTAGCATATCTCCTTTTCTCGTCTCGGTGGTTCGCTGTCCCAGCCACTCCCTCTCTAATCCGGGCTCCTTATTCTTGATTTTGGAAGAACTTCTTCTTCTTTCTTCACTACCCAATCTTTCGTTTTTCTATTTAATTTCGCCGCCATGAGTTCCGTTACCGAGATCGTGTCTGAGCAGCAAGTGATTGACGGTATTCAGGATTTGGCTCTTCGAAATCAGGTTTTTTGTTACTCTAATTCAATTTACCTGCGCGTCTCTAGGTCAAATTTTGATCCTTTATATGGTTGCTTTGTGGGTCGTTCTTGTTTCGGAGTTGGAGCTGATTCCATCCGATGATGCTTCTTCTGTTCTGCTTCTCTGTCGAAATGTATCTAGAATATTAGGGTTTCGTAAAATTTTGATTTTGTGCGTTATTGTGTGTTTAATTCCGGCTTGGACGATTAGGCTCTTCAGGTTTACAATGTGACGTGGTGGTTGATACTGAATCTGCTACTGATGTTTATGTATCTGCTTTCTTTTTCTTTTCCAAAAGCTTAGGTTTCTTTTCCTTGCATCTACGCATAACTCTTTAAGATGATGTCGTGGGTTCTCTGCATATGAAGCTAATTCAAAGATTTTATCTGAACCTTGTCCAGGACAAAAAGAAGATCCAGGAAGAGATCCATGAGCCGAGTTTCGGGAATCATGGTGGCTGTTGTGCTATATGTTTGAGTGAAATTCCTCTGCAGGAAACTGCTATGGTGAAAGGCTGTGAACACACTTACTGGTAATACCTGTTGGATCTTCTCTTTGTTTCTTTTAGATGAATTTAGTATATAGTACGAACATATTGATTTCGTCAGATGAATTTTGTTTTCTTTCTCCTAACTTTTCAGTTTTGAAACTTGGTTTGAGGTTTAATCCTACTGTAAACTCTTGATCACTTTTTTTATCTTGTGTTTGATTCTATGCCTACGTAGTAACTGACTTTCTCCTTTGGTTTTTAAGAGGAGTAATTCATTTCTATCTATTCAGTGTGACATGCATACTTCGTTGGGCGAGTTGCAAAGAGAGTCCTACATGCCCGCAATGTAAACATCCATTTGATTTTCTCAGTGTCCACAGAGCACTTGATGGCAGGTGAGTTCCTTTCTTTGTTTACATATTGCGTATATATTAGTCTATTTCTCCATTTGCTTGATCAAACTCTTTGTCTTCTTATTGTTTGGTTATATATTCTGTATACATGTTGAGACACATTGGGAATTACCATAGAGTTTGAAAGTTTCTATGTCTTCTACTGAACTCTCTTTTGTATTTTTATGCAGCATTGAAGATTTTCTGTTTGAGGAGAGTGTGTGCCTTCTCCTGAGAGCCTCATGGTTTGTACCATTGGATGTGGTGGAACTGGCGTCATACAGCTATGGTTACCATGATGATTTTGACATTCCTTGTGACTACGAGGATGAAGATGATGACCTTGACGAGTTTTATTTGCACGGGTCAAGTCTTCGCATAGGAAATCGGAGATGGGGTGGCAATGGTTTTGTCAGATCTGGGCGTCAAGAAGCCAGGCCAGTCCCAAGATACAGTGGTTCTAGTTCCACTTCCAGTTCCAGTTCTGGGTTATCCTCAAGTGAGCCTAAGGATAAGCAGGTGAAGATGACAAACACAACAGGGAGGCGTGCAAAGAGGGCAATGAAGCGTGAAGCTGCGAACAAAGCAGCGGAAGTAACTGCAGCAGCAAAGCACGAGGCCCATTTGGTTAGGTTGGGAAGGAAGTGAGTGTGTATCTGTAAATAAATTGCACTCAAAAAGCTTCCACCTACTTCCATCACTTAGTATCATCTGTACAGCAACTAGTTTCTTAATGTTGTGGTAAATCCCCTTCGCACCACTGTATAAAAGGTGTGGGGTTTGGAATGGTAGAAACAAGAAGTTGTGACCCTTTGGTCTCATACAATACTTGGACAAGCATTGAATATCATATTACTCTGTTCATTAAATCTTGAGAAGTTTCTGATTATTGCTCAAATGAGATGGTAGTGTGGCTTTTGATTTTCTTGGTGTGTGAATATGTAAAATTTTGTCTTGATGAAGATGGAGAATGTGGCAATGTTAGGGGTGTGGGCTACATGGTCGGTGGGTTTTGGAAAAGAGGCAGTATTCAAAGAAATATGGTTTCGTAGTCTGAGTTGGTCGGTGAGATATTCAGTTTGCTCAACTTCATGTCATGACACAACAAGGCGTAGATACAATGCATCTAGTTGCAAGGAACTTCTAACTCCAGTTAAGGATTCCATTTATAATATGAATATTTTTTAAGATAAAATTTAATAAATAAAGTATTTTTATTCTAATTAAAAACGACATGTATTAAATTGCCGAATAAATATAGATGACGGTTAAAAAAAAAAAGCTTTCTTCTTCGAGAGGTCTTCTCTCTAAAGCAGCTCCTTTTCTCCTGTTCATCTTCTTCGACAAATTTGTGGCTCCGACCAATGTTCGTGGGCTTCCAAAGCCACGACGTTGGTTCGGCTTAAGTTTTTAGGTTTGTTTGTTTGTTTCTTTGGCTGGGATCTTTTGGTTTTTATGCAGAGTATCTTCTTCCTATAGTTGGAGTTCTTTGGTCTATATCCGCATCGGCCCTATGCCAGCTGTCTTCGTTGTGGTTGGTGAAGCGGTATAGACGGCCATCTCTTAGGCTTCTCCACTCGATTCTCCCTTCAGATCTGGGCGAGATCTGTCTTGGTATGGGACTCCTTTCACCGGTAAAGTCGATGGTTTCGACATCACCTGGCAGGATTTCTCTAACAGCCTTTTGTACAAGTTCGAGGCTTAACGGTTAGGGTCCAATGGAGTTTCATGATTGCACTTCCGAAGTCGACTAATCAGCAAGTGAGACATGAAGATTGAAAAGTTATGCTTAGGTTTTCGGTTTCCAACGTCTTGGATTACTTTCCAATCTCAGAATTTCTGGCTAGTTAGATAGTTGATACTTTTGCAATTAGATCATTAGTTCTTCTGTTTGGTTTAATTATGTTTTCCAGTTGTTTCAAGTTTGTTTCAAGTTCTTATGTTTCCCCAGGATGGGGCTGTTGGCTCCGGGAGTCCGTTATACTCGCCGGCTTTGTATACCTCCGTTTGTTCGATAAATAAACATCAGTGACAAAAAAAAAAAAATATAGATGACGGTTTTTTCGGGTTTTTTCCAGTTTTAAAATGAATGAGTTTGAAGTGAAATTGAAATTGATAACCCAACAACGTGTGTCTATTTTCCACCTAACCATTGCTAACCACGCAAAAGGCAAAAAATGGTAAAATATCAGCAGTCTTTAAAAACGGCAAAGAAATCACCCAAATATACGCATTGGCCATTTGGTCTCCACTTAGAGAGAAACAGACACAAATCGAGAAAAATGGCAAACAGTGGTGAAGGTAAAGTAGTGTGTGTAACCGGAGCCTCTGGTTACATCGCCTCATGGCTCGTCAAGTTCCTCCTTAGCCGTGGCTACACCGTTAAGGCCTCCGTCCGTGACCCCAGTTCCGTACCCTCTCTTCTTTTTTCTCTCCATTTATTCACTCTAGGGTTTAGACACTATTTCATGGGTTTGAATTAAGTCTGTGTGACTGGAGTTTTGAGATTTGGTTTCTAGTAGTGAACTGTCTGAATTTTCTCTCTTGTTTGGTGTTTGGGTCATCTTAAAAATTGATGCTTTGTATATTAAATTTCCCTTAAGATATAACCTAAAACACCAAGAATGATCTGCTTGTAGAAATGAAATCAATACTTTGGTTTTTATAGTAATTTGTTGAATCTGTCATGATGATTCACCTTATATACACAGGTGATCCAAAAAAGACGCAACATTTAGTTTCACTGGAAGGTGCAAAGGAGAGACTTCACTTGTTCAAAGCAGACCTTTTGGAAGAAGGTTCTTTCGATTCTGCTATTGATGGCTGCCATGGAGTTTTCCACACTGCTTCCCCATTTTTTCATGATGTCAAAGACCCACAGGTTTGGTTTTTATTCCCTCAAAAATATGCTTTTATTTTGTGGAGTGATTTGATCTTAACTTCTTATCCCAATTTCAGGTTGAGCTTATTGATCCTGCGGTCAAGGGGACACTTAACGTTTTGAATTCTTGCACCAAAGCATCTTCGGTTAAAAGGGTTGTTGTTACCTCCTCCATGGCAGCCGTTGCTTACAATGGAAAACCACGCACACCTGATGTTACCGTCGATGAAACTTGGTTCTCTGATCCTGAGCTTTGCGAGACCTCCAAGGTTTGTTTTGAAAGTTGAGCCATGATACATTTTTTATTATGAAACTTTGTTTTGTTGTCATATACTCTCAACTAGTCGTGGCTTTATTGTGCTGTAATGTTGGCTCTTCAAACTAATATGTTATGCTTTGTTACTGGACTTAGATGTGGTATGTTCTATCCAAGACTTTGGCGGAAGATACCGCTTGGAAACTTGCCAAAGAGAAAGGCTTAGACATTGTTACTATTAACCCGGCTATGGTGATCGGCCCTCTCCTACAGCCAACTCTGAACACGAGTGCTGCTGCTATACTAAACTTAATAAATGGTAAAAAAAAAACTTTTACTTCTTCCATGATTACTAGGACCAGTTTTGTCAAATGCTAGCTAGAAAACCCTTTTTAACTTCTTGTATTTTATTTGTTTCCAATATGCAGGTGCAAAGACTTTCCCCAACTCGAGTTTCGGATGGGTTAATGTAAAAGACGTAGCCAATGCGCACATCCAAGCATTTGAGGTCCCTTCAGCTAACGGACGTTATTGTTTGGTCGAGAGTGTCGTTCACCACTCCGAGATTGTTAACATTCTACGTGAGCTTTACCCAAATCTCCCACTCCCTGAAAGGTAAAACATCTCTAAATATACTCCATTGGTTGTCTTGTTCGTGTCTGGTGTCAAAAACTTTTGCCTCGTACGCAGGTGTGTGGACGAGAATCCCTACGTGCCAACATATCAAGTGTCCAAGGAGAAAACGAGGAGCCTTGGCATAGACTACATACCCTTGAAGGTTAGCATCAAGGAGACCGTCGAGTCCTTGAAGGAGAGAGGTTTCATACACTTCTGAGAAAGATTTGAGCCAATGGATTCAATCCAGATTATATAAAGTATTTGGAACACTATATAAAAAAACTATAATATTTGGAACATGTCAACGTTCCTTAAGGAGAGATTAGTATGTTCTCGTACCTTATTGTTGGTTCCATCAAATAAGTTACCTTTCCTTCTATTTCTTGTTAGTAAGATATCAAATAAGAATTTTAGTAAAGTGAGCAACTTTAAACTAAATTACAAATGATCAAGCAATAATTAATGTTATCTTCTGACCACTAGTTTAGTTGATGACAATGGAGTTTATCCAATAGGTATCAATATTTCATCGTCGGGAAGAAGTAAACAAAACTAGTTTAGTTGGTGACAAGAGAGTTTATCCAATAGGTATCAATATTTCATTGTCGGGAAGAAGTAAACAAAACTAGGGATTTTTACACGTATTGTTTGCCAACAAATATTAAGGATCCAGACAACATGACAAATAAAGAGTCAGACAATTTAAGAACATCTTCTTCATATCGTACATGGCTGGCTACTCAAGTAACTAGAACATTTGGAAACCCTGATCTACAATTATTGAGGAAAAAAAAAAGATAACAATTTTCAAAGAATACTGTTTTTTTCTTTTCTTTTTACTTCTTTAAGAGATACAGAAACAAAGAACCTTTCTCAATTCTCGCCTTCTAATTGCAATGAACCTTCCCTCATTAACTTGAGGCTCAAACTGTTGAATCTTTCCCGGGAATACTGCCTCGACGCTTTCCTCCAGTCCGTTCCAGCTTTCATCATTGCCGCAAACTCTTCATAGCTTATTCGTCCATCCTAATCACCAAGATGCAAAAAGGATCAAGAGATGATTTGTAAACTGCTAGCTATTTCCAAACAAATTTTGCCATCAAATTACTTGTTCAAGACTTGGGAACAAAGGAAATACAATTCTGAGATATACTGATAAGATCGCACACATAATCTTATCTATTCTCAATGAACCAGGTTACACATAATCTCAGTCACTCGTTAAAATGCTGATATGGCATGTGCACTTGGTGAACTCCTATCATATACCCACTTCTAGCCTCCCGAAGAGAAAGATTCAGACAAGCATACCCAAGTCTTATGCTACTAAACTGAATCATTTGAGTCCCCATATTATCGTTACATAACATTTTATTTTGTGAAGATGCATTTGCAGTGACAAGTATCGATTTCTTAAAGTCTCATATTTTGGGGTTACCTTGTCTGTGTCAACATCTTGCATGATAGCTGCAATAACTTCTTCACTGCTAGTATCCACCTCATCATTTAAAGCCTCACGCAGCTCCTCAATCTCTATGTAATCACTCTGATTCTGGTCAAAAAAGTTAAAAGCCTTATGCAAGTGTTCATCGTTCGCCATCTTCTTAAGGTGCACAGAGACAGCCACAAACTCGCCATAATTTAAAGTTCCATCCCCATCTACATCAGCCTGCACACCAAAAAAAGGCTTTCAAATATCTGTTGGAACACAGACTTCAAAGTTTTTGGAATCTTTTTCCTACAGCTTCCATCAGGATCTGTAGATCAGTATCAGGTATCTGCTGCTGTCCGAGTTTATGAAGTCCAAATTTAAGCTCCTCGAGGTTTATCTTTCCCGTCTTTTTACTGTCCATCATCTCAAATGCTTCCTTGATGCCAGCTACTTCCTCCACTGACAAGTGTTCGGCTATCACCTGAAAGGGAATGAAAAAAGAAGTTTCACATTATTTCTTCAAATCCAACAGAAATATAGGTCATGAAGCAGCTGCAGGAATCACTACCCGTAGCGCTCTTTTCTTGAGCTTGTTCATAACAGAAAACTGTTTGAGTCTTGCTTTCACCGTCTCGCCGAGTGAAACATTTGGAGCCTTCTTTGCATTTTGTATCCAAGAATGTTCTGCGGATACAAGTGTCACAGTATATGTGTTCCATAAGTAACAGATTTTAGAAAAACACTAGAAAACATACCGAGTACTTGTGCAGCAGAAAGCCGTTTTTTGGGGTCAGGTTCGAGCATCTTCCTCACAAGGTCTTTGGCAGTCTCAGAAACTCTCGGCCATGGATCCCTCTTAAAGTCGATAACTGACCTAATGATTGCCTGAGCCACCCCTTGTTCAGTCTCTTTACAAATATAAACAACATCAAAAAAAGAAACTCAAAAAGTGGAAGAAGATAAGCAAATAAAACTTTGAAAGAGGTCACTAGTGAATCCATGAACATGTAATTTTATAACATCAGGATCCTAAATTATTCACAGAGGAAACTAGTGGTTCTGCAGTAAATCTTTCTAATCATCTATGGAAACTAAAATCCATCAGCTGCATATCCGTACAAAACATCCACTGTTGAAGAACAAAAAAGGATTAAGAAAATAAGATATATCATAACAAACCGGCCCAAAATGGTGGGACACCACAGAGCAGGATATAAAGGATAACTCCAGCACTCCAGATATCAACCTCAGGTCCATAATTTCGCCTAAGTACCTCTGGTGCCATGTAATAAGGACTTCCAACAATCTCGTTGAATCCCTCACCTGTTACAAATTCGAAAAACATCAAGTGGAGTAAACAGAACAAAATTATCGGTTAACCTGAGATATATAATGGACACTGTATAATCTATACCAGGCTTGAAGAAGACTGATAATCCAAAATCTATGGCTTTAAGGGCTGATGTCTCTTTTTTATTTGCAAAGAGAAAGTTCTCCGGCTTTAGATCCCGATGCATCACTCCATGTTTATGGCATATCTGCAATACCAAAAGGTGTTCAAATCATAAAAGTAGAACTTAGGATAACAAGCCTAACTAGCCTTACACTGTAAGCACAAGCCACTGAATAAATACAAACAAGGAACCTTGCAATAGAATTAGAGGGAAGACGGAACAGCTAGAAAGTTGACAAAACTATAGTGCAAATGAACAAATTTAAACTACAAACCTGAACAACTTCAAGAATAGTCTTCATTACTGCAGCAGCAGCTCGTTCAGTGTAATGACCTCTTGCAACAATCCGATCAAAAAGCTCACCCCCTTCACACAACTCCATAACTATATGCACTGCATCATCGTCCTCAAAGGCATCCTTGAGCGACACGATATTCGGGTGCTTAGGCATATGCTTCATTATCTCAACTTCCCTTCTAACATCCTCTATATCCACAGCTGTTCTAAGCTTCTTCTTTGATATAGACTTGCAAGCATACTTCTCGCCCGTTTTGATATCAGTGCACAAGTATGTAATACCAAACTCTCCGCGACCAACCTCACGCCCCAGATCATACATAAGAGATATATCATGCCCTGTTGGATCTTTCAAAACAGAGAGCTTGAAGCCAGTTCCAGATCCATTTGTAGTGTATGCCTCGCTGTAAAACGGGTTACTTTTGATCTTTGGTTTCCCATTCTTACTCCCGGTTTCGGAACCGGGGCTAGCACAACAATTTCCCATGTATATAATTCAAATCTGAGAAGTCCTGAGATTTCATCAAACAACTAAATCACTCACAACGCAAACATGTCATTTTCCAAATCAAGAAAGCTTAAAACTTTATCAATTACTCTCTAAAATTTTCCAAATTTAGGAATTAAAGACTCTCACGAATCCCAAAAACATATAGCAAGACAATCAGCAGATTTGATAAAGGACAAACAGACAAAACAAACGACCGAGAACAAAAATGCAAAGAAATTAAGAACCCTAAAAATTGAAGAGCAGAGAAGTAAACCCTAGCAAATGAAATCGGGTGAAGAACCAAAAAGGACGATGCTTTAATTAGAAAGGGGAAACACAAACCTGAGACCTTAACCGGAGAAAGAGATGATCAAACTGGGATTGAATCGGCAGAAGCAAAAGTGACAGAGAGAAAGGAGAAGAAGGAGAAGAGTCAAAAGTCTCCTTCTTTCTCGCTTCTTCTTTCTGAGTGTGGTGAGAGCAAAAGAGAGACTTTTTTTTTTTTTTTTTGGGTTCTCTATTGTGGAATCAGCAGATAACCCATTTGCAAAAGACAGTCACACGGTCACAAGACTAACCACCACTCTCTCTTTTATTGTTTTCTTCCTCTCAAAATAAACTTTTTTTTGGTTTCTTATTGAACAAGAACATGTGTTATTAAAACACAATAATGGGTCATGTTATGGCTTTTGTGTTTTGTCGCATCTCTACGGATTTGATAAAACGATTAGTCTTTTCATAATCCACCACTCACACATGTATGTATAGGTTACGTTAACTAGATAGATTTATCTAGTACAAAGTACAAACCAACAAATAGTTAAAGCATTTGATCTCTATGGATTCTCGATAAAAGGATTAACCTTATGATTTACGATTCTCACACACAATATGGCTATGATATATACAGTATCTCTAGTACAAACCAATAAATTTATTAATACCTATGGTTTATGGACAGTTACATTTAGAAGTATTTGAAATCAATCACAGCAATTGTTTATAACCTAATTTTAAGCTCGTTCCAAACTACATTTTATTTTTCGTAGCTATGGTAGTGGTGACAGTGAATCAATGATTATGTATAACTATTTAATTTATATTGTTATCAACACTCAATAGTAAACAGTAACAATTAGAACCGGTCAACCATATGCTGTATAAAATAAAAGAAAAAAAAGAATCAGTCAACCATATGTTCCACGTTTATCAAATTCTTAAATAAAAATTATTAACTATAAATACTTCCATTCCATATATCAAACATGAAACAACAACAAAATAATAGCAATAGATATACTACTAATAATCTTTTGGGAATTATTACTGAATAGCCAAATTAGACACACAAATTAAGTAAATAGCAGAGAGAAAATTTTTTGTTGCAAAATAGCCATGGTCCCACCTTGTCAGAAGAAGTGAAATAACGAAATCATCCTTCGTTTGTTGCAAGTTCAACCGTATGCAAGACAATTTCGTGAGATTTTGCAAAATAGCATGTAACATTTAAAGTTCACATGTTATATTAAACTGAAATACATGATATTTGGAAAAATATAGTGATTTTTTAAGAAAAAACATCGTTATGGAAAAATCTAACCTGAAAAAAATCTTTTTAAAAAAAAATTACATGTGATCTTAATAAAAACCGTGTAATATTACAAAATAAGAATCTTTTTTTAAAAGAAATCACATGTAATCTAAAGAAAAAACATGTATTACTATAAAATAACATGATAAAGAGAGATATTAAACTAAATAGAATGTTTTTTCAAGAAATACCATGTGCTTTTTATAAATAATGTGTAATACGAGAAAATAACATGATAAAAAGATCTATATTACGTTATAACATGTAATTCGAGAAAAAAACGTGTTACAAAGGACACTTACGTAATTTCACAAGCATTCCGACATGTTCCCGACATGTTACTGTAGCTCATGGTTAGTTTGTATATTCTTTTTGAATTCATGGTTACTTTGTATATATTCCCTAATCTTTTAAGTTTTTCCTACAAAAAAAAAAAAAATCTTTTAAGTTTTATCGCAATTGTTACCAATCAAACGACTCACTGATATTGTATCTGACTATACCGAATAACCGACCAGATACCACAATGTTTAATATACATGTTTTCAAGTATTTGAGTTAGATAGTGCATGGATCTGAACCAATACCCACGGATAGATATATAAATGACTCGAAAAATAGTTTGGTCATATCAATAACCAACACAAACCTGTCTTTTAGATCGATTCCGGTTCAGATTTTCGGATTCAGTTTATTTTGCCTAGGCCTAGTGAAGACCACATTAACTTTACCAAAGTGGTCAAATAATGGAAACATCTCCTCCTTACGACCAAAACCAGTGAACCTGCTCACAGACTCACACTATTCCTTCTTCTTCTTGCGGCCGCAAGTGAAATCTGAAAAGTAACCGAGCCGTGACTAGAATTCAAGCATTTCAATTTCATGCATACTCGATTCCGACTTTGCTCATCCGTATATAACTCTTGCATTCCAAACTCGACACAGCATTGTGTCTCATCTCCATCCAAAATGGCATCTTCTGGGTTTTGTTCACTCGGTCCAACTGTCACCTCCTTATTCTCGTCACACGCGCTTGCACGGTGGCGTTCGAGTTCTATGTCTCCTCCTCCGCTGCGTATTTCCCGCGCTTTATCAGCTGCAACCACTGTTCCGATAAGCTCCTCCTTCACTTGGGACGACGTAATCGAGACCGGTCGGGAGGAGTATACGCCTCAAAACTCCTCCGATCTCACCGGATTTCTCGAGAAAGTCAACCGCTGCAATCGGGGATCCGTAAGTCCTACTGAATTGAATGGTTTTAGGGTTTTGGTTCCTATGAGATTGAGATTGACCAAGGAAAGCTGAAATTCAATAAAAATTAAAACTTTTCCTCTTTTCTATTTATAAAGTTCAAAACTTTTTTGCTATTACATTTTTCAGGAAAAGTTACGTGAGTTCATTCCATTTGTTATAGAGGAACAAATCGTTGGTTATATTCATAAAGGGTAACTGTTCTTGCTCAACTATAAAGCTTTGTTCTTTTGCTGCTTCTATGATTCTAAAATTGATTTCTTTTATGCATTCATTCATAAACTAGTTTTGGAAGAATCTTGAATTTGGATCTTTGTTTGTCTACATTGAATAGATTTACGGAGTACTTGAGGGAGTTTCATGATATCTTTACATTTTCACATAATGGTTCTTGCCCTGACCGTGTTGATGGCTTTGTAACGCTTAATCTGATGCTTGAAAAGCCTGAAGATAGAACCAGAGCAGTTGCAGATGTGATCAAAATCTTGGGTGACAAAGGAATCATTCCAGGAATACGTAATGAGGTATGGGTTTGATGTTTGATTTGATCTCCTAACTATCTAATGATGCTTGATTTAGGTTCTATGATTCTAGTTGTCTTCATTTTGTTGATATTTTTTTTTCTCTTTTTCACCAGCTTTATCCTGTGAAACCATCGTTTAATGCCCCGGTCTTTTTTTCTCTAGAGCGTGCTGCTGCTCCTTATTTCGGAATAAAGGTAAAACCATACTCCACTGAATTGGTTCAGCATGTAGCCATGAACATCAATTTATAATATGCTTTTGCCATCAATACATGTGTACCATGTTCTTTTCCTGATTTTGCTTTGCGTTCCTTACGCAACTGAACTCTGGCTCTATATGTGTTTAGATCGACATATTCTCATTACTCTCTTGTCATCTGATCTAGGGTTACGGAGTTCACATGAATGGGTATGTAGAAAGAGATGGACAGAAATTTCTATGGATAGGTAAGAGAAGTCTCTCAAAATCCACTTATCCAGGAATGCTTGATCATCTGGTTGCTGGAGGATTGGTAAGATTTCTCTTAGTCTCTACTTGGACATGGTTATCTGCTGATGATGAAAGTAATTCATCATGATGCAGTAAGTCTATACTAGTGATTATAATTCTCACTAGAGGAAATTGAAATGCACGTTTCCTTTCATCATTCGCTGGGAACCATAGCCTCACGGGATTAGCTGCGGTGAGAACCTAGAAAAGGAATGCGAAGAGGAAGCTGGGATTTCCAAAGCCATTGCTTATAGGTAAGACATTCACCTCAGTCTTTAACAAAGTAGTATGTATAGCTCTCTTGATGTTTCAACATGTTGCATTCTATGTTTGATTTAAGGGCAATAGCGGTTGGTGCTGTTTCATACATGGATATCGATCAGTACTGTTTCAAACGTGATGTGCTTTTTTGTTATGATTTGGAACTCCCTGAAGATTTTGTTCCCAAAAATCAAGGTTAGGCAATCAGTAGTAGTAAGGCATGAGTAATTCTGAATTGCTGCTCAGAGAGATATGCTCTTTCATAGCGTTGTAGTCCAAATTACATTGCAGATGGAGAAGTTGAGAGCTTCAAGTTGATTCCAGTAGCCCAAGTTGCTAATGTGATTCGGAAGACTAGTTTTTTCAAGGCGAACTGTTCCCTTGTCATTATTGACTTCTTGTTTCGGCACGGGTACTTACTCATATCTCCCACAATCTCTCTCTCGAAAGAAACAAGTTACTTACGATTATATATTCCTGATTTTAATGCTCTCACCCTGAAGAACTTACTTGTCTTGGATTTGGTAATGATGATTATTTAAGTCTGATCAATATAGGAGGATATGGATCAGGGGTTTGTGTAAAAATAGTTAAATGAAAATGGATGTACATGTTCCCGACTATGCAGAGTAAATTCACAGCTTATGAGCCAAAGACCACCACACATGTTAATGTCGAAATAACCGACCCATGAGCAAACATGCTTTGAGGTTTTCTGGAAACATTATGTTCCATTTTGTCTATTATGCAGGTTCATCAGACCAGAATCATCGGGTTACTTGGATCTATATGGACGCCTGAGGAATAAAGATTGCTCATAAGGATGTTACTATCTGATGGTTGTAAGTAAAAGCTCACTTTATGGATTAATATTAGATACTAGGTTCATCCGTGTATATAATATTCTGCATTTTATTTCAGAGTCTGCTGAGTCACTTCAGGTGCCTTCATGAGCATAAACCAATCAAGCAAGTCCAAAGAATAAAATTTATTTATACAGAGAGCAAAACAAATTCACTAGAGCTTCCTGTTCTATTTTAGACTATGAGATTCCGAGGAAAATGCTTCTCTATTAGTTGTGACTTCTGGTTCCGGAAACTAATGAGCTCACATGTAATTGAAGGCTAGTTTAGAGAATCGGATGGTTTAGAAGTTAGAAGTTGGTAGTCAGTTTATACTTTGTGATGACCCCTGTCAAAACAGAGCTATAAAGCTCGAGTAATGAGCATCTTGTAACCGTGTGATTTCGATTCTGAGCTTAGTGAATTGTTGGGACTAAACCTAGACGAAATTAGGGGATTACAGACCGTAATTCCTTAACTAGTAAATTGCATTGTGTCATCATCATCTTCCTCGATTCTCATCTTTCTTTCTCGATCAATATACAAGTATCTCGATTAGTGTTCGATACATTGATTATGTAAACATGGTTGAAGCAAAGATCGCAACATTCTCTCTACGGATCAGCTCTAGTACATGAGCCTTTTTTGGTCCTCCCAAACTTTGATTTTAGTGGACAGAATGAGACGACGAACTCTTCTCATTAGTGGAAGATTACAAATGATAATTTTTCAAGGTCATAGTTCAAGTGACCTTGATAGTGAAATCACGTTTGGGGTTATAAATGAAGACTTTGAGTATCTCAGGTCTTTAAACGTCTGTTTTTAACACACTTAAACAGCAAGTGAAAGTAATACTTTTTAGGCAATTTTCAAAGTTGGGTATTTGACTTGATAAATGAAAAAGCTTTGTATTGGTTTAATTAGGCTTATATAAAAAGTTGGGTATTTTTTTCCATTTCTATATATTACGTGAGGTTATTGTATTTTGAGTGTGACACAAGAGATAGGTTCAAAAAACATACTCGTCCGTATTTAAAACGTCTTGCATCCTAGACAGAAACAGCTTAGTGTGTCTCCTCCGTCCAAATGGCATATGGATTTTGCTTGATGACGTTCGAGTTCGAGGTCCCCTCCTCTGAGTACCATTTTTTTTTTTATATCAGGAATCAATGAATCTATGAATCTAGACTAAGAACTTCGACAAATACAAGACATCAATTATTAGAATATACTATTTTGTCATAATTTTCATGTGAGGTTATTGTGAGCGCCACACATGAGATTTTTTCGAAAACTTACTCACCAGTATTTATAACGCCTTGCATCCCAAGCTAGAACAGCATTATTTCTCCTCCATAGAAATGGCATCTGGATTTTGTTCACTTTGTCCCACTGTCACTTCCTTATTCTCGTCCCAAGCGCGTATACCCACTCTACAGTGGCGTTACAGTTCGAGTTCTAGGTCTCCTCCGCTACATATTTCCCGCGTTTTATCAGTTGAAACTGTTCCTATAAGCCCCTCCTTCACCTGGAACGATGTTTTTGAGAACTGTCGAGCGGAGTACGCACCTCAAAACTCGTCTGATCTCACCGGATTTCTCGAGAAAGTTGACCGCTGCAATCGCGGATTAGTAAGTTCACTGAATTGAATGGTTGGTACTTGTAGTTTCTAGGAAAGTTATTTTAGAAAAAAAAAAATTCTCTTTTCTTGTTTTAGTTTTTATGAAGTTCACAAACTTTTTTTGCCATGCATTTTTCAGGAAAAGTTAGCTGAGTTCATTCCATTTGTTATAGAGGAACAAATCGTTGGTTATATTCACAAGGGGTAAGTAACTATTCTGCTCAACTATAAAAGCTAGTTTTGGCAGAATCTTGATTTTGAGTGCTCGTCATAAATGGGTTGAACAGATTTACAAAGTACTTGAGGGACTTTCATGATATCTTTACATTTTCACAATATGGTGGCCATGTAACACTTAACATGATGCTTAAAAAGCCTGAAGAAAGAACCAGAGCTGTTGCATATGTGATCAAAATCTTGGGTAACAAAGGAATCATTCCAGGAATACGAAATGAGGTATGGGTCTATGTTTTGGTTTGATCTCCTATAACTCTGCAATGATGCTTGTTAATTTTTAGGTTCTATGATTCTAGTTGTCTTATTTTGTTGATCTTTTTCTTTTTCATTTTCACCAGCTGTATCCTGTGAAGCCATCGTTTAATGCTTCAGCCTTTTTTTCTCTAGAGCGTGCTGCTGCTCCTTATTTCGGATTGAAGGTAAAACCAATTTAGATTCTTTGCAAAGCAAAATATGTGTACCATGTTCTTTTGCTATGAACTCTGCTCTCTTTTGATGGAAATATTCACTTGCATGGCTCTCTTGTTACCTATGATCTAGGGTTATGCAATTCATGTGAATGGGTATGTAGAAAGAGATGGACAAAAATTTCTATGGATAGGTAAGAGAAGTCTCGCGAAATCCACTTATCCTGGATTGCTTGATCATCTGGTTGCTGGAGGATTGGTAAGATTTCTCTTGTAACGATGAAAGTAATTCATCATGATATATAAAGTCTATACTAGTGATTATATAATTCTCATTTGAGGCTTTTTTTTTTGTGGTTCCATCATCCGGTGGGTAATTAACAAAGCCTCATGGGATTAGCGTTTGTGAGAATCTAGTAAAGGAATGCAAAGAGGAAGCTGGGATTTCCAAAGTCTTGGCTGATAGGTAAGACACTGATGAGCCATATGCTTTATGTGGTGTGGGAAAGTCATTTTCCCAAGGCCACAAAAAAATTGTAAAATCTAATACATTTTATTTTTAGTGGGAATTTCTGCCAATACCTTACCAATATAAAACAACAAGATAGAATTATTAATGAAAGTGATAGTTCAAAAAAAAAAAAAAAAGGAAAGGTAGCTATGTAGTCAAATGGAATGGACAAAATAAAGAAGGGATAAATGGGAAACAAAAAAAAAAAGTCGAAAAAGCTATTCAAAAAAAGATCAGATTCATCGCCCTTTTGTATATATATTAGACTTTAGTAACAAATGCCACATTATTTGAAGGAATCATCACCCCAAGTCTATGTGAGCATTATCCTCAGTCTTTAACAAAGTAGTACCTATATAGCTCTCTTGATGTTTTCCAACGTCTTGCATTTTATGTTTTATTAAAGGGCGATAGCGGTTGGTGCTGTTTCATACATGGATATCGATCGGTACTGTTTCACACGTGATGTGCTGTTTTGTTATGATTTGGAACTCCCTCAAGATTTTGTTCCTAAAAATCAAGGTTAGGCAATCTCTAGCTACTTCAGGCATGAGTAATCTTGCTCTCAGAGATATGCTTTTTTCATAGCATAGTAGTCCAAATTACATTGCAGATGGAGAAGTTGACAGCTTCAGGTTGATTCCAGTAGCCCAAGTCGCTAATGTGGTTCGGAAGACTAGTTTTTTCAAGGATAGTTGTTCCCTTGTCATTATTGACTTCTTGTTTCGGCACGGGTACTAACGCTTTTCTCCCACAATTTCTACATCAAAAGAAACAAGTTACTTAATTACCATTATAATCCGGGATTTTAATGCTCTTGCCCCGGATAGTAACATCCTTATGAGCAATATAATCTTCATGCCCCTTGACAAAACATCATTCTGTTCCATTTTGTCTATGCAGGTTCATCAGACCAGAGTCACCGGGTTACTTGGATCTATACCGAAGCCTGAGGAATGGAGATTGCTCATAAGGATGTTACTATCTCATGTTTCAAAGTAAAAGCTCACTCTATAGACTAATATTAGATACTCTGACTATGTAATAAGACTCATGCATGTATATAATATTCAGTGTCTGTTAAGTCACTTCATGTGCCTTCATGAACATATACCAATCAAGAAAGTCCATAAATAGACTTCATATATACAAATTAGCAAAACAAGTTCACAGTTTAGTTGTTCTGTTCAAATAGAATTATAGATTTTAGCATCAGAAAGCTAATCCAATTGTGTAAAACAAATATACATCAGATCAATTATTTTCATCATTATCAACTCGAATTCTTGTAATTATGTAATGAAATACAATAAGATTGACATCTAAACCTCAACAACTTTCTACTCTCTTGACGTCTTCATGACCTAACAGCCTTTTCCAGAAGGATGCCAAAAGTTAGTAATAAAAAAAATCCCACGGAGATAAAGGAACACCATTGCTTGAGATCCCCCAAGTTTAGAAACCTCCTAAATCTGCTACCTATGAAATCGTGAAACCAAACCATTTTTGCTATAAAGGAAAAAGTGGAATTTTACAAGAGAGATCGTCCTCCTCCTAGTCATGAACACCTTCATCAATGTTTAAGAACCTCTTTCTTCTAAACCAAGCAATATCTATTTATGGATAAGAGAAGGGAGGCATGCTCTCTAATTTTTTTTTTTTTCTTTCTTTTCTTTTATCCAACTATTGTGAAATCATTGATCTTTATGATGTCTTAAGTTATAATCGAGACATGTTGAGCTTTCATCGGTTAATGCGCGTTTTATTAAATGGGGAAAATTAACCGATGCAATCTCAACATCGATCTCGTTTTATTGTTTTTTTGAAATATATGTTTGGTTCCCTAAGCAAATTATATATTTATCTAACGAGTTTTGTTCTTGAGTACAGAATGCTGGATGGACTCCAGTTCCACAGTTCGGAGGGTGGGACCAAAAAGGACCAAATGATGCTACAAACTACTCGGTTGTCTTCTCCCAAGCTCGCGCTAATAGGAAGCAGAATAAAGCTGGTGTGAGACATTCTAGTTTGGGAAGCGAACAAGAACTCATGGCAAGTGTTCGTCGCAACCACCAGCAACTTCACCATCGCCATGAAACCCAAGATGATGACCCTGTCATGGTAATTAACATCTACCTCTCTCTCTCTCTTTACTTACTCGTCCATGGATTCCTTGGTTCATATGCACCTTGTGATGATCCTTTTCCCCTTAGTCAACGCGCATGGATCATCACAAGGTGGTATAGAAATGATCACGAAATGATTTCTCTTTGCGTCATTGCTTTGTTTTGTGTTTTTGCATTTGTCCGTACAAGAGACATAACTGAACCATGATTGTTGTTCAACTTAATTATGAGTTGAATTGCATCTCCTTGGTTTTTCATAATATTTTCTCTTCATGTACTCTAGGAAAGGGCCGGTCATGACCAGTTTATAGCCCAAATAGTTTGAAAATTTGTATTTGGAGCCATGACTGCCCATTTCCTAAAGTACATGAAGCATCATGGTAATATAGTATCAGGCGTCATTATTTATCAATCTAGATAATTAGGTTCACATTCTTGAAATATAATGTTAGTGTATTAGGTTGCAGAATGTTTCCATGGTTTTGGAAGGATGTCTTTTGATTTTTTTGCATCTTTTCCCATAACTTCTCAATTAGCAACTAAAATTTAACATTGTATATATCTCCACCTAAAGCTAAATTTAGTTACTTTTATAGTTAGATAAAAAAAATTATTAAGCCAGCTAAAAGTCTAAACCATAGTAAATTTATATCTGCTAGTTACACTTTTCTTAAAAAAAATTTTGTAACTTTAGGATCGTATTGATTTAAATTTACTTTGGTTTACACTTTTTTGTAGCATCGTATATATATATATTTTGTGTTATACAATTCACCGTTATAAGATTATACAGCTTGTATAGAGTATTAGTCTCTCTTACATTACTAATTTAAATTACCATGCAGAAGAAGAAGAGGATCTTGACCTACATAAATTGTTGTATCAGGCCAAACTAGGGCCTTGTTCTTCTACAAAGTCGGAATCTTTCTCTCTTCAGCGATATAGCAAATATTTGTCTCAGTGTGTAAAGATCGAGATTAGTGTAACGTTTCTGTAATCTTCTTTATCACAAAAAAAAAGAAAAAAAAAATCGTTTTCTGTAATCGATGTGCATCATCTCTTAAAATATTCCTGGTTGTGGATACATTTTTACTTGTGCCTACATGATATGAGAGCAAGATAATACATGACTTAATCACATTTCTGGAAAATTATATATACAGTGAAACTTGTAAGCCATGTTTATAAGTCAAGTTAGCAAGTAGGTATATCATTCACAATTCTTCAGTCTTGATTATTGTGGAATACATCGTAAAACTAAATACTGAAATGTGGACAAGTTCTTAAGTACTCTTTTAGAATAAAAGAGCATTTTAATCATTTATGAGCATTTTAATCATAAGCATTTTAAATAAGCATTTTAATCATAAGCATTTTAAATAAATAAAATGTGATTAAAAATTATCAGATAAGTGAAAAAAAAAAAAAAACAAATATAAAATGAAAATGTAACAAATGTTATGAAAAAGTGCTTACTCGACCCAACAATATCCACATATTCATCGCTGTAAAAGTTGATCAGACGCACCGGGAGGCGCGTCAATCCCACGCGGGAACCCTTTAAATAACAATTTTTCGGAAGCATCGCGGAAAAGAAAACAGAAGAGGAAGAAAGAAATCGCGATTTTATAACGCCATTGTTAGAGAAAACACCTCTCCTTTCTCAAACCCTAATTACTTCCTTGTCGCTCTCTCTCTCGAACGTTCCTCGATATTCCCGCGGGAAATCGACGACCCAAGAGCAATCCGTTTTCCTGATTAGGGTTTATATCTCTGGGCGCTAGCTAGAGGTGGGTTGCGATGAGATCTGCCTTGTGATTGATCTTTTTGCTTAGGCTTTGTTTTCGCTCTTGAGCTTATTGATCTTATTGGCTTTCAAATTCCAACGGGTTCTTGAACTTTTGCTTTTCCTTGAGCGAAAATAACGATATGGAATCAGAGAGTGTTAAGTTTGGAGGTAAATTTGGTTTCAAGCTTCGTTTTTTTTTTCTATTATTTTGAGATTTGAGGGTCAATGAGCTTCTGGATTTTCAGGTCCAAGAGAATTAGGTGGTGCTCTAGATCTTATAAATCAATACAAGTTGTTGCCACACCATGAATTCTTTTGCAAGAGATCACTTCCCGAGTCACTTTCAGATGCTCATTATCTTCATAATTTGGTTGGAGACACCGAGATTAGAAAAGGAGATGGAATGCAATTGGATCAGCTTATTCCCAATGCATCACTTAGCAGCCGCGATTCCAATGCTCGTATCCAACCTTTTGTTTTAGATGAACTTAAGGAGGCTTTTGAGCTTAATGATACAGCTCCAGTTGAATTGCCTCCAGTAAGACTCTTGACCTCTCCGTGTAGTTTTGAACTTTCTGTGATGCTAGTCTCCTGTAACATCTTGATCTTTTACTAACCATGATAAGTTGCATTACTTCCAAGCGTATCTTGTGATGATAGTTGAGCTAGGTTTGAGAATTTGAGATCTCCTGTTCTTCTTCCAGGCAGAAAAGGGAGCTCCTACCACTGCGTCAAAATCAAAAAGTGAGTCAAAAGATAAGGACAGGAAGCATAGAAAACATAAAGACAAGAACAAGGAGAAAGATAGGGAACATAAGAAGCACAAGCACAGGCATAAAGATAGGAGCAAAGATAAGGATAAGGACAAGGATCGAGACAGAAAGAAGGACAAAAGTGGGCACCATGATAAGGTATGAGAACTGTCTTCTCTGTTGGTATCTTTCTTTCCTAAGAATAGCTTAATGGTAAAGTGTTTCCCATTTCTTTGAGTTTGGGATACGTTTTTGGCGATTGAATGTGTCCGTTGTTGGTTTCAGACTTTCAGTTCATAAAATTTGGCAGATCTACGCCGTATATTTATATATATTGGATTCTTTAATTCTATACAATTTACATCGTGCACTACCACTACCACTTTACTTTCAGAAAAGGAAGAACAATGGGACTGAAGATCTTGATGACGTTCAGAGGCACAAAAAGAGTAAGGTAATATACTAATGGCAATGCAGGCATCTCCTTTTGAAGCTGAATTTAGACATTTCTATTTGCTCGCACAGTGGTGCTGGAGTAGTAGGTACCGCGGCAAATTTAATATTTGTCGTCCCTAAATTAACTTTTTGCAGCATAAGAGCTCAAGGCTTGATGAGATGGGAGCCATGTAGGTTGGAGGCTGAAGCCGGGGACACTCTCATTTTTGTATTGCACACCCAAGGTGTCATGGAGAGGTTTAGAAGCAGCTAACTTTGTTAGGTAAGAATCGTTGTGTTATCCCTCTGTTACTAGACTCATCTTCTCATCTTTAGATAAGGCATGTTTCTCATATGGATCTGTGTCTGTCATAACCAACGGTACTGTACATGATGATTGAGTCAACAAACCTATGGACTTGTTTCAAACATGAGGAAATAATCATTGTCTAAGGCTTATAAGAAGATAACCTGAAGGAAAAAAAAAGAAGATAACCTGGAAATCTCTAGCTACCGAGAATGCAAAAACTTTATTTTGTCTCAAATGATTGGCAATGTTTTTGTGTGATGTATAGATTTGTCTCATCTTAACATAAAATGATTTGGTTTTGGTTTTGCAGGTTTAATCTCTAAATAAAAATTTCATTGTGGGAGAAGTTAGGAGGGGTGAAGCAACAAAAGTTCGCCAAGAAGAATCACACAACTTGTACATTTTGTTACTTTAAACAAGCTATGAAGTTTATCCATTCTCGTGATTATTTATACAGAAACGTTTCATACATTCGAAGTCATTTATTCTGAAAGTTATCAGATCTGAAGGCACATGATTTGAGGCAGAACGCAAGTGTAGTTTTTATTCATGTATTTCTTCTGTGTGTAATCGTCTCTATGGAAAAGTACCAAAAACAAAATATATATCTTACAGGAAAGTGTTTAATTCTCGAACAAAAGAGTAACAATGAGGAGAACAAAAAAAGACAGGAAAACCAACGGAGAGAGGAAGGGTCAGTGGCTGACAAAGAGTTTCAAGACGTCATTGAGTTTATGTAAGCGCAGATATGTAATGAATAGCAAAAGATTAAACTCTACTAACGGAAAATCTCAAACTTTTAATCAACAAAAGTACAAAACCCTTAGGGTGGGGAACTTTCCAATCCTTCACACTCTTCTCTCCTACCAAACGAACGACTAAGAAATGCTGCTTTTCATTTGAAAAAGTTCCAAGAGGTGACCTCATTCATATGCTTAACCTTCCTTTTCATTTTCTAGCAAAGGTCTCTCCCTTGTGCTCACTCCCAGCACAAACTACATATCCTGCTTCCACCTATAAAACAAATTGATGTTTTGATTAGTGGAATCCATAAAAGCATCTGATATGTATAGGACACTGGGTACTATGAACACAGAAGGGAGCGACGTACTTGGCAGTCTCTCAGAGTAACACGCTCTTGAAGTTGTGCGTTGCTGCAAATGACTGAGCCCTGTATTGAACATCCGTCTCCAATTGTGGCATGGTCCATCACAACTGAATTAACAATCTGCACCCACATATAAGCAGTTGAGTGCATTTTCGAGATGTACGCCACCTTTCTTTGGCTGGCGTGAGTAAAAAGCTAATTTTGTTACCTTCACATTGGAGCCTATCCGGCAATGTCTCCCAATAACAGATCTTTTGACACTGCATTTATCACCGACTTGAGAGCCTTCTCCAAGCATACAATGAGGTCCAACCTGCAACCCATAATTGTTATTGACGATCACGACTCACAGAACAAGTGCTCAATATCTAGACAAGTAGAGGACGTACTGTGGTTTTCGATCCAAGCTCGGCTGATGGGTGGACAATGTTGTGATGAGCAGAAAAGGAGTATCCAGATAGGTGGTTTGCATCACCAATAACCTGCACAAGTTTGAACAATTACAGAGCTCGATATGTCAACTGAGAAAAAAAATACTAGAGAATGAATCTATGTGTGGAACAACTTACATCTCTGTTTACGTCCATAAAGGCTTGAATGCTATTCAAGCGGACGAAATATTTACTTTCATCCGCTATATAAACACAGCATTTATGGGTTTTTCGGCTATCAAGACCTGATTCATAGACTTGATGAAAGCTTGGCAAAGATGCGTTGGAGAGAATTTGAGACAAGACCACCTCGTTGTTCTGCATATTATTCTTTCCATTTCCATTTCCGTTTTCTTCTACATTATTTTGGTCAGAGAATATCTCTGATCTCTGATGCTCAAGGGGGAAAAGCACAGACAAAGGATCAAAATGGCAATAAGACAAATGGTATAATTTTCATTAGTCTCATTTGCAAGGAACTTATCCAACTAACCAGCTGTGTTCGAACAAGATATGGTAGTACATCCTCTTTTAGGCTCCGAAAAGCAGGTTTTTGATCCAAAACTTCCTGCAGAACTGATCTGTAAGACACAAGACAAAAGAACATATTGAGTTTCGACAAATTAAACTAATTTGTTAGCAGGAAAGTAGATCTGACCAACCTCTTGAAGGCATATATATGAGAATCCATCAGATCTGATCGAATTTCCATCTATATCAAAAATGACAAGACAATAAGAAACTGTATGAAGATATTAATACATGCATCATCTACAGTCAGATGAGACAATGCATTGTAGGTCATTTCAAAAACTTACAATCAGAGAACATTACCTTGCCAGCCGCACAGAGAATGCTCTTTTTTACTCGCGTATCTTTCTTAATCTCAGCCCCTAACAAAATTTCAGGAGGTAAACCAACAACAAGTTCAAGCATTTTGTTACCTCTAAGAAACAAAAAGGAGAATTAAAAGTAGGACCTTTGGCTATGTATAACAAGAATTGTTTCAAGGAATCAAGCCCTATGATATCATCGCAAGCAGGTTTTTTGGTTTTATCTTTCCCACCAGAACCCCCGGATTCTGATGGCCCACTGACAGGTTGAGCACAAAGCATTACAGTCACTGCTGCATCATGCCTTCTATGAGTGGCGGCAACAGCACCAGGAGGAATATCAGAAACAATGTCTCCACTTACAATCTACGTCAAAGCAAATCACCAGTTAGCTAAAAGCTCAAAATCTGCACAAAGCAAAAGCTACGAGAAGGCTTTATTGTAGCTAACCAAAATGTCTTTGGCAGTTAAATGGTGTGCAATTGCCCTGAGTGCCCCAGCTGTTCCAACATTCTCAGCAACAGCAGCAACCTATAAAGTAAGATATCCAGCAGAACATTGAATAACTTCTCAGTTGGTTAAATGATCCATAACTTCAGGACAAGCATATTCAAATGATTCCTACTGTACTAATAATTCTAGGACCAACAACACCTATGACGAATATTACACTAGATTCTTTCAATCATGCATAGAGTTTTCACTGCAACTCTACATGACTAAATCGAGATGCCATAGATAGAGTAATACCTCAACATGTAAACGATCAACACAAGCAGAAGATATCCATCCACCAACTTTCAATGCAGCATCTTCTCCTTCAACAACCTGTGAAACAAATGCGAACGCAAACTCTGAGCTCCATTGAAAACATTCAACCTAAAAACTCGCAAAAGAAATTCAACAATTGTATGAAAAGATATAAGGCGTACGACGATCAGATCCTTGAGATTATTGCTCTCGAGCAGATCCAGAACGTAAGATAACACCGGACGATTGGCTACGGGAAGCAAAGCCTTAGGAACTTCCTGAACAACAACAACAAAAACGAAATTAGCTATTCGTCTAAAACTGTTTTGCTGATGAGAGTGAAAGAGACGGACCTTGGAGACTAAGGGAACAAGATTACTAGAGAATCCACCAGCGAGAATCACGACCTGAAAATCCATTATCGCAACTGAATTGACGATGAGACGAAGAAGAGAGGTTTCTGGGGTTTTGATTTTGAGAAACGGTAGACGAAGACGATATCAAATTAAACCCGCTTGTTTCTTTCTTTTGGATCCGACGGGTCGTTTCTTAATCTTGGGTTAACTATTATTCTATTTCACATAGAAATCTTTTAATTAAAATTAAACATTAATAAGAGATTAAAGCAGATTTTTAATTTTTTCTGTCAACTGATTATAGAAATAGAAAATCTCCTCTGGAAAAAAATAGTTTTTTTTTTTTAATTTGGATTTCTCCACATATATTATGGTCTGTGTAAAAGTTGCTATCAAATTGGAAGAGATTAATGGAAAATACGAAATTACATTAAAGAGAATGTGAGCAATCTCTTACATACACACTGCTATGATATATAAGTGTGTCAGTAGTTCCTAAGTTGTTGTTTTCTCCTATCTTAGCTTTTAAGTCATATCACCTAACCTGAAACACTTCACTCTTGGTCTATGCTTTCTTCATCATAATCTTCCTCATCATTAGCACTAGCCTGTTGTTGATCATCAGGATCTATTTTCATTTCGTTAATCTCCAACAACGGCCAATCTGGACTTCCCTCTAGCGCTCTGTCCAGCCAAGTAGCTGAGTCTCCATTCTCATCTAATTCAACATTAAGATCAAAGTTCCTTACTTTTACCACTGAGTTACTATGATTCTTGTGTGATGCGACTTTCTTCCAAGATGTATCGTCATGAGAAAGGCTCCCGATTTCGGGAGACAGGGTCCTGCTGCTTTCGGGAGAACCATCTTCTAAATCTTCCTCAAATTTTAGAGACAGCCCACTTCCTGTTCTTCCACCACCTCGTCCGCGGCCTCTACCTCGCCTTCCTCTGCCACCGCTAGTATGTTTGACCTCATGCTGTAACAAGGCAAAAAAAAGGGCTTACAAAAATAAGCATTAAGTGAAATACAAAATGGTCATCAGCAAAATAAGTCTGGCTAGTTACCATTTGAGTGGTCTTCGTCATATCTTCATCGTGGCAACTACTTTCATCAACTACTTTCCTGAAAAGTCGGACAAAAAAGTTGTTAGACACGATACCAATACCAAAGTTTTTGGTAGGAGAAGGACCTTGGGCCTAACCTTCTTTTGGTAGCTGATTGGTCTTCAGTATCTGAGCCACCCAAATCAGGAACTTTAGCAACAGTGTCTCTTAGAAAATCAAAGATATTAAAAGCGTGCACACACTGTTTCCTGGAAAAAGAACATTAAAAAGTATTGAATAAGCAAGCAAACAATTGGTTTATCATATAAGCAAAATCCAAAGATGGGGTTCACACACTTACAAATGAAAGGAGTTGACAGTTTTTGCACCTCGGCTGAGAGTTACATCATATGTGTGATTACACAAGTCTTGTAAAAATAGCTCCAAAGCTTTAGCTGCAAAATTTTAAATCAAAACCAGAACAGTTATACAGTTAAACTATATATGAACAACCTTTGAGTAGGAAAATCAAAAACATCATCACTTACAAACAAGAAGAGGGACCGCCATTGCTATTTTGCCAACTTCCTCATCAGTTTGCATAATCTTCTTAATCCTTGTCTGAAACAAATTTTGAACATATCAACACAAGAACATCTCACCCTCTACAGAAATTAAAAAATCAGACTCAGACACTAAAAAATTTCTTCTGTAGATATCACATCTTCAGTCCTAAATAAGATATCTCTGCAGTTTCTTTATATCTAGCCCTGAACTGAACAAAATACCTGTAATCATAGCAGAAGTGAACCTAACTACTCTCACAACTCACAAAACAGACTTTATGGTTATCTTCATATGAAGAAGAACAGAACAAACTATAAAACAGTGAAAAGTACAGAACAAACTATAAAAGAGTGAAAAGGAATGTTTCATACCGCTGGAAAACGTGTCTGGAGCTTCTTCTTCATGCTTTTGTTCTACAGGAGAAAAAGCAGCTTCCAAAGTCAAGGGGAAGAAGATAAACCCTAATTTCGAAATATGTGTTGCTTGCTTCCGTTCTCTCTGGAATAAATAACAAAGATAAAATCAAAATTAACAAATATATATGTGTTGATTCCATCAAACACGACAAGAAAAGGAAAAAAATTAAACTCCTTTGGATCTGTTTTTTCTAGTTAGAAATTGGTCTCTGTTTTCTGACCCGTCCTTGTCGGACCCAAATCAGACGCAATTGGACTTTTTTCCCATTCTTTTTTTTTAATTCAATAATGGAGAATGGAAAATTAATTCTTATTTTATTTTGTTTTTCATTTAAGAAGTTTTATGTAACATGTTAATTAATTTTTTTTATCACATGATATCTTAACAAAAACTAAACCATAAACTCAAAATATATTAAAAAAAATCAATTTTTATCTTATAAATTATACTTTTATATAAAATGATGGGTTATAAATTTATGGTTAAATGAGAAAAATAAAATTATGTTTGCATTGCTATACTTTACTTTCCATCCAACTTTTTATCATTGGTGCAAAATTAATCTTTTTAAAAAAGCAAAATTGAAGCATAAATGCATAGATTTTAAATTTAGTTGGGAAATAAAACTTCAAAAATAAGACAACCACACATGTTAATCTCGGAAGCTAGAGCTTTCTCTAACACAATCTTTTGAACTGGACTCGCAGAAAACCAGAAGACTGATCATAGTGTCTAGTCTCAGACAAACACAGAGATGTCTGTGTCTCTAAGTTACACTTGTCTTCTTCGATTACCAACCTTTTCAGTTCCAACGAAACCCATTATTCTCAATGGACCTCTCCCTTTTCATGTATCAAGATCTCATATTTCCTCTTCTCGTTTTGGTTTCAATTCAAACCCATTCTCAAGAACTCAGACCCCAAGATTCTTCAAGTGTTTGCCTCAGAGAGTGTCTGATGAACGCAGAGAAACACAAGTAACAACGAAAGAAGAAGATGATGAAGAAAAAAAGGTTGTCGTATTTGAGAGGCTCTTCTCTAACCTTAATCAATCAACATTGAAGCGAGAATCCGGTACAGAGACTGATATCATTTTGAATGTGAATACCCAAATTTGGATAGAATTTTTGGTGAAGTTTTGAAATTTTCAGGAAGTTTGTCCAGTGCAATTTTCTTGGTTGCTGGCACTACCGTAAGTCTGTCTACTTTCTCATAACTCTCTCCAGATTCTTGTTGAAACTATGCAAGGAATCAAGTTTTGTTTCTGCTAAATCTTTATCCTTTTCTTGATTAGGTAGGTGCAGGGATACTTGCGATTCCAGCTGTGACACAAGAATCAGGTTTTCTTGCCTCTGCAGTTGCCTGCATTCTCTGTTGGGCTTTCATGGTGATGATTCTTTATCTCTGTTTATGTTTCTTGCAAGTAACGGATTGGTCCCTAGTGAAATATGTTGGCTTCAGGTTGTGACAGGTTTGCTGGTTGCTGAAGTAAATGTCAACACTATGAGTGAACTAGGCTCTGGAGGCGTATCTCTTGTATATCCCCTCAAACCAATACTTCTATGCAAACTTAGCTTAGTTACGCCTTAAAAACTCAGCTTTGACTTGATATTTTGGCAGGTTTCAATGGCGAAGCGGACTCTTGGGTCTGTTGGAGTTCAAGTTGTTAGGTAATCATCCTCTCATTCTCATTTCAGAACTTGCTTTCCTTAGTTTCTATCGCTGTTTCTTTCACTTAAACTTGAAAAAGCCTTTCTGTTGTGTAGTTGGACTTATCTTCTCATACATTACACCCTTCTTGTGGCCTACATTGCTCGGTCTTCAGGCATCCTTACAAACTTCCTCGGCATTCCAATGTACGAAACCCCAATTGATCCTTTTGTTGAGTGTTATGCTTCTGTACTTATTCCTCAGAATGTCTTGTAGATGGGAGAGTGCAACTCTGTTCTCACTAATCTTCGGAGGTCTTTGCTTCTTTGGAAGGTTAGCTCTCCATTTCAAACTAATCAGTGATACCACAATTTAAATCAGAAACTGTATAAACCCAAAGAGAACCAGAGTGGAATAGTGGTAGAGCCGAGAAGTTACTCATAACTTTCTCCATGTGGTTGCAGCCAGCGATTCATCGGTGCAGCCAATGGGGTTCTGGTGTTTGGAGTAATTGCATCGTTTGCAGCACTCGTGGTAACAATTTTTTGTTAAAGACTTTCCTATGTATTCATGAAAGGGAAAACCAAACCATAGAGACCATTTTGTTAGGCAGTTGCAAGTGGAGACTTGCACTGGGAAGCTCTTCTCAAGGCTAACTTTGAGGCCGTTCCCATGAGTATACCTATCATTGCCTTGTCATTTGTTTATCAGGTAGTAACAGTCAAATCTAATTAGTTCAATCTTGGATTCTTGACTACAAGATGAAGAAACTTTCTCAATTGGTTGCTTTTCTTACAGAATGTGGTGCCGGTTCTCTGCACAGATCTTGAAGGAGACTTGCCGAAAGTAAGGTGACATCATACCCTGCAATGGTAATGGTGAAACTCACTCAGTGTCTATGTACTAACTCAACCTTCTAAATATCTTTATCTTCAGAACCGCGATTGTTCTTGGCACAGCCATACCACTCTGCTTGTTTCTTGTGTGGAACGGTGTAATTCTTGGGTCGTTTCCAGCAGATACTGGGGTGGCTACTGAGAAGATAGTCGATCCTCTGCAACAATTGAGATCAAGTAGTGTCACTGTCGGTGTAAGTTTAGTTGTTCTTGCTTAATTTGATAAACTCTCACCAATCACAGCTGATCAGTCTTCTTTTGATCACACAGCCTTTTGTGGAAGCATTCTCTCTTTTTGCAATTGCAACATCTTATATAGGGTTTGTCTTAGGCCTCTCTGATTTCTTCTCTGACTGTAAGTATCATCTAACAACCAAACTTTTAGGTTTTTCTTCTAAATCTACTGCTATGGAGACACTATATAATCTTTGGTTTCATGGAAACTTTCTAGTATTGAAGCTTCCGAGTGGCCAGAACAAGCCTCTTCTTTACTTGCTTACTCTGGTTCCACCGCTTGTCCTGTCCCTTCTGGACCCAGAGATTTTCTTCAAAGCCTTAGATTTTGCCGGGACATATGGAGGTACAAGTCTCTTCTTGAGCAACCTGAATCAAAAAGTTGTCAAATATAAACAAACATGAAACCTAACTATATTCTCTTTTGTAGTTCTGGTATTGTTCGGAATCCTCCCAGCAGCAATGTCTTGGTCAGATAGGTATATAGTCTCATCGTCAACAGTGACAAGATTGCCACAACTTGTTCCAGGAGGAAAACTCACCCTTTCTCTTGTCATGGGAGCTGCAGGATACGTGATTCTTTCTGAAGTAGTAGAGAATTTTTCAGGGTACCTAAGTAGTTCTTAACAATAATGCAACGGAATAGTAAGCATTGATAATTTAGTGTTATTGTAACATGAAAGAGGTCTTGCAACTAAAAGAGAAACATCTCGGTAAACAACACAAACGAAAACAAAACTTGAAAACCAAATATGTTTTTGTAAGGAGAGGTTTGAAGTCTCTAAATCTTGTTGAATGCGACAATGTCACAACTCTGGATGTACTCGTTGTTAGGCTCTGAGGTGAGAAAGTCTTCAATGAGGTTGTCCGGGGACACGAGGTCATCAACAATGGTGAGCATAATCGTTAGTTTCTTGATCCCGTAACCAACTGGTACAAGTTTTGCTGCAAGAAATTACCAGAAAAAAAAGTTTCAATTAGAAAACAGTCCCAGACAAAAAGTTTAAAGCTTACTCTCATTTAGATTGAAAGTCTAAAACGTACAAGCTCCCCATAAAAGACCAGGCAATTCAACAGCACGAACAGCCGCTTCCAGTTTCTTCATGTCGGTCTCATCATCCCATGGCTTAACATCCATAAGCACAGAGGACTTTCCACCTAACAAAGAGTTGGAAATACAAAAGAGAGTTAGAACCCATATCAAAACTCAAGATGCAGTTGCTCATTCACAAGTTTTCCCTATAAACCAAGAGCATGCTTTTACATCAATTCCAGTAAGATATAGAGAAATTAAATTATCAATCAAGAGACTTACTCTCTTTAGGCTTCTTGGTGTCCTTCTTAGCAGCCTCCCTCTCCTCTGCAGCTTTCTTTTCCTCCTCGGTCTCATCACCAAACAGATCAATGTCATCATCATCATCAGCTGCAGCTGCAGGTGCCTGTCGACAATTTATGCAAGATAGCTTAAGAACACACACAAACAACATTCCAAACCGAACTCTTATAAATTTCCCCTACCAAACACAGGTCGTGATCCTAATCACCTATCAAATCATTGTTCTAAATTCTACAATTATGATAGTCAGGAATAAAGCATTCAAGTAATGGTACCTCAGCCTCAACAGCTGGAGCAGCAGCAGAGCCACCGATTTGCACTCCAACGGCCTTTCCAGGGAAGCTGCAACAAATCAAAACTCGTCAATTGTTGAAAGATTGATACATATACTAAATCTGAATCGATTATTACCAAATTCCAAAAAAGGACGAACCTTTTAGCAAGATGGGAAGCCACGGACTCGTACCACTTGCTAGCATTAGGGAAAGCATCGCTGGGTTTCACTGGAACGGCAGCGTAAACCTTAACATCATCCACAGACAATTGATCTCTGCAAAATCAAACTCTCTTATACATCAAAACGGAAATAGAAACAATCGAATCGTTTAGCAAAGAAGATAAAGTGAGAAACTTTACCCGGAGATGTAGGTTTTTCCGGCGAGGTGCTCCTCCACGGATTTGACACCCTCCTCTGTGTGTAGATCTGAAAAGGTAACGGCCATTGTTGCTGCTTTTTAGGGTGTGAGGGAGGGAGAGAGATCAGAGAGAGAGACGGAGAGAGACGGAGAGAGAAGAAGCTGCTTTAAAAACCTAGAAGAGTATATCTTGTGCTGAGACTCTGAGAAACCCTAAACCCGATTAAGAAATAAATTGTTACGGGCTAAGCTGAATTTTGTACTTGGGCTTATTTATGGGCCTTAGAATGGTTCCATTTTGGAGCTCAGAGAAAGAGAGTCCGGGAAGAATAAATTTGAACATTTCACTTTTTCTTTGTTTTGGAAAATAGGTCTTAAGTAGAACATATTTTTTCTGAATAATCCTTTACTAGAAAAGAAAATTGTCAATTTTGAGTTTTACTTTTTGGTCCCTTAGACCATACCCATAGGTGATACTTTATGGGTATCCGAAGCCCAGAAAATAATTTTTAATGGACCAAACATTGTTTTTGGGCTTGATCCGTATCACTGGAGTGATACTTTTGATACTGAGTATCATATGACGTGGCAATGTATTACTGGTTATCAAATTCGTTTTGCCGAAATAGAAAAAAAAAAAAAAATTCATTTTTCTCTTCTCTCCTCTCTCCCGTGAAATCCCAGAAACCCTAGACGGCGATTTCGATTTCTCCTCTCCTCCGCCTTCCTTGCCGATCCTGCCGTCGCTCCCTCCGCAGATCCTGCCGTCGCTCCCTCCGCTTCTCCTCCGGCTTCATCTCTTCGATCCTAGCAGTCGGCTGATGAAATTCATATCGGAGATGGTGACGTTCCTCAAAATAGCGGAGGTCTAGATGTCGATGAGTCGCAATCATCTCATCAGATCAATGTCGTCGCAACTGTGAGTTCATTATTTCTCTAAGATTGATTGGAACATTGATACATTAGATTGATTCTCTTGGTTGATGATAGGAAATTGAGGTAAATTTGATTCATTTCTTAGTTTATAATGTCAATGCAGTTAGATTTTGTCGACATATTTATGCTACATTGTATGATTGATTGAATGAAATTTCGATTCATCTGCTGGAACAGATCCTTTTACTATGTGTGTGTTTACTTTATTGTAATTGATGTGTAGAGAGTTCATTTGGTTTGTGTAGAGATGGTTGACAAAATTTATGGGATAGTGTATGAGCCGTCTTATATCTTCTACGGTAATTAGGTAAGATTTTTCATTGATGCAAAGAAGATCAAAGCGATTTTAGCTTAAATCTTGATGTGCTGATGCCAAGTCTTTTGCTCCAGGGTCATGACTGCTGGACGTCAACTAGCAAAAAGCTTGGAGTCACATTCATTCAATGACTTAGGCTTCTCCAAACTCTTGTCAATATGATTATGAATAAACAAAATAAGGGGCTTGTTGCTGCCCTTTTCTACCCTATCAATGTCTCCAGACTCTGAAAGAAGAAAGATGAAGATGGAAAGGGGAGAGAGTTTGAGATATGAGTTTGTGCTTTTGTTTCTTTGTGTCTGTTTCTCAAATGTTTTGTTCTTTATATATGTTGGTATAATGTAATAAGCAAAACTTGTTATAATCTTTCCAATAAGAAATAAATGTTCTATAGCATCCTTAATGTGTTTATGGACATCGGAGATACACCAAAATCTAAAAGCAGAGCATTCATTACATAAACAAAACTGTTTAATGAAAGCAAGGAAAAATAAACACGAGTAGATCATGTCATCTTCATAAACACAAGAATAGAGACAAGACTATCTTAGTACCAGCAAGTTTCTTAACTTAATATATATGTTTTACTTGATGTTCAAATCTACAATACATGCATGATTGTCATTCACTCATTCTGAAAAGAAAAATTTGAGTGATTTTAAAGAATTCATTATTTAATTGTAATATTAGGCTTCTTTTAGAGTTTTTTTTGCTTAAGTATATTATACGTTTTTTTTATTGTGATATTACTTTTTGCAATCCTATGTTTTTATATATTTATTTTTGATTTTGTAATTTTTTTTTTTTATGATACTTAAACCGGTCTCACCAATGCAAACATATTTAGTGGGAGTATCATAACAAATCTCAAACAATAAACAAATATTATAAATAATATTAAAAAATTCCTAATGATACTATATGAGTATCACCCATATACATGCTCTTAGATCACCACCGTCCTTTAGAAATGTTTGGGTCAGATCCAAAAAAAATCCGAAACATTTAATGGACAAATTTATATCCTTGTGTAGCTTGAGCAGGATTAATATAACCATACTTACTACCAACCCATTATAAAGAACATTTTCGGAAAAGATGTATTTAACATTTGACATCTTTATAAGAAAATTTTAATAATTTATAAATTTTACATTTCTATTTACTAAGCTTAACGACTAAAAAGAAAAGCATAAAAATGTTGTAGTACAACTGTACAAGATAACATTAAAGTAAATTCAAAAATCCACGCATTGACATTAGCTAGTACTAATTTATTTGTGTCGTCCTCTAGTAACTCACTCGTTAAAAGAATAGGTTCAATTTTGAATAATTGAATTTGGATTGGTTCCATACAAGTTATTTTAAATATCATACCGTGCACATTAAAATCATGGTACGAAGATAGTTTATACTCAAAACAATATAAAATGTTGATTTTTCCATCGAAATACCAAATTCGTCGCTATCGATTTTAATATATCCCAGTTGTGAAAATAACGGTAAAACCAAGGACTGAATATATTCTTGCTGTCGCCTTTGTCTTTTCTTTTCAACTCCTAAGTGGTAGTATTATATTACATTATTACTAGTAATAGTATATGATTTTGCAATTGCATTATAACCTTCTCATTTTTTTCTTCACCAAGCTATGCGACTTCTCATTTCATATTCTTTTTCACGTAGTAGATCAGATCACATGCATAATGCACATCATTTTAACTAAAAGACGTTGAATTTTTAATATTCTTTCGAAAAACCATTGATTTAAACTAAACTAAAAAACAAACCGACTTGTGTGACATAAGGAAAAGATGTGTCAATAGATTAAAATAGGACTATTGACAAAAAAAATAAAATTTAATAAGACTGTATTATAAATCTATAACGTTAACACTTGACATTGAAAACATAAAAATTGGGAATCCCCTCTGAGATCCACGTGCTTTTTTTATTTATTTAATTGATGCCTATTTGTTTCTTGTCAGTATTATTCTGGAATTATTTTTTTTAATTTGTTTGGTTTCTAAAATGCACTTATATAGTTAAGCTGAAGTTTTTCCTCTTTGCAAAGCAGAACTAAAGTTTCAAGATCAATCCTTACTTTGGCTTGCTTTCAGTGTCCTTGTACGACTCTCTCTCTCTTTCCCCTTTCTCTGTTTTCTTTGTTTGTTCCTTTTAAGTTTCTAAAAGTTTGTTCTTCTTTTGTCGACCCAAAGATACCGAGTTCAATACCTGCTCTGTTTTGTCACTCTTAACTTTTTTAGTAAGCTTATATCTAACTATACGTTTGAATAATTTTCTAGTGAGGCACTGTTGGTTTACTTTTTCTTTGAAAGTATACATATTTGTTTTGGAAAAGTGTTGATCTTTCTTACTGCTTTCTTCGGATAATTGGTGGGTTTTCTAAAGAGTACTCATTTACTTAGAACAACTGGTCTTTCTTGCAGATCTCTTTTCTAGCCTTGTAGGATTTGGTTTAGGTTTTAAGGTTTAGTTTCCAGATATATTTAGAGGCGCTCCTAAGTCGGTGTCAAGCATCTGTTAAATCAAATCTCATTGTAATCTAATTGTGTAAAGAGTTTGTGATTATTGATTAATCACTGATACATTTCTACTCTCGTGTTTTTAGGATTTGGTCCTACTTCTAGGCTCTTTTGGGAGCCATTGGAGTCAAACTTCATCGCAAACTTATTGGTTGGAGGTGACTTAAGGATGGCAGAGAGGAGAGTCAGTAACGGAGAAGAAGTTGTTATTAATGTTTCAGATAAAGAAGATCCAACAGCATCATCTCCTTCTTTCAATCCATTGGCTTCACCAGAGTCAGATGCTGGAGCTGAGAAATCGAAACCAGTGCCGCCGTTAAGCATTCCTCCTCCTGAAATCTATAAGTTCTCTGGTAGCGTTCATAAGCCACCTAAAATCCCAAGTCCTAGCAATGAAGGTCTAGTTCGGAGGAAATCTCTTTCGAGGTCAGTTTACTCCAAGTCCAAGTCAAGGTTTGGGGAACAACGGTCTTTTCGATACGATAATACTATAGAGGAAAATGGTGGAAGATCCCTTAGGGAACAGTTTGGTGCTCCTTCATTTGCAAGGGGTTCTTTTGACAGGGCTTCTCCTAATAACAAATCGAATAGAAGCGTTGCGTCAGCAGCACTGAGTAAAGTTGCTGAGGAGGAAAGGGATGAAAATGAGGAAATCTATAAAAGGTTAAGCTACACCGAGTGAAGCGTAGCGGAATGAAACCTCTGGCTCTGATTGAGTTGGTAGTATTTATGGCCATTTTGGCCACTTTGGTTGTGAGTTTAACCATTGATAAGGTGAACAAGCATACCATTTGGGGTTTGGAAGTTTGGAAATGGTCGGTGCTTGTGATGGTTACACTCAGCGGCATGTTGGTGACAAATTGGTTCATGCATTTTGCGGTGTTCCTCATAGAAAGGAACTATCTTCTTAGGAAAAAAGTGTTGTACTTTGTGCATGGTTTGAAGAAGAATGTTCAAGTCTTCATTTGGTTTAGTCTGGTTCTGATTGCTTGGATATGTCTGTTCGATGATAACGTTAAACACTCTCGTAAGACCAAGAAATTTCTCGACTTCATCACTTGGACTATTGTCTCCCTTCTCGTAGGGTCAATCCTTTTCTTGGTAAAGACGTTTGCCTTGAAAGTTCTTGCATCAAAGTTCAACGTCAGAAACTTCTTTGAGAGAATTCAAGAGTCTGTTTTCAACCAATACGTTCTCCAAACTCTCTCGGGACCTCCGCTTATAGAAGAGGCAGAGAACGTTGGGCGTGTGCCAAGCACAGGCCACCTAAGTTTCACAAGCACCAAGGATGGAAAAGCGAAAGACAAGAAAGTGATCGATATGGGAAAGGTTCACAGGATGAAACAAGAGAAGGTCTCTGCTTGGACAATGCGTGTTTTGATCGAAGCCGTGGGAACTTCAGGTATATCTACCATATCCAGCACTTTAGATGAGGTCAACAATAAGAAAGAGCGAAAAGATAAAGAGATAACAAATGAGATGGAGGCTGTGGCTGCTGCTTATGAAGTCTTCAACAATGTTGCTAAACCAAATCACAGGTGAGTCATCACACAAATACTCTGCTTTCTTCTACTCTGTTTTCATATGAATCATTACACACTTCAATTGCTTTTTGATTTTTCAGTTACATAGAAGAAGATGACCTATTGAGGTTCATGATTAGGGAAGAGGTAGACCTAGTACTCCCATTAATAGAAGACGCCGACACCGGAAAAATCACACGCAAGACTTTTACAGAATGGGTGGTAACATTCTTCAAACACCGTACCCTTAATTTTTTTGTGCAAAGTTGTTCTAGATGACAAATCACATGCCTATTTAGAGAAGTTGTAAAGAGTTTAAAGTAGGTTTGTTGTGCCATTTTTTGACAGGTTAATGTTTACACAAGTCGGAAAACTATAGGGCATTCATTGAACGACACAAAAACAGCGGTTAAGCAGCTAGACAAACTTATAACTGGAATCTTGACCGTTGTCACATTCGTTGTTTGGTTGGTACTTCTGGATATAGCATCGACCAAGCTTTTGTTGGTCTTCTCATCACAATTGGTGGGTCTTGCTTTCATGATCGGAAGCACTTGTAAGAATATCTTTGAATCCTTTATGTTCGTCTTCGTGATGCATCCTTATGACGTCGGAGACCGTTGCGTTGTCGACGGTGTTATGGTAACTAACTTTGCAAGTTTGTTTGCTCACTATTACTACTCGATCAGTTAAAAACTCTAAACCATTGAGTTAATATTTTTTCTTTTGCCTTGAAGTTGCTGGTTGAAGAAATAGATCTTTTAACGACCGTGTTCCTCAAGATTGACAACGAGAAAGTGTTCTATCCAAACTCGGTTTTAATATCAAAACCGATAAGCAACTTCTACAGAAGTCCAGATATGGGAGATTATGTCGACTTCGCCATCGCATTCTCAACACCCGCCGAGAAAATCGCCAGTCTCAAGGGAAAAATCGGAGAGTAAGTATTAGGCATATTAGTAATCAACATGATATTTATGTCCATTAACTACCATATAACAAACCTTGTCCACAATAAATCACTCACTTTGTATTGACTCTAAATTTGGTTTGTAATTTGGTCAGATACTTGGTGGCAAACTCACAACATTGGTATCCAGAAGCCCAGGTGATGGTGAGGGCGATTGAGAATATGAACAAGCTGGTATTGAATATACTGGTCCAGCACACCATAAACTTCCAAGTATACATAGAGAAGAGTAGAAGAAGAACCGCACTGATCATCGCAATCAAGGGGATTCTCGAGGAGCTTGAGATCGATTACACCCTCCTTCCTCAAGATGTTAATCTCACTGAACACAAGACTCACAAATGATCCTTTCCTTCTTCTTTTTTGCATCAAGTACCAGTAGTTTACTTCATTTGCTTCGGTTTAATTGAGCTGCATTTGCTTTTGGTTTAATTGGGCTTGATTTGCTTTCGGTTTAGTTGAACTTGATTTGTTTTGGTTTACTTTCCAAAAATTCTTATCTCTATCATTTCTTCTTGAACCGAATCATTCAAATTCTAGACCATATTAGATTTGGTGTGGAGAAATTACTAATTGAAGATATTGACGATGACGATTGGTCTTTTTCTTAAATTTTTTTTTTTTGGTCTGGTCTTTTTCTTAAATTAGTAAGCAGTATAGTTTTGTCAACCAAACTAAACCGGAATTACTTGAGGGAAGATATAGTTTTGTTAACCAAACTAAACCGGAATAACTTGAGGGAAGAACAAGAAAACGAAAACCCAAGCAATGTAGAAAAGAAAACCGAACCAAAGTAATCATCAAGACCAACGCCCCGGTTCTGTGCGGAGAAACGAAACCGGCTACATGGGGTATGGTATTAATTTGAAATTGCACCGGTTTGTCTTCAAATATGCCGGTACGCCACACCATGACCATGAATGAATCTTGCGTTCTCTTCACTATAAACTTCAGTCTCCTTCTCTAGCCTGCTCAATTTTTTAATTTCAAATTCTGTAAATAAATAGATTAACTAATTCTTGTGTTAAGGAACAAAAAAAAGACAAGGAAATTACGCGAGAGAGATGGTTTTGTTGAGAGTAGCAGCAGAGACGAAAGAAGGAGCGTTTAAATACATCAATTCTCCTTTAACTCTCTCTTCGATTCTTCGATCCATTTCATCAACTTCAACATCAAACTCGTGGTCCGATGCCATCACCCATCCCCATGTGTCCGCAAATGATGGCACATGTGCTGTGTAAGCCTTCACGTCTGTTTTTTATACTTCAACCATCAAAAAATGGATCCAATAATATGTCTCTACAAGAAACAAACAAAAGAGGCTTTGCTTACACTTGAAGACTTGCTTCATGGTGTTGTAGATTGATGTGAAGACTTCCTTATGAGTGAATATTCCTGCTGGTCCAGCCTATTATTTATACAAAAACAAAGTGTTTTATTATCTTTTCCCCAAATTAGTAAATATTTATCAAAGAGAAATAAAAGAGTTAAGACCTGGGTCACAAAAATGCCATTGGGGCTAAGTTTGGGTTTGAGGATGTTTTGGTAGAAGGATTTGGTGTAGAGCTGATAACAAGGTCCACCTTCCACTGGATCGGCTAAATCTCCTACTATGATATCAAACTTCTCTTCTCTTTTCTCCAATTCAGCCCTTTTTCACATTCAAATTATATTTTTAATTAGAGATTTAGACTTGCTCGTATAAAACTTACTTTTGTTGTTTTTGTTTTGTTTTAGGTTCCTTACTTTGCATCTTTGATCACAAGTTCAAGCTTTTTGTTACAGAAAGCTTCGCTGTTAACGGTCAGAAATCTTCTGCAAAAATCAACAACTTCCTAGAAAGAAAGAAAAAAAACATTTATTTGTTAAGATCATGCATGAACGTATATTTTTTGTTAATACAATTGGAGAGTTGAGATTAACCTGATCAATATCACACATGACAACTTTCTCGATCGTCGTGTGTTTTAGTATTTCTCTTGCAGCAGAGCCTTCACCTCCTCCCATAATAAACACCGTCTTGGGGCTACTCAATGAGCAATGGATGGGTAAATAACAATTCGAAACTATGTTTGTATATAAAATGTTCATTTCTAATAACAATAAACAAGTGATATAATTTTTTTAACATAAGTAGAATTTTGTAGACTATTTTAGGTGCATTGTTCAAATATAAAGCACTTGATTGAATACAAGAATATATTTTATACGTATGAAATTAATTTGTAAGTAAAGTTAAATAAAGTGCATATATACTTGGGATGGAAAAGGAGGGCCGGGTGGATCAAACATTCATGGTAGATAAACTCATCTCTCTCTGCACTTTGCATTTTCCCATCAATCACAAGCACCTGTTTTTAAGTACTTCATACTAATTAGTCTCCACCTTATAATATCACTACTCTAAGAAATTTGTAATTAATCAAAACTATACAAAATAAACATGAGCTTTAAGTAAAAATATTGTTTCATAAGAATATTTGACAAAATGTACCTTTCCAAAACGTTTGGTGTCCAACAGAGCAATATCTTGGTACTCACTAGTTCCTTGATGGAGAACACTGTGGACAAAAAATAAAATAAATAAACGATAAAAAAAACTTGTAAAATCATATATATAATGAAAGCAAAGTTGAGATAGATGAAAACCTGTTGAGGGCAAAAGACCACTTGAGATCATCATCGATGGTTTCTTCATACCAATGGCAGTCCTGCTGGTTGGAGTGGAGGGTTTGAATGGGTGATGTGTCTTTGTGAATCTCTGGGAATCCATTTCCGAACATGATCTCTACGGCTTCACCCATATCGAAATTGTGAGAGAGAAAGAAAGAGAAAGAGTGTAATCAGTGAGAGAGAGATAGAGAGAAAAGGGAGTGCTAATGTTTGTGAGGGGACGATATTCTATGGAGACAACCTTTGCGTTTTTATAGAATCTTGTTGGTGTGTAGAATGTAATATCGCGCGTTATCCACAAATGAGGGGAAAAATGAAAAACGTTAGCATGAGTAATGATTGCGACAGATAAAACGCTTAAATTTTCTGCCACATTTCGTCGCATGCTTATATTTTGGCATTTTAACGTTTTCAACACTTCCTCATCGTGACATCATAATTATAAGATATATATAGTAGATATTTATATTACTTCTATTCATGTATTTCATTATTCTCTTTAATTATATTTTTCTCTAATCATTTCAATTTTAGTTACGTCGTAATATAGTTTACTTTTGCGGGGTACAATATACAAAGAATAATTAAATTTAGTTATGAACATTTTAACTTTGAAGACATAGAACGTACGTAATTAATTTAAATTTATTTAAAAGTGAACCCAAGAAAAATACAGGCAATTGAAGGGTCAACTAGTTTCTACAATTTTGATTTCTAGAGTAAGTCATACCGGAGATGCTTCCGGACCACGGTTGGACCGGTCCAATAAGATGGTTTACTTTAGTTTAAGACATTACTTTCAACTATCTTAGTTGACATCACCTTTTTTTTCCTCAAACTCTAACATCACTTTTAAGTTCAATCATGTTTTAAAAGCTATGGGTTTCGCCCACCCAAAATCTCAGTCCTTGTAACTTTTTTTGTTTGTTAGCCAAGAATTGCTTACCTTATTTCAACACATTGATTAGTCCCCTCCATGTCGTCGTGAACCAGTACATCTAGCGGGTTCGGGTAACTTTGATCTTTTTGTTCGTACTAATAAGTTCATAACTTTGATATAAATATAACCAGGATGACTCAGACCCCGCGAAAATCTACATTTCACATAGACTCTATCACCACATGATTTTAGAGTTGAACTGAATTAGAAACGCAACAGCAAATAAAACCCTAAAAGATGCTGAACACGCTACATTACAAATCTACTATGATCATTGGTGCACATTGTGCTCCGTAACCATTAAAACAAAGGAAGAATCACCTATGTATCCAAAAGATAAAAACCAGTTTGAAGAAATTAAAACAATGTGATTAGGTTCTCTTTATGTTTGGCTACGGTACCAAGTGGACTCTGTAGGATTGTGCAAATATGAAATACACATCACTGCAACACATCATGAAACAACACGCGCAGTATCAATTTTTAGATAATGCCTCTGCCAGAATTTTGGTGGAATCCACAGCTATATTCATATGTACACTTGTCAGTTCCCCTCTCGTCTATGATATTTCACATTACAAATTTTTATTTATCTTATCCTATATATAAATATAGTTCAAATAATTAATATATTTTGAATCGGAAAATCAATCTAATTGTGTTAGACAAAATTGAAACTAATTTCCGCAATCTAGTTACTATAGAATTGGGTATATATAAACTTATGAACACATGATTTAGCACATAAATTTGTTTTATAATTAACGAAAGATTAGAGGTATTGTGAAGTTTAAATCCAAAAAGATGAAAGAAACTAAAAGTTGGAATATAATCGCCATTAACAAAACAATAGTCCCAATTAGTGACACAAGATCATATAAATATTGGAAGAAACAGAAGAATTAGAATGGGACCCACGTCTGGTGGTATGGGATATGCACACTTAATTAAGCGTGGAGTTAATCCACTCAAAAGAGAATGATATCTTTGTTGGAGACTCCACTCTTTATATGCATAACCTTTTCTTACTTCTCTTTTGCCTCTAACTAAGATATTTCTTTTGTCGACTTGCAAAAAAAAAAAAAAAAACGTGCCTTATCATCATCATACCTTCACCATCATCATCAAATATTATCAACAAAATCCTCATATATTTGCGTACAGAAGATCTTGCCATGAAGCCAAATCCCACGACACATGCTGTGTGTATGTTCACGATGACTGATCAGACGATCATATATTTAAAACAAACAAAGAAACGATGCAATATATGGTTTAAACTAATGATAAACATCACAGCACCAACCACTTTCAAGCGTAGTGATTGACAAAAAAAGAAGAGTAGCGATATTAGTGGGTTTGTAATATTTCGTCTGGGTCTTGGCAGACAAAACACACGCCACAAATTTTTAGGTTACGCAAATTCTTTAACCATATTCTGTTATAGATTTGTGATGGAACGCATCACGCACACCTCATGAAGGACAAATATTTAGGAACTCATCACATCTATCTAATCCACATGCATGCAAATATATATTCGGATAGTGTGTATATAATAGGATAGCTAGTTGCACACTTGCACTTGCACTACATCTTCTATACAAGTGGTTTATGATGAAGGCTGATAGATAGATGATCTTAACACATACTTTTCGGATATCCAAAATCGGTATAAGTAATCTCTTATAAATATCACCATTAAACACCATTAGTTTTAAGGAATATGAGAACTTTTCTCTTATATTCTAGCGAGAGAACCTGTACTCTAAAGATAATCCCTTTAAACTTATGCGCAAAAACTAGACGCATAACATACGATGGTGGGCGCATGGTGGAAAAACAAAATCAATGGTCCAGATAAATGAGGTAATAGGTGAACCATAAAGGACAACCACTTTTATTCGTGTCTTCAAAAGTGGCCTGCCTAATGAATAGCTTGCCGTCGAGTTGTCTTCCACAAGTAATCTAGATTATACTCCTATATATTACAAATCGTAAAAAAAAAAAACATATTAACTATTTGTATAAAAACATATAATTGCTGATGATATCTAATGGTGCATTGTTAAGCAGCTTGGTTAAAAGACCAATAAGGATTGTGTGGAAGCTGACTTTAGAATGATGTCAAATTATTTTTTTAATGAAAGCGTGACTAACTTTCCTCCAACATCTACGTGGTTAAAGTGGTTCCACTTATGACTTACCCGACCACACTCAACCTACGCATTGCATGTATCAATATAGATATATGTGTGCACAAAGTTGTGGGCACTAGCAAAGGATCTAGAAATTTGTTATTGTGGACGAACATTCTCTTTTATAGTCTTAAATTTTTAAATAAATATCTAAAATATAGATTAATTACTATCATAAAATATAAAATATATATACCCTAAACTCTTTTTCTTATTTTGAAATTTGTTGGTAACATGATCGAAAAACTCATCTAATAAAATAAAAATTTAAGAAAAGAGCACTATTTTCAGATTGTCATATTTAAACCCGAAATCGGGAAGATATATTGAAATTTTGATGAACGCAGAAAAAACAACAAAGGAGAAGAAAACTATACATGATACATATGAATTAACCATCTTTCGAACAAAAGATCATCGATGAGTTATGAATATGAATTTACAAGAGGTTAAAGACAAAGAAAAGGAGAGAGCTAGGGGAATACAATGCCAAGAAGAGAGACCACGCAACTAATTCAACTGATTATTATTTAGCTTATTTCACTATTTAAAACTTAGCAATTAGTCCCGTAATATGCCAAATTAATAGACAACTAAAACTAAATTGGTTGTAGTATTCCAAAGCAGTAGGCCAGTAGCACACAACATTGTATATGTGCGTCTTCCTAGGTTATTGAAAACTAACAAATTGTGTATGCATAACTAATACTAGTAGCTAGATGTTACCAAGTCTCTTAAGACTAGTAATACAGTAGCAGACTACAAAAATGTTTTTAGTTGTTGCATCAATCAATAGCTCGATTAAATGGCAAACACTCGTCCTACGTATACCACTCAATAATGCTCGCAGATGAAGAAGAACACAATCAGAACTCGAAAAGAATGGAAAGAGAACAAAAACAATTTGAACTAAATCAGCTCCAAACCACTCATGGTTAGCGTTAAGCACATAAAATAACCCCTTCATTGAAAAAAAAGAGGCTAATTAAAAGATTTCTGGTTTTGTCACTTTGTGTTTTCCATTTCTATTTATGGGAAAGGAAGAGAACCACTGGTTTCCTCTCTCGGTTAACAACTGGTTTGGTTAAATCATAATTTTTTCTTGGTTTAAGTTTTTTGACTCGGTTTACCAAGTAATAATTAAACGATTTTTTTTTTTTTTCCCGAAGAAGAAACGTGTAAACTTCTTCTGGTTGGAAAATGGCGAAATATCTTCTTCACATCACTACTACTTCTTCTTCTCAACTATATCCCGTAAAACAAAATCAAGGGAGGAACCATGGCGGTGAGCTCCTTCGCCGTCCTTCCTCCGTTTGGTCACAGCTCCACAACCGAAAGATCTTCTTCTTCTTCTTCTTCTTACTCATCTTCGAAACTTCTCCGCATACCTCAATACCGGTTCCGGTCAAATTCCCGTTGTCCAAATGTGTTTGTCTCGTCCTCACTGACTCAACCTTCTGATGATGCTTCCGACGCCGCCCTTTTTCTAGAATCCAATTCAATTGCTGATTACATGAGGTTCAAACGCCGTCCCGACGCCGGAAATGGCACCAGCGAGTTACAGACTGCAATTGTCAGTTACAAGAAACGTTTCCCTTGGATTCTTCTCAACCCTTTTCTTCAGGTTACATCACCATCTCTGTTGCTTTCTGGGTTTCCATATAAATCGAGAAAGGTAACATTTTTATCGGTTTCATCATCTCTAATATATTACAGGTAGATTTGGTCTCAACGATTCATATTGCAGATAAAGAGTGAGTCTTTCTTCTATTGCTCGTAATTTGTTACTAGTGAGTTTGGTTAAGTTTTAATTAGTTTCTTGTGTGATGACATATAAGGTTTGGGTTTGGGTCTGTAGGTACTTCACTACTCTTCAAAAGGAGCTTGAACCATATGATTCTATCTTGTATGAGATGGTGGCTAGTAAAGAGACCTTGGAAAATAGGAGAAACCCAATTGCAGCCAAGAGACTCAAGAGTTCTCGTTCAAGAGGCTTTAGTATTCTCGGGTTCATTCAGCGGCAGATGGCAAGAGTACTAACACTTGATTTTCAGCTAGATTGTCTAGACTACGAAACTGAGAATTGGTACCATGCTGATCTCGATTTCGAGACTTTCCAGTTGCTTCAGGTTTGTTTCCAAATCTATCTTTGGAAAACAGAAGTACCCATCTTTGGTTGTTGCTTGTTCTCTGTCATTTTTGAGTAATATTCTTTGGTTTCCGCATTGTTGCCTGTATTCATCGTTGTATTGTTTGGAATAGCGAGAATCATTTTTACTTGGATATTTTCAGAATGCAGACTATCATTATGACTGATTTATTCTTCATCTGTACTGTTTCATATTTGTTGCAGAAGGAGAAAGGAGAAAGCTTCTTCTCATTTGCCAGGGACATGACTATTAGATCAACAAAAGCAATGATACAGCCAGCTTTGGAAACTGAAAGTCTTGATACTTGGAGGTCAAAGCTTCTATGGGTTTCACGGGTTTTTCCTATGCCTCTTGTGGGTCTTTTCCTAATTGGGGCTTTTTGTGCTGACTTTGGAGATCAGACGTCAGACTATCCAGAATTGGAAGCACTTTCACGGCTTGACTTTGGAGCTGCTATGAAGGTTTTCCTGGCTAAGAGATTGACATCCGAGTAAGTGCTGTCTTGTTTTATTCCTTATGTTATCTTTCTTCTGTTGTCTACAACTCACACATGCATATTCCCGGATATGTGCTATACTTGACACATCTCTTTCCCCTTTAAATTGTATGTGTGTTAAAAAGATAGGGCAAGGCAGAGTAGTTTCATTCTTATTTAAAGGGCATGCAAAGATATTGTGGGAAGTTAACAATTGAATCGTAATTTTTGTTGTGAAGGCTAACACAAGCGACATCAGATATAGAGGAGAAATCTGTCATCATTGGTGAGAGAAACCGAGCAGCTACCGAAGCTTTAAGAAGAGCAATGGAGCAAGGGCACAAGAGAATTGGAATTCTTTATGGCGGAGGCCACATGCCTGACCTGGGAAGACGACTGAGAGAAGAGTTTGATCTTGTTCCTTCCGAGGTAAGATGGGTAACAGCTTGGTCCATCAGAAATCCAAAAGACTTGGAGACTAGTTCATATCCGATTCTAAGGAGAATGGCAGAGGCATTGCGTTGGCCACTAAACCGGTACCAAACCTTGGCATTGCTAATATTTTCATCAGTCCTTGCACTGGATCTGTGCTTTTGGGAGCTCTTCTTTGGTTCGACAATTGACTGGGCTTCCCAGATAGGTGCAGAGTTGTACCAGTTAGTAGATAATACAAAAATTGTGTGACGCACAGAATCATGTACAAAATACTAGCTCTTATTACAGTCTCCAAGTCTCTGTTGTAAAGCAAACATGGCTCTGATGTCAAAGAAATCTATTGAATATTAACAAAAGAAAAATGTTTAATTTGTTAAAAAAAAAAACTTAAAAACAGGAAATTAGAATTCAGACCAAAAAAGAAAAGGAAATCAGAATATTTTTGTAATAAAAAAAATGTAAATAAAGTTGTCGACTTGTTGGGCAAGTTCAAGCAGCGCCCACAGTTGCCATTGCCAAATCGCAATATAGGCGCCCACAGCTAAAGTTGATTCTCAAAACCTCGAAGAAGATAAAAACTAAAAAAAGGCGACTTCTCTTCTCTTTAACTTATTCCTCTCATCGATCCATTGTCTGCAATTTCTCTAATCCTTTGTCTAATGGATTCCGTCTTCTCTAACGTTGCTCGTGCTCCCGAAGATCCTATTCTCGGTGTATGACGCCTCTCTCTTGATTCATCTTACTCTTTTTTTAATTTAAAGCGTTTTGGTTGATTTTCATTGCTTTGATCCAATCCGGTTATACGAAATCGTGACGGTTAAATCTGATATTAGTGTGATCGAAGATTTTGATCCCTTTGTGTGTTTACTGTATAACTCAATTTGGATATTATTCTTATTTAGCTACTGGGAATTTTAAATTAGAAATATGACTGGATGATCTGTGATCAATGATTTGATTATAAGTTCTTAAGTAAACGTTTCAGAGTTAATGATTTTTTTGGAAAACAGGTAACTGTTGCTTACAACAATGATCCAAGTCCCGTTAAGATCAATTTGGGTGTCGGTGCCTACCGAACTGAGGTAATTTTTGTCGAGATTTCTCCTTCAAACTTTTAAGCATCTTTATGGTCTCATTTGATTATTGTTTTGCAAAGCTTAGGTTTTGATAAGTTTGTTTCTTTTTTTTTCCTTGGTTTCTCAAAGGAAGGAAAGCCCCTCGTTCTTGATGTGGTGCGTAAGGCAGAGCAACTGCTCGTGAATGATCCGTGAGTTCGAACATTATTGCTAAGTTTTCTACTTTTCTGTTCTTGTTCTTGTTTTTGCTAATGCCTAAAACTTTTCTCTACTTCTCTAAGGTCCCGGGTCAAGGAATACATTCCCATTGTTGGTATTGCTGATTTTAACAAGTTAAGCGCCAAGCTCATCTTAGGTGCTGATAGGTAATCATCATTTGTGTTTTGCTTTGTTTCTCTTGTGACATAATATCCCCTTTACTTGATAGTGTGTGATATTTTCTAAATATTCTTGTTTTATTGGGCAGTCCTGCGATTACAGAGAGTAGAGTTGCTACAATCCAGTGCTTGTCTGGTACTGGTTCGTTGAGAGTTGGGGCTGAGTTTCTCAAAAAACACTACCACCAAGTAAACTTCTCGCTATTTAGTTTTTGATTAGTTTTGACTGTCATTGATTTATGTAATCAAAGAAGTGTTGCTTACTGTGGTTCTCATTCTTCCAGAGTGTCATTTACATTCCAAAACCAACTTGGGGGAACCATCCAAAAGTTTTCAACCTGGCAGGCTTGTCTGTGGAGTATTTCCGCTACTATGATCCTGCAACACGTGGTCTTGACTTCAAAGGTTGATTTTTAATTTTCCACGAATTTTTATTTTCACCTTCCTGTGGTTGTTGCACTGACCTTAATTTAGTTTACCTTTTTCATGATTATTGCTTGATTTATCCATCCACTTTACCTTTCCTGTGTTTTCCTTGATATAACCACAATGAAATTACTTTTGTAAGTGTACTGATCGTATTTTCACAATTTTATGTTTGAAATTTGAGCAAGGAAATAAGTCTCAAGATTGCATTCTGTTAAAATATTTCATAAAAAGGCATTTGATACAAACTTTGACCTTTGATGCCAGGCTTGCTTGAGGATCTTGGCGCTGCACCATCTGGAGCTATTGTCTTACTTCATGCATGTGCACACAATCCCACTGGAGTTGACCCAACCTCTGAACAGTGGGAACAGATTCGGCAACTCATGAGATCTAAAAGCTTATTACCCTTTTTTGATAGTGCTTATCAGGTAACTCATAATGATAGTCTTGCTTTGTTACTTTATTCAACGGTGGTTTGCAAACAAATGAACCCCGTTATAGTGTATGCTTGAATCTTAACTAATGTAGAAAAAGAGCAGCCTGACTCTTTTTTCCTAACACTTTTGCAGGGTTTTGCTAGTGGTAGCCTTGACACAGATGCACAGTCCGTCCGTACATTTGTTGCTGATGGTGGTGAATGCTTGATAGCTCAAAGTTATGCCAAAAATATGGGACTTTATGGGGAGCGTGTTGGTGCCCTTAGCATTGTAAGGAACCAAACTTCTCAATTTCATCTTTGTTTTTATTCATCTGACATTATCATTAGTCTAAAAGTGCATCTAATCTTTGTGATTTAATGTGAAGGTCTGCAAGTCGGCAGATGTGGCTAGTAAGGTTGAGAGCCAGGTGAAACTTGTTGTGCGGCCCATGTATTCGAGCCCACCTATTCATGGAGCATCAATTGTTGCCACCATTCTGAAAAGCAGGTACATGTTTATCCATGCTTAAGTTTACGACGACTCCTGAATTTTTTTTTGTTGTGGAAGGAACCTTTAAACCCGAGTTAATGAGGTAGAAGTACATTTTTCTAGATGATTACATTCAGATATATATACTAGAATGTAAGCTTACACATGAGTTAATAGACTGGAAAGAGAGATCTCTACCGTTCTTCCATAGAGAGTAATTGGATAGTTTATGCTGTGTTTTAATGGTTATGCAAAGTTTCTTACTCTGTGGATTCATGCATAAATCACTAGCATTTTCCTTTGTATTATCAAAGCTTAAAATGAATCTCTTTATGGAATTAGGTTCTGCTCCAAGTTTCTAATTTTTCTTTGTATACATCTTGGCAGTGATATGTACAACAACTGGACCATCGAGCTGAAAGATATGGCTGACCGCATAAAGAGCATGCGCCAACAGTTATTTGAAGCTATACAAGCTAGAGGTTTATTATTAATGCTTCTTTTCTCTGATTTTTCACTCCTTCTATCTTTTTTTTCCAGGTTTGCAGAATCATTACTCTGCAATATTTTGTTCTTGACACGTTCTCTGGTTTGCAGGCACACCTGGTGACTGGACTCACATTATCAAACAGATCGGGATGTTTACTTTTACCGGATTGAACAAGGAGCAAGTTGAATTCATGACCAAAGAGTTTCACATTTACATGACCTCTGACGGGTGAGTCAACTTATATTCCAATGTTTCTTTTCAATATTTTTAGGCATATGAGAGAGTTTGGTTTCTGCAATGCCTAAAACCATGAGTATATATGATACAAAGATAGTTCTAAGATACTCTCGCCACACTCTTAATTGTAAGAGTATTAGTAGTAATAACCAGATATATTTAGAACTACATCCACAGGTTTCATTATGTTCTTCTTAGGTATGTGAACCAAGATAGTTGCTTTGAAGTTTTGAGAAACTGACAGATCTGAGTATCACATTCTTGCTATTTGGAATTATGGTTGCTTGAAACATAAGAAATTAGAAGTTACCAGAATTACAAGCTTTTTGAGCTCAAATTGAAAAAGGGTGATTTTGTTGTATTGCAGGAGAATAAGCATGGCAGGTCTAAGTTCGAAGACAGTGCCTCACCTTGCTGATGCTATGCATGCTGCAGTGACCCGCCTGGGCTAAACTAGCGACCATATATATTTTTGCTGTTTCTACAAATAAAATGGGAGAAAAGAACAGCGTTTTTGTTGGCTTATTATACTATGGATTTTTCTTATGGTATCATATGTTTCCTCATGTCTTTTGACTAAGGATGGTTTAATCAAACCAAACCGAGTATTGTGACATTGAGATCTACAATTTCTAAGGAAAATATTGGTTACTTTAATTTACAACACATAACAGTAAAATTATATTAACTCATGATTCTCCACATCAGAGAATTCATGTAAACACACACCTAGCTAATTTATTGGATGTTCCAACATTGTTTATTGCAGAATTTCCAACTGTCCTGTTATTTTATTTGATGAGAGATCACTTAGCAAACAAGTTATATAGTTTGGTTCTCGCTGGAAAGAGAGAAGTTTTGGGAACTTTGGCACACCTAAGAAGAAGTAGGATGTGCTTGTATATATATATATATATAAAAAAATACTTGTCGGAATACTATAATTGGTCCATCTCTTAAAATAACACATAAACATCATTTTCAAATGAAGCAATCGATCGTTTGGAATTGTAAGGGACATATAGTAGTGAACATGAATGATAAGAAATGTAAAACGGAATGAGGTTATATGTTTTTTTTTTATATATAATGAAAACTTGTTTCAATGTGTCAATCTATAGGTAGACGCATTTGTTTAAGCCGCTTGATAAAAAAATGTCAATGCAATATTTATACATCAGTGAGTGGATGAGAAAATGATCGATCATAAACGCCACTTATTCAAAATGATAAATTACACGACGTGATTAAACGATTAAACCAATATTATAGGATATTGAAATCAAATCCTTTAAATTAGTATGATATACAGAAATGTTTAGACTTGGTAAAGAGTCGCCGTGTTACATGCCTCCATGCTACTGTTGCACTAACGAATTAGTCAAATCTGATTTTAAAATTTGATTGTATCACTTTTTAAGTAATTGAGTTTGTAAATTCCAGCTATATGTGATCCATAGTCTTACTTAATTCGAGATCAGGCTTAAACAATATTTGTAATGATCCACAAACATAAATCATCCGTCTCCAAGTTTAGCACATAGGATTCTAACTCGGGTCCGGTAACACTAAAACATCATTTTTCTAACCGGTTGAGCCAATCGCATTTTTGTAGACTTTATTTAGAAAATGTTCATACAATCTCATTAAACCAAATGTGGATTAGTTCAAATAAGAAATAATTTCGTAGTACCTACCTGACTTAATTCACGAATCAAAACCTAAGCAGGGGAGGTAAATTCTAAACAATTGAAAGATAAAATAAATAAGGAAAAGTCGGAGTATCTTTAACCGCCCTTCCACTATTTATCTTTTGTTTGTTTTTTGAAAACATGGACCGCACGTTGTCTCTCCAGCCCTAGAAAACTAGTTCAACATTTCTCTGTTTCATTCATTTGCACCAACTCAAAAACAAAAACATAAAACAACTGGAAAAAGAAAAGTACAGAACATAAAGTAGTTCTGTTTCATTCGGTGGTGAAAGAACAGAGACAAGGGAGAGCGAAAGGACTAGTTTCTTGATCTGTACGTCTCTTTTGCTTTCTTCTCTTCCATTTGCTTTGTTTTCTTTTATATATATACACGATCTGAGCCAAGAAATAAAAGTGTGGGGTTGGGGAGAGAGATAAATTGAGAGGAGTAAATTGGGAATGGTGCGGACATTAGGACGAAAACTAAGCTGGCCAAGATCTTTCAGTTTTAGAAAGATGTTCGATGGTCGGAACTCTGGACATTCATCATTCTCTTCTCGTGGGGATGGCATGCATACACCCGAGCACGCACATGGAATGGACGCTGCACCATCCACTCGTAGAGGCAAGCAGAATAGGAGATCAGGTATATATATATATACAACATATTAGTACGAGTTAATTTGGTAAATGGTAATTGCATAACTTTTATCTACGAAAATGAAAATTTTAAAATTTGGTATTAAGAAATAATAAAATGGTACACCAACATAAATTAAGGTGAAATTGAAAACGCTATTTTGTGGAATGATGCTTTGAAAATATATCCATTTGAATCATTTGTAAATTGTATAAACCAATATTTAACAATGTATAATCTATACACTTAAATTTGAAAAAAAAATATTTAGTAAATAAAATGTCCATGGAAAAATGACATTGCACGGAAAAATTCACTCCTATCGCAATTGTTAAATGACAAAAGTAAAAGCGTCCAAAACAGCTCCATTCCATACATTAACATGTTATCCAAAAAAACATGCGTTCCACAACAATTAAAAGAGTCAAAATTAACCGTTCAAAGGTATTTTAACTTTTAACCCATTTGATTCATAGGAAAAAGAAACACCATTGACATTTTCTTAATTATGGTCCTATTGATCTCTATTAATATCTCATCAGATGTGTGGTATATATATAGCATAATGAATTGCACTTAGATTGCATTTGTGTAGATACATGGGTTGGATAAGGACCCATATTTTATATTAGATTATTTCTTTATAAGTTGGAATCCTTACATAATCTTTTGTATTGATATCTGTTTTTCAGACATTGAAGTGATGAAGGAAAGATTTGCAAAACTGCTGCTTGGAGAGGACATGTCAGGCGGTGGGGATGGGGTGACCTCTGCGTTAGCTTTGTCAAACGCCATCACCAAACTCGCTGGTAAATATTTAATTAACACTAATAATATGATTAAAACATTAATGTCTAATTAACTATTTGTATGGTTAAAATAATTCACAAACTATGTGGCTTTGGCATTGGCATGCAGATTCTATGTTTGGGGAGCAGATGAAATTGCAGCCTATGTATCCAGAGACAAAGGAGATTTGGAGGAAAGAAATGGATTGGTTATTATCTGTGATTGATCATATTGTCCAGTTTGTTCCTTCTAAACAAATGGGCAAAAATGGCCAAGTCACTGAGGTGAATGCATGCATTTGTTAGTCATTACGTACATATAAACCCACAACTCCTAGTAACTATTTTTCTTACTAACCCAAATTTTATTGACTTTGTAGATCATGGTAACAAAACAAAGAGATGATTTGCTGACGAACATTCCAGCTTTACGCAAACTTGACTCTGTTCTTCTCGTGAGTTTTAACCTGCATCCGCATCAATTACTACTTGATTGTTTCAACCGTGGTTTTAACGTTTGCGAAAACAAACTTAAAAAAAAAAAGATTTATGATTTGTGACCATTTATCATACTAATGCAATTACTCATTTGGCAGGAAACTTTGGACAACTTCAAGGATCAGAAAGACTTTTGGTATGTGCCAAGAGATATTGAGGATGCAGATCACAATGGAGATTGGAGGAGGGATGAGAACTGGTGGTTACCAGTTGTTAAAGTTCCAACAGATGGTTTATCTGAGGAATCACGTAGATGGTTGCAAAATCAGAAAGATTCTGTGGCACAAGTCCTTAAAGCCGCCACGGCCATCAATGCTCATGTATTGTCTGAAATGCATATTCCTGAAAACTACATTGATTCTCTTCCAAAGGTAACTTACTACATTGATTCCCTTCCAATGTTCTGTTCATATTCTTTTCAGTTTCTACTAAGTTATAAGAAGCTGACGTGACTGTTGGTTATGTAGAATGGGAAGACAAGTTTGGGCGATTTCCTTTACAAGAGCATAACAGAGGAATGCTTTGATCCTGACTACTTTGTTTCTTTCTTGGATCTGTCAACGGAACACAAAGTACTTGATCTAAAGAACAGGATTGAAGCTTCCATGGTGATCTGGAAGAGGAAGATGTGCCAGAAAGAGAAAGACGGGAAATCGCAGTGGGGATCAACCGTTAGCTTAGAGAAGAGGGAGCTTTTCGAGGTCCGAGCTGAGACCATTTTGGTTATGCTCAAACAGCAGTTCCCTGGAATCCCACAATCCTCACTTGAAGTCTCCAAGATTAAAAACAACAAGGTAACAAAACATAACAAAGACTAAACAAACATCAGCAAAAATTTACTGAAACTGAGTAAAAGTTTGTTATGATGGGTTTTTACAGGACGTTGGACAGGCGATTTTGGAGAGCTATTCAAGGGTATTAGAAAGTCTGGCTTCGAAGATAATGTCGAGAATAGAGAATGTTCTTGAAGCTGATCGGCTAGTTCAAAGACAATTGATGGGAGAGGTAGAGACAAGATCAGAAAGCGAGGCAGAATCAGAATATGAGGAAAGCGAAAAGGTGGTTGCAGCGGAAACACCAAACTCGAGGAAACTATCAGACTTCATAGGGTGGAGATTGTCATCAGATACAAAGAAGCATAGTTCAATGAGTGATATAGAATTCTTCCACAAAGTTGAGCAAGAGAAGGAGAAGCCCATGATGAAGTCTCCAAGAGCTCTACCGAAGAAATTTTCATATCTAGCAAAGTTAGAGAACATGAGAAGCCCAAGTGACAGACACTGATAGTGAAAAGATCAGGTAATAGAACAGGGCATAGAAGAAGAAGAAAAACACAAAGAGAGTGAGAGAGAGAGAATAGAGGAGGTTAAAGTGTGTGAGAATGTGTACATATATAACAATGCAGGCATTGGTTTTAGATTTTGGTCATGAGTCTTGGTGTTTGACGAACATTTGTGATAGAGTCACCTGGTTGATCATGTTTGTTGCTTGTTTTGACTATTGCTTCCTGTTGTTTTTTCTAAGAAGGAAGTGTGATTATGTGTGGACCGTTTTTTTGATATTTTGGTTCTTTGGTGTTTTGTATTGTAATGTCTATAACATTGTTTCCTAATGGATTTTGAAGCTCATTTGTATGACTAGTGTATCTGATTATTTGTTACTTGAGGCCCTGGTATGTATGTACAATAGGTTTTGTAATCTATACTATTAATTGGGAAGCATTTTGTGAACTACAACATTGTGAGGGTAGTTTAAGACTAACTAAATGAATTTTTACATGGGTAATTTAGTAAATAAACAACTACTACAACTAAATAAATATATTTGATTTAGATCCTTCATTAATTAGGAAATCAGAATGCCATAATGATAATTTAGAAATATATTTGATTTGCTTAATCGACGGAATAAAATAAATAAATATTAAAAATGATATTAATTAGGAAATCAGAATCAAATATATGACCCAAATTTTAAGTACTTACCATAACTACCTGAGATCTGTGCACCCATTTAAAAAAATATATAGTAAATATAGATATTTAAGGAAATCGTAGTAATTCAATATCCCATATATTTAGTACCTACTATAACTAACAAATCTTTATCCGAAAATTTTGAGAATATCCCATATATTAATTCCCTGCAATCATGCGAATTTGAATTTGATTTTTTTATATAAAATTAAATAACTATTCGGAAATTATTTTTATATTTATAAAGATTAGAAAATGATAGTTACCAAACTCAGAGTAGTTAAAAATTCAGAAAATATCCTTAAATGACATTTTTACTAAATATTTAAATATTAAAAGATTTAATCAAAAGATTGTGATTCAATTTATTAGGATTGCTCTGCAAGCTAAAAGAAGATTTCAGTAGAAGATTTCAATTTCTTAACCCTAAATCGACATCTCCACTTCACTATATAAGATCACCCATTTCTCTAAACAAGACTCCATTTTTTTTCCCCAGTTTTTTATGATTTTTTTTCTTTCTAATTTTGCTCAATCTAATTATTTGTTTCAGTTTAGCTTTTCTTATTGTCAGATTATTTATAATTTCATATACATTGATGGTAATATCTTTTTCTAAATAAATGTTTTTTTTACATTTATGCAGGTGCATATTAAATTTGATAATGGAAAAGCAAAATTCACATTTGCTTGGGATGTGATTTTTAAAGTTCAAGGTACTTTTAATTTTCCACTGCTGCTACTTTGATATATGCTTTAACCAGATTTCATGAAGCATATAATGATGTGTTTTTGTTCGGTATAATTCGGTTCTTTAGTTGAACCCGTGATTTTATCGAATATATATAAACTTTTTAAAATATTTAAACTTTTAAGAGGTTACAAATATTATAAATATTTAAACTTTAAAAGTTTCAAATATTATAAATATTTAAGCTTTACAAGAGTTTAAAATATTAATAATATTTAAACTTAAAAAAGTTTAAAATATTAATAATATTTAAACTTAATAAAGTTTAAAATATTAATAATATTTAAACTTAATAAAAGTTTAATTTGTTCAGATCTTCATTTAGAGGGAATCATCTAATGAGTCCATGTAAAAGTTTTGAGAATCTAGAAGAAAAAAAAACATTCAACCGGAAACATTTGAATTATTATTAACAGATGGAAAGGTACTTCATTAACATAATAAAAATTAAGTCCGTGTATATAGTCTTTTTGTTTATTTGATTTTTTTTGTGTTAGTTAAAAAACAAATCATTGTGAGGATAAATGGTTTTGTTTTTTTTCAAATGTTTATGTTCTCTGATTTACATGAAAGCATTACCTATATCTAATTACTTATATCTATGTCAATATAGGATCGAAGTCAAGGAAATTTTGAGTAACATGTAAACTAAATCGCAGAAGCTATAAAAGCCCTTCAAGTTTATATTATTAATGGAAGTTATATTTTGACACAACAAATGAGATTATCATACACAAGGAATAAAGTCAAAACTATGATTCATGGCTCCAAGGCATACAGAAGCTCCTCTCATTTGTGGCACTTGAAGTCCCAAACATAGCAGCAAACTCGCACGATACCAAGTGTAGAGTTGTTAGCAAGAGTTTCCATTGCCTGCTTGAGATCAGTGAAAGACAAGCTGGCTGTCTAAGAATATAGGCAATGCCTTTGATTGAGCTTTTTTTTTTTTTTTTTTTTATTGGCATTGGTTGGAAATAACTTGTAAGAATGCTTTATTTGAATGTTTAGTAAGATTTTTAATTTTTAAATCACTCTTAAAGAAAAGAAGGCTTTGATTTTAGGTTTGGTTTTTGAGAGATCATATTCGCATAATCTTTGTTTAATTAATATATTTTAAGAAACATTAGCCCTGAAAATATAATTATTACATATTCATTAAAATATGCTTCGTAAGGAAACAAAAATAAAAGATATCTCCCTAAATAATAGCACTTGCCATAACTACAATAACTAAACGGATCATGCGAATTTTAATTTGTTTTTGATAAAACGTAATTAATGTGGTTTTCAACTCTACAAATAAACTAATAATTACAATAATTATTACGAAAAATAGTTAACGAAATCTCCATTAACATTTACGAAAAAAATAGTTAAGAACATATCAATAAGACAATAACTAAGCGTTTACATTTACTTTAAACGGGCCGTAAATTTCAATAACTTTAAATTGATTTTCTATTAAAATTCTAAAACAATGTATATCCAAAAACTACGTGAATTACTAAGATCTTAACCAAAAACAGCATATTCCTTAAAGTAATCTTAAGAAGAAAAAAATACACAATATTCGACTCTTACCCACGGGTAACAGAACTACACCTTTTACCCGACTCTAAGGTTTGGGGTACCCTTTTTCGAGACGGGTACGAGTCGGGTAACATTTATCACTATGTGTATGTCTATATTCCCGATAAAAGTAGGTGACATGCTATATACCCAGCTACATGTATCGACTATTTTTTAGTAGTACATGTGTAAAAATAAAATCTATAACAGCATAATAATTTTATATTTCAAAATAGGGGAATTTATTACAAAAACAAAATTCATAAACATATACAACATATATTTCCAAAAATATTAAATTACAAACTTAGGCTTTCACTTTTACTATAAAATGCAAGAAAAATTGTAAAACACTAAAAAAAGGGGGATTTATGTGTCATGTAGTAAAGCGGAAAACGGATCGGGTGACGTGACGGGTATTAAAGAAGAAAAATCTGATACAAATGTCTATGCCTATATCTACCCAATAAAAGTAGTTGTAGAAACTCGACCCTCTATCTGTATCGGACTATTTATTGATAATGTATGTGTAAAAATAAATTTCGTAACCGCATAGTAATTTCATATTCCAAACAGAATTATTTGTTTACAAAAAAAAAAAACTGAATTCATAAACACATACCACATGTTTTCAGAAAGTATAAAATTACAAACTTAGGCTTTAACTTTTACTATAAGATTTATTTTATAAAATACAAGAAAAATTATAAAAGCCTAATAAAACAGTGATTTACGGGTCAGGTAACGTGACGGATATTAAAAATATATATATATATCCGATACTCGACCTTTACCTACGGATAACAGAATTAAACCCTTTAGCCGACTCTAAAGTTACCGGTATCTTTTTAACAAGACGGATACGAGTCAGGTAACATATCGAAGACGGGTAACATGTATCAGTGTGTATGTCTATATCTACCCGATAAAAGTAGTTATAGATACCCGACCCAATAAAATTATAAAATACTAATAAAGTGGGGATTTACGAGGTGTGTATTAAAGCGGGAAACGAATTGGATAACGTGACGGATATTAAAAAAAAAACACGATACTCGACCCTTACCCACAGATAACAGTATTACACCTTTTACCCAACTTTAAGGTTAGTGGTATCCTTTTTCGTGACTGGTACGAGTCGGATAACAGTCGAATATGAGTAACATGTAGCATTATGTGTATGTCTAAATCTTCCCTATAAAAGTAGTTGACCTACTAGATACCCATATCTGACTATTATTGATAATGCATGTATAAAAATAAAATCTGTAACCGCATAATAATTTTAGATTAAGAAAAAAAAATTCATAAACATATCTAACATATATATTTCTAAAAATTATTAAATTAAAAACTTAGGCTTTAAATTTTATTAGAAGATAGATTTATAAAATACAAGAAAAATTATTAAACGATAATAAAGTGGGGATTTACGGGTTGGGTAGTAAGCGGAAAACGGATCGGGTAATAGGACGAGTATCAAAAAAAAATATTAATATTTGATACTCGATTCTTACCCACATGTAATAAAACTATAGGTTTTTGGGCCTCTATAATTTTTACATGTCTAATAAGAAATGTATTAAATTAGAAATACTTCAATTATATATAGCATATTACATGTTTAAGATGGATTATCACACTAATTTATAATTATCTATTATTATCTATTGCTTATAATACATCTTTTTTTTTTTACCAAACTCAATCCCTCCAAAACACAATTATTTTTTCAACATATCCTACACACATACTTCTTTTAAATACATTTACATTTGTTTACCATACCATATTATTAATTAATGTCGTCATCTTTCAATTATAATCACATTGACATTGTCATGTCAAACTTTGTTTCCTAAACAAACACACAACATAATGACATAAATTTTTTGCTCAGAATTTACTATGTTATCATAACCCCGGACGTACGTCCGGGTCCGATCCTAGTGTAACATTAATTGATCATGAAATGTAATTTAGTGGTTTGTGGATAGTAACATTGATGTGTTTACCATCCGGAAGCCTGACCATTTGGGTATTCGGATCGGGTTCAGGTCATGTGTTTTGGGACTAGTGGTTAAAGTCCCATTCAAATACATTATTTTAAAATTTCGGATCGGATTCTGTTTGGTACCTTTCGGGTTCAGATCGGTTCTGGGTGTTCGAAGTGTTCTTCTTTTTGATCTCCTTAACTCAACATTTAGTGGTATACGGGTTATAAAAACAGAACAACCCAAAAGGCCACCGGCGATGAAGGAAGACATGGAGAAGATGGTGGCAGTAGGGCTCGTATGGGGAGCCACCAATGCTCTGATCCGCCGCGGTGCTCTCGCCTGGGATAATAGAAAGTCTTCTTTGACAACAGAGTCTCCTCCTCCTCTTCAGATCCGCCGCAAAATCATGATTGCTCTCCGTGATTGGATCAATCTCCTCCTCTTCTGGCAATACTCAATTCCTTTCCTCATCAACCTCTCCGCCTCCGCCACATTCTTCGCCCTTCTCAGTCACGCTCCTATCTCTCTTGCCGTTCCCGTCACCAACGCCACAACTTTTGCCGCAACCGCCGCTTTTGGGATCCTTTTAGGGGAAGAAACTCAAATCGGACTTGCTTTGTTAGGTACGAGCTTTATTGTATTTGGAATTTGGCTTTGTGTTCTGTGAAATTGGAATTTTGTAAAACCGTGACTCTGTTTTTGTCAGATCTATTTTGCCAGAGAATTGGCTCATTCTTGTTCTAGACGAAAAAGCTAATAACGAAAACCTAAATTAGGAATTTAGGCATTGTGTATAGAACAGAGAGATGAGATGATTTTGGTGATAATCACATTCTTCGATGATCTTTTGCATAGAGAACTATTTGTGTATTTTAGCTAATTATGTGCAATCTTAGCAAAGTGATTAACGTTATTAGTCGATGAACAAACAGACAGTAGTGACTTGCGATGAAACTCATCGAATGGTTTACCCAAAAACCGAACTAATGAAGAAAGAAAAGAGGCAAAAGTAATAATAAAGAATTTCTCCAATACAAAATTTAGGAATACAAACTCACCGAAAAGGTTTTACATGAACGGAAAAAGTTTAAAGAAGTGAAAGAAAAATGGTTAAAGAAAACACAAGGAATTTGGATCCATTAATGGTGGCATATACAAATATATATATAAGGAAAAAAAACTGATATTACGTGATTTTTTTATATTAAGATGTTACGGCCGTAAGACAAAATGGGAAAAAATCATCATCATTAGACGATCTGAATCCATTCTCCAATGCTGGGAACACCTTTGTGGATGGCAAAGATAAGATAGTAACCCGGTGGAGCGATGTTTCCATTTGGCGGTGCGACGGCCTGGATATCGTAACCGGCACCAGCAGGTTTGACATTAGCGACACCCAAGATGAGCATCCTCATGTTCATTGAGATACTGTGTGTTGTGAAGGCAGGGGCTAACATGGTCACCTTGAGATTCTGCTTGGTGGCGCCCTTTTGTTTAAGGTCAACCTTCACGTTGAAGAATTGTCCGTATTTTACCTGTTTTGGGGTGCCGGTGGTGACGATCTTTGGCCTAATGTTGGCTAGAGCCGGGTCGAGGTAAGGTGGGGAGAATTTCTCAACACGAAGCTCCGTAGGGAACTCAACGTTGTACTTGTAACCGTCGTTGGTGTTGCTACCTCCGACAAGAACCTTACCGTCAGGGAGAATGATGGCGGTGGAGTGGTACATGCGTGGGATGGTGGAGGGCTTGAGCTGTCTGAAACGCTTGCCACGTGGAGCATGGGGCTTGTACAAGAGGGGAGCAAAGGCAGGGTCTTTACCATAGCCCCAGCCTGAACAACCACGTTTAGCTCCGTTGACTAGAAGTATGTCTCCGTTGGGGAGGATGACAGTGTCACTCATGATTCGTGGGGTCGGCATCATCTCCGTCTTCCATCGTGGCTTTGCGCTGTTGATCCTTATCCTGGCGCAGTCTTGTAGTGCTGGTTCGTATACCTTCTTACCAGCCTTGTAATACGCGTCCTGTTTGGAACCACCGCAGACGAGGACCTCAGCAGGGATGACCTTGGGGTTTTTCACGTAAAGTTGGATGGGGAGGAGCGCAGAAGAACCTGATCCCGGGTAGTTACGGGCACCACCTGGGAGCTGAGGGAACTCCTTGATGACTTGGTTTGTTTTGGGGCTTAGAAGGATGGATCGGTTGTTAGCGAAAATGAAGAGGTTACCGTCGGTGTTGAGCCACACGAAAGGGTAAAGGTTGTTTTCTTCCGGGTCGTCTGTTTGCCTGAGGAGCAATGAGTCATAGAGCTTCCTGTTGTTTTGTCCCTCCTCAGGAATGTATTCGTAGTTCAAGGCGTCTCTTCCACCAATCACGAAGAACTTTCCGTCAGGGAGAGTGGCTTGCGTTGAGTACCATCTCTTGGCAGCCAATGCCTGAGGGTATTCTTCCCACTTGCAGTTTTCACAGCTGGATAGGTACCTCGCGGTGTTGGCTCCTCCTCCGTATCCTCCAGTGCTCACCAATGTACCATTTACAGTCAGACCTCCGGATGAGCACCATGTATCGGTGGAAAGCTATCATGAAACATGTGAATGCAAATATTTAATTCAAGTTTCATATAATATGATTCTATTTAATGAGAAGAAGATAAACCGTGTCTAGGACTAGGCCCAAAAAAAAGAAAGATGGTGTCATGAGTTTGAACATACGGCTAGAGGCTTAAGGGCGCCGGTGTTGACATCCATGAGAATCGAATGAGCCCAACAATCGATCTTGTTAGTCTTGGCGTTCACGACATGGCATGGTACGCCTGGAGGCAACTTAATCTTTGAAATTCTCCAAATGGTGGCGTCATAGTACTGGACCTTGTTGATGACTGGCATAAGAATCGCATGCATCCCTGACACACCCGAGTTTTCCAAGAAGAGCTCCCACTTACCACCCCAGGTTGTCTGAGCGTCTAAACCGCCGCCTCGCTGCCTTCTTCCGCCTTTTCCACCAGCTACCGCACCGGCTGCAGGCTGTGGTTGCGCAACCTTCACAGCCTCATTGTCCCTAAAGCCATTGTTGAACCCAGGGAGGAACGGTAGAAACGGTAGAGGGAAGATGGCCTCGGACACAGCAGCGAGCATAAGGACAGATACTGTCCATATGACTCTTGTTGAGGCTCTCATTTTCTAAATTTTTTTGATTTTTTTGTTTCTTTTTTTTTTTCTTCCCCTGTTTTGGTTGGGGAAATAAGAAAATTGGATCCCAGGCTTATTTGGATTGTTATGATGCCTGAAGAACCAGCTTTTGTCTCTGCGTGATTTATAGGTGTTAATTTCACTTACGTTTATTATTAGCAATTGCTATTTTTAAATGTGTGGTAAGAAGACGTCTCCCCAAAACAACCTGTAGTTTTGTGGAGTTTCTTTGATAGAAGAAAAACATTGGTGTTTCATATCTGTCTCTCGTGCCCTCTTTTACAATGACGTGGTCATGCAGACATTTTCTTAATTTGATGTCATACAGCTAAAGGACCATCTCCTTACAAATCATTATGGGTGCGGATCCAAAGGATTGCATAATACATACACACACACAATTATACATATTACACATATTTTGAAAAGTGAAAAAGAAACGTGAAAACGGTTGGCAACAAACTCTCAACTAACATAATTAATTGATGATACAAACATTCCCAATTGAGCCAACTTAACAATAATGACTATGCATTTCACGGGAGATTATTAACATTTAATTGGGTGCAGTGCACTTGCACATACATCTACAAGCATCAGAGTAGATCTGCCCCGACGTTGATCGTTGTTTTCCTTGTTGAGGGAAGGGACTATAAATCTAGTGTTAGTCTTTATGAAATTGAAAACAGTAATGTCTATGAAGATTAATAAATGCGGTGGCGTATAGTTGTGTAGGACGACCCTATTACTTTTTAACGTTAACAAAATTGTACTTGTAATTGTAGTTTAAGAACATAAACTTTGTTTATCAAACATAGTTTAAAAATAAAACAACATGCATTGAAAACAAACAACAATCTAACTTACATAATCAAAGACTTCTAAAATATATATACGTATTATCTTTTACTTCATAACATTCAATTTTTCTCACAATATAGTGTGGTCCAATATAGTGAGGACTCACCAAGTCACCATACATGTCAAAGTCAAGGATCGAGTTCCACTCTCTGTGAATTTTATTGTGGTTAACCTCTTGGCCACGGTAAACACCATTAGTGACAAGATTACCAGATTTTTTTACATGTCTCTTAAGATTAGTCTGGATTTCGGCCGTAATATACTTCGGTTATAAAAATAATACAAGTAATACCTAATAGTTATATATTTACGTACACCAATTTCTTGGTTTTCTACAAAATACACAAATTGGTCCTGCTTGTTATCACATTTCAACCCATATTTGATTGACAACTTACAAGCCTCCATGAAACCCTTAGTTTGCAGAGAATACAGTCGTGGTTCAATTGCGATTTTACATTACAAGCTTTGTTTTATCGGATGGAGATAAATATATTACAAACCATTTTTCACTTATTGCTCCTGCCTTCGCAATCTTCCTGCAAAGTAGACAAGAACCACTCGTTAATAACCAAAGCAAAACATCCAAGCGCATAACTGTTGAGACCTAGAGAAAGCAATCTACATCGCATTTAGATACCAAAGAAGACCACAACATCATGCTCAGACCAATACAGAGGACGTTCAAGTTTTCATGACAGTAATACTAACGCTTTGTTTAGTATCACAGTTGGCCATGAAAGACTTAACCTATCAAAAGATTAGTCCAACAGTGAAGGAAAGAAGCTAGCAAATGCCAAAACCATACTAAAAGACTAATCTGACTCGATATACGACGGTAAGTTCATGGCGAAGAACGAAGAGCAGCAATAAAGCATCTAACAAAGCTTGGTATAACAGTCTACTAACAAATATGAACAAAGACTACAATGTCCAAGATGACTTATATGAGGCTACTAACATTCAACATTTGAATTCATTGCAAATTTCCAATTCCAGAGATCCAAAAACAATGATCTAGTCAATGGATTATCACATCAGAAGTCAAATTCTACATAATGAAACAAATAGAACAAAACCCTAACCAATCAATCGGCTCCAAAATCAATGAACCAAGCTACTAAGATTCCAACTCAATTTGAAAACCCTTAATTCATAATTACAGCAGAAAAACCCTGAATTTGTAGAACCATCAAGAACCCAAAGTTCTAACCTTTTTTTCCCAATTGAAATCAAGAAGAAGATCGTTTCCCTTCACAATCAAGACTCTCATCGAAATTCTTCGAAGGGTATTTAGCAGTTATCCCAGCAACCTCAAAGACAAGATTATCTCCAGAAGATCGAATCCCAGTGATAGACCACGACTTGAAAAACGCCCGAACCCGAATCCCTTGGAGCTCCGCGATCTTACCCTGAGAGATCCGACCCGTTACTTTGTTCGAATAAGTAGCGATGTAGTTATCAGGAGGAAGCGTGATTTTGCATGTTCCATGGAGGAAAAGAGAGAAGTCGCCGGAGGTTTGGTTGAGGAAGTAATCTTTGACAGATAAAGGGAGAAGCCCAATTGGGAACCCATGGTTCGTGAGCTCTGCGTGAGCACGAGTCGGTTTCTTGACTTCAGGACTCGGATCCTGAAGCGAAACGGGTAAGAGAATGAGTACAGAGAGAAGGAAGAGAGAAATCTTCATTTTTTGTCAAGGAGAAAAGCTTCGAACCACAGAAATTTTGGCAGATTTGTTCTGACTTTTCCCTTTTTTGGAGGCTTTAAAACTTTTAAAGTTTGTATTTTTGGATTTGGTCAACTGATTGTACCCGTTTCTGATTCGAATTATCCAAACAAATTGGGTTAAAGTAATTATAGGAATTAGTAATTTCAAATTACGCGTTTAGGTCAAAATATTTTACTTTAACATGTAAAATTGTAAAGATGGGTTGGGAAATCTTTGGATACTCGAATTACTATAGGTCAGATAATTAAAATTTTCTACATTATTTAAATTTGTTAGAATTATTCAATATTTTCCAAAATTTTGAAAATTACATGTATTTTTTAATTTGGATTCGAGTTCGGATAATTTTTTATATTCTTAATTAATATCTTTATGATCGGATTTATAATCGATTACTCACCACTACTGGGTCTTTTATCCGAGATGAACAAGTCTAATATATACACCGAAAGTATTTTAGATTAATAAAAAATTGTAACCTCTATAAACAGAAGTTTGTTATAAATAATTACTTTATATTATGGTGTATATAAATATAAATAATGGAAAAAAATTTATACCCGCAGAAGGATCGAGATACTGAAAATAGTAAAGAGACGAGAGAGAGATGTTTGTTACTTCTCTTATAATTGAAGTAATGAATTGTGATTTACAACGAACGATTTCGTTCGTTTATATAGACGTAAAAAAGTAAATTACTATGCGTGTATAGTGACGTGGGCTCCACATAAATTAATAAACAACGAAACGTTATACGCATGTGTATGCGTATATTATTGAAATTTTCGTTGCCTCTTTTGTTGACTTTTACAACACTCCCCCTTGGAGACCAGTGTCACTATGTCTCTTGCGTAATATCTTCTGTTGCCTCGATAAAAACCTTTCTAGGAAAACCCGGTGGGAAAAACCTTAGTAGGTAAAAAGAGTACAACGACGTAGTCTCCCCCTCGAGTGATTAACTTTACAGATCACGTTGATGGCGCATTCCGATAGCATATACATGCTTCTTGAACATCGAGGTAGGTAGTGATTTTGTGAAGAGATCTGCAGCATTGTCACATGATCGGACATATTTGACTTCAATGTCTTTATTCTTCTCAAGTTCTTGGGTGTATGAAAAGAATTTCGGAGGGATATGTTTGGTTCTATCACTTTTGATATATCCTTCCTTTGTTTGGGCAACGCATGCAGCATTATCTTCATATAGGATGGTTGGCTCTTTGTTTACGTTGATCCCACTGCTTGATTGAATGTGTTGGCTTATTGATCTCAACCATACACATTCTCTACTTGCTTCATGTAGTGCAATGATTTCAGCATGATTTGAAGAAGTAGCCACAAGCGTTTGCTTCTGGGAACGCCAGGATATAGCAGTGCCTCCGATCGTAAAGACGTATCCAGTCTGTGATCGGGCTTTATGTGGATCTGATAAATATCCCGCATCTGCAAAACCAACCATTTGCCTTTTTGAATTTTTAGGATAAAATAATCCTAAATTCATCGTCCCTTGAAGATATCGGAAGATATGTTTAATCCCATTCCAATGCCTTCTCGTAGGAGATGAACTGAATCTTGCCAAAAGATTAACGGCAAATGATATATCAGGTCTTGTACAATTCGCAAGATACATAAGGGCTCCAATTGCACTTAGATATGGTACTTCATGACCAAGTATCTCTTCATTTTCCTCATGCGGTCGAAATGGATCACTCTCAACGTTAAGTGATCTAACGACCATAGGAGTACTAAGAGGATTTGCCTTATCCATGTTTAATCGTTTTAGCACTCTTTTAGTATACGTGGATTGGTGCACAAATATACCCTTTTGGGAATGTTCAATTTGTAGGCCAAGACAAAACTTTGTTTGTCCGAGATCTTTCATCTCGAATTCCCCTTTTAAATAGTTTGTTGCTTTCTGTATTTCATCTTGAGTCCCAATTATATTTAGATCATCAACATATACCGCGATTATCACAAATCCAGATTTTGTTTTCTTGATGAAAACACATGGGCATATAGGATCGTTCACGTATCCTTCTTTCGTTAAATGTTCACTGAGACGATTATACCACATTCGCCCAGATTGTTTTAACCCATATAATGATCTTTGCAACTTTATTGCACATAACTCTTTTGGTTTAGATTTCAATGCTTCTGGCATATTAAACCCGTCGGGAACTCTCATATAGATATCTGTATCTAATGATCCATACAAATATGCTGTAACAACATCCATGAGACGCATTTCTAAATTTTCATCAGCCGCTAGACTCATCAAGAATCTAAACGTTATTGCATCCATAACGGGGGAATATGTTTCCTCATAATCAATCCCGGGTCTTTGAGAAAATCCTTGAGCTACGAGACGAGCCTTGTATCTCGTAATTATATTTTCCTCATTTCGTTTTCTAACTAAAACCCATTTGTATCCAACCGATCTCACATCTTCAGGTGTGAGTACAATAGGTCCGAATACATTTCGCTTGTTGAGCGAATCAAGTTCGACTTGTATTGCATCTTTCCATTTTATCCAGTCATGTCTCTTTTGACATTCATATACCGACTTTGGTTCTGGATCCTCGTTTTCCTCATCAATTTCCTTTGACAAAAGGTATGAGAAAACGTCATTAACTTCATCCATTTTATTTCGATCCCAGATCTTTCCATTATGGATATAGTTGATAGAAATCTCATGATTTCCTTCAGGCTCATGATGCTCATCATTGTCATTAGACTCATGATTCGTTTCTTCCAAAATGCTTTCTGCTATTTTGGGAATATCATGCTTTTCAACTTCCTTTCGTTTTCTAGGATTTTTATCCTTAGCACCAACTGGTCTACCACGTTTCAAGCGTGTTTTAGACTCACGTGTATCATCTGCTCTTCCACTTTCTTGTGGTATTTCAATTCGAGCAGGAACATTTGCAGCTGGTATATATGATTTAGTTACCGTTTTGGTATCTGCAAAAGCATCGGGAAGTTGATTTGCTATACTTTGCAAATGCACAATTCGTCGAACTTCAATTTCTGACTGTTTTGTAGGAGGATCAAGGTGTAACAGTGGTGGTACACACCATTTAATTTCTTTTCCTACTTGCTTATTTTCTCCCCCTAGAACTGGGAACTCTTTTTCATCAAAATGACAGTCAGCAAAGCGTGCCGTAAAGAGGTCACCAGTTCGAGGTTCTAAATACCTTATAATAGATGGAGAATCATAACCCACATATATCCCTAACCTTCGTTGTGGTCCCATCTTTGTACGTTGTGGCGGTGCTACAGGCACATATACCGCACAACCGAAAATCTTTAGATGAGAAATATTTGGTTCACGACCAAATACTAGTTGTAATGGGGAATATTTATGATATGCACTTGGTCTTATCCGAATGAGTGCTTCTGCATGCAAAATGGCATGTCCCCATACAGAGGTTGGAAGTTTTGATCTCATGATCAATGGTCTTGCAATCAATTGCAGACGTTTAATTAATGATTCTGCCAAGCCATTTTGTGTATGAACATGAGCTACAGGATGTTCAACTTCAATTCCCGTTACCATACAATAATCATTGAATGCTTGGGATGTGAATTCACCAGCGTTGTCTAGTCTAACTCTTTTAATAGGGTAATCAGAAAACTGAGCCCTCAGTTTGATTATTTGAGTTAGAAATCTCGCAAATGCCATATTTCGAGATGATAATAGACAAACATGTGACCATCTGCTGGATGCGTCAATTAATACCATGAAATAGTGGAATGGTCCACATGGTGGATGTATTGGTCCACAAATATCTCCTTGAATTCGTTCAAGGAATTTTGGTGATTCTTTATCAATTTTGGTTGGCGATGGCCTTATGATCAGTTTTCCAAGAGAACATGCGGCACATGTCTTTTTATTCCCATGATATATCTCCTGGATTTTCAATGGGTGTCCATGTGAGCTCTCTATGATTTTTCGCATCATCGAGGTGCCTGGATGACCGAGGCGATCATGCCATAATGTGAAATCTTCTGGATTTCTTTTAATCACTAGATGCGATTCGATTGCACTTATATGAGTATAATGCAATCCTGAAGGAAGTTTTGGAAATTTTTCCAATATAAGCCTTTTTTCCGATTTATCAGAAGTTATGTACATATACTTCTTTTCATTCTCAGTTGCAGACTGAGTATCATATCCTTGAAGGTATATGTCTTTGAAACTCAACAAATTCCTTTTAGAGTTTGGAGAATACAAGGCATTTTTTATGGAAAATTTGGTTCCATTAGGCAACATAAAGTTGGCCATACCAGTTCCTTCAATCACGTCTACAGGACCTGATATGGTATTGACAATAACGTTTGTCGGTTTTAAGTTAGAGAAATATCTTTTGTCCTTCAGAATAGTGTGTGTTGTTCCACTATCTGGTATACAAATTTCTTGAGCCATTTCCTTGGAGATTGTTTCATCCATTTCTGTGATTAAGATAAACATCAATAAAAGAAAGTAAATTTTATTCATAAAAAGGGAAACACACAATAATTATACATTAAATTGTTGTTAAAACAACATTATTTTTCAAAATAACAAAAGCATAATATTATACAAATATGGCATAACTAGAGACTATTTCAGCAGTCTCAATACAAGCTCTTTAGTTAACCGCAAAAGCGGTCTAATCCAAATCATTTGCAAAGGAGGGAGAATCGAGATACGATGTATCCATACCACATTCGTCATCTGGAAAGACGAAACTACCCTTCTGGCTGCGTCAGGAATGTGTCAGGGGAAGGAGCTACAGTCTGCCGTCCTTTTTCTCTCTCCTGGCACATTGGTAACCGTTTTCGTCCCTCTGGTTGGTAAAACAAAGTTGTCCCCGAATAAATCCAGATCTTCGTCTTCGGCTCTCTGGCAGAATAAAACCAGATGATATAGTTTTACCAGCCTGCAGAGATCTGGATTTATTCGGGGACAACATCTCTTAATTATCTATCGCCAAATGATAAGTGGACTCAGAAAGTGGTACTGGGCCTAAACTTTTTGAAAAAAAGTGGTACTGGAGCTAATTTTCCCAAATAGGGAATTTTGCCAAATGTGCCACATTAAAATGGAAAATTTAATCTTTACCAGCCAGATATCTGGATTAACTCGGGGACAACTTGATCTTTATTTTATTCTGCAAGAGAGCCGAAGACGAAGATCTGGATTTATTCGGGGACAACTTTGTTTTACCCAAGATAATAGCATTTAATGGGGACGTGATGGGGAAGGATTTGGGGGAAAAATAGATCTAGAACTTGTCCCCGCTCCCCGTTTCCCAACCGGCGTCTGACTGTAGCTCCTTCCCTGACGCACAGAGAAGGGCAAAATCGTCCAAGAGTTGCCATACAAACACCAAAAGTGGTATGGGTGCTAAATCCATTTCAAATGTGGTACATTTCCTAGGATTTTTCCAAGGCAAAATTCCCCTTTGACAATCCTTTTTTTTTTGTTTAAAAGTCAATAATACTGAAATTTCCATTACTCATTTCTTGCTTCTCTCTATCGGTTACAACTCTCTCATAGCCACGAAGCAATCGTAGTGGTCTAATTAAAAACCATTTCATGATTTTGAGCCTACTACATTTAATTCCCATAATTCAAGATAAGCAGTTTAAATTCCATTGACAAAAAAAAAAAAAGATACGCATTTTATTAGAACCTTCCCACTAATAACTAAGAAGAAGGTCACGGTTCCGGCTTGGTGGTGGTAAGATTAAATCGGCATGCTTGAACTGCATCGTCAATGGATAAGAACATATACTCCTTTCCTATCTTGTCCACGAAATGGGCCAACATCATCTTTTCCAAGACTTCAAATCTTGGATTTATTATCACCATCTTCAATATTAAACAAAATGAAATATTTAATTTTAGGTTTCGTATAATATTAGAAGGACACTTAGATTTAGTGAAGAGTACAAACCTTGATGCTTTTTGATCCAAGGATTCTCTGAACTTCGAGTAGTGTTTCCATCCCGGTCATGTCAATGGTTGACACTCCTGCGACAACAATTTTTAATTAGTAACCAAAAAAATGATAACATATGTTGACAAAAGAGAGATATAATGCAAAAATAAAATTAAAGTCACCAGAGAGATCAAGGAGAAGGAACTCGATGGCTTCAGGTTCATCACGAATCCACCTCAAGATCCGTTCACGGACGTAAGTGCTGTTGGCAAAAAAGACTGGAGAGCCTAACTGAAGAATGATATAACCAAGCATTTCCTCGGAGGCTGGGTACTGTTCTATGTCTCTAAACATAACCGAGTTTGGTATCCTTCCCAGTTTACAAGTGGAGGGCCTTGCAACGTACAACAACGCTCTTACGATAGAAAACCCAACGGAGATGATGAGACCGTAGTCCATGCTAAGGAAGGAAACACCGAAAAAGGCAGACATGCAGACGAGGAAATCAAACTTGTCAACCTTGAAGAGATGGTACATCTCCTCGTAGTTGATGAGACCCAACATGGCTGACATAATGATAGCTGAGAGACCAACTAGTGGTGTGTAGCTGAATAGAGGCGCTAGGAAGAGAAGTATAAGCATCATGCAAACGCCCATTACTACATTCGACATTGGTGTCTTTGTCCCCGCGTTGTAGTTCACTGCTGTCTTTGAAAATGGCCCTGAATATTCCAACCATGATTAGTTAGCATCGATATTACAACTATACATTTAAGATCTTTGGTAGAAATATGTCAATATATTTGTTATTATTTACCCGTTGTCAAATAGCAAGAAGTGAAGGAGCCAATTACGTTCATAAGACCAAATGCTATCATCTCTTTGTTCCCGTCCGTTTGTTCGTTCTTCATTACAGCAAAGCTTCTTCCAATCGCTATCCCTTCCTGAAATTACCCATTCATCTTTTTATAAAATCATACATATACATAGTCAAATATGATCTAAATAAAAGAAAAGGTGAAAATAATTATTTACGGCCAAAGCGATGAGTCCAGTGACGATTCCGGCCTTAAACACCATCCCTAGATACTTGGAGTCAAAGTTCAAAAGTTGAATTGAAGGAGGGTTTAGTCCTTTCTTTAAAGGCCCAACCTGTTTGAAAAGACATACTATTAATAGAAACCCTAGTTGCTCAAGCTTTTAAAAAAATTCGCATAAGTTTAATTATGTTTGTATGTGATTGTTATTTGTTAGTATATAAATATGCTCACAGTAGCAATGCCGTGTGCCGTTCCTTTCACCAAATAAGCAACAACGCAACCCACAACGACGACCACCATTGGACCCATTGCTGATACCCAAAATAGCTTTGGGTATTTTTGCTTCTGCAATAGTTACAAATTTTAAAACGTGTTAATTCTTGTTAAGCATTTGAGAAGCCATTTGACTTTTAACATATGTGAAAGGGTGCCTATGTGAAAATAAGGAAAAATCGTATCTAAATTATTGTTATCCAAAAAATCCAATTCAAAGTGGTATGTGAAAAAGTGAGAAATGATTACAAAAAAAAAATAGAGAAAATAAAAAGTGAAAGATTTTGAGAGGGTCCAAATCCAATGGTTTTGTTTGTCCCTACTAAGTGGATAAAAGACTTAAATAAATGAAAGAAAGAGAAGAAGAAAGTTACTATGTATCGAGTGGATTGTAGAAATACAAGAAAGCAGACACCAGCCAATGTACTTTGCCACTTAAACTGCACCAAGTAACACCCTCCCAGGATAACACAATTAGCCACTGGTAACAAATTCTTGGATTTATATATTTTTATAAGAAAAAAAGAAAGAGAGATGACCTCAGCGCGGTTGTCTAAGATTGAGTGGAGAACGGATACGACATCGGTTTTGTGCGTAAAATGGACTAGTCCAAAGATGCCCTTAAGCTGTTGGAGGAGAATGATGATTGCGGTACCGCCCATGAAGCCCGTTATGGTCGAGTGTGACAAGAAATCCACCAATATCCCCAACCTATATTTTTTTTTGTTTCTTTAACTAACTATAAAGTTAAACTTTTTTACATAAAGATATAGATTGTATGTAGAAAAACCTCAAGAAGCCCATAGCAAATTGGAATAGACCGGTGATGAGAGTGGCGGTAAAGATCAAATGAAGGTAGAGTTCAGGTTCATTTTTGGACATTTCCTCACCGAATGTCTCAGCTATCAGCAAAGAGCATGCTGCGACTGTTCCCACTGCCAGATTGTTCGAACTTCCGAACACGGCGTACACAAATGGCGGCACGAAACTTGAATCTAAATTCCCATAATTTATTAACAAAAAATAGAATTATTAGATATATGCTCAATGGTTTAACCCAAAAAAAAAGTTAAATGTTCAATATTAAAATTTAGTTTGGAATAATTTTACTGTCATATTTCAAAAATACAAAGAAATTAACCTAATATTTTACTGTGATGTTTCTTGTCGTTGTTTCATATGAACAAAATTGGAAGAGAAATAAATTGAGACAAGTACAGTTGAGCAACACCGAATGTCAGTTTGTGTAACGTACTGCCAACATCATTTCTATTTTAGGTTCCTCTATCTATTTTAGTGACACAAGAAAAACATGGAAAACTTGTCTACATATGGAGGACTATCAAGATTTCATTGTCTAACGTAACTATTTATGTAAAAAAAAAAAAGGAAAACAACAAGAAAAAATCATTTTTATATTAGTTTTTTTTAAAAGAAGACTCTCTTGGAAAATCAAACTCAAGTGGCTTCATACTGTATATTCAGAATCAAGATTAATATATACAAGTTATTATTAATACGGAGAAAGATAAATTATTCAGAATCATACTGGTAGGTACCATATTAGCATGAGCTGCATGGCTGAACGGTAGACCAAACATAACTATACAAGTAAAAACATATTTGCAGGAAAAAAAAACATATTTGCAGAACGGAAATATTTAATTTTAATATGAAAACAGAAATAATTTATTAGTTATTTTGCAAAATCGAATTACACCTTTCTGCGAAAATCACTTTAAGAAACATATTTAACAATTTTTAAAATTATACTATTTCATAATGATTGTTCACTGGATGCAATTATTCATATAAAATAGATGATGCATAATTAAAAAAAAAAAAAAAAAAAGAAGAAGAAGAGGGGATCTCACATAGGCCAATGATGGGTGGGATACTGGCGAGCTTAGCATAGCTTATACCCTGAGGAACGGCAAGACTGGTGATGGTGATTCCGGCGAGCACATCATACTTAAGTTTTTGCATATCATACTTTGGGAGCCACTCAAAGATTGGTACAAAATACTCCAATAACTTTTTTGTTTTTAGCAAACGGTTTGGCTCTTGCGATATCGGTTTGAATGGATCATCGGGAAAAAAAGTTTCTTTACATTTTGTCTTAAATTTTGAACCAAAGCCTCTCGGGGTCGCGAAATTTACACCCCGGCCCTTGGGTGAGGAGGTGGAGCTCGTTATAGTATTCTCCATAGTTACAACAAAACAATTGTATATGAAAGAATACACACAACAAGCAAGGAAGAGGTAAAAAACTTTCTGTCTAGCTAGCTACTTTGTTACTTTTAAGTTCGTTGTAGAGAACAAATTGGAGAGTATGGTCGTTTATATAGAAAGATGGCCAAAGAAAGTGGAGAATACTGTTACAGAATTATTCCACGTTGACCCATGTTTTAATTAGGCTTGTGTGGTGGTCTTTGTCTTTTTTTGGTTAGAAAATCTGCTAATCTTATCTTTACAGCAGTTGATTCGGTATGTAATTTATATCCATGTATCTTACTAGGTTCATTTTCACTGTTGATTTTTTTTTCTTTCCTTTTTCTTAGCAGTGTTGATTTTTATTTCTATGTTGTGTTTCAGTATGAATCAAATGAAGAAAAATAGATAGAAAAATATGAATCAGATCTTTTTATGTGCTTCAAATAGTCAAAATAATTTAATACTTTTTACCATTCAAAGAATATAGAGTCACACCATCACATCCAAAATTTGTTACCATTTACGAAATTAGCTAATCTTATCATTCTCAAATTGCATTGCTTCAAATCACTCTTATATGGAGTTAGGGCCTGATTGGTAACAGCTGTAGTTTTACATTTTTTCTGTAGAAATATAACTGTAGGTTTATTTGCTGTGGCTGTAGATTTTAGTGCTGTAGTATTTTAGCTGTGGAATTTAAAATTTTGGAAAGTTGAAAATTATGTGCTTTAGGAAAAAAGGCTTTCTACAGCAAAAAAAATGAATTAAGGAAATATTTTGGCTGTGAGAAAAAAAAGGAAAGCCAAAGATTCTAAAGCTTGATTGGATGTATTTCAAATCTTTAGAAATTTTTTTGCTTTGTAAAGACTCTAAAGCACTTGCCAATCAGGCCCTTAATGTGTTGTCTAAAAAAAAATGGAGACTAATGTGATAAGTGGTAATTGAATGATAAGGTATATTTAATATGGATTATTTGTCATAAAATTGATGATTGCTAAATGGAACTAGTAGAAAGCATATCCAGAATCTCATGGCTTTCTTGAAGTTGATCATTTTCATATATATGAGAATCAAATCATGAATTACATTGGTACAAATAAAAGTCTAAATCTCTTCATCAGGAAATAACTCATCCTTGAGGGATGGGGCAATCCATTGAATCTGAATATAAGTTATCTCCCAAAGGTCATCGTCTTCCTTCTGTACCAAAATCTCTTTCTCCTTCATGGTACCAATCATGGTGGTCAAAAGTTCAGGCACAACCTCTTGAAGTTTGTTATCTCCATACTCGCCTAAATCAGCCTTCATACATGTATCCATTCTCCTCAACACTCCTAACCAAAAGGTTCTAAACTCAGCACTTTCTACAATCTGTTGCAAGTAAACCAAGAAAACGTTCATGAGCATTTTCATAGCTATTTTCAATGTCCCCTCCATGCTTCTCATCTCTCTTTCCGCGTTTTCGCGCCTTGAATAGTCTAGAAGCTTCTCGTGCAAGTCATCAATTGTTGGGAATATGACATGGTCTATGCAGTATATACAACCCGAGGGCGTGAATCCAAGGTCTTCATGACCCATGGTGAAGCTTTTCTCCAAAGACGTCACTGCTCTGTTCCTTATTTCTTCTCGGCGTGCAAGTGTCGTTTTTCGAAAAGCCTCGGAGAGTTTGAGGAAAAGATGATGAACAAAGTTAACCCCTCTCAAGCTGTTTTCTTCCATGGAAGATGAACTGCTTGTGTTGCTTGCCGGGCTGTAGCTATTCGCGGTATCAGTCGAGGCCGTTTTGTACCATTTTACTAGCATTGTCACTGAATCTGCCATGAGATCCAGAATTTTCAAGTTCTTCTCAACAGAGCTATTTCTTAGAGCAACAAAACTGAAGGCGCAATCGATGCAATAAGCGTAGCTTGACTGCGAGAGATGTGATGCGTTAATCGACATTAAACCGATGAGAGCATCCACAGCTTGCTCTTTGGTCTCTGGATGCCTTCCACATAAAGAAAGTAGTTGTAAAACGCTTTTCCACCCAATATTGGTATACAGATTCGCAGAGTACTCTGTAATGATCTTGCTGACAAACTCTGTTATTGTGTCATAACATGTTTCGATGATTTCTTTATCTATCTTCCACATTATAGTTAAGGACCTAAAAATCAACTCCTCTGGTAGATGGTCTTGAAGGTTAGAAGCAAGAATCTTGATGCATACCCTAAATAAACCCGGGAGCCCTTTTTCGACAAACGGAATGGGTGAAAAGAGCGGAAAGTTTGCAACATTGAGTAGATATTCATGGTAACTTGGCCAGAACATGTTGAACCGATGGACGTTAGATAACGCAATGGTTATGATCAAATCCCAGCAGAATTTGACCGTCTCTTCTTCTTCTATCGCTGTACTAAACTTCTGTCCTTTCCCAGCAGCTGCATATATTAAAGAACGGCCTAGATTCAACACGGCAACATCCGGTAACACCGAGCTCTTGCTGAATATTTGACCGATCCTGCATTGTTTTATGACTTTAAGGTTTTGTTCAAACTCACTCATTCCAAGAGCCAGAGACTCTTCCACGCTGTCTAATGCCAAGAAGTGTGAAAACCGACCCATTAGACTAGAACCCTGTCGTCGGTTAAATTTTGTGTCTTGGTTTGAAACAATGTTCATGTCGGATTCTGATCCGCCATTATTTTCCTCATTTGTTATCTCAAACTCAATAACAGACTGTGGAAGAAGCTGAAGCTTTCTAAGTTTCAAGAGACAATCCACAATGTTCCTCCACCCTCCTCTAATAGAATCACCAAAGTTGTTAGCGAGTGTGAAAACGGCGAGAGTAGCCATTCGCGGTTTCATATCGTGACTAAATGCGAACAAAGTCTCTTCGGGTGTAGTGTAAGGGTTTAACAACGTTGTGAATTTACAAAAGGAAGCTATGAGCTCGTCAAGAATGTCTTCAAGGCCATATTGAGCAACTCTTGCTATAGAGATCATAGCATCAACACATTCATGAAGCACTTCATCATCATCTGAATGCTCAAAGAATGCAGAAACAGCTGCTATTGATGGACCTGCAATGGTTGCAAACATATCCCTTCCTATTCGCCGATCGAACTGGCAGAGACTAAAAGGTTGTGTCGTCTTTGTTCTGTTCATTAGCTCAATCCATCTATTTGGATTCATTTCCACAGGACCTGAATGTGTGGATAAAGCGAATGCATTTGTTGCAATGGATTGAAAAAGCTCAGAGAGGTATTCCTTTGGAAGGTCATTTCCCGCGTTAATTGCTCGGTTGTTGCGGATAAACTCATCTTCTGTCATTTTCTTCCTAACCTGAGGGTTATGTTGATCCGTGTTGAGCATTATAAGCGAGTAACACAAAATGTGAACAGTATCTTTGCTTGCAAAAATATCAGATGATTGTTGATCATAGAATCTTTCAGAGAAAGCTTCAATCATACGTTCGATCTTTTGCGACTCTCCCGGTAACCGAAATGACTCAAGAAATGTCCTCAATGCGGTATCAAGATTCATACCCGTGAACTCAAACGTATGTGTAAAGCTTTTAAGAACACTGAGATGTAATTCATCAGGATCTCCAAGGTAATCGCCGATCATTGTCTTATCCAAACCCGGTGTAAATCTGAAAAATGAAGCTAATGCCATTGGATCAAGAGGATCTGAGACTAAGTAGTTATACTTCAAATACTCCAAACCCTTTTTCTCATCTCTATTGAAATGATTTGCAGCGATCGCTAGCTTCCTCTTCTGAGCTTTCCTCACTCTTATATGATCTACCCACGTCTCAAAATCCTCTTTTGGCTTATCTACCCAAAAGGGTATGTACTCGTGAATCTCAACGGGGCTTGGCTTAATCGCATTGGAGTTATCTTCTTCTTCAGCACCCTCATCTTCCTCTCTATCCATATTGTCAGCGATGTTGTGAATCAAGATCACAAGACCTTCAAAGGCTTGGATTTGTATAGAGGTTAAAGGACCAGAGGTAGGGAAGGTATGCCTGCACAGAACTTTTCCGGTCTCTTCGAAAATATTCCTACACATTGGATCACAGTCGTAGTTCACATAGGCTTCGACTATGAAAGCGGGTTGTCGACAAAAGTTGATTAGCCCTTCAAGAGCAACTTCTTGTAACGGAAGGAAGCCTGTGAAAGCTGTAACTCTCAACAACACGAAGGAGAAGAAAGCTTCAAGCTGTAGTCTCATGAACCTAATAAATCAACACATTGTTGTCAGACAAAGTTGAGAATAAACAGAGTTTTTAATAAAAAAAACAGAGGACTTACTTGCGGAGGAAGTGATATATATTGAGTATACAACTAGAGATCATCGATAGCACAAGAGGGCTTGAAGAAGCTCCATAATGGATTAAATGGTGAAACAAATCGTCTTGAACCATCCGAAGAAGCTTAGGGTGTTGCCCGATCGCATCACCGCTTAACTCAATCGCGCTATTGATTAAAACCAAAGCAAAAATCTGCACATCTTCGTCTGCAGTGTGAACACTTGTCCCTTCCGAGTTCTCAACAACCTCAACAACATTGAGCAACGAACATAAGAAATGAAAAATGTCGATACAACATCGGATTCCATATCCGCCGCTCATGTCTATTTCGTCAGTATCAGATTCTGATTCCTCACCACCTTCGTCTCCTCTGACTTCAAAATCAGGTAATCTAGAGAAAATGATCTGAATCAGCTCGTGCATTGCGTATCTTCCATTTCGTTGAAGCAAATCTCCTCTACCGGTAGATTGTTGCACCACTTGGAAACATGTATTGACGATTGTGCAAACCGCTTGATCTTCTAATAACTCCTGTTTTATTCATAACTTATTGTTTAAAAATTTAGAAGGAAAAAACACATTTGTAGTAAAAAGTTAATGAACGTACAGAGGACGGATGTTTCATGATTCCGATTAAAACTTGAAGAATCCTCATCATCACAGCATCTTCGGACAACAAATCTGTTTTCTCCAAACGACAACTAGTAATCCCCGAAACAATTGAATTCATAGCATCTTTTGCACCAGGTGTTTTCTCATCGAAAATCTCGATTTTAAGGATCTTCAAGATGGAGGAAAGGGCGACCGTTGTGGCGCTAGCCGGGATCTCATCGCTTTGAATAACTTCGAGGAAAGGAGAGAGGTAAACCGAAGGATCGATAGTGCGCCAATCTTGTTGAGGATTGAAGATAAGGGCTCTAAGAGATTTTAGAGATTGTTGGACTGATGAATCACAGTGGTCTGTTTCTTGGGGAGAAAGGTAACTTTCCGAAAGGGGTCTACGAATGACGGCAAGGACTGCACCAACCTCTGTGTTAAGCATGCATGATATCCCTAGCTCTTTCCGCTTTGCTCTTACCGCGATACGATCCATTTCTCACCTTATCACTCTCTTCTTGCCGATAAAGAAGAAAAATCATTTAGCATCTGTTTTTTTTCTTCATTTATATTCTGTTTATGTACGGTGTTGCCTTGCCTTGGTTTGAATCCTATATTTAGTATATAAGTTTTAGTGGCTGAGATTCAGTGATGAGTGAATTTCAACCATTTGTCATCACATATCTAGGAAAAATCCATCATCATCCACCATCGATTTCTTTATTGGCTTAAGATAGAAACTAATGTAAGAAATGCAAAATCAGATTTAAAGATACATTATTTGATAAAACTTTACGATGATTGGAGGATTAGTTTTCTTCATACTGAGGCAGAGACGACTTTGCATAGCTGAAGCTTTATTTATCTAGATTCAATAATAACCTGTTTGAGGGTAGAATTAATTACAGTAATAGAGAAAACTGACACTTAAGGGAGCTTAATATTTTCCCAAATTCAGACCATAACTTATATATGTACTGGTCCTCTCAGTGTGTGTTCTCTGCTTATTCCATACTAATGAGATGACAAAGGAAAATCTTTTAAGGGTTTATGTTTTTAGAGATGTATTTTTCTTTCCAAAAGTATTTGGCTTAAGAAGAGCCAAAACTTTTTATAATTAACTGTATGTCTAAAATAATTATAAGGTGACAAAATTGGTTTTATTAAATTTTAGTGACTATGAGTACTTAATTAAAAAAAATTCACAGAAAAAAAGTATTTAATAATCCTCGTGTTTCACATTCATGTGTGTGCATCCATAAAATCAAGAAAAATTCCTTTGAGAAAACAACAAACGTTTTTTTTTTTTTTGAAAATGGCAGTAAATTTTACAAATGTATTCCTACATAAAACAAAAATTAGTTTTTGAAAATTTCAAATATCTGTTTTTGTTTTTTTTCCGTAAGTGGGCTTTAACATCACCTTTTTTTTTTAAGGGAATATCAGGAGCTCTCTCTCTTCTCTCTTTCATATTTTCTAGAGAGAGAGTCGATTATCCATCTTTTACTCCGCCGTCCGGAATTCTCCGGCAAAGCCGTCCAGTTGGTTTCAACTGGCTTCAGCCCAACATCCTCCGGCTTCTTATGCGGAGATGGTTGGTTTTTGTCTGGCAAATTCGGCTTCCACATGCGATTTTGGCTGGCTTTTTATTTTCTTCTGCCGTGAATCGGTTTTATGCCGATTTATTTTAGTTCTTTTTAGTTTTCTTTCAATAATCTCTCTGGATCTATGTTTGGTGACGCTGATTCGGCGATTACTCGCTCGACGGTGGTCTTCTCCGACTAGCTCTTTGAGTTGTGTTTTTATGGTATCCGGTGGTTTCCGGTGAGGTTATGCGGTGTCTGATCCGGCTAGATCGGGTGGATTTGCTGTCTCTTTCTCGGATGTTATCAAGCCGGCTTTGTATTTCAGATCTATGGTTTATAGCAAATCTTCATGGTTGATTACGAGTATGATAATGAAAAGAAGATTAGTTTCCAGCATATTTGGATTGCCTATAGCCGTTTCTACATGTTTATGAAGCTTCGATTGAGCAAAATTTTATGGATTATCAAATTTCTTCCTTTTCTGATTTTACCATCTCATTGGTTGGTGATTTGGAAAATTAGATGAGTTGAAATCTCTGTTTTGGATCCATCTCTCTGTTTATGCAGCCTCCGGTGAAAAACAACAAAAATTGATGCTTTTACCTTTTCCGGCGTCGATTAAGTTTACCGGTATCGGAGTTTTCGACGGCAAAGGATGACAGGAAAGTTCTATAGTTTCTCTTGCGACATGTTTACACCACGTGTCTAATCCTCGTTGATGACACGACAGATACAAGAGTTATCCTTCTTTTCTTTGATGTAATCGTTTGGGCTATAACATTAAGCCTGTAAACTTGTTTGGATCATTAATAAAGATAAACTTCCAGTGAAAAAAAAAAAAAAAAACATCACCTTTTTTTTTTCACCCATCTTCTTCTTCTACTCCGAATCAAAAACCCTAAAAACTCTTACTTTTTGTTCTTAGGTTTTTTTTTATCCTAAAACTCTTCTTCTTCCTGACATTTCCTCAATTTCGCTCTTGAGTACAATTAACAATGCATTGCCACAACGATGATGTTCGCTTCTCTTCATCTTCTATCAGAATCCATTCTCCATCTTCCAAAGAGCACTCTTTACTCACCAATCTCAAATCCTGCTCTAAAACCTTCGTCTCTAAGCTCTCAAATACTCGTCTCTCACTAAACCAAATGTTCGAATCGCTAAAGAATCGCCACACTCCTCCACGTTCGGTTCGTCGTCCCAATTTACCGACTCAGATGCTCAATTCAGTCACTCAGCTTATGATTGGGAAGTCTTCTCCAATTTCATTGTCGCTTATCAAATCTACCCAATTGAATTGGTCGTCTAACTCAGGAGATGAGAATGTTGAGATTATCCGTGGACTAAACTCGCCTCTGCTCTGTTGTGCCTCTTTGTCTCTATCTAGACCCAACGAGTCGAGTCAGTCAGTGGAAGGGAAGGATATAGTACAGCAGCAGAAGGGTCACTCGGTGAGTCGAAACGCGGAGGAACGAGTTCTGATTAGTGAGGTTTTAGTAAGAACCAAGGATGGTGAGGAACTTGAGAGGAAGGATTTGGAAATGGAGGCATTGGCTGCTTTGAAAGCTTGTAGAGCTAATTCAGCGTTAACCATTCGTGAGGTACAAGAGGATGTGCATAGGATTATAGAAAGCGGGTACTTTTGCTCTTGTACGCCTGTTGCTGTTGATACACGAGACGGGATTCGATTGATGTTTCAGGTAATATTCTGATTGTTACCTGAAAACTTTTCTTGGAGGAAAAAGGTGTCTTTTTTATGTTTTTGGGATACAAATAATTCTCATTTTCTTGCCATAAGGTAGAACCAAACCAAGAATTTCGTGGGTTAGTCTGTGAAAATGCAAATGTTCTTCCTTCCAAGTTCATACAGGAAGCTTTCCGAGATGGATTTGGTACGTATCTTCCTCCAATTTGGCTTGCTGTTTTTCTTCTGTACTGTACTAGACTTATCGTTCAAATCAGTTATTTACTTTGTGAGTAAGATGGATTCATGATACTGGAACCTGATAAAAATTTCGAGTACTAATGATGAAGCAAAAAATTTTCTAATACAAAATGTGTTAGCCTTGAATGAAGAAGATAGATTAGGGGTAAGTAGTACGCCCAAAATGTTTCCATGCCCCAAAACAGAGCATTATTTGAAATTGCACTTAGTTTACAGATGTAAATGTATTGAGGCTTGTTAGGTGGGTTCCTTGTGTTCGGTGTGTGTTTGATTGGATAGAGTAATTAAATGTTGGTGTGAAGTTGTGTAGGGAAAGTGATTAATATTAAGAGACTGGAGGAAGCTATTACATCCATCAATGGTTGGTACATGGAGCGTGGTCTTTTCGGAATTGTAAGTGTTGTTTGGACACAAATTTTACATCCTGGATTCAGTCTTTTACTTTGTGGTTAGAATCGACATTCTGTTGCCTGCCATTGCAGGTTTCAGATATTGACACGCTTTCTGGAGGTATAGTAAGGCTTCAAGTTGCTGAAGCAGAGGTTAACAACATATCCATCCGATTCCTTGATCGTAAGACGTAAGCTGGTGCCAATCCCTCCCATTTGAATGTAGTTTATATTGGTTTAAATTGTAGGCAATTCTCAATGGCACTTGTAGCTTCCTTTTATTTGATAATGGTGCCTTCTATATTTAGTGGGGAACCAACTAAAGGGAAGACTAGCCCCGAGACAATACTACGGCAACTCACAACAAAGAAGGGACAGGTATTTTTTTTAGCATTTCTCAGCTTAGATGTAAAGATAAGTCACTGACTAAAACTTCATAGGCTACCTGGGTTAAAAAACCACTTCTGATTGCATCATCTATTTATGAAATCCCTTGGAGATATTATTTTTTATTAAGGTTAATCACTCTTTATGGTATCATGTATGTTTCTTCATAAATTTTGACCTTAAAGATTTGTCTTTATGCATGAGCCTCAAAGTAGGACCTCTACAGATACATCTTGTCTAATCTGGCTTTTGGTCGATGTAGGTCTACAGCATGCTTCAAGGGAAGAGGGATGTAGACACTGTGCTAGCCATGGGAATCATGGAAGATGTTAGTATTATTCCTCAACCGGCAGGAGGTGAGTAAATGTATTTCTTTATTTTCAGGTAATGCTTTTAATTTTCATTTTGTGCTTAAGGTGCAGTAGTATGAGTGGAGAAAGTAAATGCCTTGCTTATCCTTAGGCACAATAACAAAAGGTTTTGACAGTGTCTGATTCTGAAGCTTTCTTCTTTTTCTTGTTTTTTATTCTTGCGATTTTTAGATACTGGGAAGGTTGATTTGATCATGAACTGTGTCGAGCGTCCCAGTGGAGGCTTCTCTGCTGGTGGTGGGATATCTAGTGGGTAAGTTTTAGTTTGTTTGCTGCTTACAGTGATTCACTTTTTATCTTCGGTAGCTTGACGACGAGGCTTGTCCAATTCATTTTTTTGTAGGATCACAAGTGGCCCCCTATCAGGACTAATTGGAAGGTAAAATCATATGACATTGCTGTTTTTTGTAGCATGAAATTATGTATATTTTATTTGTAACGATTCATTTTAATTCTGGCCTAGGCTGTGTGTATTTCATAAATGCATTACTGATGTAATTGAAGTAATTATTTTATGTAGCTTCGCTTATTCCCACCGCAATCTGTTTGGAAGAAACCAGAAGCTTAATGTTTCCCTAGAGAGGGGTCAAATTGACTCTATATTTCGTATAAACTACACTGATCCATGGATTGAAGGAGATGACAAGAGGACATCCAGATCTATTATGGTTCAGGTAAAACCTTTACTGGTTCTGGCTCTGTTCATCTCAATGAGAATGCTGAGTTGACTAATAGACTAACGAGCTTCGTATTGTGTTAGAATTCAAGAACACCGGGGAATCTTGTTCACGGCAATCAACCAGACAATAGTAGTCTCACAATTGGTCGGGTTACAGCAGGTATTGAATACAGTCGTCCATTCAGGCCTAAGTGGAGTGGTACTGCTGGACTTATATTTCAGGTATCTACTGTTCCCAATATTTTATAAGTTTCTGTACGAATCCTGAGTAATAATGGTGTTAAAGCAACTAAATTATGTGTTCTTGTCGTCTCTTATTAGATCGAAACTGGTAAATTTTAGACTTTTGACCAATATATACCTTACCCTTAATTTCGTTTTAATTTTAATGTTTCAGCATGCTGGTGCTCGTGATGAACAAGGAAACCCTATCATTAAGGACTTCTACAGTAGCCCTCTAACCGCAAGGTATATATGTCCCAAAGAATGATTTGTCTTTGGTTTTGCTCACTGTTTTCACCATTGCTGTATTTGGCCATATGAATTTGATAGATGCTATTTAATGTTACTCATGCAGTGGTAAGACCCATGATGAGACCTTGCTAGCAAAACTTGAAAGCATTTATACTGGCTCAGGTGACCGAGGATCAACAATGGTCAGTCTGATACCTCTGTTGGTACATCTTCCCCTTCTTTTTTCAGTGCCTAATTCTATCTGTATCTCTATACCAGTTTGCGTTTAACATGGAACAAGGGCTTCCTGTTTTACCCGAATGGTTATGTTTCAATCGAGTGACTGGACGTGCCAGAAAAGGCATACACATTGGACCAGCTCGTTTTCTTTTTAGGTATGCTAACCTCCTTTGCAGCATATAGTTTTCTTGAGCTCTCTATTCGCCTTTTGGGATCCAAATCATCATTTCCCAAGTTTTATATAGCGTATCTTACATTGTTCATGTTTATAGTCTGTCTGGTGGACATGTGGTGGGAAACTTTTCACCTCATGAAGCATTCGTCATCGGTGGAACAAACAGCGTAAGAGGTTACGAAGAGGGCGCTGTAGGATCTGGTCGGTCATATGTAGTTGGTTCGGGGGAGATGTCTTTCCCAGTGGTAGGGGTTTTCTCTGAACATTCCTAAAATCTCATTTCCCAATGGTACGAATATTATGATTCTCATTCTTGCCCTATTGTGCAGAGAGGACCGGTCGAAGGCGTTATTTTTACAGATTATGGCACTGATCTGGGATCAGGATCCACCGTCCCAGGTACAGACTAGGCTCTCTTTTTTTCTCCTTCTGAGTCTTTCCATATATGCTTGTAATAGCTTAAGAATCACAGGGAACCTTCATCTGTTTTTTTCTGTCCTTTAGGTGATCCTGCTGGGGCAAGACTGAAGCCCGGAAGTGGTTATGGGTATGGTTTAGGGGTGCGTGTTGATTCCCCGTTGGGGCCGCTACGCCTTGAATATGCCTTCAACGATCAACACGCGGGAAGGTTTCACTTTGGGGTTGGTCTGCGGAACTAAAATTTCTTGTTTCATTTTTAGATTCTAAAAGTGTTTTTGTCGGCCTTTGTCGTACATTGATCTAGATGATGTTTGTTTATTTTGATCATTTATATCATCTTATTTAATTAACTCACTGTTTTGTGAGTTGTTGTGCATGGAGATGTCGTGTTTAAATGCTTATCCTGTAGATGTTATTCATTTTACCAAGCTCTCAGATTCATTCAAATTACTGATAGAGCTAAGATTAGGATATGTTTTTTTATAATCCTAGTATGAACTCAAGGATGTCACATGATCGTGAGCAAACTCTTCTCGACAATTGCAAAGCTTGAAGATATATCTGATAGAGAGTGGTAGGTAATAAATTAACTAAAAACTTGAAAACAATTCTTTTAGTGCATAGTGTACAAGGACTTCAAACTCCTCCGCTAATAGTTCCCCCCTAATATGGTTGTGTTTATAAAGATTTATCCAAGTAATTTCTGAATTCATGTGCAATTTTACAAGGATGAAATGAAATTACATATGATATCGGTCACCTGAGAATCATATTCAGGTCCTTCCATCTGGAAATGGCTAACGCCTTCAATGAGGTGTGTTTCGGTGCGTCCCACTGCAGACTTCAGCTTCTTCTTTAGCTGGCTAACACTAGTGAACCCGTCTTGTGTTCCCATAACGAAGAGTTTGGGTTTAGGGGATGAGAGAATGGCCTTGTGGTGCCGTCCAAACAGAATGGAGGCCATTAGGCCAAATGGGTATCCCAAACTCACATATCCCACCACTTGCTCTACTTGATCCACCGCTGATCCTGCGATTGGTGCACCTGCCATAAAGTCAAATTTGTCTCAGAATATTCATTAGAGGAGTAATGTGATAAGTTCATCAATTACACACATCAAATTCTGAAAGTCGGTCCCTATGATCAGTATGGGTAGGAGTATGAGATGTATTAGATGCTGCAGTATTCATCTACAAATTTCTTGTTTGTTCTTGGTTCTATGCTCAGCAAGAAATAAAGGAAAATCCATTATGTGTGACAAACACGTAAAAGATTCATGTTTACCAATAAAAGGGAACACTGAAAGCAATCCTAGACCTGATACTTTCATAGTCCTTACAAAACTCCTGAAAGGATCCATGTCAATTGTGACACACAAACAAGAAACAGAGTTATCTCGGTGGATAAGAAGTACAAACGAGAATTTCCAGCAAACTGTAACATCTGATAAAGTCTACCCCAAAATCACCTAGACACTCTAAATTGAATCTGTTCAAAGTTGAAACAATACTCATCTTCTTCTTTCCACAGTGGATTGAACTTTCTTACTCCATTCTCATCTTATAAGGTCATCATCTATACTCAAACATGGAACATGGAAAACACCAAACAGGAACAAGAAAAGATGCTTAATCTACACGACGTGAATTGCATCAACTAAAACCATTTAGAGATACATGAGAGAGAAAATGGAACTTAATTGCAATGGTAACAATAACATGACCAACACCAAACCAGAACCAAGTTATCTCAGCTGATAATATCAAGTAAATGAGCAAACTCCTCCACATCACTTCAAACAAAAGAACAAAAGCATAACCTAGAACCAATAATTCTGTCACCAATCCGTGGTAATGCTAATGAGAACTGAATAAGAGCAAAAGGGTCACATTTTAATCACAAAAACCAACAGATCAAACACAAATTTGAACAGAAAGCAATACCCTCAATCTGTATACGAATCCATACAATGAAATCAGTTGTTACAGATTAACTTTAAAGAAGCATTACCAGATCGAACACAAAAATCAGAAACACGAATCAAAGCATCAGACTTTAACTTGCAATCAAATTCAAAATAAACCCAGATCAACAAATTAGCAACCAAAGGAGCAACAAAATCAAAACTTGAATTTCATACCAGCAGAAGAACCGACGAGCAGGATCCTATGAGCTCCAACATTCTGACAAAGCCACCGACAAACAGCGACGACATCCTTGACCTCAGCAAAGCCGGTAAGAGTAGCTCTTCCGGTGGATTTTCCGGCACCTCTTGTATCGAAAGTGACAGCTTTGAAACCCTTAGAGGCCAATTCAGAAGCTATGCCTTTGAGCAGAGCTTGACAACCACCCAAGAGCGAGAACGGGTGGACCAATACTATCACCAGATTCCCATCGTCGCTGACTTCTTCTCCTTCGTTTCTGGGCTTGAAGACTCTCGTGTGAAGCTTCACCCCTTCCTCCGAATCAACGCTACACGATTCCACTATAAAGTTTGACGACATTTTCGGAAAGATGATGAATCAAAGTATGCAACTTTTGTTCCCTTTACATCTTCTTCTTCGAGAGTTAATAACCACTACTCCGAATAATTAAATTAAGTAAATGTTCTTAAAAGTTTATGCTAATAATATCATATGAAAATCAAATATATTCCTTTTTGTTATAAATAATTACTTTATATTATGGTGTATATAAATATAAATAATGGAGAAAGAATTTATACCCGCAGAAGGATCGGGATACTGAAAATAAAGAGACGAGAGAAGGAGAGAGATTTTGTATAACTTCTTATTGTTGAAGTATGAATTGTGATTTACAACGAACGAATTCGTTCGTTTATATAGGCAGGAAAAAGTAAGTTACTATGCATGCATAGTGACGGTGGGCTCCACACAAATTATATTTTACTCTTAATCTTTTGCACGCGTAGCGTCTATTGTTGACGCTGTATTTTTCTGACTTTTGTAACACTCCCCCTTGGAGACCAGTGTCACTATGTCTCTTGCGTAATATCTTCTGTTGCCTCGTTAAAAACCTTTCTAGGAAAACCCAGTGGGAAAAACCATAGTAGGTAAAAAGAGTGCAACCTCGCAAGCTCCCCCTCGAATGATCAGGATCATAACTTACAAGTCTTGTTGACGACGCATTCCAATATTATGAACATGTTTCCTGAACATAGAGGTGGGCAATGATTTTGTGAAGAGATCCGCAGAATTCTCGTATGATCGGACATATCTTACTTCAATGTCTTTATTCTTCACGAGCTCTTTGGTGTATGAAAAGAACTTCGGAGGGATATGTTTGGTTCTATCGCTTTTGATATATCCTTCTTTTGTCTGAGCAACACATGCAGCATTGTCTTCATATAAGATGGTTGGCTCCGTATTCAGACGAATTCCACTACTTGTTTGAATGTGTCGACTTATTGATCGTAGCCACACGCATTCTCTACTCGCTTCATGGAGTGCGATGATTTCAGCATGATTTGAAGAAGTAGCTACAAGCGTCTGCTTCTGAGAACGCCATGATATAGCAGTACCTCCAATCGTGAATACGTATCCTGTTTGGGATCGAGCTTTGTGTGGATCTGATAAATATCCTGCATCTGCAAAACCAATCATTTGACCATTTATATTTTTAGGATAAAATAACCCTAAATCAATAGTCCCTTGAAGATAACGAAAGACATGTTTAATCCCATTCCAATGTCTTCGCGTAGGGGATGAACTAAATCTAGCCAAAAGATTGACTGAAAATGATATATCAGGTCGAGTGCAATTTGCAAGATACATAAGGGCTCCAATGGCACTTAGATACGGTACTTCAGGACCGAGTATCTCTTCATTTTCCTCATGCGGTCGAAATGGATCACTCTCAACGTTAAGTGATCTAACGACCATAGGAGTACTAAGAGGAGTTGCCTTATCCATGTTGAATCGTTTTAGCACTCTTTTAGTATACGTGGATTGGTGTACAAATATACCCTTTTGGGAATGTTCAATTTGTAGGCCAAGACAAAACTTTGTTTGTCCGAGATCTTTCATCTCGAATTCCCCTTTTAAATAGTTTGTTGCTTTCTGTATTTCATCTTGAGTCCCAATTATATTTAGATCATCAACATATACCGCGATTATCACAAATCCAGATTTTGTTTTCTTGATGAAAACACATGGGCATATAGGATCGTTCACGTATCCTTCTTTCGTTAAATGTTCACTGAGACGATTATACCACATTCGCCCAGATTGCTTTAACCCATATAATGATCTTTGCAACTTTATTGCACATAACTCTTTTGGTTTAGATTTCAATGCTTCTGGCATATTAAACCCGTTGGGAACTCTCATATAGATATCTGTATCTAATGATCCATACAAATATGCTGTAACAACATCCATGAGACGCATTTCTAAATTTTCATCAGCCGCTAGACTCATCAAGAATCTAAACGTTATTGCATCCATAACGGGGGAATATGTTTCCTCATAATCAATCCCGGGTCTTTGAGAAAATCCTTGAGCTACGAGACGAGCCTTGTATCTCGTAATTATATTTTCCTCATTTCGTTTTCAAACGAAAACCCATTTGTATCCAACCGGTCTCACATCTTCAGGTGTGAGTACAATAGGTCCGAATACATTTCGCTTGTTGAGCGAATCAAGTTCGACTTGTATTGCATCTTTCCATTTTATCCAGTCATGTCTCTTTTGACATTCATATACCGACTTTGGTTCTGGATCCTCGTTTTCCTCATCAATTTCCTTTGACAAAAGGTATGAGAAAACGTCATTAACTTCATCCATTTTATTTCGATCCCAGATCTTTCCATTATGGATATAGTTGATAGAAATCTCATGGTTTCCTTCAGGCTCATGATGCTCATCATTGTCATTAGACTCATGATTCGTTTCTTCCAAAATGCTTTCTGCTATTTTGGGAATATCATGCTTTTCAACTTCCTTTCGTTTTCTAGGATTTTTATCCTTAGCACCAACTGGTCTACCACGTTTCAAACGTGTTTTAGACTCACGTGTATCATCTGCTCTTCCACTTTCTTGTGGTATTTCAATTCGAGCAGGAACATTTGCAGCTGGTATATATGATTTAGTTACCGTTTTGGTATCTGCAAAAGCATCGGGAAGTTGATTTGCTATACTTTGCAAATGCACAATTCGTCGAACTTCTATTTCTGACTGTTTTGTAGGAGGATCAAGGTGTAACAGGGATGGTACACACCATTTAATTTCTTTTCCTACTTGCTTATTTTCTCCCCCTAGAACCGGGAATACTTTCTCATCAAAGTGACAATCGGCAAAACGTGCCGTAAAAACATCACCAGTCTGCGGTTCTAGGTATCTTATAATTGATGGAGAGTCACAGCCAATATATATTCCCAACCTTCTTTGTGGTCCCATCTTTGTACGTTGTGGTGGTGCTATAGGCACATACACTGCACAACCAAAAATTCTTAGATGGGATATATTTGGTTCACGACCAAATACTAGTTGTAATGGGGAATATTTATGATATGCACTTGGTCTTATCCGAATGAGTGCTTCTGCATGCAAAATGGCATGTCCCCATACAGAGGTTGGAAGTTTTGATCTCATGATCAATGGTCTTGCAATCAATTGCAGACGTTTAATTAATGATTCCGCCAAGCCATTTTGTGTATGAACATGAGCTACAGGATGTTCAACTTCAATTCCCGTTACCATACAATAATCATTGAATGCTTGGGATGTGAATTCACCAGCGTTGTCTAGTCTAACTCTTTTAATAGGGTAATCAGAAAACTGAGCCCTCAGTTTGATTATTTGAGTTAGAAATCTCGCAAATGCCATATTTCGAGATGATAATAGACAAACATGTGACCATCTGCTGGATGCGTCAATTAATACCATGAAATAGTGGAATGGTCCACATGGTGGATGTATTGGTCCACAAATATCTCCTTGAATTCGTTCAAGGAATTTTGGTGATTCTTTATCAATTTTAGTTGGCGATGGCCTTATGATCAGTTTTCCAAGAGAACATGCGGCACATGTCTTTTTATTCCCATGATATATCTCCTGGATTTTCAATGGGTGTCCATGTGAGCTCTCTATGATTTTTCGCATCATCGAGGTGCCTGGATGACCGAGGCGATCATGCCATAATGTGAAATCTTCTGGATTTCTTTTAATCACTAGATGCGATTCGATTGCACTTATATGAGTATAATGCAATCCTGAAGGAAGTTTTGGAAATTTTTCCAATATAAGCCTTTTTCCCGATTTATCAGAAGTTATGTACATATACTTCTTTTCATTCTCAGTTGCAGACTGAGTATCATATCCTTGAAGGTATATGTCTTTGAAACTCAACAAATTCCTTTTAGAGTTTGGAGAATACAAGGTATTTTTTATGGAAAACTTGGTACCATTAGGCAACATAAAGTTGGCCATACCAGTTCCTTCAATCACGTCTACAGGACCTGATATTGTATTGACAATAACGTTTGTCGGTTTTAAGTTAGAGAAATATCTTTTGTCCTTCAGAATAGTGTGTGTTGTTCCACTATCTGGTATACAAATTTCTTGAGCCATTTCCTTGGAGATTGTTTCATCCATTTCTGTGATTAAGATAAACATAAAGAAAGTAAATTTTATAAAAGGAAAACACACAATAATTATACATTAAATTGTTGTTAAAACAACATTATTTTTCAAAATAATTAAAGCATAATATTATACATATATGGCATAACTAGAGACTATTTCAGCAGTCTTAATACAAGCTCTTTAGTTAACCGCATGAGCGGTCTCATTAATCTTTTCCGCTATTAGGAGTGCCACAAATAAATCCGAAAATTCGGTATACCCGTATGACATATACAGTTTTTGCTGGGTAATGTGGTTTTCATGAAACGTGGTATACGTTTTCTCAAGCATCTGAGAATCAGTGATAATATCACCATAATATTTTAGTTTAACCACAATTTCCATCATAGCGGAATTATAATCACTTTATCAAAGTCTTTGAACTTTAGACTTTGTCATTCATCCCAAGCAAGTGGGAGATTTATTGCCTTTCGATTATCAAATCGAGCCTTTAGGGATTCCTAGATCTCTTTGGGATCTTATATGTGTGCATAATCACATATCATACTTTCATCAAGGTGTCTTAAATTAAAGATCACCAATTTTTCCCTTTCTTGAACCGTCGAAATATTATTCTCTTTTACGGTTTTTATTAAGCCAAGAGATTGTAAATGTAATTCGACGTTGGCAATTCAAAAAATATATAATTGGCCAAAGTGATGTGCAGAGCCGAAAACTTAAGCTTCTCAATATTTGCCATTTCGTTTCTAAAATAAAAACATGGAATATTATTAGAAATCTTTTAATTTATTTTAAAACATATTTAAAATGAACCGTTTACATTAATAATGCAAGCGATTACAAAAAGAAAAAGCGCACAAATAAGTAAACTAATGTTCAAACGAAATTCTTGCGGAGTAAATTCTACAACGCAAAGATTATAAATACACAAAATAATGATTCCAAAAACAAATATTAAAAGTAACCGAAACATTCTTCAAA